AAGTAGGTTTGAAATAGATTACTTTACGTAGCAAGACTGATAGGACCCTTGTATAAGATTTGAACAGTGTGTTATAAAAGAGACCTCTTTTCACTCTTGTATCTAGTGATATGTTAAAAGTCTCCTTCAAAAATACACCTGCATCTTCAGCAATTATTTCTGGTAAAACAAATAGTCAATTTTATTTCAAATTTGGGTAAGACAAAGTAAAACAAATAATAGTTTTTTGGCACCAATCAATTAAGCATGACTCATATCTGATTTTAAGAATCTCCTGTTAACTCTTTATATATAGGAACCTATTTTACAGCCCACTCAAATCAATATGTGGTAGTTAATCCCCATGGTTTACATTCCCTTTATGCATAAACAGCAAAATTAAATACCCTTGGTGGCAACTTTGATTCATTTTAACTTCCCAGCCTAAGTCTAAATATTATATAATTAAAATCCATAACTGATTCTCAGTTTCTAATCAGTGGTGATTATTACTCTCTTATCAGTGTCTGATCTAGTAGAAGCCTTTCAACAACAAAATTTGCAGTCAGACAGCAACCAACTAATGAATTTCTCTGAAATGTCCTGAGTGATTGTCATGCTGTAAGTTCAAAGTTACCTTGGGCTACGTTGAAGAAATCATCTGTACTTGTTTTAAAAAAGAACAGGACAAGTACAGCCTTGAACATGTTTCTTGGAAGTAAGTCTTTCAGTGTTCAGTGGGGCTTACTCCCAAGTAATTATGCACAGGATTGAAGGCTGTCCTAGAACAAGGAAGTCATATATAGGATCACAACACTTATCTTTCATACAAAAGCATAACTTTAAAAATATTTTACTTCATTTATGTCCATATCAAATTGTCAAGAGGTTTAATTATGTTAGTGGCAATGGATGAAGACGTTGTGTCAGTACCTTCCTTGTCCATACAATCAAGAGATGCAAAAATGTATATGTAACCTTGCCTTGTGAATGAAGAAGTAGAGCTTGGAAGAGCTGCATTTTATGGGGAGTGATAGATTGATAAGAGGCATGGCTTAGGTCAGCCAACCTGAAGACCATGTTCCTGACAGTGTGAATATTGGGCTACAGTCTGGTCTTGCTCAAGCGTTCCATGTTTCTGGGGCCAGCAAACCTGCAGACAACATGACTGACTTGAGTTAGGGATCAAAGGCTTGACCCAAAGCCCCTAAAAATGAAAGGCAATGTTTGAATCAGGGCTTAAATGCAATGACACACACACACACAAAAAAGAATTGTGAACTCAACAAATTGACAATAGCTTAATGGAGATCATCCAGTCTCCAGCTAGCATGGATATCCTGAAAGGATTTGTTTGTTTAGTACTTTAGTTGGAATATTAAACAGAGATCTAATGGTCCATCAGTGTTATTTAGATAACCCAGCATATCATTATGTTTGGCATATTTTCTGCTGGTTATGGCTTTATCCATTGCCAAAATGTCAAGCCACGTTGATATAGTTATCAACCACTCTTCAGACAATCTGAGAAGAGTCTCCACTGATTTACTGTCATTTTACTTAATTTGAAATGTAAAGATTTTTGAATGATCCTTTTATTAATTGTTTAATTTCAAGTATCATCTAGACCTTTGTTAGGGGGCAAAAAACAGCATTTCTGAATAAAGCATATTTTGGAAAGTCCTGCAGGAAAAGGAACCTATTAAATGAAGCATAAAATACTGACAGGATGGACTTCCATCTCTGCTCTGTTTCACACAACCATATCATTATAATTATCTCAAGGTGGAGGCTGGTGAGAGAAAATAATGTTATACAAGAAAAATAATTTCAGATTATCCCATTCCATAGATTATATATTGGTTAGAGACTGGTCTTCAGTAACTGTAAAAGCCAGTGTTATTTTGTTCACATAAAACTCTTTCCCATTCCAATAAATTATTGGGGAATAAGGAGCTCACCTAAAATATCAAATGCTCTCTGAACTGCCCTTCTGTAGGGGGATAGCAGAGCCCAGTATAAGTAGTCTTATAAATTATCAAGGAGCAACAGGAAAGCAGAGAAACAAGTAAAAGCAGCGCAATTAGCTAACTGTGGGAATAAGAGGCGGTTGGTTGCTTATCCATATGGTAACATGAAAAAGTGACAACACAAGATGTATAACTCTCTAATATGCTCTTACTGTTTCTTTCTGTTGTGTGTTCAATGAACTGTAGGGAGGATCACTATCATTCATGAGCTGTGACTCAATATCAAGATCTTACTGTATAAAAATGAAGGTTGTGGTTACTTTTTATTTTTTATTAATCTTATTTTGCCTGTGCTTCCATTATCTAGTTTGTCCAAATGAGTTCTTCCTGTGACATCATCTCCAAATGCTGGGAGACCATTTCTCTTGCTTTGTATATATGTGATTGCTGTGGACACACCCTGTACCACTGTATAAATAACAATACTGAAGTAATCGAGTCTAGTTTTCTTGATGTCTTAAAGCTATTGAGTGTTGGAAATTAGGGTCTTCAACTGTTTGTGTACACTTAAGGCATTGTTCAGTTAAAGAAATAAATGTGGCATTTATGCAAATAGTGGACACTCTGTTCTTGACCTCTGGCTTGTTCTCTTAACCAAATGTTGTATTGTTTCATCAAAACAAAGCATTCTTTTTTGGGGGGGGGTTAAATTCAGAAGTAAACAAATATGGAAAGTACTATTTTCCCAGTTCGTACAAGAGAGCTTTCCTTTAAATATTCTGTGCCTATAACGTTGATGGCCAGTTGGTGTCCATGCCCTATAGGCCACATGCCAGGTGAGAAAGGTACTCTTCTTATGCACAGAAGACAATTTTATCTTGCCCTAAGCAGCCCCACCAAATTTTATCAAAGGTACACACTTTTTTTAACCTTCAAATTGTTTTCAGAAGTCATGAGAGTGATATTCTACACGTTGGTGTTATTTTAAAGATGTCCAGCGATCTCCAACATGGCTTACAACTTATTAACACAACATATGACTCGCCAAAGCAGTTAAGACAATAATTTATTTTATTTAGAACACTTCCATTGTGTCGTTCACCCATGGTCAGCAAATGCACAATAAGCAGCACAATTATATATTATATAGACTATCTTAAAAGGAGAAAAAAAGAAAGAATGATATTACTAGTGTTAAAAATTGGGGCAAAGTAACTTTAAAACTGGCACTTAACATTAATGTGGTCAGCAGGCAAACATGTCTGGGGAGGACATTCCATATTGACAGAAAAGGTCTTGTCCCTGGTAGGCACTCACATAAACTTATGAAGGTGGGGAACACCCAGACCAGAATTTTTGCTGACAATCTTAATACATAGGCAGATGCATATGAGAGGTGGACTCTCCTAGTTCCTGGCTATGTAATATGTGACCCAATGTGGGTCAGAGCAAGCCTGGAGAATGGAGGATGACAGGGAGATGAAACAACAGGGAGATGAAAGAAAGGAGGAAAGACAGCTAACTAGGGCAAAAGGAGAAGAGGAAGCATGGGGGTTATCAGAGCAGTTGTGGCCTGATGAAGACTTACCTCTTTCAACATGCTTTTTAAGTTGACTCTTTCAGAGTCTGCATCTGTGTTGGAATTGTTTTAAATATGTTACTGTTTTGTTGCTTGTTGTTTGCCACGCTGGGCTCCTTTGGAAGGAAGGGCAGGAAATAAATTTAATAATAAATAAATAAAAGCACATGCTCTACCACTGAGCCTATGGACCACTTTGTCAATATTAAATATCACCCCAACCCTATGGACCACTTTGTCAATATTAAATACCCCTCCAACCCAACATCACAGGACACCATTCCTTGCAGCCTATGGCACCTCTGGATAAGCTGAAAGACATAGCGAGCAAATATTTTTTCTAACCACAATTCACTTAATGTAGGCTGGGTGGACAGTTGCAAAAGAGTACAGGGCTCTGTTAGAGTAGACCAAAGATCTGTCTTATTCAACATTCTTTTTCCGACAGTGGCCAAGTAGGTGATACAAGAGCTACTTCGATTCCCTCTTCTACACAACTACTAATGGTGCAGTAGCAATGTCTTATTTTGCCTCTAGCTGCCCAGCTAGAGCAAAGATGGGAAAAAGGTAGATCGGAATTACTGACCGATCTCTGTGAGAATTCCAGTTCATCAGCAAAGATTTTGAGTCTTGATCGGTCAAAACCAAAATGGGCTTCTCGCCTTCTCAATTAGGTTGCTGAGATTCCCGTATACTCTGCATCCTGTGTTCTCCCACCATTAGGGGCCTTAGCTACACTTCTCCTTGCCTTGTCCTGTGCTTAGAAAGCACTTTCCCACTTGTCTCGTGCTTTTAGGCACTGATCCATAGGTGTCAACGTTTCCCTTTTTTAAAGGGAAATTCCCTTATTCCGAATAGGATTCCTCGCAAGAAAAGGGAAAAGTTGACAGCTATGCACTGATCCCAGCGGCTATGCCTTTGCCGCCACCTCCCCCCCCCCACAACACTGGCTTTTTATCCTTAAATCAGGTCTCATACCATCCACACTTCCTCTTGCCTTGCTCAAGCATCATCTAGTGGCAGCTTCATATTGTTACAAAGAAGTAACCAATCCATCCCGGAGGCGGGGGGAGGAGTTGTTTCAAAGCACACCTGTGGAAGATCATTAATTTGACCTACACGGTCGTGTCTCTCTTAGAAAGCTAACATGAGGGGCAAGATCCCCCGCCCCGCAGAAGCCTCGTCCTCTTGGTGCCCGGTCAATATTTTTCCGCCTCCCGCTATTGCAAAAAAGCATCTCACTGCAGGGTAGAAAAGTAGCAGAACGCGGCGCGTCATCAGAGCGTTCGAACGAAAAACTGGCGGGCCCGCCCCTAAGGATGATTGGCAGGCGCCAACTCCTCCTTGATCCCTGAGCCATAGGAATAACGGAGCCTGACTTACAACCTTCTAGTCCCGCCCTCCAGAGCGGCTGGCCTATGAAAAGGCCCGCGTTTCTTTTGGTTGTTTTTTGGCGAGGGTGCTTTAGCCACGGAGCGATTAGCCGAGGGAGGCGAGCAGCCAATGAGAGCTCCGCCTCACGTCGGTGATTGGCATCCAAGTGGGCCTTTGCGAGTGGAGGAGGAGGAAGAGGAGGTCGCCGCGGCTCGGGCCGGCCGCCGCCGAGTGCGAGGCTGGATGGATCTGTTCGGGGACCTTCCCGACGCGGCCCCTTCGGCAGCTGTGGAGGCGGTGGCAGGTAAGCGCCCCGGGCGCCCTTCGGGGCCTGGACTTCGCCGACCGCTTGGCGGAAAGGAGCCTTCGGCTGTCGGCCTCAGGAGCCGGGCTGGAGCTTAGCCGCCCGCCCTCCTTCCCTTCCCGGAGCCTTGAATTCGCCTCATTTCTTGGCGGGGAAGGGAAGGCGCCGCCTGCACTCGGGGCCACCTGCGCAGCCATGGTCCCTTCGAAGAGCGGCCAAGGCCCCAGGTGGGCGCATGCACGGGCTGTGTTGTTTTTTTCATGCCCAGGATTAGCCCCGCTTTGCTAAACACGGTGCAGCACGCATGCGCGTGTGAACTCGTACACGGATGCACGCGTCGCGTATTGACACCGGGATGCGCGCACGCGCGTCCTTTTCTTGGGTGAAAGCCCTAGCGCGCACTCACACATACACACGCATGGGTAACGGCTTCCGAGGTACTGTAATTGCTGCTGCTTCCGTGACTTTCCAGTACTGTATTGTTTTGACTGTTAGCTGCTAGGAAGGGAGGAGGAGCAACTGATTCTGCCCCCAGGGGAATGGTTATTTTTTTAAAAAGAAAGAAGTCAATCTGTCCCTTGTGGTCACATGTTCTCAAATTGATATCTGTTGTTGTGTCTCTTTATTTTTTAGGGAAAGAAGGGCAGAAAGGAATTTTGCTTTTTGATGAACTTCCGTCAGTCAGCAGCACTGACTTTGGTATGATTCTTGTATACATCGTGTCTTTCACTGACTAGCATGGTCATCTCCTTTTCCTCCTTTTGTTTTGTTTGTTAGGCCCTTATGTAGTGATGTGCCCTCCTTATGCCTCAGGGGAAGACTAGCAGGCACTCTTAATCCTCTTCATGTATGTAACTTGCTTTGAGAAAAGAAGGACACCATTGCTCCTTTGAGAAAAGCAGGACACCATTGTTCCTTGACTAATGTTTTTCTTTATGGCAGTTCTTCAAGCCATATGTACTCTTTGTCCCAGCCCCAACTTACTACATGTATGTCGAAACTCCATCACAAAGTGGGCCTTTACACCTGGGCAAGAAGTTGTGTTTATTATTTATTAATGTGCATTCATTACTTGCTATGTAAAATGTCTCCAGGTGACTTTCAGTTGTAAATTTTTTTAAAAAAAATACAAGTTAAAACATAAAAAGAATAAAACAGCTATTTACTCAAAAGTGCTCATCCTGCAATATTATAGAAAAAAACAAATCCTACCCTGGCCCACTAAAAGCTTGAACACCACAATACACTAGTGCAGGGCCTTTGATCCTCCAGATGTTGCTGAACTACAACTTCTGTGAGCCCCAGACAGAAATGGTGGGCATTTTAGTTCAGTAATGCCTGGAGGCTAAAAATTTCCCAAAATGTGGGTAGGGTATCATCATATATGGTCCCAACTAAGAACCAAATGCCTGAGTAAACAGGAACATTTTTGACTGGCACTTAAAAGTGAATAATGATGGATATAGTTGCTGCTTCTGGCTGGGGGGGTTCTCTGACTCAAGGTGCCTGTAGGATTGGGAAGATGCTGTGCTGATGTCCCAACTGTGATTTACCCCTTGGCTGAACCCTGTCTCTTTGTTTAGCATGGGCGCCATTCCTGTATCACAGGGCCTTGACCATCCAAGCCTGCATTTGTAATGTGTAGCTACATGCCTAAGTTTACTTTTGTTCTTCGGCTTGCTACACAAGCAGCATTTCTACATCGCACTCAGGTTTACCAGTAGAGTGATTACAGAGACATTGCTGATAATACAAAGGCTGGTTGCTGTAGAACAGACATTTTAGCTTGGCAGTGCTGTTTTATAGATTGTGTGTTCTTTATGAAACTATCTGAGAAATCTGTTTGCTCTGGGACCTGGATTCTGGACACATGTTTCCTTGTGTTTTAGGAACTGGAGGCTCTTTGCTTTTTGACGACCTCCCACCTGCCAGCAGCGGAAACTCAGGTGAGCAGTAGTCTCAACATTTCTGTCTTGCTGTTGATTGCACTGCTGTAATAGGATCACACCTGAGAATGAAACATGCTTGAGTGCTTCAGAAGTTGGTTAACTGAAGGGCTTCATCAAATAGTCACAGGTGAACATTTTCAGGCTCAAAAGTAGTGGTTTGAAGGAGGTGGATTGTTCCCTCCACACCACACCCTCTTTGTCTCTTCAGCTCTTGTGTGTTGGCTGTTCACTTCCCCGCTGGCAACTGCTTTGGTACCATCTTTTATTGCTGTTGATACTAGAGCTTCCTCTAGCTAGGATTATATAAAGGGGAAATCAAGGGTGGTGTAGCCAGTGTTACAGCATAATTTGGCCCATCTCATCTGGCTGCATAATCCCAGCCAGTCAGGGATTGTGTACTCTGTCACAGTATCACTTGAGTAAATGACTCGGATAAATAAAATAACTGACCAACATTTTGTTCCTCAGCTTCACATCCTGCAGAGCAAGTTTCTCTTCCCGTGAGCCATGGGAAGGGAGAGAAGAGGAAATCCACGGAGGGAGAGAAGAATGGGAGTGAAGAACTTGTGGAAAAGAAAGTTTGTAAAGGTTTTCAGACACTCTGAAGCCACATATTTTCTATTCTACTGCTGCCTTAAATTAGGGCAAAAGTGAGATTGCTTCCTGTTGTGATCATTCTTAGGAATGAGCAGGGGGAGGAGTATAAGATGCTCATGAACAAATGTCTCACCTCTGCAGAGTTTCCTGCTTTTAAGGGTATTCTTGTTTCCTTGCAGACACTATTGTGTCTGTATTATATCGGTAAGCCATGTTTCCTCCAAGGAGCGAAGGACAATGTATGTATCTGTTACCCCCTCTTCTCCTCAGAACAACTTTGTGAGAGAGGCTGGTGGTGGTAGCTTTTTCATGACAGTTCTGGGTTGCTTTTCAGGCAGCTGAGTCCTCAATGTGGCTCACAATAACAAGGTGCTGTGCACAATTCAAAACAAGAATTGCCTAATAAGATGAATGAGGATCTGAAGACAGGCCTGTGTCCATGTCTCTTTATCCACTGCCACGAAAGCTTTTTTTCTTGGTGCTCTTTGCAACATGGCCTAACTGCTGCCATGCCATACAGCCTCCATCTGTTTCCTCATCTGCCTCGGGTAGAAGGCTTCTTAGATTATCCAAGCTAACCTAGAGTGTAGAAGCAAAAACATCTTTCGATCTCCCAACTGAATTGTAATGTGGCAACAGTGGCATGACGGGAGTCACATCTGCTTCTGTTCACATCAACTGCATTTGTAGAAATCCCAGAAGTGTACCATGTTGACGTATTCTCTGGTGCACCTGATCAAGCTGTAGCTGTTCAATCTAGTGCTGTGGCTAACACAGTAATGCCACAAGGTTTAAAAATTAAGAATATTCAGAGGGTTCTAACCCCAGTTGAACAGCTTTTTCGTATTAGAATGTATTCTGCCAGCAGATTCTTTTTGAATGTGAATACAACTTGGGAATGTTCCTACATTGCCTTGAATGGTGCTTTCAGTCTTTTGTTTTATTGGCATTGCTAGTGTACTCTTAATTGGTGTGTTCTATTCTATAATGTTGCTGTCTGGTAGTCTAGTTAAAGCTTTACATGTAGTTTGTTACCAAGAGGTTTTCAGAATGATACTGTCCTAAGCAAAATGGCCACTTAATGGGATGTTGTGCAAAAGAGAGCTCAAGGATTGAATCTTGTGTGTATCTTTTGCTTTCTTTTTAGATTCTGCGGGTATCCTTGGTCTGAAGGGCTACGTGGCAGAGAGGAAGGGAGAGCGAGAAGAGATGCAGGATGCCCATGTCATTCTGAATGATATCACAGAAGAGTGCAGCCCCCTCCCCTCTCAGATGTGAGTATTATATTTGCATATTATCATATTGACTCGTGTGTGTGTGTGTCCTAGTCCTACTTTGTGCTGAATAACCTGTTTTGCGATATGTGGGCAATAATTTTAAAGTTGCTTTCCAGTTGATTTGGTGTCTGGAAATAGTGTTTTCCTTTTTGAAATGTGTTATGCCAGCAATGGTTATTAGACATATCTATATAATAAATTAGCTCTGGTGTTGGAGATGGCATGCCTTTGAGTGGGGAACACTGTTGCCCTTAGGCCTTCTTTCTGGGCTCCTAGAAAACATTTGGTTGGCCATTGTGGGCACAGAATGCTAAACTAAATGGGCAGTTGGTATAACTCGGTGCGATTCTTCCTGTTCCTATTGAACACACACATTCACACCTCAATGCACCTTTCCTCACAGATGTAATTCTGGGAGATACAGCAGAAAATTGGGCCCAAGTTATCCTAAAAGAGCACGTCAGATATTTGCTTTCCATCCTTTTTATTCTGTATTCTTCTAAAGAGGCAAGATCTCTATTTGTGTAACTGTTAAGATTCTACCAGTGGCATTGGAAAACCTAGGATCTGGGTCCTTGTTGATACTGGGGGCTGCTTCACACATTGACAAATTCATAATTTAAAGAGAAATGTGAAACCTGTACGTAGGCAATCCATGTCGGCAATGAGGACCCTGTTGCCCTGTTCATGGACTGCAACTCCGGTAATCCCTGACCATTGGCCATGCTGGCTGGTGCTGATGTTGGGAGTCGAACAGCATCTGTTAAACACCAGATTGCCTATCCTTGTGGTACATGGATGAGGGAAGGTTGTGCTTTTTGCAGATCCGCTAGTGATGCAAGTTCAGCACATTGTCAGTTTCTTGGCCGCTTCCAGAGAATGGGGTCAATCTTGTCTTCCTTTACAGTACCCGTGTCTCATACTTTGCTGTCTTTGATGGCCATGGAGGAGTTCGAGCTTCAAAGTATGCAGCACAGAACCTGCATCAAAACCTGATCAGAAAATTCCCTAAAGGTAAAATTGGGGGTTGGGGAGTGCAGTGTGTGTGCAGTATCATTCTCTGGGGTTTCCTGCTTGCTGAGCACTAGTTTTAAAGCAGTGTAGCTGCTGCTGCTTGCTCAGAAGAAACTAACTTTGTGCTTGTTTGGGTACACAATGCCCAGTACTTTTATCAGCTGCGCTGGCTCCCAATCCGTTTCTGGACCCAATTAAAACTCCTGGTTTCAATTATTTGTTTTCCTTTAAATTGTATCCTGCCTTTATTCCCCCTTAAAAGCCAAGTTGGCACACATGTGACTGCAGGGTGGCCTCTCACTCAGGCATTGGACAGACCCAGGCCTGCTGAGCTTCAACACAGTGTCCCTTCACACCATAGTCCTGGGGTCCTGCTTAAGCCCTAAAGAAATTGGAGCCAGGCTATCTGAAGGAGTGCCTTATCTAACATATATTTAACCAAACTATGACATTGCCTTCAGAAGTCCTATTCTGCAGTCCTGTCCTGTGGCAAGTGAAGGATGGTGGGTGGCCTCTAGGGAGACAGCCTTCCTTGCAGGGACACCCCAGTTGCAAAGTGCCCTCCCTGAACGGTTAATCTGAATTGCAGATTTTCATTTATTTCATAAAATTTATACACCGCTTGATTGTAAAGAAAAAACTAACAACAACCCTCAAAGCAGTTTACAAAAGGATAAAACCAAAAAATCAGAGGGGGAAATTCAATATCTTAAAACATACAAGAAGTTAAAATACTAAAACAGATTAAAGTTTTAAGCATCTGGGTAGGCTTGGCCAAACAGGAATGTTTTTAGCAGACACTGGAAATTAGTATTTTAGTCATAATACATTCTGTAAGCAACATTTCAGGTAATCCTGAGCAAGAATTTTGATTTGTCTAGCACAGAATATGTTTTGAGGGAAGTAGCTAATCACTTCTTTCGTGTTCATAACAGGAGATGTGCCCAGTGTTGAGAAAACAATAAGAAGATGCCTTCTGGACACCTTCAAATACACCGATGAGGAGTTTCTCAAGCAGGCTTCCAGCCAGTAAGTGTAAACTTTCCAGGTATATAGGCCAGGCATAGGCAAACTCGGCCCTCCAGATGTTTTGAGACTACAATTCCCATCAGTCCTGGCCACTGGTCCTGCTAGGGATCATGGGAGTTGTAGGCCAAAAACATCTGGAGGGCCAAGTTTGCCTATGCCTGATAAAGGCATTGTGTTAAGCGTAATTGGGACTGTATTGCTTCAGAAAAGATGTTTGCATGTTTCCCCTTGTCAGATGTTCCCTACAGATGAGAAAGAAAGTTGTCAAGTAGTGTTAAAACAAAGCCACCTTCATAACCCTCCCCCTTTTTGCTCCTGCAGAGCCAGTGTGGTATAGTAGTTAAAGTGTCAGACTAGGACTTGGGTTCAGATGCCTACACACTTCCACTCACCTTAGGCCGGTCACTGTCTCTCAGCCAAACCTACCTCACAGGGTTGTTGTGGGAATTAATTGAGGCGGTGAGAACCATTTTCCACCTTGAGCACCTTTGGCAAAAAAAAAGTGGGCTATAAATGCAATAAATAAATAATAATTTGATAACTATTTTTCCATTGCAGGAGTCTTTGTGGGTGGGTGTATACATACTCAGTTGTACACTCCTTCATGTGAACTCAACCATTTCAAAATGCAAGGGGGGCTATAGCACAGGTGTGTTCTTAAACTTGTGAGTGGTCCATTAATCCCCCCTCTTTTTTGCATTGGGCTTTCAGTCTCCATAATTGTGCAGCATGACTCTTGGAACAATTTGGAACTTGCTTGAACTCACTTTTTTGTTTCCACTTTCTTGTGCTTACAGGAAACCTGCCTGGAAGGATGGCTCCACAGCAACCTGTGTGCTGGTGATTGATAATACTTTGTATATTGCCAACCTTGGAGACAGCAGGGTAAGCAGCACTAGAAGTTGTGGGTCCAATTTCAATACATTTTTCTTGTTACTGAGTGACGCTAATCTTTTCAGTTCCACCAAAAGATGCTGTAGCAGCTGTACCTTAGCACTGTCATTACCTTGCAATATGTCCACCAAATTTAGTTGTTGGGAGGAAATGTGCTTTGGAGCAGCTCTGTGATCCATTGGATTTTCTTGGTGAACTCTAGATGGCGTTAAAGACTCAGTGGTGTTGTCTTTCCATCAATTTTTAAGATGTTCTCAGCTCAAGCCAATTTCAGGCTCTGGCCATTTTGTGTTTTAAATTTGTTGTTAGCCACCCTGAGCCCAGTTTTCTGAACCAGGAAGGGCGGGGTATAAATAAAAATTATTATTATTATTATTATTATTAGTGAGGCTGGAGCCATGCAATAGAGTGACACTACTTAACTTAGAAATTGGGACGCGGGTGGCGCTGTGGGTTAAACCACAGAGCCTAGGACTTGCCAATCAGAAGGTCAGCGGTTTGAATCCCCGTGACGGGGTGAGCTCCTGTTGCTCGGTCCCTGTTCCTGCCAACCTAGCAGTTTGAATGCACGTCAAAGTTCAAGTAGATAAATAGGTACCGCTCCGGCGGGAAGGTAAACGGTGTTTCCATGCACTGCTCTGGTTCACCAGAAGCGGCTTAGTCATGCTGGCCACATGACCCAGAAGCTGTACGCCAGCTCCTTCGGCCAATAAAGCAAGATGAGTGCCACAACCCCAGAGTTGGTCACGACTGGACCAAATGGTCAGGGGTCCCTTTACCTTTACTTAGAAATTGTTTAAGGGTTTGCTTAATGGAAAGTTGTATCCTATATTGCCCCAAGCAGAGACTTGCAATCCTTGCTACTTGCTCATGCGGGTTCTTCTGTCAGTGCAGGCGCTTCTGTGTCGCTACAATGAAGAAAGTCAGAAACATACAGCCTTAAGTCTCAGTAAAGAACATAACCCAACTCAATACGACGAGCGGATGAGGATCCAAAAGGCTGGAGGGAATGTCAGGTAACAGGTTTCTCTTCTCTTCCTCCAATAGCCCTTCAGCAACATTTGGGTTTTTTAGCTGCAAACCACCCCCCTCTGGCCGCCCAATGTAAATGCTCATTTGAACTGTGGAAAATTCTTATTAACTGTTAGCTGTAGACTATGTGAGGTGGCTTTTTTATTTTGTTAGAAGCCATCATTTAACTACCTATGTGGATAAATGTTAATAGTTGAAATAAGTTAGTGTTTTCCTAGCTATATAGAGTATGAATATGAACTGGTATTGTATTTATTGGTGGGGTGTATAAAGAATGTGACTCTGTAAAAATGACAATTCATCTGACCTTGGGAGCACACAGGGCCCTTTAACTGCTGGCCAGATAGCTTTAATCCAGCTGCTCAGATGTCAAACTCTCTTCTTAATGAGACCAAGTGATTCTTACCAAAGGTGCTGTTGAGTCATTGCATGATAAAAACAAAGGTGCTGCTGTGACTTTGAAAATATTGTTGCCATGTGGTGGAGCTTCCTTCTAACTAGTTCAGCCAGTGGTACATAGAGCCAAGTGCTGTTGCTCTCTGAAAGGCAATAGCTTTCCAGGTTCTCAAGCAGAAATATTTCTCAGCTCTTGCTTCCTGAGATCCCTTTAAAGAGTGGCTGAGAACAGGGAAATGACAGGGTTGAATGTAGCTCCTTATACTTGAAAAGCATGCACATGTTGCCACTTGGTCTCCTAATGAAGATTTTTTTCTTGAATTTCTCAGAGAAAGTCCTGCAAGGGCACATGGGAGTGTGCCATACTGAACAAGTTCAACCAAATTTTAAGTAAATGCATAACTAGGGCAGGTGTTCAGATTATATTAACAAATTAACATCCAAGTGCCAATTTGTGATCAAAACATATTGCTTTCTTTTGAGTTCTATAATTATACGGTAAAGTTGCAAAAGGAATTGTATAGACTACTTGTGAAGCATCTAGCTAGAGTCCGTAGTAAACTGGATTCACCTTGGTCCCAAATACTTCTAGCTCAGAAGTGGGGAACCCTTGGCCCTCCAGGTGCTGTTGGAATATCTCTCCCATCTTCTCTGAACGTTGGCAGTGCTGCGTGGGACTGCTGGGAGTTGAGCTCGCAACAACACCTGCAGGGCCACGGGTTCCCCATCCCTGTTCTAGCCTGACAACTTTGGGGATTAAACCCAGTGACATGATGAAATAGGCTCTCTCTCCCCACTTTTGTAGGGAAGGACGTGTCTTGGGTGTCCTGGAAGTCTCTCGCTCCATTGGGGATGGGCAGTACAAGCGCTTTGGGGTCATCTCTGTGCCAGATGTCAAGCGCTGCCAGCTTACACACAACGACAGGTAAAACCTGACACAAGTACACAAATGCAGAGAATACAAGTGGGCTTTCTTTAGAATAAACCATTAAATCACTCCTTGTGTTCTGTTTTGTTTCTAGGTCCTAATCCCCCCACCCCCCATAAAACTTATCACTTATTGCTCTTCCAGGTTTATCCTCTTGGCTTGTGATGGTCTCTTCAAAGTCTTCTCACCAGATGAAGCTGTGAACTTCATTATGTCTTGTTTGGAGGTAAGGGGAAGATAGGCTTGAGTGAGAAGAGACAGGGCTGCTTGTTAGGAAAGGAATATGGAAGAGGAACTCACTCTTGTTCTTTGGCTGGCATGTAAGACATCCACTTGATGGGTTGCGTGCCCTGATTCAACCAAGCAGGGACCATGTAAACTTTAATATATGTCTAGTTGCTGTTTCAGGTGGGAAGTGGGCAGAAGAGAGATGGTCCCTCTGTCCCCATAGCAGCAGGTGGCAGCGGGGCTTGTGGCGAGTTTACAAAAACACCAAAACATTCCTTTCAGATGACAGTGCAGGTAGCTAATTGCAAGACTGAGTAGAGGCCCTTTTCTGAGTGTTTCTGTTTAAATGAGATGGTTTGCTGTGAAGGAAAGAGCCCCTTCACTGGTGACTTCCCAGCTGTGGAATACCTTCCCCAAGAAAGACTCCATTGACGTCTATGTTGTGGCCTTTTCAGAGCCAGCTGAAGACATTTATACACCACCCCCCCAGCTTCCTAGTTCTAAAGCCACATTTTTAGTGCTTAATAGATACTTGGCACTACTGTATCCTCGGCTGCTGATTTTACTTTTATTACAATACTTTTTAAAAAAAGTGTTTCTAACTTTATGTCCATGTTTGTACTTTATAGTATACCAGGGGTTGTGGGTGTTGAAAAGTCCCTATACTTCCCAGGTGATTTTTTGTGAACGAATGATATACAAACATTGTAAATAATTAGAAGTTACTCTGGGAATGAGAGACATGGGCACTGAAGTGCTCTCAGCAAATTAAGTGAAAAGAAACTACCCCGCATTTGTGTATTCTGCTTCCCAACAGGACAAAACTATTCCCACGAGAGATGCCAAATCAGCTGCTGATGCTCGGTATGAAGCAGCCTGTAACAGGCTGGCCAACAAGGCTGTGCAGCGAGGCTCTGCAGATAACGTCACAGTTGTGGTGGTCCGGATTGAGCAGTGATGCCGAGAATAGGTGCAAGTGAGGTCCTTAGCAGCATGCAGTGGATTTAATGGAACAAGTTAGTGTGCCTGTGAGTGTGTATGTGTGTATGTAGGGTTTCGGTTGTGTTTCCGCCCCTGAATGCTCTTTATTTGTAAATAAAAGGGATTTTTTTCTAACTGTTCAAGTTGGTTCATTGTTTCATAGAATCACAATTGGATGGAATGGGGCTGTCTAATCCACCGAGTGAACTTCTTAGATAAAATAGTGTACAGTTGATGCTCATAGTGCTTGACTTGCACAAGGCACCTTGTTTTTTGTATTCCAGCACCTTAAGCACAAAATACATGCATTTTGTGCTGGTTCCGTAGAGGAAGGAAATGATGTATTGAGCTTCTGAGTTAAAAGATGCTCCAGAGTTCAAAACAGTTCAATACAGCTTGAGAGAACTAACTATGCATTCGTAGTTGCCTTTCAGGAATTTCCCTTTCAGGCAGTTGTAATAATCCATCTGGAGTTTTAAAAAGCGGCTGTAAATTTTGCATGGAAATTGCTAAAAGAGGATCACACAGGAAAGTTTTTGGAGTGTGATCTCACACCAAAACCCACTGGATTGCTCTCTGCACCTCTTTAAAGGGGATACTCTTGCTATTGGCAAAAGGTAGGTATCAAAAGCTAAACTTAAAAAGCTGGTGAAAAGCTGGTATGTACCTTGGTTGTCATCTGTCAATAGAAAGTAAAGGTTGTGCACAGTTGTACCGGTATACTCACTCCTGAGTAAATGGGAATACACCAGGCTCTTCGTAGTAGAATCTACATCTGGTATGTGATCAGATGGGGATAGAAAAGTAAGCCACACTTTTGTGATGCTGAGACTTGTATGTGACGTTTTTGGGAAGAGGGGTCTAATATTTTTCATAGCAAATAAGGGCTATGTCATTATGAGTTTAAAAGGTTGCAGTTTGCAAAAGATGAAACACGAACTCTGGGAGGTTTTTAAGGCTGCTTTATAACTGCATCTACATGACTTGAGGTTTCTACACTGAGTCACTGGCCCTTAAATGAGCCGACTCTGGGCAAGCGATGGCACACACGCTTATGCAAGTTGCCACTTGATGTTTTCAGTCAAGTGGTGAGCATGTTTGAGTTCAGTCACCAGATGTCCTCTGTGATCATAGATCTGTTGTCTTAAACAGTTCATAGCAGTTGCTTTAGCAAAAGAAGCCAATTAATACAAGGGAAAGCATATATTTTTTAATTAGAAACTGTCTTGAAAACAATCCATTATAATTTACAGAAAGTACACCATGGTGCAACAGTTTGTGTCAGTGCATGCACATACACTCAGCCAATCAGAACGAAAGATAAACAGACGTCTGAGAATGCAAGAACAGCTCTAAAACTAAGGGTGGGTGGTACGTGTGACCTTCTCCAGCATCGCAAGTCTATGAAAAAACACCACTTTTTCTCTTACAGCCTTGGTTATTTTGTATATTCCTTCTCTAAGCAAATAAAATGCATTTAACAGCAAGTGCATAAATATATTTCTTAATATAGTGCAATAAATAGACCTGCTTATAATGGAAGCTTCAGTGGGAAGGCTAATGCTGACTGTGCTGCTGGGCAGGGCACCACCTTGCCCTTATCAGGCCGTGTGGCATTTCCAAAGTGAAAAGGGGTGGGTGTATACGGTTTACTGAGAATTTGCCTTTTCTAAAACCTAACAACTTAATATTTGGCTGCCCAGAATCCTTTTCAGTATGCTCTGCCTCTTAAGAATTTTTTTGGCTTGGAGGGAAATAAACTTTCCCTGTTCCTTATTCTTTGAGAGGAAAAAGGAATGAAGAGCAAGGGGAGAGAAGCTTACTTGTCAGTGTTACTCTATATTAAAACGAATCCTTCATGTAGAAAGATTCAGCTATCAAGAACTCCTTGCTAGATTTCTTGATGCAGTCAGTTTTTCCACAGCACTATGTACTGACTGAAACATGGCTTTCTGCATTCTGAACTGTCCTATTTTAAACTGATCTATTTAAACTGATCTTGTAAGAAATTATCGAAGAAACAAATCTTGTTGAAGCAGAGGTGGTGCTCCCTTATGAAAATTTCCACGATGACTTGCAGGGACTGATTATATAAAATAGAGCAGCTGGGGCAACCTGTTACACAAGTAACTTCTCAGGCTAAAATAGATAAGGGTATGTGTTCATCCCACACAGGAGCAGTTCTAATGCCTGCCTACGTGCCCAAGGTTACAATAATAGTAGAAGAGGGTGGTGCTGCATTCGCAATTCTTGGATATCGTACTTTAGGGTGTACACAGCCTCAGAGAAAATAAGGACAGTTACTAAGAAATGGAAATAACCATCTCTTCCCTCGTCACGTAGTTAGGTTCAAAATAAGTGGCACTAAAGCTGGGCGCTCTGTCCGTTGGGCTTCATGCTAAATGGACAGTGCAATCTAATTGACCTAAGGCAATAGAAAACCTCTGGCTAACAGTGGACTCAATAAATAGCCTACCATCTCTTCTCTTTCTTTTTAAAACCCTGCTCTAAATATGGTAGCCAATCTACCCACCGTTAATTGAAAGTTAGCAATGGATGTTGAGCACCATGCAGCACAAAGCAATAGGCAAATTCTGCTTGTGGTTGAGGAAGTCACCAGGCAGGCAGAAAATCAACAAAAGTTAGCACTTTTAACTTAGAAGACTTATGAACCAATGAGATAGTAAAAGATATTCCAAAAAATATATAATCCTTTGCTAAGGCTTTTCTGTTGAGCACAAAACAGCATGTATGCTTCCATGAAGAACCTAGTTTTTGAGAACCACTGCAAACAGATTGCGTAATTTTTAGCATCAAACAACAGACATTCAGGAATAGGAGGAACTTCTAGGTGAGTTGCATCAACCCCGTTAACACTTGATGCTTCCTTTTATAAGTTGGTTCAGCATCCTTTTAATCAGTTTTACTAGATGCTGGGCCATTTTTCTCAAATCCAATTCTTCACCTTGGTATGCTTAACCAGTAAACAGCAGTGGAGGTTTGCAAGCTTTGCATCAACAGCTATAGTGCTTTGTTCTGGTGCTTACCAGCTCCAGGCACTTGATTGAATGAGAAGAATGTAGCATGGGGGCTGAGGAAAAGCAAGGTTTCACCTTCAGAATACGGTAGTTGGCTGTGAGCCAATCAAATCCCCAAGAGGACGGCACCAAAGTCAGACCCACTTCGAACAGTGAGGGTGGATCCTGTTGCATTGTCTACAAAAACTGAAGCATACTGGCCAGCCTGGAACAGAGAAGATAAAGGTGGGTAAGCAAAGCAAGACAGATTTCTATGCCAAAATTGGTGCCGTCCCTCGGATTGTTCAGATATACCTAGTGCCTATGCTACCTTTTAAAGAGGCTGCATACTTTGCTTGTAGCAAATTGTTTTATAATTTCATGCTAAAGGCCTCCAGTTACTCAACAGCTATAGGGAAGCCTGCGTTTAATAGCTGTTGCCAGCATTTTTTATTCAGGAGAGAACAAAATGCAGATGTTTTGCCATATTTGTGTCACGAAGCACTGCTGGTTATGACAACATGTTACAACTTTCCTTCATGGCTTTTACTCACCTGCAGGAATAGAATTCCATGGATTGAAACTGTGAAATGTTCATTGTTTCTGTCCAACCTGCTCACTGTTTCCAGAGAACTGAAAGCAAAAGACACTTCATCAACATGAACAGTCTTAGAAAATAACAGGGTAGGCCATCCACCACTTTAATTGATGAATGGTGGGTACACTGGAAAGAGTTAGGTTTGGATGTGGGTGAGTGGGTCAGAATCCTCATTCATCAGTGTTCACTGTGTATCATTTGGACTAGTTCAGGAGTGCGGCCAGATCCTTCATCCTACCCTGGACCAACTTTAGCACCTGTCAAAGTTCAAAGAGGCTCATTGTAATCCAGTGAGCCCCTCTGAAGTCAGCTTGCAGGTATAGTTTGGATTCAGACCTCCTCCGCAAGCAGTTACTAGTTGCTTAGCATATAACCAGCCCAATAAGTTTGCTTGGAGAGTAAGAATATATATGAAAATCTATGTATATTCAGCCTTCAAGGTAGGTCAAGAAGGAAGTTACTATTTCCTCATTTATAGGCTTCTCAGGGTAGCTTACAACAGAGTTGAAATTAAGTGTGAATTTCGTACGGTAAAACATAGAAAGCAGGAGCATGTAGCAGAGTGGAAATGAATTGGAACTGAAATAAATTCTAGCTGGCTGCTTTCCTAAACAATACTATTTCTACTCCACACACTCACATGTTCTGTCGGCAGAGGGACTCAACGCAGATCAGCAAGCGCAAGCGTTCGCGGGTGCGGGGCTGGTTCTTCTTTAGCTGAACCTCTGGAACTGTAAAAGGCAGCAACTAGTCAGCAACTTGCTGCTGCGCTGGAATCCTTGACCCCAGCAGCTGGAGGCTATCTGACAGTGTCTAAAAGGCCTACCCAAGGTTCAGAGCTTCACTGAACTTTGCTCTGTTCAATATGCAACCTTTATGTTGCTATTCAGCTTGCCTCAGAGAATGCTCAGCTGAAATCAGACATCCACTTGAAGCTGATAAGCAAATTCCAACACTAACATTACACTGATAAGTCAACTTTTTATGTCATTACTAAAGATGCTTACAGAATCCTCCCCTGCTACGTTTCTCCTTGAATTCAGGGCTATGTTATTACCCAAGGTGTTTATAGAACTGGAGTTGATAATGTCAAACTCCATACTGCTTCCAGATTCTTATTTCTAGAATGTGCACTTTACTTTAAAAACATTGGTAAGAGAGTGGGGTGGGGATAATTAACTGCCAGCCCCAAATTGCTTAGCATTTCTATCTTGAAGAACCCAACACAGTATCACTTTAAGTTAAACACTTACCAATATGCAACGTGGCAGTGAAGATGTAGTATCCACTGAAAGGTGCTATGTATTGTCCATTGTTAAGGTTTAGCCCTAGGCCACGGTGGAACATCTCTTCTTTTTTAGGCTACGCACAACAACAACAACAAAAGGATTATGAAGCGGGGGAGAAAATTGTTCCAGCTTTGCCTGTGGTGCATGGAAGTAGAGCGCTGAAGAAGGTCCTTCAAGAACCAAGGTTCAGACATTCATAAAAGGGAAAAGGGACCAAACGTGGATCACTTGTGAACATACTTAAGACGGATGCATAGTTATGAGATGAACAACAAAATATGGCAATATTTTATAACGGAGGACATATGACTAGCTTGGCCAAACAAACTCAGAGCCTGGTGCCAAGATATTTCTCCATCAATGGTGGCAGCTTCCAGAGTTTTTATTGTGTATCTAAACATTTTTTCCAGGGACAACTTAAATTCTGGAAAACCAGGTTTCAATTATTTAGATCATCAGTTGCAGAACACACTCTAATACCCTTAGAAATCAGGAGATTGGGGGTGGTTTTAGGACAGGATTTATAGGGTTGGTTGTCTTGTTAGGGATACTGAAGCAAAAACTACCTTCCCTTTTGCTGACATTTGCAAGAAGAAATGACACCAAGCTACTCACTATGTAATAGAACTGAAGCTCTTGCAATGACCGCCGTTCAATTGAAATGTTTCTCCGGGTCCGACAGTGGAAAGCTGCCTGCACTCGCCCATGCTCCCTGCTTTCTAGAAGTGGTCCACTAATCTGGGCCAGAAAGTTATCTTCTCTGGACCTGTCGTCGTCGTCTTGGCAGTTGTCACAGGCTTTCTGACTGATCCTTTCCCGTTCCCTGATTACACCTGAGCAGCCAAAACACAAAGCCCTATTACATGGGCCCACTCATGTTCTCTGTAAGTCCAAACCTGCACCTACTTGCTTTCAAACACAACAAGGTCACACTAGTCAATATGCCTATAGCCATCTTAACACAGGAAGTCCCAAGCCAACCCCAAGACTTTGTGAATCCGTATTATTTTGGACAGCTGGCTCGTAGGAATGTATGTTCACCTGTTTCTAGAGCAGTAAAAATACTGGACTTAAGAGTCTGCAGGATCAGACCAGAGCTCCAACAAGTCCAACATTCTGTTCTCACAGTGGCCAGCTAAATGCCCAAGGGAAACTCACAGGAAGGATCAGCAGTCTTCCCATGTGATTTTCAACAAGTACTCACAAACACTTTTGGCACCAACATCAGATGTAGTACATAGCTATCATGGCTAGTGATAACTGCTAGGCAAATTCATGGAAGTTAAGGCCCTTTTAAAGCAACCTCCATGGGTGGCTATCACTACATCTTTGTGGTAACAAATCCCACGGTTTAAGAGTGGAAATCTTTGCTAGGATCCTGGTGACTGTAGCTCAGACCCATGGGTGGGGAAGGGAAAACATGACTACTGCTAGGCCACACCTGCTCCTTAGTGTCTAGTGCATGACATCCTCAGTCGGCTCCCCTTCATTGACTTCTGCTTAGTGGTGAATCTGAGCATGATGATGTTATGGCAGAATCCAATCTGGATTGCAAGGGGGGGCAATCTAGATGTTGGACTCCAACTCACAGGCAGCATGACCAGTGGGCCAGGGCACAGCCCCCAGGGAGCCCCGGAAGAGCTGAGGCAGCATCGGGGCCAGGGGACGAGTCGTTGGACAGCAAAGGGGAGCACAAGAAGCTGCACCCTCCCCAGGGGCTGGGGGATCACCAGGATACCGGCTATGAGGAGAAGGAGGCACTATGAGAGGAGAGCCAGTGTGGTGTAGTGGTTAAGAGCGGCAGTCTTGTAATCTGGGGAACCGGGTTCGCGTCCCCGCTCCTCCACATGCAGACTACTTGGGCTAGTCACACTTCTTTGAAGTCTCTAAGCCTCACCTCACAGAGTGTTTGTTGTGGGGGAGGAAGGGAAAGGAAATTGTTAGCTGCTTTGAGACTCCTTCAGGTAGTGATAAAGCAGGATATCAAATCCAAACTCCTCTTCTTCTACTACTACCACTGCCCCAGCCCCGAAGGCCTAGCGTGGACGTGGCTTGGCTTACCTTGCCTCCCCACAGGAACCTGTAGTGGGGGCGCCTGATTGTGCCCTATCAGACATGTATGCCCAGGGCCATGGCCCCCTGCTCGCCCGCCCGCCCCCACACTTCACCTCTGAGTTTCCCTACCAGCTTTGGCTGGAGAAGATGCAAGGTTGAAGTTACTGAAGAGGGTGTCTTAGAGGCCTGTGTAATAGCAGAATTCTTGGAGGAATTCCTGTATATGAAAACCAGTATCCTAGAACAGAAGGTCCACTTGGAATTTGCATTCCAGTGTGACATTATGTGCCAGCACATAATGGCTGCCATGGGCAGCAATGAAGGGAAGCTGGTAATCTATACTGGTGATACGTACCATCAAACACACAAAACACTGACTGAATCTGAATTCTAACAGCAGAAAAGTGGCATGGATTGCACTCCTCTTAGAATATACCTTTTTAACTTGGATACCGCACTCTTAGATAACATTTAATGCTGTATTGTTTTTAACACTTGACTGGAAGTCACCCAGAGTGGCTGGGGAAACTCAGCCAGATGGGTGGGGTATAAATAATAAATTATTATTATTGGATTAATATTCTTGACCTTGCCAACAGCCACACTTTTAATTGCAAGTTTAATCATGTTTGTGGTTTAAGGAAATTCAAAGCCGGAGCAAATAACCCAACAAAAGAGAATCATAGAATTGTAGAGTTGGCAGGGACCACAAGGGTCATCTAGTCCAACCCCCTGTAATGCAGGAATCTAATATCATATTTTAAGCGTATCTTAGTCCTCAAGAGTAGAACTCGAAAAGTAAAGTCTCCATCAAAACCCAGCAGGTACATTAAGACAACAAGAATGTCAAATAAAATCACCTATTATTAAGAGCCCAATTCATTATTCTGTGCCTAAGGCAAACAAATACAGTGGTACCTCGGGTTAAGAACTTACTTCGTTCTGGAGGTCCGTTGTTAACCTGAAACTGTTCTTAACCTGAAGCACCACTTTAGCTAATGGGGCCTCCCGCTGATGCCGCACAATTTCTGTTCTCATCCTGAAGCAAAGTTCTTAACCCGAGGTACTATTTCTGGGTTAGTGGAGTCTGTAACCTAAAGCATCTGTAACCTGAGGTACCACTGTATGTTTGCTTGGAGAGCAACAACCTCCATACCTTTAAGCAGCAATCTGAATTCCCTCAGCAGCTCCTCCTGGGTGATTAAGGCTCCAGGGGGTCCTGGAATGCCAAACTAGAACCGAAAGAAATACAGGACAGTATTTTAGATCCATATTTATTCACATCAACCACCAAACCTATTGTCTGTCTAGCTATCATCAACTCTCAGTCTCTGGGCTCCTAAAGGCTGCTTCTGTTTGTCTGATGTGCTCTTGCTTCAAGATGCTTTACTTAATTGCCTGAAAGGGGCTCCAGTACTAGGAGGGAAGAAAAAGGTCCTTTTCACTTGCAAAGGTTCACATGGGAAGATACGTCTCATATCAACATCAACATGACTCCCTCTCCCCAAACCATTCATGAAATAAATATCCGCCTTTTATTTCTTTTACTGTTATTGCATTTTAATCTCACCTTTCCTCCAAAGTGTTCAAGGTGGCACATATGGTTCTCCCCGCCCACCATTTTATCCTCAAAACAACCCTGTGGGGTATGCTAGGTAGAAAGACCGTTTCTGACCCAAGGTCACCTAATGACTGACTGGGGATTTGAACCCTCATTTCTCAGGTCCTGATCCAACACTCTAACCAACACAACACAACACAACACACATTGTACATTTATATTCGGCCTTTCTTCTCTCATGCAACCAAAGGTGGTGTATATGTTGTTCCCACACACTCCTCATGTCCCTGTCAGACCATACTCTAGGAACTTGTATGCTGAAAATCCTATGACTGGGATTTGGTGAAACACTATTACTAGAGGGAGCATTCTTTCTTTCACAAGGTTTTCATTTCTGTGCAGCAATTTCTCTGTGTCTCTTAAAGTGCATGCAGCCATGAACCACTGCTGGGGGGGGGGCTTTAAATTGTCTTGGTTAAATTTAGGGAGGCTCCAACAGTTAGGAAGGCTCAGAATGTCAATCTGTGGGCATGTTCGCATTACCGCCTTACAGTGCAGTGAAGGGTTCTTGGGGGGGGGGTTACCCACAGTCCCCCCCCCAACAACTGTACACATCAGCACAGTTTCATTAGTGTCAGATTCATTTCTGTAGTTTCCCCCCATGCAAAGGTGTTTACACCCTGACTGGAGATGAATTAGGAACAGCTTAAGATTTCAATCAGCATGAGCCTGGTTTGAGAAACAACTCATCAAACAGTGGTATTTTGTACATATCCATTTTGGATAACGTCATGTGAACACTGATTAAAGAGCTGCGCCGGAAACGCAGTGAGTGCACAGCAGACATGAAAACGGTCTCAGAATCCCTTATCTGAACAGACTTTGAAGACAAGTGAGTCAAGAGGAGGACACTGTTAATATTGCTCACCTTGAACTTTTTGGCTTTATTTTTGCTTTTTTTATTGTTCACCCCGTTGTTCATAAGAAGCATCCAAGCAGCCCGGGATTCATCCCTGTGAATCTTTCCTGCAGCAGTTTCCTTTATGTAATGAGAAGTAAAAGAAAAGGCATGTGAAAGGCAGAAACAACCAGGAACGCACGCACACACACACACCACATTGTCCCAAAAACATATGTTGAGGATTATCTTTGCTCAGCATCTTCATAAGGTCTGCTGTATCCATGTGTCAATCATGCTTCCTTCAGTCTACAACAGAGATGGGGAACCTTTTACAGCCGCATTTCTTCATGGGAGCTGAACACCAGCACTGAAAGTAGGCAGGACAGGGGCATCCTACAGGATCTTCCTCTCCCTCCTACAACACAAACCCCTACACACACTCCATCATCTGCCTTATTTGCCATGAGTCGTTTTACTGCTGAAGGTGCCTATAGAAAGCTGAATGTTACATTATTTTGCAGCAAGAATACTTTGCCAGATGTTTTTGTGCTGGCAGATGCCCTCGGTCTTTGCAAATGCCCCTGCTTAATTGATTTAATCAGTTCCCTAGGAAAGGGAATGGTTGGGAGATGGCCAGGGAGGGTCTGGGTAACATGTTAAGAAGTGCATACTGCTGTCATGCTTGACTATAGGATTTCCATATTAACAAGCGCAGATGTCTTGGGCCTTTCTCTCATACCAGAGGAAATAGCTCCATTTCAAAACATCTTTGAATCATAGAATTGTAGAGTTGGAAGGGACTCCAAGGCTCATCTAGTCTGACCCCCTGTAATGCCAGTAGATTGGCCAGCTGCATTCTTTGCTAGTAGAATTCAGTGTAATTCCAAGAATTCACATATCTTCTATACTTGATCTACTGCAGTTGCTGTGAAGCAAGGATGCATAGGAGCCAACCTCTAGGGGCTGAGGTCTCTTCAGCCCCCTAATAAAATATTTGAGGGGCCAGGGCCCCCAAAGTTGATGGGCATTGCCATTCAAATGGTGTGCATACGCTGCGCCTTGTGATTGATTATGCAGGGTGGAGCTTACCTGCCCCCCAGTATATTATTCAAGTTGGCACCCCTGCAAGGATGGCTAGATAACTTGCAGTTCTCCATATGTTGTTGGACTTCTAACTCCTCAGCAAGCATGGCCAATGGTCAGAGGATGATGGGACTTGTAGTCTTGCAACAGATGAAAGGCCACAGGTTCCCCATCTCTGCTGTAGACAAAGACCAGTCAAAGTGGAGCATCTCCATGTTGCAGGACGAGGGGGCAGTTAGGAAAGTGTTAGCACCCTCTCTCCTTTCTGCTCAAGTATATAGGTTGCTATCCCTTGATTTGTACATCTGAACAATCTAGAGAAAGGAGTGGCATTTCAAAGTGTTACTGCTAGCTGGAAAATGGGCAAAGTGTTCTTCCTTTACTCAGTGAAAGATAAGCATGTGGGCATATTAGGGCCACCACTTTTTAAAACAGAAGTATTTTAACCCACATTGAAATGGCAACACACATAAAACAGAAGTAAAATGGATTGTGGCTATACATACCTAGTTCTACTGAGCTCGGTGGGAACTATTCCCAAGTACCTACCTGCACATAGGATCACATAGGAGGAGACTACAGCTATTTGCAAAAGACGGAGACATACATTCACACTTGCCTGTGCAAATATTCCCCTACATGACGTTCCAAAGCAAAACCTACTCTTTCCTACTCGGGCACAACTTTCTTTTCTCCGTTCTCTACCCCCATTTTTAGCCCTTGTGGGCTAAATTCAAAGGGGAAGGTTTACTTCAATTAAGGCATGGGTTAAAGACACCCCAAATAGTGAGCTGAGAGTAGCATTTGTCCTTACCGGGTCATTGGATGATGACAAGGGAGGGCTGCTTGTTTTTTGTCCCGTGAGAGAGTCATTCCATCCAGATTTCTTCTCCTGACTCCTTCTGTTTCCATGTTTTTCGGTTTCCATAGAGCTGGCACAAAAAGTCATTGCTAGCAGCCCCATGGCTAGTAATCGAAGTGGACAGCTGGAAAGGAGGGGTCCAACCATCTTCCGGCACACAAGCACGCTGGTAGTTTCTATAGAGACAGACTCCTGGATTTAGGCCTTGGCAAAAGCTCCTCAAGAAGAACAGGGCAAAGATGAAGCTGCGGACCTTCAGATGGGCAGCAGTCGATATTCCTGGGGGGGATTCCAGAAAGGAAGAATGGAGTGCAGGAAGAAATTATCCACTGCTCTTCCCAGCAATGCCTGGCTTGTTTACTTTTTCAGGGCAGACCCAATCAAGACTGTCAGGCTTCTTCAATTAAATAATAAATAATAACAACAGGAAAAGACAGAAAGAAAAGTAAACACTATGGTACCCACACACCTCACCAAGGAGTTTCCAGTGGATTTATCAATTGCCTCTTTTTGGAGGGGCAGAAAAAATATCATGGGATGGTTCCCTACAATTTAGAAAGCTTTAAGTCAAGGGACTCAGGGAACTATTTATCCTTCGACTGAAAAGCTCCAACCAAATGACACAGGGCAATTTCCTGGGTCTTCTGTTGGACAAAACTCTCCTATCAAGGCTGCCGAAGTCCTGCGGTTCTTTCGGCTGGCGGCTCTGGCTGCCTGGGGGGCACCTGGCTCGCCCTCTTCGCAACACCCCCTCCAGTGCCCTCTCCGAGACGCCTCGGGCTGCTGCCCCTCCGTCCCCCTCGCCCCTCTAAAGGTCGCCGCTGCTTTCCCTTCCTTTAAAGAGCTTGAATTCCCCGCCTCACAGAAGTTGCCGCCTCTGTCCACTTTAGGCGAGGGTTTAGAGGGCCACCTACGGGCAGCAATCGCCAACTACAACAACCGGAGGCTCGCGTTGTAATTCGAATGGCGGGGGGGCGGGAGGAGGAAGCAGGAATTCTTCCATTTCTCCCATAGGAAGTGTCTGCTCAGGGAGAGGCTGGGGGAGATACAGATTAATTATTGGAGTTCGGCAACACCTGGGGAGCCAGAGGTTCCCCACCTGTTCTACACGTATTCCCATCTTGCGCCACCTCCATTTTTATGCTCTCTAATGTTAATTATTTTGATTCGTCCTTCCATTTATTTAGCTGGTGCATTTATATCCCTTTTCTCTAAGGAGCTCAAGGTGGCATACATGGCTCCCCCCCCCCATTTTATCACAACAACCTTGCAAGGTAGGTTAGACTGGATTTGAACCCTGCTCTCCCAGGTCCTAGTCCAACACTCTAACCACTACACCATGTTGGCTCTCATTATTGGAGCCCATTAACTGAAGGACTCTGGAGGATGGGTCTATACCTCCTCTGCACACTTGTACCCATCCGACACCACATCCATTTCTATGTTCCCTAATGTTGACAATGGACTTTTATTCAAATTCTATTGGGAGGGGCAGTACATGTGAAATTATTTTATGGTGCACATATCATTATATTTATATCCCATATCTTGCCTCCATTTCCAAGCCATAATATGCCAACGTTTAAAATCCATAGAGGGAATATAGGCAATACAGCTAAACAACAATAAAAACAAAACAGCAAATAAAAGCAATAAAAACAGCAACAGCAAAATACCATAAAAACAGCAAAAGCAACAGCAGACGCTTCATGTTCTTTCACTCTCTCTCTCTTTGCGAGGTACCACATTTTCGCAGCACTCAAAGAAACAACAACTTTTTGTTGCCTAGTGAATGGAGGAGTTTCATAACACACAAAAAGCAAAATGTTCTGATACCCAAAACATTTAGAAGGAAGGATTCTTAGGGTCGCCCGCAGACTGTTGCTATTTTGCAGGAAGGACTCGATTGCATGCCTAAGCAATGGTGAATTTCCATTGCCAAATGACCTCCCTGTAAACAAATCTGGATGAATGCTCAATGACGAGCAGAAGTCAGATTAACCTCCGCATAAGGTTTGGCCGAGCAAATCTGGTTGAACGCTCAATAAACAGGTCATCTGGAGGAGCTTTGAGTTTCAAGGCTGTTGTGGAAATATATTTCTGCTGAATGTTAAACACGAAGAACGTTGTATGGTTGTGTCTCAGTTAAACACAAATGCAAAATGGCTAGTAAAAAAGAACAATTCTCTGCAGGTATCACCAAAGCAATTTTGTTTGTGTGCGTTGAATGACACAAAGCCCTAATTCATTATGCTGAGAGGGGCCAAAGGGGTGGAAGAGAAGGGAGGTTATATCACAATTCTTTGTCCATTAGAAATATTAATGATAACAAAAGAGTTGCCAGATCAAATTGGTTTAGACCTTTAATAAATGCACATACAGTGACATCTCTAAAACACAAGGTAGAGAATGGAATGATGAAAGTCTACAGAGGAATCTTCTGCTTTGGTTCAAATGCTCATGGAAACATGAAGTGATCTCCTCTGTAGAGCCATACTCAGAGAAATACCCACTGAAACAATGGACTTAAGCACCATTGATCTCAATGGGCCTGCTCTAAGTATAGTTTAGGCCATACTTGCACCAAAGCATGACAATACCACTTTAAACAGTCATGGCTTCAGGGCAGACCCACCCACGAAGTGGGGTGAGGCAGCTCCCTCATGCAGCAGAAACCCCTGAGACAGTGCCCCCACAGGTGCCCCGCCCACCTGCCACTGGCGGAGAAATGGAGCTGGCATTGGCACCAATTTCCTGTGATGTCTTGCCCAAATCTCATGAGATCACACAGAGTGTGAGAAGTCTTGTGAGATTTCCAGGGAGATAATGCTGGCAGTGGCAGGTGGTGGGGCAGCGGTGGTGCAGCAGAGTGGCAGAAGAGGGCAGCACTTGCTGTTTTGCCTCAAGCAGCAAAACGGTATGCACTGCAGCTGCATGACTTCCCTCAAAGGATTCTGGGAGCTGTAATTTGTTAAGGGTCTCCAAACAACTCCCAGCACCCTTGTCATTCCTCCACCGCTTTGTGCCGTGTACGAACCCAGCTACTGTGATGTTTGAACAGGACCATACACTCAAAAACCTCAGTCACCAGTGAGATTTCTGGCTGAGTGGGGATTTGCAGCCAGGACTTCCAAGTCCAGCGCTCCGTCTACTTCACCACATTTACCTACCACGCTTAGGTGAGTGTTCTGAACTAAAGGATGGATGCACAGGACTGTTTTGCCTGGGATGTCAGCTCCTCCTTCTTTTAGGCTCAGGTTTTAGTGAAATGCTGGGAATTTACTGACAGGATATAGATGTAGAACTACCATGAAGAAGGGAAGGGGGGAGAGGAGAAACAAAATCAACTCTCCTCTCCACGCTTGTGTGAAATCTGTGCTTCATTCTTGAGCTCTCATGTCATTGCCCTGGCCCCCTGTTCCCAGCAGAGTGATGCAACCAAGCTGTTTCTCTCGCTCTCGCTCTCCTTTTCCGTGAAGGGAAGGACCACACGGATGAAGTCATGGGAATGAAAACTCCATCTGTTCCTGAAAACAAATGTAGTGTAGAAGGGTTGTCAATGTATACAGATTCCCTGATAACTTGTATTCTATTGCCGGAAAACTGCAAACTCTGTTACATCAGCCACATCTAATCATTTTTACACTGGTGCGCCGGTGTGGCAGAAAGTGCCTGTCCCAGTAAGACAAGGGTGGGAAAGCTGTTGTCCTCCGAATGTTGTTGTACTACACTTCCCATCATCCCTGACTATTGTCTCTGCTGGCCAGGGCCAATGGGAGTAGAGTCCAGCATCTGGAAGGCCACACCCTGCAGCCTGTGCATTGATTACAAATAATTTGCTTTTGTACATATTATCTAAAATGTTTCTATTCCGCCTTTCCTGCCTGATCTCAGGCCACCAAGGCAGCTGACTGCAAGCAAAAATAATATACAGTATAACAGAGGTGTGAGTAAAGTATACATATACTGTACATACACAAACACATATATGGCTCAGTATTATGACTACAGTGTAAAATGAGCACTTCCCAGGCCTTTTCTTCTTAAAATGATTCTTTTTTATAAACTGGATGCAAGTTTACAGATTACTGTACAGTATTAAATAATTCTGCAATGATAAATGATAACAACACCGGACAGGATCTTATAGGAACATTATGTGCAACCAAATCAGCAAGGAAGCTTATATGTATTCCTCCACTACCCTAGCCTTTCATGCTCCTGTTTTTCTATCTCAGCAAGTTAATAAAAGCAAGTGATGTGCCAACATGTGCAAGTTTGGCCACCTTTGGGCTCCACCCTGCACTCAGCTCTTACCTGTGGCTCCTAGAAGCTGTCAACACGCAACAGCAGCCACACCCTGGTAAACAGCTTCTGACTGGCCAGCTAAACCAAGAAAGGGTAGCTGAAGGGTCTCAAACCCTCACAGAGTTAGGGACTTCTCCTGCATGCAAAGACAGGCTCTGGAGGATTGAGTGGATGAGACCAATAGAGGGCCCAATGGTCAAAAAGGTGGTTTCTAGAGGGAAGGGAGGCAGACTCCATTATCTCTTGAGACAGACAGATGCCAACAACAACCACAACTATGGACATAATTTCAATCTTTCTGGCATTCTGAGTTTCAAAATAAGGGAGCAGGGTGGGGTGGAGCAAAGCAAGAGGTCTTCTTACCCATCCACTGGGTGTCTTTTGATGTCAGGAGGAAAGAGAAAGACAGGCCAGCCTTTCCACCTGCTAGATTCTTCCGCAGCTGTTCCTCCCTTTCAGTTAGAACACAGCCAGGTGTTGCGAGGCAGCTGTTAGCAGGTGGCTGCCAATAAATATTATCAAAAGGCTCCAGCTGTTTGGAAGTCAATCGGAGACTGGGGAAAACTTACACCCTGCAGCTAATAATAATAACAATAATAACAACAATTATTATATCATTTGTACCTCAGCTGACTTGGTTGACAAAGGAGTGAGGATATGGGGGATGGGGTATAAATAAGACATTGCTCCACCTGTAACTAGCAAAGATAGAGGCCTACCTCATAGGTTTGTTTGAAAGATAAACCACCTAAAAGAATGTAGTTATCCACCCTGAAAAAGTCAGACTTAATACAGAAATTACGGTTGCCATATTTCAAGAGGTAAAAATGCAGGCACAAAAAGTTGTTGAGCTTTTTTAAGGCAATCGCCCAATAGCCCCTCCGCCAGAGCCACCCACCCAAATCCATTTGCTTTAAAATGTAAAATTTCTCCTGGGTGGGCATGTAGGACATCCGAAAGAGGACATGTTCAGGAATTCCCATATGTATGGCAACCCTACATAAATAGTAAAACCAGTCATATTGATGTGGGATTATTATTATTATTATTATTATTATTACTATTATTAGGATTTGATGAGTCATAGCATTCGGAGGGGCTCTATGCATAAATAAAGTAAGAATTTCATAAACATCTCATAAGTCAAGGTAATGAATTTAGAGAGCTCCCTTACAAGCTTTCATAGAAGCAAGCTTTGTCCCAGGCTAACCTGGACAAATAGAAATGTCCCTTTTTCCCCTAAGTTGTCACCTGGCCAAGCCAGAATGAACTTTTGTGTTTACTGAATTTCATCTTGCGGTGTTCAACCCCACAATCTCAAGTTTGTCAACATTATACTGAATTCTAATTCCCCTCCTTTGCATTTTGTGTCATCGGTAAATCTAATAGGCGGTGCTATTTTTCTATAAAAAGAGGTGCCAGAACTCACCATGAACACCTGTCTTGTTCTCTTATAATGGCAATTCCGGTGAGTTCCAACTGAAAAAAGCCCTGCTAATAGGTATATTTAACATTCTAACCTGCCATTGGCTAAAATACAACTAGCTCTGGGTTTAGACTGAGAAAACCCTTGAAGAAGCCCAGTGTAAGCCTCTTCTGCTTTTATTAACAATAATAATCAGCAGGCTGTCAGTCCTGTCCATTTTCCTTGAAAATTGCCTGTGAAGGCAGACATACATAAGAATAAAGAAAATTTATAACATCTCCAGGAAGACTCAATGCACAACTAAATTAGGTACAATTAAGGGCACTTCTAGACTGCTGCTATTTTCTGGTGGGATCCAGTTACATACCAACAATAACAACAACAAAATTTTTATATGCCGCCCATCTGACTGGGTGAGTTGCCCAACCACTGTGTGGCTTCCAACAATTCAAAACTTCAAACACAGTAAAACATCAAACATTAAAAACTTCCCTATACAGGGCTGCCTTCAGGTGTCTTCTAAAAGTCAGATAGTTGTTTATTTCCTTGACATATGACAGGAGGGCGTTCTACAGAGTGGGCACCACTATCGAGAAGGCCCTCTGCCTGGTTCCCTGTAACCTCACTTTTCACACTGAGAAAACCATCAGAAGGTCCTCAGCTGATTTCTATGGGCCATTAATCAGCTACATACGTATGATTCATATAAAACACTCCTATAATGACGATGGAAGGGGGCTTCTGTGACTGTCCAGCATTTAAAACCTACCTAAAAGAAAATATAGTTACTTAATCAAGCACCAACAGTAGAAAGAAAAGACTACACAATTCATGATGAAGTTATTGTCAGATTTCTTGACCATACTGATGAATTGTAGAAATCAACAGGAAGAGGCAAGTCTCCATTTTACAGGTAAAATTCATACAGTCCACATGCAAGATATTTAAACTGAACAGAAAATGTGCCTTGTGACGTGCAGAAAGAATCCTAGGGCAATAAAAAGAGATATAAAAATAAGAATTCCAGAGAAACTTCTGATAAATGGGTCACTAATGTCACTCATCGATCTTAGTCACCACGATCTCAAATTAGCACTGAGAGACTTCTAGTTTTAATTTAGAGCTGGCTCACGTTACTTCTGGCCCCTTTCGGACTCTGGCCACAGTCCAAAAGAGTGAAGCAATCAATGACATCAATGGACTTATGCACACTAAACTGCGGGCAGCATTGCTCAGGGAAGTCAGGTTCTCTAGCAAAATGAGCATAATACTCATCATGTGCTGTGCACTGGAATCTCACAGGTCTCAGCTGCGGCATTGTTCCAGAACGGACACTGAACAATGTTTTAAAAATTGCCAAGTTTTCTTGGCCAAGTTCCGTAAGCTCCTAATTCACACATTATGTTGGTAGACACTGTCAAGGCAGCCTGGCACTATGTTTAACCATAGAGGTTAACGCAGTCTTTTGTTTCTGATGTCCACTGCAGGGTTTTTTATTTTAACCCCTCGCTTCTTGCTATTTATAAAGGCAGGTTATCATTTCATGTTCTCCACTGGTGTTTTCGTGCTAGTGCTGTGACCAAAGTTATCCATCCTAATTATGTGGGCAAGGTGATTCAGCCCAACAAGAGCTGTAGTGTGTGTGTGTGGGGGGGAAATAGAACCATTCAAACAGTCTGAACAAAAAAGGAAGTGTACAAGTGTGATATTGAAAACTCTGTTCCTTTTTCGAACTTGTGGCAGGAGCTGCTGTGCTGTGAGGCCTTGTTCCATCCTCTGCTCACAAATGGTCTCCTAGGAAAGGTTCCTCCACCTTGAAGTATCCATGAAGATAGAGGAGGAGCTGTGGTAGAGCCATAAGCAGGGGAGGGCTCCTTCCCTTCTCCAGACATCCTTAGTGCAGTCATAAATTTCCATCTCCACCTGATAGTCACCATCCATGCCCTTCCAGTATCCTCCGGTGACAAAGAGTTTTCCTCCAAGAGGTACCATCCCTCCGTTTTCATGGAGGGTGTGAAGCTGTTGCACCTGCAAACAGAGTGGACATGATTTGGATCTGTGTTTATGTGGCAAATCATATACAACAACCACAGCGGAAACCGCTGTAAATAAGACAGTAGATTGGCAACATACAGTTTGCACCTAGTTCCTTGATGGAATCATATGATTGGGGTTTGTGCTGCCATCCAGTGGCTGGAATATATAGTACAAGTTAATATCATCAAACCCCGGGGGGGGGTCTCTTACCCTTTCCTTAACAGAGTTATTAAGTTGTTGTCTGGGTATTTCAATAAGAGGTAAAAAAGCTTGATTTGGTACACACTAGCCTTAGATACCTTGTTCATCAGAAAAGTCCAAATGGGGTCCTTTTTGCATCTCTTGAAATGTGGGATGCAAAAAGTTTGATTATAGTAGCCCGTACTTCACATGGGCCGTACGTGTGTGATGGAGGAGCATGTGAACCATCCTCAGATTGGAGGATGAGGCTTTTTGCAATGGCAGCAAGTAACATATCTACAATTACATGAATGCAGGATATCTTTATTTGTATGTTAACAATGTTATTCAGTTAAGAGCTCTAATTCCAAAGACATTAGCAGTGCAATTCTATGCATGTCTATCCAGAAGCAAGTCCCATTAAATTCAGTGGGACTGACTCCTAGGTAAGTGCGTACAGTATTGCAGGATTAGAGATGGATGAACTGATTGATTTCAGTTTCTCTGTTTTTCCACTCTGAAATTCAGTTTGCAGATTATTATTTTTAAGACATCATGGAAATTCTTCAGCACTTTAGTGTACTTTTCTTGTAATGTTCACATTTTTGTAAGCAAATTTGCCTAATATACACATTTTTACAAAGCAATTTCCCCTAATAGAATGCCTATTTTCTTGAATGTATGCATTTTTAAGCACACTTTAACTATACATTTTTGACACATTTACTGTACTTATTTCTGTCTACTAAGCCAAGCAAATCCGAAATGCTACATATACTTGAATTCACCTTGTCTCATTGCCTATGTATAGGCATGTATAGACATGCCATCCCTGATATGGCATAGCAATAAATGTCCAATCTAGTAGGGCGCATATGCCAGAAGTGGTAGATGCAGCAGGCGTTTGTGGCAGGCTGACCCCTGAGCCTGTGGCATAAGGTCAGGGCTGCACGCCAGCTGATTTCTTTAATACTACGTTGCTGTCTGCTTCCCAGCTCAGTAGAAAAGAAGCACAGAGGGAATGCCCCTGCTATACTGCGAACTTACACCTGCCGAAAAGACTGGCCACCAGTGGTGTAGTCCTTTGAATTGTAAAAGTCACCCCTCTCCTTTATCCTCTGTCTCCCTCCCCCCCCCCCAACTGTATGTAGTTACACTATTAACAAGGCTGGGCTATATTCTTGTTTGTCCTAACTTCTGTCAACCTCTCCTGCAGAACACCATGAAAAGATCACAGGGCGAAGTAGCAGAGGAATAGTTCTTGGGTCCAACCAGGCAAAACGCTTGCTGAGAAACTGCTTGATGACAAGATGTTGCCATGAAAGTGTTAAAGAGGCCGCCGTCAAGAGCATAACCAATGGATGGCCGGAAACTGACGGCACTAACCATTATTCATAGATCTACGGAGATGGAGAGACTGGCAGGGCATTCTTTGCACCTGTCCTGAGGACTGGAGTGGGCGCTACACAGTCAGCTGAGCACTGACGCCATGCGAACAGCTGCCGCAGGGTTTGAGAATGACGCTGCGTAAACCAACCCTCCAACAACATTACACACATCTTCACTGAAGCCAAACAGGCTGGAGGAACAGGCCATGCTGTGCTTGCTACCAGGGGTATCCTCACTCAAGGAATAGGCTTCCTGCCATGCTGGAACATAGACACTCATCCTTCAGGCATTGTTCACATATTACTTTGTGTTACGCATTCTGGAAAAGTGTCAAGGGGGAAAAAGCAGGGAAAAGAAATACGGCATTTTAAAACGCCCCCTCCCCATAACAAACCTATAGGCCACAGAAATCTACTTCTATGGGTGCTACAGCCACAGACCTTCCCTGGAAACATAGTGGTGAAAGAACATTAATGCCACGACTCCCTTACCCACCTTCTGCCATATATTAGCATCTGGATCATACACATAGACTTTCTTTGTGTTGTCGCCAATAAGGTAGATGACTCCATGCAGAGAGGCACATCGAGGAGCAGAGAGGTATTTGGGGATGAAAGGGGATGCAATTACACTCCAAACATCTAGAAGATAACAATAATAGTAATAGTAGTAGTAGTAGTAGTAGTAGTAATAATAATAATAATAATAATAATAATAATAATAATTTTATATATTAAGAACATTCTATATTAGAATGACATATGAATCTCAGGGGGTGAAGCTAAAAAGGAAGATGGACAAGAAATGGAGCAGGGGCAGATTGTCACAAGAGACTGCCCTAGATCAGTCCTGCAAAGGTCAGGATTGTTTACGTGTAAAACCAGCGTCAGTGAAAGCAGCCTGTCCTGATTTCAGCCTGGCTGCAATAGACATGTGTGTTTATGTGAGTTTTCAACACACTTTGTCCTACTTTTGATCACATCATTCCCGTCATCACCGCTGCCTTTACTGGGCTGGGAAGCAACAGAATCACAGGAAAACAACGTCTGCATAGGTTCACAGGAACTGGCCTTCTACTGAGTCAGACCATTGGTCCGACTAGCTCAGTATTGCGTACACTGGCTGGCAGTGGCCCTCAAGGGTTTCTGGCAGGGGGGCATTCCCCTACCTGAAGGTGGCAGGGATGGAACCTGGAGTCTTCTGCAGGCATAGCAGAAGCCCTACCACTGAGCTACAGCCCTTCTGTGTTAATAGCCAAAGGAGTATACGAGGTCTTCTGGCAGGTAACAGTGTAAGAGACCATGAGTAAAAGCCACATTTAAAAGTGTCAAAGGTCTCAAGAATACCAAAGCACTATTAGTGTTTGCTGTGTAACATCCTGAGATGGAGCTTGTGGGTGGGAGGTGACATGGCAAACGGATGAACAACGTCCTTCCTATATAGCATAACATCATGAGACAAAAATGGAAGGTGCTGCAGTTTGCCACATGGCCCCCACAACTAAACCTGAGTCACATCGTACCAAATACCTTTCCTGATTACATGAAGCAAATTGATGCTAGCTGAGAGTTTTTCTAAAAGATGTGGCAAATAGATCACTTGCACATCTAAGTACAGTGGTACCTCGGGTTACAGACGCTTCAGGTTACAGACTCCGCTAACCCAGAAATAGTACCTCAGGTTAAGAACTTTGCTTCAGGATGAGAACAGAAATCGTGCAGCGGCGGCAGTGGGAGGCCCCATTAGCTAAAGTGGTGTCTCAGGTTAAGAACAGTTTCAGGTTAAGAACGGACCTGCAGAACAAATTAAGTTCTTAACCCGAGGTACCACTGTATAGGCAGCTGGATCAAGGAGCACTAGGAGCAACTCCAGAAACTGGAGTAGGCTGTGTCCCCAGCAGAAAGACACTAATGAAGTCTAGCATTAGCTGCCGGAAGATACTCTGGGCTGCGAGCCAGTGCAGGAAGTCACACCCCATTAACAACTTCTCCCTCCGCCCCATATAAATTAGCTTTTGGGACATAAGATGAATTGAAATAAAAAGCCATGCCAAAGCAGCATCAGGGTTCAAACAGGTCAAATGGGCCGCAGGCAATTAACAGCAAGCCCACAGTTCATATTTGCATACATAAAACTGAGCTGCCCACATTCCACAACACTTTGGCATGGCCAAGAAACAGAAAGAAAGATGGGGCTATTCTGTGGATGGGGGAAGAATGATTCGCAAGGGCTGTCATCACCAGAGGCTGGCAGCAGATGTAGGCCCCGCTTCACAGGTGTGCGTGAATGCACACCTTTACCCTTAAATGGGAGAAAACACGGTTGGCATTCACTCAGAAATGGAAAAATAAAGCACTACACTTAGGTAGGGGTGGCTCAGCTGCAAGGAGAACAAAACTCAAAACAATAAAACAAACTAAGCAAACCAAACCAATGAAAACAACATCATAATCATAAAAACCTTAAAACAATAAAGCTTCGTTTAAAACATTGCAAGCAACCACGGTACTAAAAGCAATCTAAAAGGTCAAATTAAAAGTATGTGTCTTCTTGGCACTGTTTCTAGAAACAGAGTGGGGACTATCGTAGCTCTGAAGAGGGCGCATTTCACAATCTGCTAGCAACACAAAATACATCCCTCATGCACATTAAGTGAGCCTCTGTAAGTCATGGCGTTCTCAAAAGGGCCTCTCCTGCAAATCAACAACATGCCAGGTTTATATTTATTTAATCCAATGGGAAGGAGGGGAAAAGTAATGTGTCCCTCAACACACATCCCACCCTTTATCATGAAAAGCATTTTGCAAGTTTTGTATATTTTTCTAAGGACATGTGGTAGGAAGTAATGGCTTCAGTTTCAGTACTAATGATGACAAAAACATTTTCACAAGGAATTTAGAACTAAACCAGAGCAGGGGGCATTGCTGGGCATGGGAAGGGAGGTAATGGGCAAAAGTAGGAATGGGCAAATTCAGTTTCACATCAATTTCATTTCTTTCATTTCCTCTCATTTTTCCAATCTTAAGTTTGATTCATCACATTTCCTCATCGGTATGAACTTTTTAAAATATAAAAAGTCCCCATTAAAAAAAATCAGCATTTTTGTATGAAATTCTCCTTAAATATACATCTTCATGCAATTTTGTCTAATACACATTTTTACAAGCAATTTTGCCTAATGCAAGGTGTTTTTGTATTTATTTTCTCCAATATATGTAACTATATGCTCATTTTATCCTAGTAAATGCATTTTCATGCACATTTATTGGCTAGGGAACTGCATTGTGAAATTAGGAGAGGTGCGAATTTCAAAAGATAGTTGCGTTTCGGTTTGCAAATTGTTTCAGGAAGTACAAATAAAGTAAGTTTGCTTTTAAGTATGAACCAAACCAAATTTCTCCCCTATTCCTTTTTGCCCTGGGCCCTGGATCTCCCCCCCCCCCATTTTCAACCGCACACACCCTGCAAACAGGGTGGCTGGACATGTTACAAAGCACAATGCCAGTGAGACCCGACATCTGCCATTTTGATTTTTGCAGAGGCAACTCTGTGTCATGGGTCTATGCCCCAGGTCTTTTAAGTACCTAGCAAAGCCCCTGCCACAGGGCCAATTTCCAAGTTTGCTGAATAGAAAGGATTCTGGTTTTGCACCTGCTCCACCCCCCTTGTCTGCTCTGTGAGCCCATGGCCTGAAGAGTTTGGATTTGATATCCCGCTTTATCACTACCCTAAGGAGTCTCAAAGCGGCTAACAATCTCCTTTCCCTTCCTCCCCCACAACAAACACTCTGTGAGGTGAGTGGGGCTGAGAGACTTCAAAGAAGTGTGACTAGCCCAAGGTCACCCAGCCGCTACATGTGGAGGAGCGGAAAAGCCATTCATACACATTCCCCTCTGTTCCTTCTTACCTATTGCAGGGTTGTAACACTGCAGCGTTAATGCGTTGTATTTGACAGCACAAGAGCCAATGAGGTACAACTTCCCAAGACACCCGGCGATGGTGAAGTTGCTGACGTACTTCAAGGCAGGGCTCACAAAGCACCAGCTGTCATTATAAGGATCATAACACTCCACCTCCACAACGTCCACCGCGGTGCCTACAGACAATGTGAGAAGGGGGGGGAAAGGAGGTTTGAGCACAGTTGAGGCCTACAGATATTTGCACTGAGCAACACTAGTGCTAAAATAACCCACGAGTCTAATATGTAGGGTCTGGGTTGTGTCTCCAACTAAATCATAGTCACAGTACACCAATGAAATTGATGGACTTAAGAAGAAGAAGAAGAAGAAGAAGAAGAAGAAGAAGAAGAGGAGGAGTTTGGATTTGATACCCGCTTTATCATTACCCAAAGGAGTCTCAAAGCGGCTAACATTCTCCTTTCCCTTCCTCCACCACAACAAACACTCTGTGAGGTGAGTGAGGCTGAGAGACTTCAGAGAAGTGTGACTAGCCCAAGGTCACCCAGCAGCTACATGTGGAGGAGCGGGGAAGCGAACCCGGTTCACCAGATTACAAGTCTACTGCTCTTAACCACTACACCACACTGGCTCTTAAGAATCCAAGTCCTCTGAATATAAGTGAATTAGACACAACTTTCTGTATGAAATTCAGTCCTACAAAGGCAGGCTCTTCTGCTCAAGCTGTAGTATAGGGACTTGGAATTGCCAGAGGGCACATTATGATATTGTCCAAACTAAACCGGCCTCATCCTTGTTAGTGCCTGTTGTTCCCATGCACGTAAAGCAAGAGTCCCCCACGTTACAGATCTCATTCCCTACCACCAATGGCATAGATCTCTCCGTTGAGGACAGCACTGGCATGGTTGGTTCGTGGCTTCAGCATTGGTGCAATGGGCTTCCAGGCACCATCCTTGAGGCAGAAGCACCAGGACTGAGTTGTTGACCATGTGTCATTCCGTGATCCTCTGGAGCCACCTGAAAACAGAAATAGCCATCATACTCACACAGAGTCCTAGTAGCCACTTTTGTACCAGTTTAAAGCACTTCAATATTATCGCTTAATACATTATTATACACCCTCACGATATTTTTGCTAGGAGTTCTGGTTCTCTTGAAAATCTTGTGGAATTGGTGAGCAAAATATGACTCAAAATGGTGGACTGTGGTTCAGTTTACATTTTATTAGATGACTATGCAATCTGACTGCCCTGATTTAAATTATCTGTTTTAGACCAGAACACACCCCAAACAACTAAATCCATCCTCCCAAGATCTCAGCAGAATGTCTTAGTATGGGAACACGCCAAAAAGGTTCAAAAGCTTAGTAACAACATAGACTTGGAGAGAGCACTGTCCTTACCTGTGACATAAACATCATTATTTAGAGCAATCACAGAAAAACCCCATTTATTGTAGTCTGGAAAATCAGGTAGAGCGTTCCATCTTTCTGAAATAATAGAACCAAATATGTAAGCGGCCCTCAAAGTGTTATAACCAGGTAACCAGTATAACCAGTAAACGCTCTAGTTTTTCTGAGACTCTTTACTACTCTCGGGTGAAGAGATTTTGGTCCCTATGAGTTCCATCACTCCATAGTACTACCTTAAATCAAGACCATGACCCATGACAGTGATATGATTAGACCAAATGCACTTCTTTTCCATGGAACTTTTCCATATTGAAACAGTCCTATTCAAACCTACGTGTGTTTGAAGGTAATTATCTATGGTCATTATCTGCTTCATTGTTCACAGTGTTATCAGAATACATTCCGATTGCATCATATTGCGTAGATAATGCCAACGATGAGAAAGGTCCTCTTCTCCAAATTAGTTTTTCTACCCAATGCACTGCATTTGCAGGCCTGCCCGACAGCTTCCAACGTCAACACTGGCCTGAGATGAATGCAGCTGCTCAGCAGGCACCAACGCCAAAAGAGCACAGAGCATTACATCATACTGAAAGCCTTGTTTGTCGGTGCCTGCATTATTCTAGGTCGAAGTCCAAGGCATGGTTGCTTCTGGCCTCAACAGTGTTTCTGCTACAGAAAGTGGGTTTGGATAACGTTAGGTGTTTTGAGATGGCAAGTCTAAATGTTAAATGTTTATATACCGTATTTTTTCCTCTATAAGACTCACTTTTTCCCTCCTAAAAAGTAAGGGGAAATGTGTGTGCATCTTTTGGAGCGAATGCAGGCTGCACAGCTATCCCAGAAGCCAGAACAGCAAGAGGGATTGCTACTTTCACTGTGCAGCGATCCCTCTTGCTGTTCTGGCTTCTGAGATTCAGAATAGTTTTTTTGTTGTTTTCCTCCTCCAAAAACTAGGTGTGTCTTGTGGTCTGGTGCGTCTTATAGAGCGAAAAATATGGTACCTATATTTTTCAAACTTTTTCACTTAACAGCAAATAGATAAAGGCAAATCTAAGAACTGGATAATCGCCAAATAAATAAATAACAATAAAAGAGTGGAACCACTCTGTGGAGGAAGGGTGAGAGGTTTTATTGTTGATTCCAGAGGAATTCCGTAAAGGAAGAGAAAGCAAAAGGAGCAAATGAAGTTAAACTTCCAGCCCATCGTAGTTTTTTTTGGGGGGGGGCTGTGATAGAAAGACAACAGCACGTGTAATATTCTACCAAACTGCTCGCTAAGAGCTAAAACAACCTGACTGGTGTACACAAAATCAATGAGATAACTGGCAGGACCTCTGGATTTTGTTGCAATACCGGTTCCATCACCCCTGACCATTGGTTGTGCTTGCTGGGGTTGATGGGAGCTGTAGTATACTAGGCCCTCTGTATTCATATTCTGGTTATTCTGCAATAATTGGTTCTCTGTCTTGTTTCTGAGGGATTCAGGTCTCATCTTTTCCACCCACCCACCTCCAAGGGTCTGGAAACATGCATTTCCCCAAAACACTACAGAGTGGCACCATCAAGCATGATCTACCCTGTAAAGGCCAAATCATAAAGATGATAGCAACAGGTACCAAGGTGAAGACTTTATTTCCCCTACCTCTAAATGCTACACCCGTTCAGTTGTTGCCATCCCTTGCAGTGCCTAGCACCGTGAGCCTAGTTGCTCCCTGACGCAAAGATGCTCTGAGCTGGAGTGCGCAGTTCTGGCATTGTTTGGGGACAGGTACTTACTAGTCTTAGTGTTATAAAAGGCAAAATTCCTGGAGATTAGTGGTTGCTGTTCATCTTCTTCATTCTCTTCCAGAGCTCTGCCTCCCACCACCACTAGAACCTCCTCAAGCTTTTGTGGCAGGGCCTTCAGTCTCTGCTGGACAAATGGCCTGTTCTCCAACTGAGACAAGGAAAAAAAACCCCAATGATTCTGGAAGCCCAACACCTCTCCCCTTTCTCCAACACTTTATACAATGACCTTGTATGATGTAATTCAGTAAAGCAAAATTCCCAAATAAAACTCTGGGATACTTCACTGCAAATGCTAGACCATGGCAGGGACTTCTAGCTGCTTTCCTCACAGATGGTTGTTGCCACTTCCCACTGTTTTTTAGACTAATTTGGATGCACTGATTTAGGAACACCTGGACCATACTTTAAACCTTCTTAAAATATAAGCGCTAGAACAAAGTGTGTTTCTCTGGAATTGTGATCACTTTAAATTCAGGCTTTGGGGCACATATTCCCTTTTTAATTCAGATAGGCTCATCTAAATAAACTATCCTTTTTGGTAATGATCCAATTATAACTGTCTTTGGGAAAGACATAACCATAATCACGTACACCAAGAAGTCAGTCATTGCTTCTCACAGTGGCATCTCTAGGAAAACTGCATGCACATACACCCTTGCTCCTCCTGAGTCAATGGACTTAGTGATGGATGGGCAGGCGGGGAGAGGAGAAGAAAGAGGGGAACTAGTGGAAAAAGGTCAGGAACTCTTCCACTGCCAATCAAAGGTGACAGTTCATAGCTAATTAAGAAATGAAAACTTATCTCAAACAAGAAGTTGGCATACCAAGATGAACAGATTCTAGGCACTGCAGTTAAGGACACCTATAGCTATTGGATCACAGCACCCCTTTTCTAGCTTTGGGGCTTAATCAGGGTACTGTGGTGCCTCCAAGAACTGACCGTGCTACGATGTCTAGTGATGATGGTCTTGCAAGCCTCCGATTCTTGAATCAGTGGTTCTGATGACAAGAGGTTCTGCAGGTACTGATCTGGCAATGAAACCAGATGCACTAGATCAAGGAGTTCTGGCAGGTGCGTGGCTCTAGCAGACTTTTCATACTTCACCCACCTCAGCACAGCCTCAACTAGACTCTGCTCTTCTTGTACTTGGAGCAAGTTGTTGGACAGGTAGATAACCAGCCTCTCTTTGGATAGCTGCAGGAACTCCTCTTGTTGAGACACAAGTTCAAAATTCTCCTGCAGAAATGACCAGGCCTTGGATGACACTTCTGGGCAGCCATGCAGCTCCCCAAATTCACAAATGCCCAAACAGTTGGTTGCATCCATCTGCTGCCTCAGGTACCGACTGCAGACTTTCCGGAGGACAGGGAAGTGGAGTTGGTTGGATGTCCGAATTAAGGCTTCCACATTCCCTTGGTTGATGGTCACCTTCCCTGTGTAAGCAAAGTCAATCAAGGTCTCCATAATGGCTGGATCCACCTCTTTGATCTCTACACGAGCTGAAATGCTTTCCAAGAAGTCACCAGCAAACATGGCATTGAAATAGTGGCTGCAGAGGGCCAGGATACTGCGGTGGCAGGGGAATTCATGTCCCTCAACTATCAAGGTGACATCTGAGAGTTTGGGATTGGAGCGAAGGGTCTGAAGTCCTTCCAGAATAGACTGGGGGTGGGATGGAAGGCAAAAATCGAAGTCATCGATGTTCCTCACCATGCTGGTGCTCCACTCCTGTCGTGGGAAATGGCCTTAGATGACTTCAGTGGAAAACAAACTTTTCCTAGTTCTAATCAGAAAGCAAAGAAGAAGCAAATAAGTTTTGTGCTTCAAATGGGAAATATTTCCCCTCAACATATGACTTGAAGTGAAATCTCCTTAGTGACATTTTTGGATCAATGGAACTCCTTGAAAGGAAGTGCAAACTGTTGTGACCTAGTAGGTCCAAATAATAACACTAGGCATATAACCCCGTACCCCAAAACAACTGAATATAACCAGTGCCATATGTGTGTGTCCTGATCGAAGTATCTACAAGGAACTTGCAGGGATAACCAAGGAAAAATCTATACTGATGTCCCCCACCCCTTAAAGCTTTCAGACTCTCAAAAGTACTTCTGTCCATTTTCCTTGCATAGAACAAGGAATGAGCTACAGACCTTATTCAAATCTCTCCATTCAGAAACTCCACTTTCTTAAACGGCGTTCTCAAAAACAGAGAAAGCTGCATCTTGCTTCATGAAGCATTCTGGGTAATTGAAAGCTTGCCACATTTTTGTGACTTTTTTGTTCTTCCTAATAAAGGTACTTACCAACCAATACAGCTACCTTTGCTCTCTGTAAATTAGTTTGCATAATTTATCCTGCTTTTTCTAGTTATAATGAAGGAAGGCCACCAAAAGTCCCTCCAGGAGCCCACTATGGCATCTAGGGCTTTACCAGCCTTGCCCAAAGTCTTTCATTCCCATCTTCATTGTGATGGTGGGCTGTTGTGTTAATGAAAACTAAAGTTACCAGAAGGCTGCTGAATTCTGTTTCTAGGAAACTGCCTTATACCATGGGCCCTGTATAGCTCAGTATTGTGTACACGGGCTGGCAGCAATTCTCCAGGGTTCCTGATTTCCCAGCCCTACCTGGACATGCCAGGCATTGAACCGGGGGCATTTTGTACACAAAGCAATTGCTCTGCTATCGAGCTTCTTTCCCCTATGACCCCAATAACAAATTCGGTGCTTTTATGAGCTTCCACAGAAACATGACACACACAGTCCCGTATATGATGTGTGGAGACAAAACAGTATTGTAAGCAGTCTTACTCCAGTTGTCATTCTTAATAAAGGAACAGTTTGTAGTTCATAAGCAATGAAATTTGGTGGGGGAAATTTGTTCCTGCCTTCCCAATCTCCTCTACCAGGTCCTCAGTGCTGACCTAGAAAGTAATTGAATATCAGACTTATGCCATATTAAGTAGCAAAACACTACTGATAATAAAATCCCCAGCAACAATATTAGTGGTTATATTCTCATTTTAGTTAGTGGTTATATTGACCCCCCTTTTCTTCCTGATATCCAGGAAACTCGCCTCCGCCTCCCAGTAGTTTGTTGCTCAGCAGTGCTGCATTGATAAGAAGTTCTTGGTATTTGATCTCTGGAAAAGTTTGATACTTAGCTTCCTAGCAGATAATGGCTTATAACTGTGGCAGCCCCTTGTGCCTCATGTTAATGGCCTGTACACTATTTTTGACTTGAGAGCTCCACCTTCCCAAATCCAGTTTGCTTATTCCCTCTCATCTCATGTTGTCCCATTCAGCCCTGCCAGAAATCAAAACCGCCTGGCCTCCGGTTCTTACCTTGTTAACTTCTCTTACATCCAGTCAGACAGTCGGAGCTTGAATAATGCTTGGGGAATGGCTTGCCTTGACCCTGGGAGGAGGCAGTTACCCTGAGTTGGTTTGGATGGTGTGTTTTTTTAAGGCCGTTGTAGGCTGGAGGCAACCAATGCTTGTTTCTCTGTATGTATATATATATTTAGACTGAGGCTTACAGCCAGAGAGGGCTGGGAAGTGTGTTGACAGTTATTCTCTCCAGGCCACCTGCTCTTAAAGCAACACACCAACGAAGAGATAAGAAGAAGAGGGCATTGGAAGGAAAGCATGTCATGTGCCCATGGGAAGCAGATATGAAGCTGCTCAAGAGATTGTGCGCTTACATCTGTTTTCAAATAGGCACACTGTGGGGATAATGCAGAATCAATCTGTAACAAGTTTTTATTTTCGGAATGAAATCAGTTTCTCAAGAAGTGCATTTCAGGGGCAAAAAGTATGCAACAAATCTACATTGTGTGTTGATTCCACAGAAAAACCAAGTACTCAGTCTCCATTGATTCTAACATAAAACGTCATGTGGACGCAGCCATTGTCAGTGAGGAGGAAGTGGGTGGGGAAAAGGAGCTTGTTCTGGAGGGACCAGAAAGGACCAGCAGGGGCATTTTCATTACTTGTGCCCCTGTAGCCAGGTGGGCAGCAGGGATGGAGTGACTCAGCAAATTAGGATTAAGCCAGGATACTGGATTTAGGTGTAACAGCAAACCACCGTTAAAAGGAGCTAAACCAACTTAAAACCATGGCCTCAGACAACCATAGTTAGTGGTGCTGGGGGCAATCTTTTTATCTCTGAGGCCAGCAGCAGCAGTAGTGGGTGGGAGCTGCATGCCCCCAGGGCCAATCGGGGCGGAGGGTGGCATTGGGCCTGGGCCTCATGTTCAAAGGGACCTCAGATTTAGACACTTGCTGGGGTTCTTTTGGCATCTGGTAAGTTTCACAACTTGTTTTTGTGTGCATTGGATCAAAATGTGACACGCTGCCTCATTTAAAGCTGCAGATTAAAGCAAACAGGAGATTCAGTTTTGCAAAAGATATAATTCTTTTGTTAGCGGATACATAGTCATAGTTAAGAGTTAAGAATGTCAAAAGAAAAGAAAATATATTGGTTTAGATGGCACAAGGTTGGGTTACAAACATGCCCTTTCAAAATGTATGATTATATAAACCACTCACTCTTTTTCGTGCCTTATATTGTTTTCGTTTGTTGTCATGTGTTGCTGTCTTCATCGCCGCCGTTGCTGCTGCTAGAGGCATCAAAATCTGAAAGTGATTTGGGCCTCCCTGGACCCCTGAAAGGGCCTGCATTCCAGTAAGAGAGGCCAGAGCCAGTGTGGGGTGAAGCCATTCACACATTCACCCACACAGCTGTTTGGCAGGCTGGGAGAAATGCAAAAGCACATGAGAATGTGCGATGGTTCTGACCAATGCACTATAGATGTGTGCCTTTTTGAACTACTAGTCTAAAGTGCAAAATTCAGGAGGAGGGGAGGGGTAGCTTATGAGCCATGGACTGCCAGAAATAAGATTCAACACATGTCCTGTTATTTAATTAGAAACTGTACAAAAGGATAGCAATGTAAAGAAAGGTACCTCATCCCCACATTTATTCAGTGATGATGATTCAAGCACTCACTCTCATTCTGTAAACCTTTCTGCCAATCACAATGTTGGTTGCTAAATATAGTCCAGTGAGCTTATTCTAGAGCTTGCAGTGGGTTGCCTATGTAGTGCCCTGCTGCTTTCCCAAGAATGTCCACAAATAAACCAGGGCAACAGTCACAGAGGGTAGCATTTCCACCTACAGTAAAGAGTGAGCTACTTTTACCGTCCCACATCACGCCATAAATTAAGGGTCTGACTGTGGCAATGGGAAGGCAAAAGGAAATGTATGGAGGTTCCGTGGTGACTCAGCCTGACTGATGCTTCGTGCACCCAAGATCTCTTCTATTTGCCCATTCCCAGCACACTGGATCAGTCTCTTCCTTGTACATCTTAGCAACTGTTACTGCAGTGATAAGCACAGAAATTTTGTTCCCTACATTTCATAATTTTAAATTTTAAACTGTACATTTTTAAACCATTTCTAGTGTTGTATTTTAAATTGTTCTAACCTGCCCTGGGGCCTTAAGAGTGAAGGGCAGGCAATACCTCATCACCATCATTATTAAATGTATACTATGAGTGGTTTCATGCAGTCCTTAAACAAGCCCATTATATTTCCTTCTGTAAGAAACGGACACTAGTTTTGTTTTTCTAGACAGAGATTCTCAAGTAAAAAAAAAAACCTGCATTATTTCTGATCTTTTTTTAAGAACACACACAACCTAGTGATTTCTCTAAGTAATAATTTGATGGAAATACCTTTTGTTTCTACTGAGAGAAATGTTTTTATTAAACACGCAATCTAATTTAAAATAGAAAATGTATGTACAGTTACAAAATGAAATTATTTATACTTGGACATCCATTCAGGTGTTTTAAGTCCATGAAGCCTAGTAAGCAAGTAGCAGAACACGAGACCTGGGCATTTTAGGTTCAGCAGTAAATGATTAATTGCAGTGGATGCCAAAGAGACTCAAATACATGCCAAAAGTGGATAACAACAGTTGATATCTCTGGTGAGTCCTCTGAAGATATGAAAAGAGAAACAGTGAAAGAAACAGTCTTGGGGGCCTTCCCAGGTTGGATCATTTTGCTGATACACTGTTTGTAACTTATAAATATAGATATAATGGAAATGTCTGGAAGACTCATTATCTCTTTTTGAACTCTTAGAAAGACACACTGAATACAAACTAAGCAATCCCAAGGTGAATATTTCATGGCAGAGAACCCATCACTTCCTAAGCCCTGTCAGCAATGCTCTGGTGGGAGGAAAGCTTTTCACTCTTTTTTCTTTCAGTTCTCCTTCTGTTTATTTATTTTTTAAACTTGCATTGACATCAGAGTGGGCATAGTCTTTTTGCCCTTTTCAGGGTGCTTGTGTCAAGGGAAGCCATATGTAATGAAGCACTGACATTTCTTGTTCCTTTTTTTAAAGGGAAGAAGCAACGGAGAAGAAGTGAAGGCTTGACCCTTCATCTGTATCACTTGTCGTTTACCCCTTTGCAAATTAATCTTGCAGGCATTTGTAGCCACTTGCAAAATGAACAGTCGATGTCTGTCTATTCCATGTCATAGTGCTGACAGGCCACTCTGTGCACTCTGAATCTTATAGACACCTATTCACAAATGAAGACTGTTAATGTAAAGATCCTCATCCCTCTAAGCTAAAGATCTCTGCTTCTTTTTCTTTCCAGAAAGCAAAACTCCTGTTTATATACCTGCAGATCTCATCATTGCTAAAGGTGTCTAGTTCAAAGCATTTTCCAGGGGCAGAGTCTCCCTCCTCCAGAGAGATGTTTGGGACCCTTGTTTTGGGTACTGGTTTCAGATTTGTTTCCACTGGTGATGTTTTGATTTCCACGTTCACAGCTGGGTCCTTGTTATTACCAAAAAATTGTTTCTTAATATCCTCAAAACTGTCTTTCCAGCTTCTTTTGCCTGCAGCAATCTCATCAATCACTGCTTTGTGGAAGGCCCGCACTGTTTCCCACCGATGCTCACCCAAGTGGTCAAAAACTTCAAAGCAAAGGAGATGCCTAGCCTTACGTTCTTCTGGAGAGAGGTCCAGCTCTAGGATGTGGAAATAGCCGAGCATAAACAGGTCAAGAGTTAAGCTATTGTAGTCAATAGGCTCACCATTGACATATGGCAGGAATTGTTCTGGAGAGTAGATTGCATGCCGGTGATTGAGGCGCCTGATCTGTCGAGATGGTACAAGGGAGATGATGTCTTTCCAGTGACTGATCAGATTCTTGATAGTGTATCTCTGTTGAACTAAATGGCCAAGCTTGTTCATTTCCACCAAGGGCTTCTGCACTGGAGGCTGCTGTTTCTTGAGCTCTGCCATCACGTCTACCAGTCCCATTTTTCCAGGCACCTGGGTGTCAAGAGTCCTCCTGGCCATGAGTTTCAAGGAAGGCGTATAGGCAGATTTCTTCCAGTGACTGAGAAAAAGAAGCACAATGCGCTCTTTTCGGAGGTTGCTAGACTCTGCTGTTGAGATGCAAGAATCAGTCACAGAGGAGGCTCCCTCACAGCTGACGCCAGAATCACTGGCATTCTCCATGTCTCCAAACTCATGTTCCTCACAAACCAATTGCTTCTTGTTTTTACAGGTACCTAGAAACATTTGAGGGGATGACTCCTTGGCTGTCCCATGTTCCCAGGGAATGGCATTCAACCCTCGCTGCTCAAAAGCTTTGTCTTGTCTCCAAAGATCCTGCTTTTCAAAATTTCCCCTCAGATTCCTGACAGAGACGCCACACTCCAGGATTTCTCTCTTGACAGTGCCACCTGAAATACACTTGGTCTTGCTTGACTTATGGGAATCCCGTAGAGCTGGCTTCTCATTAGCTGCTTTTTTCATGCCATTGACATTGGTAAGCAGCATGGACATGCTTTTTACCAGTCCAGACACATGACTGCACCAGGCAGGGAGCTCCTGGCTACCATCCTCTGAGCCTTGTTGCAGAAACTGACGGTTGACTGTGATATTGACGACGGGAGCAGGTAGAACAGTCTGCAGCTCCTCTGTCAGGCGTCCTAGCTCACTCTCATACTCCTGGCATTTCTTCTTCATCTGCAGTTTCTCAATCTGCTTCTCTAAGTACAGCAGGTCATCCTCAGTGAGCAATTCCCCAAAAGGGCCCAGGATGGCATTGTAAGACTGGGAATATTGCCAGTCATCCATCTCCAGTGTGCAATTCTCCTTGTTCTAGATGGGGCAGCAGGGAAGAAAGAAAGACTGCCATCAGTTAAATTCAAAGACATCGCTTCAGGCCCCTTTCCCCAGCCTGCCAAAAATGAAGAGTCAGAGAAGTGACTCAGCACATCACAGATTCATAGAAATATAGGGCTGGAACAGATCATCAAGTCCTGGCCTCAGTCAGAACAAAGAATTTCATCTTGTCACAGAACTATTTACCATCAGCTACACTTATACCTTGGATATACAACTGTAAAGTGAGCCACCTGCCTGAGTGATTGAATAGGGATGTACTTACTACTTACTTACTTACTTACTTACTTACTTACTTATTACTTACTTACTTACTTACTAATGTGACCTGCCTTTTGTCTATCATGGAATCCAAGGCAACATATTTATTTATTTTAGTTATTCATTCCATAACATTTATATACTGCTTGACTATTCAAAAAAACCCCACCTCAGAGTGGTTTACAAAAACTACTACTACTACTACTATTATTATTATTATTATTAAAAAAAGAAATAAAGAATAAAAATATGTGTAAAAGCAGTTAAAAACAGCTATTTAAAATATTCAAATAAATAAATAAATTCAGTGATTAAAAGCAGATTCAAATACATATCAGCATTCTACATATCTGTGTAGGCTTGTCTAAACAGCAGGCACCAAAAAGAGTACAGTGAAGGTGTATACCTGATGTCAATACTACATGTTGTTCCTGGACAATCCCCCATCTAGGAACTGACCAGGCCCAACCCTGCTAAGCATGGTGGTGGCCTTATGTGCCGTCAGACCAAACCATTCACATCTGTAATCTATAAAGTTGTGGCCTATTTGATCCCAAATTTACATTCACTGTCTTGTCTGGTTATTTATTGATCCGGGAGCAACAGAGTCATGCAAAAGGAAGTGCTGGGAATTACTCTGAAATCCAAATTTCCTAGATCTTAGCAAAGCACATTTACAAAACATAGACAATGTGTATATTATTTGCCCGTCTGCTCTTAGGGCAACCTAACTGCAATAAAAACGGAGGCCAGCGTGTGAATCAGGTAAGACAGTACAGTGACACAGTTTCCTTCTATTGGCTCAATACAGTACCTTCCTGCCCATCCCTTCTTCGGATGCCAGCTGCGCCTGTAATTTCCTCACCATCACCTGCCGCTTCCACTCTGGAATTGAACAACCTTGCTCATCATGAGTAGGCACCAAGGCATCAATGTCCGATGTTCCTAGCTCATCCAGCATTGAGAGCAGGTTGCCTGGTACTGCAGCATCTGGTGTCTCTCTCTTCTCACCCTGCATGGAGGACACCTAACTTGTTAGCAACTTTTAAGGAGTTTAAAGAAGAACAGATGCTCATGAATCTACCACAATTGATCCTCAAAACATTATGGCACGTATCTTCTCAGGAAGCCCAAAGTTATTAGAAGGGCTACCTACAGCAAAGCTGGAGAACCTGTGGCCCTCCAGATGTTGCTGGGCTCCAATTCCCATCAGCCCCAGTCAGCCTGGCCATGTATGATGGGAGTTGTAGTCCACCTAAATCCAGAGGGTCAACAGGTTCCCTGTCCCTGTTGTGGAACATAAAGCTATATATCTCCATCTGTGGGTTATTTTTAACACTTCTGAAAGGATGTGTTTAGAGGCAGGTCAGCCTAATAGCTAAACCTGGCAGGAAAAGAGAAAGAAAAATAAAACAAAAGAATTAGATGGAAGAGAACTGCAGGAGAGATCATCGGGATTACGAATACAAAACAGATGAGAGACAAAGAGGTGTAGATTATCATACAACATACAGAGCTTGAGAACAATGTGGTGATTCTCGCCTTCTGCAGAGATTTATTGATCTTCAGCTCGGGAATCAGTGATTTGTTTGATTCAGTGGGTTTCACCATGTCGAACGACTTTGAAGCTGGAAGAAAGACAAACATACTGGAATCCTACAGTGATGCACCAAAATCCACACTGAGAGCTAGAAGATTGAATTGACCACTGATAAGCTTAAGACATTTCTGTTCTGCACCATTGAGAACAGGTTAATTTCCTTCCAAGTTATGTAGACATCCACACCACAGTATTTGTCATGCCAGCAAAGGACGTAAACAAAGGAACATTGCACAGTTACGCCTACCTACCCCCATAATATGAAGGGCAAACTAGACATGATGTGGGAGATCTGTTAACAAGATCTCCCACGCTGTTGTTTTAAAGAGCAAAGGAGTTACTGCAGGGGATTGTCCATCCCTTGACATGATTGAAATCACCTTCCACGGAAAGTTGCTATTTGAGATATCCAGTATATCTTATTAGATCTCATCCAATGTGTTTTAAACTAATCTTTCTCAAGGACACTCTCAATCACAAGCAAACAAAGTTTTTTTTATCTCTGGAATGGACTCCACCTCCCATCAGAGCCACCTAGCATGGTCAGGGATGATGAGAGATGTAGTTCAGCAAGATCCAGAGGAGAGCATTTTGGCCACTTCATTGTACAGCTTTTGCCATATGCTGGAGATGATGAGGATCATGAGTTTATTCATATATACATGTGTACTCGAAGTGGTTACTCATATACACATCTTTACCCTGGCCTCTGACAGTTAAGGTCTCACCTTTTTTGTGTGAGACCCACCTCTTGTTGAATTTCTACTGTTCTGCTCCATTTTTATGTGTTTTATCATTGATTTTATAATTGCATATTCTATTGTTGTAACCTGCCCTGGGAACCTATGGTGGAGGGTGGGTAAGAAATCTTATAAATAAATAACCCCTCCTCTAACATCTCTGTGGCAAATGGGATACTGATGTAGGTCTAGATGATACACAGTCACTCCTATCCTGGATTGTGAGAAGAAACAGTCTGCTTTGTGGCATAAACTGATTGGCCTTCCCACAACATCCCCTCCGCATTAGCCTTTTGCAGGTGTTCAGAGAACATATCTAACACTACGTAATATCTGTCTCCACAACCAACTCTGTCTCCACAACCAACCCCCATGTTTCTTTAAAAGGTCTAATGAGGTTCCTGCATACACATAGGCTCTTTCTGCACAACTGGGAACCCTGTAAAAGGCAGGTTCTCCTATTATGAAGGTCAAGTTTCAAGCTTTAGATGAATGCTTTGAGGTCACTTAACATGTGAAAGAGTCTACTCTACTGAATTTCAGGGATGCTCAGCATTTATATTTGTCACAGGAAAGTTAATTGGGTGGCATTACTCACCAGGTGCTCTATGAAGAGCGCTATTAATATCTTTTTTCTGCATATTTGATGCAGCACTTACATCTGATTGAAGAGGTCTCATTGGTTGCTGGATCTAAAAATACACAAGGGAAGATTAGAAATGTAATCTTTGAAAACTAAAAGCGTTTTTTCTGTCTCTGGCCTGGTTTGTTCTGTTGTTGGCATCCATCTGTCTCGAGAGACAATGGAGTGTGCCCCCAGGGGGGAGAGACTGGTAACTCTGCCTCCCATATTGATTTTGCTGTGTTAGCAGTACCAAAGTGACCCCTCCAGGATGCAAGCCCACCCCTTGGCCTCACTGATGTGGATCAAAGGAAAGCAGAGCAATATGTTTGGAAGTTCAAGCAGCTTAAAGGCATGGTAGAATCAAAGAGTCTTTGCCACCCTTGCAAGGCTCAAAAGAGGAGGCAACCAAACCCCTTTTCGGGAGGGAGTCCCACAATTTGGGTGCCAGTACCAAGAAGCCTGTTCCTGTGCCCCCACCAAGCACCCCTCCAAAGTTGGCAGAACATGGAGCAGGGCCTCAAAATGTTGAACACTGTGTATGAGCAGGTTTATGTCTAGGCCTAGATCACTAGTTCACGCACAAGCTTCTAAGTGCATGTCTGTGTACAGTGAGGTTTGTTTGGTTATCCTTTGTGGGCTATAGATAATAAGAGAGGAATCAGTACATCAGCCCCATGGAAACCATCCTGGAGGTTCTAAATACAAAAGCTTCTTGCACATTTGCATTGCCTTCTAGTCAATCAGAGCATCAAGAATTGTAGAAGACAGCAGAACAAATCATCACATAGTACTCCCTTGTAGCCCTGTATGATCCTGAGGGAAAACATTGGTGTACGGCGGGGATGGTAGTGAACAATATGGGATGCACAGCTTTCTGAATAAGAGCACAACAGCACAAGTCACGAGAAGAAAAAGAATAAACATTGAAAGGAATTGCAAAGCATAGGGCTGAAGGACTCAGTTACATGGCGTGATAGAAAAATGCAAAGCAATAACGTTACAGTTAAAGAAACTAAGATAGAAAGTTATATATTGGCTTTACAACCTGATCCCATACTGCATCTAAGATGCGCTCCTGCCTACAAGCTAGCTGGCATCCTATCATTCAATCTACCATACTGTCATTCACTAAATTTGTGCTTAATTGTACTTTCTGCTGTTTGCAGTCCACTCTCTGGTTTGTGACTAGGCACAGAGAGAGTATGTATGGGGATCTGTTTTAGAGGACTGTGTACAGTCATCAGGGGTGACCTGTGTCGGTATAAGTTTGCCATTGTATCCGTGTCCGTTGAATGGTTGTGCTATTTGCCCTTTACAGCTTGGTATTAGCATTAGTCTTATGCATTTAGTTAACATAAGGGCTGTCATCCAATTAAAAAATATTACATTATTATTATTATTACATTTATATTCCACCTTTTCTCCAAAGAGCTCAAGATGGCATACACAGTTATTTCCCCCTCCATCTTTATTCTCACAACAACCCTGTGAGGTAGATTAGGCCAAGAGAGAGTGATGGGCCCAAGGTCACCCAGTGAGCTTCATGGCTGAGTGAGGATTTGAACCCTAATCTCCCAGGTCCTAATGCAGCACTCTAACCACTACACCACGCCAGCAAAGGTGCTTAGTGAATAATATTCTGCCTTTTAACAACCAATTGATTCATTTGACTGGCATATATTTGCATATCACCAGGACCTCAATATAAAGGCACTAAAAGAGGTGAGAGATAATATGCTATTTCTACTTGTTACAATAAAACACTAGTACTTTTAATTCTTCAAAATATAAACAAGTGTGCCTTTAATTCTAAAGGCATTAGAATAAAAAGAATTTAAAGGCATTAGAATTAAATTAGTGATACGTTCAGCTAAATCAACAGAAACATGTGTTCCGATATGGAAACATTCCATCAGTGACACTGCATTTCAGAAAATCAATCGAAAACAAACATTGCACAGCACAGCTGGAGTTGAAGACATTAACATGCTGTAGGTTTGTTCTGTATTTCTTGAATTGACACCGGAAGGCTAGATTTTAGATTGTTACACCACCACCCAAAGTGCTAACCCCCAACTCTACCACAACCAGCAGGGGTCAACTTTGGTCTTTCAAATTTCCTGTGCCCTGTGTGAGCCCAAAATCTGGCATGCCCCGCTTCCGTTCTTCTGAATTCTCTAAGTCATAGTTGTGGTGCCCTGCAGCCCCGTGTGGCATAACCGGTCGCACTGCCCTGAATTCTTCTCTGCCACCAGGGGGCCCCCATATTATCCACCAGGCAGAAATGACAGGCAGAAATTTATGGAACTGCTCCAAAGATGTACATACCAGTTATTCACCTCCTGTCCTTGGTGGGGTCCATTTGGAACGGAAGGGAAAAGATGAACAAACGCTGCTCAGATTAGATCCAGCCCTTAGGGAGATTAGATTTTCATAACAAACCAGGGAATATTAATAACTACTCTTAAAAGGAGGAGAAACTGGAGAACCCACTCGGTCTAGAGGCAGCCAGAAACTGCATTGTGTGGCAAATGCCAGAAGGAGAAAGGGTGGAGGTCAGGGAGTCACAATTAGCATTGCATTAATATTTGAAGGCTGGGCATCAGGTGGCAACTGACAAAGCAGCCCAAGGGGTCTAGAACCTTTAGCTGTAACCAGGAAACTGAACTGCCTGCGCCCTTCTTCCTTTTCCATTCATTTTCTAAAATGAATAAGTTTTGTGTGGAAAGAGAGTGCTCGGCTGGGTTTAGTAGAGCCAACACACACACACACACACACACACACACACACACACACTGGACCCGACTGTCTGTTGGTAGCCAGTCCTAGAGGTCAGCAGGGTCAAGAAAATATTTAGGCCCAGAGGCTGCCTGAATTGTTCCAGTCTCCGCAGGCACCCTGAGGAAAATGAGTTGCTGAATTCTCCCATATTCCTCTGCAAAGCCTTAAGATCAATCATGTGATGACTTTTGTTAAAAAGGCAAATAAACTTTAAAGGAGTCACACAGCACTGCAGTTTTGGTCACAGCAGCAGCACTGTGGAGAGAGTATTTGATTTTTCTTTCCCCTCATGCTATTTTGTACATTTACGTTGCTACCCCCCAGCCCGAAGCTGCTATAAACTGTGCAGTTGGGTGAGAGGAGCACTTATATCATGCCTGTTTTTTTCAAAACTGCAGAGCTAATGGCAGGTTCAGAGTAGTTATTTCAGAAGAACAGCAGAGAGAGGAAAGAGCTAAACATCCCTTCATCATCATCATCATCGCTTGGTTCAAAATAGGAGCCCTCTCAGTGACTTTAATTATTATTTTTTTAAAGTTGAGAGATCTGACCATGGAATGCCCATGTCCTGTGTGGTATGGTCTTTACATGAATAACTTCTCTCATCAGATCAGCCTCCATACATTATATATGGATATAATGGATTGGCAGTGATAGATTACAAAAGTGTAATTTAAGTACGGGGCTAGAATAAAATAATGAACTATGAGACTAATGAACTCAGAGCTATTCACAGAGTTCAGGGAGATAATTACTGCCCCCAACCAGCTAGCAGTTTTCAAGCGGATGAAGTTTTCAAGTGTTATTCCAAAATAATGCTTCTCTCCGTTTCCTAAACATTTGATCTATTAATCCGATTTTACTGCTAGCATTAAGCCCATCTCAAACGCTTGGGGAATGTAAAAGTGCAAAATGTCACATTAACACTAAATTAAAACAGTAACAATTTGACGGCCATTTGATAAAGAGCGTGCTTTGGGTTAACCTTCCAGCTCTGAGCATGGCTGAGAAAGATGGCTTCCCCAGAAGGAGGCGTTCTTAAGAATGTTACAGAGGAGCTGGCACACTTTGCTCCTCTTGCAGCTTCCTCCCAAAAGGTTTCCCCTAACATTTACTGTAAGACATTGCACAAATGCAAGAAGTAACGGGCCCATGAAGGAACAAAGGTTGTGCTTGCAAGGAGGAAATTGGATCAAAGTATGTGTGTCAAAGGTGCTGAGAAGGACATGTAATTCTAACCAAGGATGTTAGTGAACAAAGCCTCTCTCAACATAGGCAACTATGTACAGTGGTGCTAATTACAGGCAGAGAACAGAACACCAGCAAATGTCTACCACATAAAAAGCCAACGGCCTCTTAGCCAGGCACCATCTTATGCTCACAGCTGGTTGGTAAATATAGTTAATTTCATCCTAACACACTCTATACATTATGCGACTTTGGCTATGTGCACATAAGGGATGGAGGAGAAATATGGTTCAGTTCATATTTGAAATCAAATTTATCAGATTCTTACTTTCTGAAACAATACGAGAACAGAAACACAGCCATCCTTCAAAATTCACAGTTATCCAAATTTTGTGATATAGTCCTCCAACCAATGTTTAGAAAAATGCATATATTCAGAAAACAGGTGCATTGAAAATGAATATATTACAGTGGTACCTCGGTTTACGAACTTAAACTGTTCCAGAAGTCCGTTCTTAAACCGAAACGGTCTTAAAACAAGGCACATTTTCCCTAACGAGGCCTTCTGCTGCCAGTGCCCTTCCACTGTTCAGATTGTTTAGTCGTTTATTCATGTCCGACTCTTCATGACTCCATGAACCAGAGCACGCCAGGCACTCTTTGGTTCTTAGACCAAGGTAAAGTTCGCAAACTAGGACACTACTTCCAGTTTTGCGGAGTTCGTAAACTGAATTGTTTGTAAACAGGACTGTTCTTAAACCGAGGTACCACTGTAGTGGAAATAACATAGAAAAATCCAGAAGTGTGGAGAATTGAACTAAGATTGGAAAATCTAGAAATGGAGAAGATTGAAATTGGAAAGTACTTCCATACCTATATTTACATTTAGCAACAGTATTTCAATGATCATATCTTAGTTTATTAACCCAAGAGATGCACAAGTCTCTTGCCTGAGCCTTCAGTCTCTGCTTGCAATTAAATGAGGAAATGTGTAATGAACCATATATTTCCATTTTATACAAACTATGGTTTACCTGCTTTGGAACAAAGCAGAATCTTATGTTCCAGAGCTGCTAAACATTGTTTCCTGGACAATAAGAAACTATGGTTAGTTTGGGACTTCCTGGCTTAGTCATGGCTTGTGCAAAAGGAGGAACAAAGGGGCTCCTCCAAACATGAGAAGCCGGGCCTCCTCAAAAAATACATGGGCCCCCCCGAGGCCTCTGAGAGTCGTCGCCTATGAATTACAGCATGAACAGAACTGGCTGCGCTCATCCGTGACTGAAGTTGTTTTAGTCTTTACCCCTCCCTCAGTCCATAAGGCTTGAGCAAGAGAGGTCCACAGACCCCTGTGTCTCCAGAACCCCGATCCACATGTGGGCGCCAGCACTGTGTTAATTAGTCATTGCCAAAGAGTGTTCTGGAGAGATTTTTCCCCCCATTAATATTTTAATGGGAACTGAGTGATGGGAAGAGGTTCTGGTTTCAAAAGTTCCCATTCCAAATCTCGGGCTGTGGCAAGGATTTACTATGCTTTGTTCGGTGAAACCTAAGAGCTTGATTAGGATTTCAGAGCCAGCTTCTCAAGTTAGCCACAGTGCCATTCCGATGCCCCATGGTGCTTTTCTCTTGCTGCTGAAGAGCCTCAGCTGTGGAAACTTGCCGCTGCCTTACTGAAGGCTCTCACTCAGCAGCCTCTGTACTCCTCCTTCAGACCCTTCTTATCTCACCATCAGTTGCTGGCTAATTGCTGTCTAGTATCCATGTCCTCACACTGGCAGAGGAATCCAGGAGGCTCTTCAACATGCTTGCCCACTTGTTGCCCTGTGCTAGGGACATAAATAGGTGGAAATTTTCCACTCTGCTCAACAGCATGCCAAAAATAGCTGCAAAGGCAAGAGGAGCACAGAATGAATTCCATCAGGGCTGCAGAAGGGAGCCAACCACTTGTTTCAGAGCGGAGATTGTGGAAACCCAGTGACATAACTTCCTAATATTTGTCTGGCACATGGCGATTGGTGAGATAGGGCAATAAATTTATGTGGATTGAATGGGTATGAGGCAAACAGATCTAAGGATTCAGATGGGACAGGCTCAGTGACTAACTAGTCACCCAGTGACTAATATATCTAACAAGCAGAGCCTGCTATGCAAAGTTGCAATGTACTGTGCTCCTGCTCAGTGTTCCAGCCAGCCAACCAGCCATACCTTCGTTCAGGATACTCCATTTCCCCACCCCTCCACTGCCTGCCTGCTTCAATGAGTGCTTGTAGCTCAGAACACCACTCAACAAGTGGACCGAAACACTGCACCAGGCAACAAAGAAAGAAACAAACCCTCTTGCTCCTTGCAAACTAGAACATCAGGAACATCTGCCCTGGCTTGTCCACTGACCTGCTGCAGGTTAATGACCATGGAAGTCAGCTTTCAATGACCATGAGCTGAAAATGTTCACACTGCTCATTTTTTTAGAGTAATGTTTTGGGAAGGTTTCTGCTTTGATTTTTAACAAGGGATACATAATATTATGGAAGCCTGGATAATTTACCTTTCTCGTGTGGTAGTCTTCTGCCTTGTGGTGACATATCCAGCTCACCGAGGAAACAGTACAGAAGCCTCTGTCTCCAGTGACTCACATGAACACTAAGACTTGTACATGATCAAAATATAATGTTTAGATTACCAGCTTCTCTGCTTCCTGTAGGTAACATGCACACTGCCTGTGTCCATTGTATTCTGCCAGGTCTCGCGCAGTGTAACCATCCCTGTCATGGATGCCTGGATCTATTTGGTGGGAGATCAGGGTTTGACAGCACTGCAAATAAATGCACAAACAACCACCATCACCCTAATCAGTACAACCAATTTATGAGCAAGAAAGGGAATCATGAATGCAACGGGGGCTTTTTCTTCAATTCTTTTGCCAGTGCAACTGTCACAGCTGGACAATAATGTTCGTAAGTCAAAGAATAGTCAAATAAATCAATAATTATTCAAGGTAAGCTTTTTGCATCAACTGAAGAAGGTAGGCTGACATTGCTTAGAAATCCATTCCCACTGAACTCCATCATTTGTTCATTTTGGGCTTCCATTTAAAAAATCCTCCCTACGCTGTTTAAACACTATGGATGCTGGATTGATACAAACACAAGATGCACGAGCTGATTGTTTAAACAACCAAGTGTGGGCTACTCTGAATCTGTTAAGTAACCACACGGATGGTTTCCTGGGAGGCAGGTGGGGGGGGGGGAGAGTAAATGTTAGGGGAAACCAATGTTTTTTCTCCTGGTGGAACGCACCAGAACCCAGTTCCAGGTCTTTTTACTATTATTATTATTATTATTATTTCAAATCCTCCTGTCAGCCACATAGGAGAGGGGAGTGACGGCATGCACACGTCATGATCAACCATGGCTGAACACACTGTATGAGTACAGCTGTGCCATCAATTGAGTTCTGATCCAATACTCATTTCCCTCGCTACATGGTATCACCAAATACCTCGAGATGCCCATTCTCAGCTGCATCATGGAGTGGGGTTCCTCCCCAATGGTCCAGCACCACGTTAGCTCCCATAAGGAGGAGTCTGTCAACAATTGCAGTGTGTCCCTCTCTGGCAGCAAAATGGAGTGCAGTGGCTCCTTCTGCATCCTGTGCTGTGAGGCCGACATCAGTGAAGGTAACCTACATGAAGGGGGGGAAAGGAGGATTACGTAGGAGTCAAAGCCAAATGGTTTTTTTTTTTTAAGATGAGCTGTTGTTTTTTCATTCACCTATTTCTGCAGCTGCCTGGGGTACTTTAGTGCAGAAAGCAGAGGGAATTTGCAAACAGAAAAATAGTCTGGAAGCACCCTCCGTTTCTGCAATTTGTTTTCTATATACACTGCATGCCATACGTACCACAGAATTGTGCCTGACATTGGGGGTGTTAGAAGCTAAAACTGCATACCTTTTATATTAAATAAAAAAAGAAGTACAAGGGCAATTAAACCTTTTGGTGGCAGACCTCTCTATTCTGGACGTTTCTGATTATTAAAGATATGAGTGGCAATCAAATTAGTTAACAATGCAGCATTTAAGAACATGTATGATAAAAAAGAAATATTGAGCTCCATGGCTGGCATATGACTGCAGAACAATCTACAGTGGACAAAATGATGTCATGGGTTGATTCAAATAATATATTCCCATTGCTAAAATGTAAGTGTTTCTTGCTTATCTGGATTTGAAGATTGAAAAAATACTGGTTTATGGAAGACAGAATGGTTGGACGTTAATGAGTGAATACTATATTTAGCTGCAGGACAGAGAATCAGAAGTCTTTTATCTTTCTTCTCTCTCTCTCTCTCTTCCTTTTCTTTCTTTCTTATACTCTTTCTCTCTCTGTTCTTTTTTATATTATGTATTTCATTATAAAAAGATAGTTCACAATGGGTATGAATTTTTGTATATCTTTGGACAAGTATCAATGAATATATTTTTTTAAAGAAAAGGAAAAAAGTGGGATTGTGTGTGACTGTCCCAATAACATAATGAACAGAAAACATCATGAATGTGCAATAAAAAGAAATTATGGAGGGACCTTCAGTGACACAGTTATCCAGAGGAGCATATTCATATTCTTGTCAAGAAACGACACTTGCTACCTAAAATGTAAAAGTACAGGTTTACCAGCCAGATGACAACAGCGTAGTGACCACTACAGGCAGCTGCGTGGAGCACTGTCATGCCATCATGTGCTCTCAGGTGCACATCAGCCTCACAGTCCTTCACCAGGAACTGGACGATGTGCAGGTGGCCCTCCTGGCAGGCGAGATACAGCGGGGTGGCTCCACTCTGAGTTTGCTTGTTCACGCAACTGTTGGAGGAGAGGAATTATGCCAATATTAGAAGGGATGGGGGTTGGGGATTCATTGCCTCTGCGTGACAATTACATAGTTCCTTATTTAATGTATTTTTGCATATACACAGGCACATTCCCACATGGAATTTATATATATCATGAAGCTGTCAGAGGCACAGATTCTCTGCCACGTCAAAGGTGACAAGCCAAAAGCCCAGGTGATGAGGGCATCTGAGAGCAAGGCTGAAGGCTGTACAGTGGTACCTCAGGTTAAGGGAGCTGGTCATGTTTAGCCTGGAGAAGAGGAGGTTAAGGGGTGATATGATAGCCATGTTCAAATATATAAAAGGATGTCACATAGAGGAGGGAGAAAGGTTGTTTTCTGCTGCTCCAGAGAAGCGGACACGGAGCAATGGATCCAAACTACAAGAAAGAAGATTCCACCTAAACATTAGGAAGAACTTCCTGACAGTAAGAGCTGTTCGACAGTGGAATTTGCTGCCAAGGAGTGTGGTGGAGTCTCCTTCTTTGGAGGTCTTTAAGCAGAGGCTTGACAACCATATGTCAGGAGTGCTCTGATGGTGTTTCCTGCTTGGCAGGGGGTTGGACTCGATGGCCCTTGTGGTCTCTTCCAACTCTATGATTCTATGATTCTAAGTACTTAATTCGTTCCGGAGGTCCGTACTTAACCTGAAGCTGTTCTTAACCTGAAGCACCACTTTAGCTAATGGGGCCTCCTGCTGCTGCCGCGCTGCCGGAGCACAATTTCTGTTCTCATCCTGAAGCAAAGTTCTAACCTGACGCACTATTTCTGGGTTAGCAGAGTCTGTAACCTGAAGCGCATGTAACCTGAAGCGTATGTAACCTGAGGTACCACTGTATTTGAAAGGCAGAGCTGGAGGAGCCAGATGTCTTATAGCAGAACTTTCCCTGTATTTTGACGTTTTTCAGGGGAAATAACTGGTTGAGGACACTGGGGAAAATACTCTAACATGAAAGCAAAGGGGAGCACCTGATGGAAATGGGGGATTGGAAAATTGAAAAGCTCTATTAAAAAAGAGAACTTCCCAAATGCAACAAAGCCCCAAAGCACTGAGAAATGTACCTGGCATCAGGTATAGTATATGGAATATGACACAACTTATAAAGGAGTGGAAGTGGAGGCAGCAGCAATAACAGAAATAACAGCAGAAGGAGCTGCAGCACGGTGGGGGTAGCAGCAAAAATGGAACTTTAGTATAATGCAAAAATGGAACTTTAGTATAATGCAGTATAATGCAAACAAAATACATTGTTGTCAAATTGGAATCCTGTGATTAATCAAGAGGACTTAGTATCTCGGGCGAAATGGCGCACACAAAAAATGCATACTGAATTAAATGTGAAAGCGCTCGTGTGTATAAAGAACTAGAGCAGTGCAACAGCTAATGTTGGAATAGGGAGACCCAGGTTCGTATCTCCACTCTACCATGAAACTCACCAGGTGACTTTGGGCCTGTCATTCCTTCTAAACCAAACCTACCTCACAAGTTTATTGTGAAAATAAAATTAGGTTGTCTGGGGAAGAGAGGAGAGAACCACGTCTGCTGCCCTGTGCTTCTTGAAAAAGGAGTGGGATAAATTGTAATAACTAAATAACAGTTTCCAGATTCATGTAGATAAACTTTTTTTTTTACTAAAAACATTTTAACCCTTTAAAAGCAAGAAGTGAAGGAAACAGATTGGAATCAATTCACATAATTACTTTAGGTGTTTTATAGTGGACTTCAGTCATTGTCATTACCAGCAGGGGGCAACCATGTTTATTTTATATCACTCTCCTCTTGCCTCCTGGATAAGGGCTGGGGGATATAGGATTGCTGGATGCGTTTATTTAAAAAGCTTCTTTGGACGAGAGGTGTGCTGTTGACTCTTAAGGCATTTTTGCACCCAGGATTTCAAAGTGGCTCTTACTTCAATAGCTGTTAATGCAAAGGACAATTGCTCTTGGCCAGAATGCTTCATTATAAATGCTTCCTCACCACTTCTTCCACCACAGCAACAACAATCAGGTGGTAAATGCTTAGACTGATCTATGCCCTCCATGTGATAATGGCCTATGCCAGCCTTCCTATCACCTCTCAGTGAGCTTCCCTCCCTCTGACCTGTCTTCTGTAGCCAATATTTCATAGTACCAGGGCCAGCCCAAGACATTTTGCTGCCTGAGGCGCAGCAGCAAATATCCACTATGCCCCGCCAACAAACCAAGGTGCATGGCCTGTCATGTTATTCTTGCACCTGAGGTAGAAAATCCCACAAGCCTCTCTCCCCTCCCTGAATAATAAATAAGTGACAAACGTGTGATGGGATGATGAGCTGCTTGTGCGTAAAATCGTATCCCCTCAGAGTTTGTTCAAGTCCACAAACCTCTGTCTGTGACAGAGCCCCTCAGACATGGCTACTCTAGTCACTAGCAGATTCCGACAGTGGTTGCTTTCGTAATCGCTTCCAACATAAAAGCTCCTTAACGGAAACACGTCTTCTGGAATCTCTGCGTGACAGTTTCCGGCGAGGAGTGGGTGTTCTTACAGGAGGTCCTGAAACCTCTCCACTGTTTTCGCTGGAAGTGTCTCTGAGCCATCCCTCCAGCTCAGCTCCTCTCCCCCTGCTGGTTCCCTCATCAGCTGCTGCGTCTCTCCCAACCTGTGTGAGCCCTTTCACCTCCCTGTTGGTTTCCTCTTCAGCTGCTGCGTCTCTCCCAACCTGTGTGAGCCCTTTCACCTCCCTTCCGTCCGATGGCAGTTCCCTGACATCCACCTCCCCTCCAGGGCCCCCTTCACCCCCTCTCGCCCCCTCCTCTACGGGCGGTGAGGAGGCAAACCCCGGAATGAACTTCCTTCATCTTCCGATGTCTCGAACAATTCTCTCAACCTGTTGCGGTTCCTGGTCTCGAAGAACACATCCTCCACAGAGTCCATATCCCCTTACCCTTCCTAGTCCGGGAATCCTTCCAACTCCTCCCCTTCATCAGTGGTCCCAAAGTATTCCCTCCGGAACCTCTCCACAGGCTGAGGTTTCCTTGGGAACCTTTGATGGAACGTTTCTATCAATACCTCGTCATTGATATCTTCAGCCATTACCCAAGTGTTTTCTGACTCCGGTTCTCCTTCCCACGCTACCAAATACTCCACCTGATCCCCCTTCCACCTGGCGTCGAGGATTTCTGCCACATGGCTGCTGCATTCTCTTTCTTCTACGACCGGTCCCCGAGTGGCCAGCCCTTCTCGTCCCCCTTCGTACGGTGACAGTAACGACCTGTGAAATACTGGGTGCAGTTTCATGTGGTTGGGTAACCGGAGCCTGAAAGCCACTGGGTTGACCTGTTGAATGACCTCAAAGGGACCCAACCTCCTGGGTCTTAATTTCTTACAACCTCCTTTGAACGGCAACCCTTGGGTTGACAGCCACACCCTATCTCCCACCCTTATGGTTTCACCTTCCCTTCGGTTCTTGTCTGCCTGCCTCTTGTATTCTTCCTTCGCCCTTTCTAAGTTGAGTTGGAGCTGACGATGGATTGCTTCCATTTCTTCCACAAAATGCTCGGCTGCCGGGACGCTCCATCTCTCCCCTCTCCCCTGGGAAAGCCCTGGGATGACACCCATAATTAGCCAAGAAGGGGCTCATCCCTGTGGACACATTCTCGGCATTGTTGTAGGCAAATTCCGCCAGCGCCAACTTTTCTACCCAGTCATTCTCTCTGTCATTGACATAACACCTCAGGTATTGCTGGAGGACACCGTTTGCTCTTTCCGCCTGCCCGTTGGTTTCAGGGTGCCGGGCAGTCGAAAAATTGACCTCCACCTGCAGTAAGCTCATGAGCTTCCTCCAGAACCTGGAAGTAAATTGTTTTCCTCGGTCTGAGACCACCCTCAATGGCACCCCGTGCAACCTAAAAATGTTTTCTACAAATAACTTCGCTGTCTCTTCCGCCGTGACTGCATGCGAGCAAGCTACAAAGTGGCACATCTTTGTTAGTAGGTCTACCACCACCATGATGGCTGTTTTCCCTTTGGACTTCGGCAGATCAGTCATAAAATCTATCGACACTGCCTCCCAAGGTCGTTCTGGGGTTGGTAAGGGTTCTAATAGCCCCGCCGGCGCCCGCCTTTCCCCTTTGGCTCGCTGGCATTGCTCGCACCCTCTTACATACTCACGTACATCTTCCCTCACCTTAGGCCACCAAAATTCCCTGGTGACCAACCACATGGTTTTGTGTTGTCCAAAATGCCCCGCCGTAGGGCTGTCGTGCAACTGCTTGAGTACCCTCCCCTTAACTCTCCTTCAGGGATATACAGTGCCCCTTTGTAATACAAAGCTCCATTTCTTTCCTCGAAACCCCTGGTTCCTCTCCATCACCCCTAAGACCTCTGAGCTTATTCTGGGCGTATTCATCATTCTCTGTTTCCTCTACCAGTTCTCTTTGTCCCACCAATGCCGCCCCACACACCCAGCGGTCTTCTGGAATGACATGTCTCTCTTCGGGTGCCCCTCCCCTCCAAATATTCAGGTTTGCGTGAGAGAGCGTCCGCCCTAATGTTCTCTGGGCCTGGCACGTAACTAATCTCAAAGTTAAATTTGGAGAACTCCTGGGCCCATCTCACTTGCCGTTGGTTGAGCACTCGTGCCGTCCTCCAATACTCTAGGTTCTTGTGGTCAGTGCACACTTGCACCTTATGTTGTGCGCCAATTAGCAGGTGCCTCCATCTCCGGAACGCCTCATGAATGGCTAGTAGTTCTCGGTCATACACCGTGTAGTTCCTCTCGGATTTGTTCAGCTTTCGCGAAAAAAGGCACACGGTCTCCACTCTGACCCCTTCTTGCCTGGCTGCAGAAGCACCGCCCCAATCGCTCTGTCTGATGCGTCAGTTTCCACTCTCATCGGTTTTTGTAAATCCACATGCAGGAGTTGTTGTTCCGAGGCGAAGGCCCTTTTAGTTCCTCAAATGCTCGCTCCGCCTCCTCAGTCCACACGAACTTCTTCTTACTGCTGAGACAGTCCGTAATGGGCGCCGTCAGGTGGGCAAAGTTTCGGATGAACTTACGATAGAAGTTCCCAAATCCTAGGAACCTCTGCACATCCTTCTTTGTTTTGGGTGCTTTCCATTCCAGCACAGCCTGGACCTTGCCGGGATCCATGGCCAATCCCTTGTCTGACAGGCGATACCCCAGGAATTCCACCTCCTTGGTATGAAACTGACACTTCTCCAGTTTCACCCACAGCTGGTTGGCTTGCAGCCTGCTCAACACTTCTCTGACGTCTCTCACATGCTGCTCCTCATTCTCAGAATACACCAACACGTCGTCTAAAAAGGCCACACAATTCTTGTAAAGCAAAGGCCCCAGGACGTGGTTCATAAACGATTGAAATGTTGCGGAGCCTCCTTGTAGGCCGAAGGGCATAACCAAATATTCAAATGCCCCTAAAGGGGTGAACATAGTGGTTTTCCATTCATCCCCCTTCCTTATTCGTACCAGGTTGTACGCCCCCCTTAGGTCCAGCTTTGTAAAAATCTTTCCCTTCCGCACCCTTGTCAAAATGTCGTCAATCCTGGGCATAGGGAAGGCTACTGGTTCTGACACTGCATTTAAGGCCCTGAAGTCACACACCAGCCTCGGCTTGTTCGTGTTTTTCTTATCCACAAAAACACTGGGCTGCCCCCACCGCCCTGGACTCTCTGATGAACCCTCTCTTCAGGTTCTTGTCAATGAACTCTCTTAACTCCTGCATCTCTCTGTCTGACATGGCGTACAGCTTGCCTACAGGGAGCTGTGCTCCAGGGAGTAAGTTGATTTGACAGTCAAAGGGTCTATGCGGGGTAGTTGGTCAGCTTCCCTTTCGCTGAAGACGTCACGGAGATCTGCATATTGTCGTGGTACCTTCACGTTCTCTGTTACTTCAGTCCCTGCTAGGGTGGCTTGGACCCCTGCCAAACCCTTTCCCTCTTTGCAGTGTTCTAAGCAATGTGCTGAACCAAAAGAAACCACTCTCTGATGCCAGCCCACCAGCGGATCATGTAACGCTAGCCAGCTCATCCCCAATATAATGGGAGCTCCTCCCAAGGTGGCCACATTAAAAGCTATCAGTTCGGTGTGCCTTGCTACCTTCATTATCATTGGGACGGTCTGCAAGCTGACTTCTCCACCCAACAGCTCCCTGCCATCGATCGTGGTCACCTGCAGGGGGCTGCTTAAAGGGATTGTCTGTATCTGGTGTTCAGCTGCAAACTCTTTGCTCATGAAATTGCAGGAGCTGCCTGAGTCCAACAGCGCCTTTATCTTTAGAGGGTGTCCGTTTGGCAGCTCTAGCGTCACTTCTATCACTAGGGCGGGTTTAGGAGGTTCTGGCGTGGGCACTCTCACTGCTCTTTGGCCTGGCTGCTGTGCCCTGACAGTGGCAGCCAGGCGTTGGCTTTTACTTGCTCCGGTATATTTTCCTCTCTTCCATCCACAGCCCCTACCATCCCTTGCCATTCTTTCCTCTGGGGGCAGACTCTGGCAAAGTGACCTGGCTGTTGGCAGAGATAGCATTTCCGGGCGCCTTTTCCCTCCTTCTTTGCCCCCTCACTGGGCTTTGAAACTGCGCGCGCGCGCTGTTCCGATTTCCATCGGCTCTGCCGGTGGGAAAGTTGGCTCTGGAATGTCTGGAATGCGGAACTCCTTCCAACGTTCCCCTTTCCCTTCCCGCCTCTCCAATGCTCTCGCCTCCTGGCGCGCTCCTATGGCCAGCGCTGATTTGGTCAGCTGGTCCATAGACTCCGCCCTGGGCGCCCGGGAAAGTTCGTCTTTCACAGCCGAAGAAAGCCCTTCTTCAAAGAGCATTTGAATGGGTTCCGCCGATAAGTCCCACCCCAATCTGTGAACAAGCATGGTGAACTCAGTCCAGTACTCACGGACAGATCGGCTCCCCTGTTTGCAACCCATTAACTGTCTGCGCACCACTCCCTTTTCAATATCGCTGGAAAACATCAGATCCATGGCGCGAAAGAACTTCATCGTGTCTTTAAGACGTCACTATTCGCTGCCATCAGGGGTCTAACCCAGTCTCTCGCCCCCTTTTCAAGATGCTCAATCACGAAAGCCACTCGTGATTCCTCGTCAGGGAATTCATCAAACTGCAGATTGAGGGCATATTGCATTTCTGTCCGAAAACCATGATAGTTTTGGGCTCCCCCCCAAACTTCTGCACCAATCCTGGTACCTTTCTGGCGAACTGGGTGGCTTCCCCCTTTTGTCTGCATCCTGAGCCCTCCTCTCCTCAAGCCTCGCCGTCTGCATCGCTAGCTGGACCTCCAACATCTGGTACCTTTCTTCCAGGCTTGGACCCGCTCCAGCTCCTGCTTCTCCGGTTCCGGCTGGGTTGCTCATGATACCTTCTCCTGCACAAGCTGCTTTCAAAGACTGTCGGAATGCTGTGATGGGATGATGAGCTGCTTGTGCGTAAAATCGTATCCCCTCAGAGTTTGTTCAAGTCCACAAACCTCTGTCTGTGACAGAGCCCCTCAGACATGGCTACTCTAGTCACTAGCAGATTCCGACAGTGGTTGCTTTCGTAATCGCTTCCAACATAAAAGCTCCTTAACGGAAACACGTCTTCTGGAATCTCTGCGTGACAGTTTCCGGCGAGGAGTGGGTGTTCTTACAGGAGGTCCTGAAACCTCTCCACTGTTTTCGCTGGAAGTGTCTCTGAGCCATCCCTCCAGCTCAGCTCCTCTCCCCCTGCTGGTTCCCTCATCAGCTGCTGCGTCTCTCCCAACCTGTGTGAGCCCTTTCACCTCCCTGTTGGTTTCCTCTTCAGCTGCTGCGTCTCTCCCAACCTGTGTGAGCCCTTTCACCTCCCTTCCGTCCGATGGCAGTTCCCTGACAAAACGATTGCTCTTTCATGATACCTATAATAAACTGCCTAAGGCAGTTGCCTCACTCTGCCTAATTAAGGGACTGGCCTTATATATTGTTACTGTAAAAGGGAAAAGACACACAGAGAGAGTAGAGATAGGTGAATCTGTCACTTTCAGTTTCTCTTAGTTTATCCCCCTACCCCACCACTTAATTTTAAATTCATTTCTTGAAAGATTTCACACTAGTTTGCGAATTTCTTTTTGTTTAAAGTCATTGTGGAAATTCATCATCATTCAAGGGCACATTTGTCCTTTTCTACACATCTTTATATGCTATTTTGCCTATCTACACATTTTTGCAAAGCAATTTCCTCCAATAGCATGCATTTATGTATGTCATGTTTACTAACACATGTATTTTTACACACACTAGCCTATCTAATTTCTCCTCCATCCCTAACAGTGAGTATAAAAAGGTTTCTCACAATGTATTCAGCCTTTGGGGCAAACAACCCAATCTTAAACATTGACCCCAATAGCTTTAGTGCACTCCACAGCCTGCCTCAACTGTGCTTTGATGGGTTGTTCTACATTTTCCTCTCCCTTAGCTCTGCCTTTCCTGGCATTTTTGCTCCTCATGTTTCCCCAAGAGGAAGCAGAGTAAACAGCTGAGGGAGTCTAGTGATGCTAACAGATAACAAGCCTTTGGGGGCTCTGTGTGAAAGATGAGCTTGAGGGAATTGTAACAACACACGAGGGCTGTAGGGGGGCAACAGCCTTCTGGAAATTAGGAATCTGACCCTTTGGGAATATCTATCAGAGATATATTGGAAAATCCACCCAAACGATAAGCACATCAGAAAGACATTGACTGGGCACCAACAGCCTCAAGCAGAACAAGAACACATTGCTTTGTACTTACGCATTTAAGTCTAGATTGTTTCTTTTGTAATACTGAATTTATTCTATGTTTGCTGAATTGTTGATCTTTCTCTTCTTTGAATTTAGTCCAAGATAAAGAACCATAAGAAGAGAGTAGGAGGAGGGGACTTGATGCTTCCCATCAGCTGCTAGCGCCTGGACAGCAGACTCACAGGGACATGTCTCCATAGAGAGAATGGTCTTCCCCACTACAGTGAGATGCATTGTGTTTCTATGTACGTTGTAGTAATTATGTCTAGATTTGTATCTAAGTATATTAAATTTGCACACACAGATGCCATGTAAAAATCTGTCACAAGGACCACCTTATAACAGCTCCCCATGTTTCCACAACTTGCATTGCTAATCTTTCACATCTGTCATTCTTGCACTGTACAGCTTCTGCATGGCTTTGCAGAATGAATGAGAAAATATATATATATGGAGGGAGAGAGGGAGGAAAAGATGCTGGGCTGTAGTAGATGAGGGAAGAGATTAAAAGCACTCAGGCAGATGGTTATGAGGCGTCTGCCTTTGGAAACACAATCCGCTTCAGCAAAGATCTTAAGCGCCTGCCTTCTGTCCTGTCAACAAACACACACAGAGCATCTGGGAAATGCTGTGGCATGGAAACAAAACACTAAGGAAAACTCTACGCTGCTAGGCTAACCTAGCCATGTACTCTCAGAACTCTGAAAATGGTCGCTGTGAGCTGCCTTTTCCTCCATACAAGCTGTCCCAGTGTACTGTTGCAGGAAGAAAGTCTAGCACAAAGAGCAAGTATGTATGCTCTGCCCTGGATAGCATTTCCTCTGATCGCAGCATCTTCCATGATCACAGCACAGTAACAACACCAGAAAGCACAGTTGCAATTGTAGAAGTTGTGCAAAATTATACCCTGCTCCCAGAGCACTTTCTTCGTGCAATCCATCAGTTTGTGCCCTTCCCAGAGGTTGTTGGACTACACCTCCCATCAGCCCTGACCACATGAATGGCCCAGGAGGGGTGTGCTGCCATCATGGGCAGCTACACTGATTTCATTTTACTGAATAATTTTTATATCAACAGTGTGTGTTCTCTAGACCACACAGGCAGGCAGTAGCACAGCAACTCTGGTCAATGATTGTACTGGCGTGCATTTGTTCCTTAGATGACTATGTGTAGTATTACTTCAAAATGTGGCTATCCAGCCCTGCTGTGCTTGGGAGCCCTCCTCTGAGTGGGACCCTGGGCTTCTGCCCCCAAGTCCTGACTTGAGAACATCACTGCATGCGGCAGAAAGAGGTGGTAAATGTAGAACTGCACTGGGGCATACACAGAAAATAATGTCCCCATGCATTGCATGTGCATAGTGCAGGCCTGAGTGACAGCTCCAAGTGAGGAAACAGTGCCTTGCAATGCTGCAAATGGGCTGCCCTCTGAATATCAATATGCTGTGCTTTTACCTACCTGTGGTCTGCAGCAACCAGCAGCTTGAGGCAAGTGAGATCGCCCTTAGCTGCTGCATAATGAGCTGGCACAGCACCTTCCTTTGTCTTCATCGCAGTGTCAAAGCCTGCCTGGACCAGCCACTCAATGGCCTCTGGGTGTCCAAAGCGAGCAGCTAAGTGGAGGGGAGAAGCCCCTGAAGCATCCTGCTCCTATGGAGGGCAGAAGAAACAGTTCAGGAGTAGTGGTTAACTCTTCCCCACCCACTCTCACTCCTTAACATCAATGTCACGACCACTTTGTAAGTTGTAATTGTGACCCAGAGACCACTTGAAACAGCCTCTTCTGGGGGATGTTGAAACAGGCCCACATACCCATTTACCAAACTTAATGAGGTGGAATATTTACTGATGGACTATATAAATGTAAAAGGTAACAATAGTGCGTCATGACCCAGAGACCATGCACTGTGTGTTGGACTTGGAGGATGATGAGATCCTGCATCTTTCTAGGGTTTACATGCAAAAGGTCCCAGGTTCAATCCCTGTCATCTCTGGGAAGAGAAAGACCTCTGGCCTGAAAGAATCACTCCCAGTCTGCGTGGACAGTACTGATCTGTTTCAGTTTGGGCAGCTTCTTATGTTCCTCCATTAGCAAGCTGCTGCACTCGTGATCAGCCATTCGTTAGAATACAACAGAAGTTAAAGTATACTGCGGATTTGGAAAATGGAAGTGTTAGTGTGAATATGGCCTGGAAACGATATAAATAGTTTGTATGAAAGAAGGCAACTGTAGTACTGTACAAATGCATGTCTTTCGTTTTTTAAAAAACCAGAGGGGTATAGGTGGGGAAAAGGAAACATGACTTCAGTCATGTATTCTCAATCCAGTGTCTTCCTAGAGAGCAAGTAATGAGGTGATTGTTTCAGTGTGTTGCCTTTTTGTGAGCCTGCCTCTAGCCAGAACCATTAAAGAGCCAATGTAGCATCGTGGTTAGAGTGTTGGTCTATGATCTGGGAGACCAGGATTCAAAACCCCACTTAGTCAAGAAACTCACTGGGTGACTTTAGACCTAAATTACATCGCAGGGTTGTTGTGAGGATAAAATAGGGGAAACCATGTATGCTGCCACTTTGAGCCCCTGGGAGGAAAAGTGGGATAGAAATCTTGATAAATAAGTAAAGCAGCTAAATCAGGCTATGTCTTTATACGTTCGTACTTGTGTTGTATGTCCTCATCCTGAAGGTGATCAGGATATCCCAACAAAAACTGCCTCAGCTGGCCTATCAAAAGATCCAGGAACCCAGAATGATTTTAAGCTATAGGCAATGCTCACTTTGTGCAGAGGTTACGTTCTGGACCTCGTGCGCATTGGCATGGCCTGCATAAAGCGTTCCACCCCTTCCAGGTATGTTTTTGGGTCACTTCCGGGTTAGGCACCATGCATGCATGTGCAATCGGATGCACATGAATTGGCCGTTGCCTCTATTTTCACTCATTTATGTCCACATGTTCATTAAACAAGTGGAGGAGGGAGAGGGGCCATGTCCACAGGATATGGCACTGATGGCATGCCTTCACCTGAATGAGTGTAGGCAGCCCTCAGGCACAGCCCTGCTGCCCCCCTCCATGCATTCCTTGGATGAGTGAATGGGATTTTAATACAGTGTTCCTATGTGGTAACATCTGGAAGCAGTAATTATTATTAGAAAGACAAGCACCAGCTTTTCTGACCATTATTGCAGTGTTATACTTTCATTTGCATCCTTTGCTAGCATATGCTGCAGCTTGCAGTGGAAGCCCATGACACCATGTCAATCAAAAAGCCAATTCCCCAAAATCCATTGTTACAGAGAAACAAAACTCAGAGTCACAGACAAGGAGCTTGATTTTAAATAGTTGGGGCAAGAGGGGCAGGGAGCAAGTTAATGCTCCACCCCAATGATGTCCCAAGCACACTTGTTTGCTTTCTCCTTGTGGGAGTAGGGAAAGAGCTGCACTTGGGGGACATTGCCATGGGGTCAAAATTTGCCCTTTCCCATTAACACTTTGTGATCCAGCACTCAGTGACAAATATCCTGCGGGAGATACAATGGCAGCCCTGTATTGGGAAGTTTTTAATTTTTGATGTTTTATTATGTATCATATGCTGTAAGCCTAATACAGTGGTACCTCGGGTTAAGTACTTAATTCGTTCTGGAGGTCCATTCTTAACCTGAAACGGTTCTTAACCTGAATTACCACTTTAGCTAATGGGGCCTCCCGCTGCTGCCGCGCCGCCACTGCGCGATTTCTGTTCTCATCCTGAAGTAAAGTTAACCCGAGGTACTATTTCTGGGTTAGCGGAGTCTGTAACCTGAAGCGTATGTAACCTGAAGCATATGCAACCCGAGGTACTACTGTAATAATAATAATAATAGTAGTAGTAGTTTTAGTAGTAGTAATAATAATAATAATAATAATAATAATAAATGTGTGTCTCCATGAAGAGCATACACTGAACTCACTTCAGATTTTTGGCAATGAACAAGCCCACTTTAAACACAACACCCACCACAAAGAAGGACTTGCTAAACACAGCAGTCTCCCTTGGACAAGAAGAGTTAAGTCCAGCAAGGGTTGTTTGTAGACAAGGGGTGCCGGCACTCTCTGCCACCCAAGTCTAATCTAAGAGCAGCAACCTGTGTAAAAACACTGGGTGGTATTCAATGCTCCTCCTCCTCAAGATAGACCTATTGTCGTTAATGGACATCACTAACTTACCTTAATTAAATGAGCCCGATAGGAAAACTTATTGAATACCACCCACGGCAAATATGTCTAGCTGCAACCAGTGTTCTACCTTGCTCCCGCAAGATCCCTGTTTGTCAGACCCCTTACCTGCATGCTGTAGCCTCCATCTTTGATCAGCCACTTCAGCTCAGCCAAGTTGCCCATGGCTGCTGCATCATGTGCTGGGGTCGCACCATTGTTTGCTCTCTGATTCCCGGGAAGCTTTGCTTGCAGTACCAGGAACTTGAGGCACTCCAGCCTGCCTGCTCGTGACGCATGATGCACCAGGCCTGCTCCCGAGCAGTCAGTGATGTTCTGGTCCAGAGTACCATCAATGTGCAGCTGCTCCAGCATAGGCAAGTCTCCTTCCTTGGCAGCTAAAATAGCCCTTTGGTCTCCCATCTCTGGGAGCCTTGCTGTTGTCTTCACTGGAAGGTCCTACTTTCGCAGAGTCTCTTGTTTTATGTACCAGCCAGGTGCTATGTGTCTCTGGTTACCGGGTAAGGTACTGTAGAAAGCATATGTACTGCAGGGGTGTTTTTTTTTTAAGAAGGGGCACATGGCAGGTGAGAGAGAACAGCTAAAAGCTCCTGGCAGAATCAGGGATGTTATTAACTCTTCTTCCACTTGTGGCACTGAATCCTGAATTGTTATAAAGAGTGGCGTGATAAAATATAAAGTAAGCTTGGTGTTCGTTTGAAAAATATGAGGCTTTCAGGAGCAACAGCTCTATGATGCAATTAGCGTGTGTTTCAGTTCCTACTGTATTTTCCTGCATTGACTGATAAAACACAGAAAATACGCTGTGAGATGGTTTATGAGTTAGATTCAAATTTGTAAAAACCACAGCTGTAAACAGGAAATCTAGTATTTCCCCTATAATTGTGATGTACATGTCTCTAGTATGGTGTGGCTGATATCTGTTCAAATAACGGAAATTCCAAAGAGATAGGTTAAATACTGATGATGATACAACACTAAATAATTCGGTTCTACAGACTTCTGCCACATTGGGATTGCAACAATCCTCCACCATCAAAGAAATTAGTGTTCTAATATTACCAAAGAGGGCAAATATTGTGAATTAATAAAGAGGGTTTCTACAGAGGCAAGATGTCAAAGCTGCCTGATTATTTTACTCCATTTTCTTTATAATGAACTAAAACAGATAATATACAATCACCAGTCATCTCTCTCTATTTAACACATTTTGTTCCCAATCTTAACACATTTTGTTCCCAATCCAAAATATTTCAGGCATCTATAAATGTTCCATAATCAATCTATGCACAATACATTAGCAAGTAATCAGATAGAATATTTTTGTCCCTCTCATGACGGTGCAGATCTTCCCCATGGTTTCCTATAATTGTTTCATAATAAATCTGTGGAAATCACATAAACAAATGATCACATAGAATATTTTTCTGCCGCCAGAACACAACTTTTCCCAGGGTTTTCCCATTTGGATCATTGCATCCGCACTTGTTGTGAGGGTACACAATCTCCCAGCTCTGTTTCTTCTTTTGTAAAAGCAGGATTTGCTATTTGAAGAATAATTTTATCTCCATTCACTCTACAGCTGTGCTTGCAATGCAGATCAGTTCACTTTTGCTTGAGCTAAGACGGGCTTCAAACCCAAATCCCCATTCATTATGCATTTTGATAGGTCACTTACTCCTTCCAGTATCTTATACGACAAAGTGCATTCTATGCCACACCTGCTGGATCATACATGAACACATGGAGCTGCCTTTGTCAGCAATCCAAGGTCTTAGGCCATGTCATCCCTAGGCTGGCTACCCCAAATTCTTGTAGTTACGAGATGCCAAAGCTTGACCCTGTAAACTTCTGCATGTAAAACATAGGTCAGGCTTCCTCAACCTCGGGCCTCCAGATGTTTTGAGACTACAATTCCCATCATCCCTGAACACTGGTCCTGCTAGCTAGGGATCATGGGAGTTGTAGGCCAAAAACATCTGGAGGGCCAAGGTTGAAGAAGCCTGATATAGGTTGTCAGTCAACCAGCTGAGCACAGGGACGCGCCCCTCAGCTTCACTATACAGCAGGGGTAGGCAACCTAAGGCCCGTGAGCCGGATGCGGCTCAATCACCTTCTCAATCCGGCCCACGGACGGTCCAGGAATCAGCGTGTTTTTACATGAGTAGAATGTGTCCTTTTATTTAAAATGCATCTCTGGGTTATTTGTGGGGTATAGGAATACATTCATTCCCCCCCTCAAAAAAAATACAGTCTGGCCCACCACATGGTCTGAGGGACGGTGGACCGGCCCACGGCTGAAAAAGGTTGCTGAGCCCCGCTATACAGGTTTCGACAAATGTTGAAGATGCACCTCTTTACTGTGGCCTTTCACACCTAAGGTGTTTTCAGGACCCGCCCTAGCCCTTCAACTGCAATTTGTTTTGACTGTTTTTAATACTGAATTTTAAATTCTGGTCATCCTGGGACCTGCTGGTGAAGGACAGGCAAATAAAAAATAATAATAAATGCCTCAAGTAGAGCAAATAAGCTGTGTGGCTTAGTATGTGTATTTCCATCCTCCTAGAAATCTTTCACCCTGTTATTAAAAAAAATACAAAGAAAAAGCATAGAATTGTAGGTAACTATGGAGCCCACTTCTTTTGAATTTTTGCATATGGGCTGAATATACACCATTGTTGTTGTTTAGTCGTGTCCGACTCTTCATGACCCCATGGACCAGAGCACGCCAGGCACTCCTGTCTTCCACTGCCTCCCACAGTTTGGTCAAACTCATGCTGGCAGCTTCAAGAACACTATCCAACCATCTCATCCTCTGTCGTCCCCTTCTCCTTGTGCCCTCCATCTTTCCCAACATCAGGGTCTTTTCCAGGGAGTCTTCTCTTCTCATGTATTGGAGTCTCAGCCAAAGTATTGGAGTCTCAGCTTCAGGATCTGTCCTTCCAGTGAGCACTCAGGGCTGATTTCCTTAAGAATGGATAGGTTTGATCTTCTTGCAGTCCATGGGACTCTCAAGAGTCTCCTCCAGCACCATAATTCAAAAGTATCAATTCTTCGGCAATCAGCCTTCTTTATGGTCCAGCTCTCACTACCATACATCACTACTGGGAAAACCATAGCTTTAACTATACGGACCTTTGTTGGCATGAAGCTTAATAATAGAAGTCTCTGTGAATTTCACAAACACACACATTTTTGAAGTCTAGTAGATTGATGCTGGAAAATTCTCTCCTCTTCAATTTCATACATTATCAAAGACAGCCACCTTCCACCTCCTTGTGGGCTACTCTTATCTTCCAGACACTAGCCAAGGGGGCAGATGTATTTTCTGATGCACAGTCATGGATGGCCTTTGACATGAAATGTTTTACAGATAGAGCACACACACATACACAAGCCGCAGGTGGCCAGAATGCCAGACCTCTGGCCCTATTGGTGATCAGGTTGGAATAATGGACTATGATTACAAAGTTCTGGTGCACAATAACTCAGCTGGAGCAATAAATGCAATGCTCAGAACAGCTGCACAAAAGTAATGAGTGTGTAAATACAGCCTTTATCTTGACTGTGGTCCCAGTCAGAAAGAGGAATTCAGCCTTTTGACAGAAGGGAAACTGCCATCCTTTCAATCTGGGCAAGTCATGCAAGGTGCTATAAGACTGAACTCCAGGTCTCTAGACTGTGGTCAAAGCTAATAACAGGAAGCACTGATACTTAAGCAAGAGAAGAGGTAAGTGTTGAGGGATCTCAGACTGATTGGCTTTCCCCCCAACTGCAGAATGACTAAATAGACGCTCACAAATATCCTGCTGACAGCTCTCCGGCTACTTCTCTTCAAGTGCCCCAAAGCAGAGAGGATTGAGGTATTCAGTGCAGGAAGTATGAGGGTGCATGAGAATAGAATCTTCAAATTAGCCCTAAAGCATGATAAAAGTAAGTACAGATACACTGGCTGGCTGAAGCTTTCACAATGTAAAATCTGCACTTCTGTGAATAACGAAAAATGCTATGTCATAGCAAGACTTTAAAAATAAACAAATCAGGCTGGCATTGATACAGGCTTACTTTTAACTTATCACATTTTAATGTATTTTAGACTTTAAGTTAATATCTGTTTTACAGTGTTACCCACCTTGGCTCCACAGAACAAGGCTACAGACAGCAGCATACCAGATTAACATTTTGATAGGTCAGCAAATAGCTTGCGATTTCACATTCATAAAGAGCCACAGAATCGTGAAACCAACCCTTGATCTTGTCTTCTTATCCCTATTATCAGCTGGCATGGCTGTATCTGTGTTGCAAAATAAGTTGAAATAGACGTGAGTCTATTCTGGGCCCTACTTAATTGCTTTCTTTGAATTCCTTCCACAATGGTTCTGAAACTCAAAAGCTTTCAAGAAATACACATAATATAGCATAACACATAACATTTCCAGACGGACATTTTTCCCCCATATATTTGTGCCTGGCTGTCCTCCCCAATCCAGCAAGTTTCATTTTATCAGTGTTTCCCCATCAATAGGGCCAGCAAGACATTCTTCACAGCAGGTCTGATGTTTTCCTATGACCGTTAACTGAAAACTAGTCCTTGGGGTCTTCTTCTCATGGATACAAACAAAAGACACAGATCTACAAAATCAGCTTACGTGCCAGGAAAACAAAGGAAAAGGCTAACCAGTTAAAAAATAAAGCATTTGTTCCTACAGATGTGACAAATCCCCTAAAAGCATTAGGCACCATTTACTGGGAAAGAGGATGCTAGGCAAAATTCTTATTTTCTCTAAATTCTCTGAACTCTTTTTACAGGAAACAAATATTAGTACCCTATTTGAGGGCAGTCAGTCTAAGGAAATACAATGGTTCCTGTCTCCCTGAGTTGAGTAAAATCGTTCCTATTCCTGTAGGATTAGACCTACTAGCTTCCCATGCACAAAACTGAGGAACTGCATGTGGGAATTTGCTTCTGGTGCTAACAATTGTCTCTGATAATATACCCAGCCTACCTATGTGCCTCACCTGGGACTTTGAATATATATGTATTAGTCCCTTCTCCTGCCCCCAAACAAAATAATATAGGACAGTATTCAGGTAAATAGTTGAATTAGTGCAATGGGACCCCATCCCTCTCCTCCCTGTGCCTCCCCTCCAAATCTGCTCCAGAGGGTTGGGTGAACCCCCATAACAGATTCAGTGGTACACAGGGGGAGAATGTTCTGCTGCGCAAGGAGAAATTATTGCACCAACAGAATATTTACCTTAGCACTATGGGGTATACAATCTATCCTGACTAAATTACTATTTTATAATACCTATCAATTCTGCAGCAATCCAGGGACCCCAGATAAGATCTGAAGGTGCTAACCAAAAGGAGGGAGAATCTGAACTCTGCTTGCCTTGCCACTCTTCTGTCCTTGCCCCACCCCCTTCTCCAGTTCCCTCCTTTGTAACAAAAGTTCTGGCTCTTTCATGCTAGAAAAGGAGAGCACCATGCATCACAGTGTTTAGCACAGAGATGGACTATGGTAGCTTAATGTGCAAACTTGCTTATACAAGTGAAGGCATAACCTTCATCCTTCCCCTCACTCTCCATTCTACCAAACACAGTGCCTGCAGTGGCAACTAGAAAAGGCTGCACAGGTCAAGGTGGCAGACCTTTAGGTATTTGAAAATGGCTACCATATCTCCTCTCATTCTCCTCTTTTCCAGGCTAAACGTACTCAACTCCCTCAACAGTTCCTCTTCTGCACATGTTCTAGCTTGTCAAAACCCTGTTGATTAATGTTAAGCTTGTGATCTACTAAGACCCCTAGATCATTTTCACAACTACTACTGGCAAGCCAGGTGTCCCCCATTCCTGCCAAAGTGCAAAACCTTACATTTCATAGGATTATAGAGTTGGAAGGGATTCTTAACGTCATCTAGCCCAACTCCCTATTGAAATTTTGTTAGCTTGGGCCAAATCTCTAATCTGTCAAGGTCATCTTGAATCCCAGTTTTGTGTTTTGCAGCATTAGGTACCTCTCCAAGTTTAGTGTCTTCTGCAAATTTGACTGTCACCCTCTCAATTCCTTCATGCAATTCGTTTCTAAAGATGTTGAACAGTAACAGGGCCCAGGACAGAACTCGGTGGCACCTGGCTTGTCACTTTTTTCCAGGATGATAAGGAACCATTACTGAACACTCTTTGGGTTTGGGAGCTACAAATCCATATAACAATAACCTTGTCCAGCCCACATTTTAGCAGCTTCTCCGTAAGAATCTCATGGGGGACTTTGTTGAAAGTCTTAGTGAAATCAAGCTACACTACATCCACAGCATCCCCTTGATTCACCAGGCTTGTAACTTTCTCTCTATATATAAAAGGACAAAATCCCCCATGATATTCTTGCATATAGGTGCCTCCTTCTCACAGACAAGGTAAGCAGTTATAGCAGTGGGTCCATGTAGTACCTTTCCTTCCCTGCAGGGGGAAACTCACTGTAAGAGCAACCCCTGCCATGCATCCTGACAAGGAAGATCAGGGTATTCAGAATGCCTTGTAGGCAAGACAAAAAGCTGCAGAAGAGAACTGCCTGGAAAGGCAGAATTCTCACCACCACCTGTTCTTATGGGAAAGAAAACCATTGCCAGTCAGATCTTTGCTGTTGGCTTCATCAAGATGCAAGCCAGCTGGGCAGGCAATGACAAGAGAACCAGCATGCAGTTGTCTACCATTTGCTGATGGAAAATGATTGCTATGCTGGCTCTCTTGACATCACCTGCCCCATTGTTAGAGTATTTCTCCATTTAGGGTAAACCAGCAGCAACAGCTACAACCAGGATCTGTTGTTGCAAGAGCTATGTGAGATGACAGCTATGATTGATTTCCTCCTCTTGGCAACCAGGGCAGATAGCAGCAGTAACAATTCCTGGTTCAAATCCCCCACCATCAGCATTTCCAGTAGGATTCTTTTCATAACTTAAATAGCCCTTTAACACTAGGAGATCATCCACACTTCTACTTGTGCAGTGCCTAGAAAGTATGACTTCTGAGTGGTTTTCTGCTTCACCCACTCCTTTGCAAGGGAAAACTCGCTCTTTAGCAACAAATCAGAACAAATAGCAATCCGGGAAAAACCCAAATTGCCATTTGCTCTGATTGAGCGCTAAAGAGCAGTTTTCTCTAGAAAAAGCAGCAGGACAATGGAAGTGTGGAGAAGCCCTAGGTTAGAGAGGTTCTATGCAGCCTTCATAACACATAACACAAAACACAGCAATGTGAAATGAAGGTTTCTCTCTTTCTCTTTCTTTCTCTCTCTCCTCTTCAGCTCTAGAAGAATGCACATTCTAGTCCCACTGCACATCTCAATGCTAAACACAGTGCAATACTATAGCAGCTACAACCTGCTGCTGCAGCAAGAAGAAATATTCATATTCCTTCAGTGCCTATATGGAGGGCAATTGCTTTTCATTCCCAGTAAGGAATACCCCAGAAGGGTGGCATCAAAAGAGTGGCCGTTTCCAGGTACCAAGGCAAGCTCCCAATTTTTCAATATTTTGGGATTCACCTGTCCATTCAAACCATAATATTTAGGCTTCTTTCCTGAACCCACACAAAAACCTCAATCATAGAGCTAAACATCCAACTAGAAATGTTTACCCACTTCAATGAGTAAAAACTGCTGGCAGAGCCTGCTCGGCATCGTGACTACATTCAGGGAGCACTGATTTCTGGCCTGCTGTATTCAAGGGCTGGGGAATCACTAGAGATTATTCAACAAGAATTCAGTGGCCAGAAGCTGACTAGAATGTTATCTAGCCTCATTCTGTTAAATGTAAGTAGCACCTAGAGCAATGGGAAATTAGGGTCAGGTAAGCTCAATTCCTGGTTTTAGAGGGCAAAACTGTCTCACTAGGTGACTGAAAATCTGGCCTATTGTAGCTGAGCCACAGCCTGCTTCAGATCTTCCACAATTAGGTCCACATCCTCCTTGCTGGTAGCACGACCCACACTGAGACGCAAGGCGTTCTGTGCCACATCATAAGGAATTCCGCAGCTAAGCAGGATAGCGGATGGCCTGGTGAACAAAGATAAAGTAAGTCAAGTTTAACCCCCTAAAATTCCCTACAGTGGTTCCAAGAAGTGAACAGAGGAAGGAAACAAAAATTATGCAGTCCTATACTTATTTCTAAGTCTCATTAGTTTCCAATATGAGCCGCAAAGAACTCTGCCTCTGTAGAGCACATTCACATCACTGTTCTTCCTAAGAATGCTGCAGTCACCCCAGCTTAGGTGCAGATCCACTGCAGTGTTGGTTTTAAATGATAGGCAACACTTTTTTCTTGCAGGCAGCCTCTGAAATATTGCCCAGGAGGGAATGTGGCTAAAAAAGGTTCCCCATCTACTGGTATGTAGAGTGGTTAAAGTGTCAGATTACAACTGGGGAGAGCCTAGGTCCCAGCTCAAACATAATTAACTGACCTTGAGCTACTGACTAGCTAACCTCCTCACAGGTTTGGTGTCAAAAGAGAGTCAAAGAACTGTGTGTGCTGCTCTGAACTCATCAAAGAATGAGAAAGAAATGTAAAAAACAAACAAATAAATCTGACTTAAGCCCAAACTAGATGCAACACCATCTAGTGTTAGCAATAAGAGCTGGATGGGGACCCTGGCATGGAGGTACTGTAAGGGAGCTTTGACCCTGCTGTGGACCCCTGCCCCTGTTAATCACATTGGGGGGAAATGTTTCTGTCCTCTCCAGTGGAAGCTTTCCCCCCATGCATATAGTAGGCACAGGCAGCCCCTTCCAGATTGGGACCACCATGGCAGGGGAGGAGTGGTTCAGTTCTCTCCCCCAATAACAGGGTGCCAGTCCTGCAGTTGTTACTTGTGTGAATGGCATCTGAATTTTGTTTGGCCCTTCACACTTGCTATTCAGGAACCTGCTTTTGAACGTGATCCTATGCGCATCCATGTGGAAACATGGAAGTGAAATGTATTATCTCTGGAGCAGGTATGTGAGCAAAAGCCTCAATTCTAGCACATTCTGTTCTCAGATTTGGCTCCAGCATTATGTAGCTAATCAATTGGGAAACAAGGCTTGTCATACCAATATGCTCATATGATTTTGCAGGTCTCAGACATAAAATTGAACCACAAGCATTCTAGGAAAATCTTTAGATGAAAGAAATACAATACAAGGCACTTAGGTTTCCACAGCTCTCTCCAGTATTTGAAAAAAGCAGCGCACAACAGCAGGGGAGCAAGTTGCTGCTCAGACACATGATCTGTCACACTACACTGCTCTCTCTATTCAAAGGAAAACCACTTGATGATATCCTAATCCTAGGCACTTAGCTGATCACCTACTTCCCTGCCCAGCTGGAACCATCCCCTGTGAGTTCCAAAAGAGTGGATGCCAAGGTAGAAAGGCCACAGCTTATGCAAATGTTGGCTTGTACAAAAGTGCAAAGAAAACACTTTCCACTAAGATACAAATACATTAACCAGCTTATGAACTTAAAGCAGATTGACCAGCTTCCATAATAAGCTCAGCTCCTGAATCAGCGGCAACAGTCTGCAACACTATCTCAGTAACCCCCTACTGCTAGCACCCTTTTCTGTGCTGCCCTTACCACCTGGGGAAAAAGTGGGACTGGCACTGTGGCAACTATACAACCCCTTCCACTTCTTAGTCCTGGACCAGTAGCTCTTTAAAGCCAGAAGAAGCCAGTTCACACAGCTAAGTGGAGGGACAGGATTAGTCTGCCCATTGTCCGGGACAAATGGCATGGTCTGGATGCAGTGTGAGAGATTGTGGGAGGCGGTGTCACATGCCTCTGGCAGTCTTCTCCTAAAGCAGGAGGATTTCACGTTTGAAAATGGAAAACGTTCCTTTTGTACATCTTTGGGGGGGGAGGGAAGACTGTAAGATGTAAGGGCTGGTGTTACTGTCATAGGGTGGAATTCAACATTGTGCTCTTCCAATCATTCTGCCTGCACAAGCATTTCAGCTTGCCAGATGAAACGATCCCACCATCTCCACCCACTGTTGTGGGGTTCTCCTGACTCCCCTCCCTGAGCCACTTTTGGGGCACACAGTGGGAGATGGTAAAGTTTCATTGTGCAAGTGCAAGTCCTTGTGCAGGGCTGCTGCTGACAGGGCAGGTTGGGTAAATCCTACTATTGTCACACATACACACACTCTATTACTACCATTAAGAAGTAGAGTTCCCTGAGGAGGTGGGTGATTACAGGTGCTGCACCCTTTGCTTTCACTTTTCTACATCGGATGGATCTGTCCCCTCAACCACAGAATGCCCAGTTTCCCAACATGGTTCCTTACCGGTCACCCTTCTCGGAGTGGCATGCAGCACCAACACTGGCAAGCAAAGTCCTACAGTGAGACAGCACCAGCCGACCTGCAGAAAATACAAGACACAGGAGTGCCATGAAATACCCAAGGACCTGGTGGAGGAAGGAACCCATAGAATCAGTTTTCAACCTCCCCTCACTCCATTCAGTGCTTATCCCACCTACACTTTTGCTAGAACTGGCTTCTCACTAAAGCTGGGGGGGGGGGGGGAATAAACAAATGCAAAAGTTAATGCACATCATACATATAAAATTGTCAAATGCAAATCTGAACAGGCAAAGTAGGGTTTTAATGACGAAAAGGTTTAACAGATAAAATCAGGATGTGGGTTTTACAATTAGAATCCCTCCTGAGATAAATATGAAATTCATGCTGAAATTATAAAAAGCCGAAGCTTAAAACTCATTTACAGTGGTGCCTCGCAAGACGAAATTAATCCGTTCCACGAGTCTCTTCGTCTTGCGGTTTTTTCGTCTTGCGAAGCACGGCTATTAGCGGCTTAGCGGCTATTAACGGCTTAACGGCTTTAAGAAAAAGGAAACAAACTCGCAAGACGTTTCGTCTTGCGAAGCAAGCCCATAGGGAAATTCGTCTTGCGGAACGACTCAAAAAACGGAAAACTCTTTCGTCTTGCGTGTTTTTCGTCTTGCGAGGCATTCGTCTTGCGAGGTACCACTGTACTTTGTTTACAGTGGTACCTCCAGTTACGAACTTAATTCGTTCTGGAGGTCCGTTCTTAACATGAAACTGTTCTTAACCTGAGGCATGCTTTCGCTAATGGGGCCTCCTGCTGCTGCCGCCACGCAACCTCCGCTCACATCCCAGGGCAAAGTTTGTTACCAGGAGTATCTACAGTAGTACCTCGGGTTACAAACACTTCGGGTTACAGACTCCGCTAACCAGGAAGTAGTACCTCGGGTTAAGAAGTTTGCCCCAGGATGAGAAGAGACATCGTGCGGCGGTGGCGCAGCGGCAGTGGGAGGCCCCATTAGCTAAAGTGGTACCTCAGGTTAAGAATGGTTTTAGGTTAAGAATGGACCTTCGGAACGAATTAAGTTCATAACCAGAGGTACCACTGTATTTCCAGGTTAGCTGAGCTCATTACCCAAAGCGTTTGTAAGGGGGACAGTACGTAACCCAAGGTTCCACTGTACAGTTATACCTCAGGTTAAGAACTTAATTCGTTCTGGAGGTCTGTTCTTAACCTGAAACTGTTCTTAACCTGAAGCACCACTTTAGCTAATGGGGCCTCCTACTGCCGCTGCACCACCGCTGCATGATTTCTGTTCTCATCCTGAAGCAAAGTTCTTAACCTGAGGTACTATTTCTGGGTTAGCAGAGTCTGTAACCTAAAGCGTATGTAACCTGAAGCGTATGTAATCTGAGGTACCACTGTATTTGCAAAATTTCACAATTTGTAATTTCTTTGAGAAATTAGAAAACCAATTTCCAATACCATATTTTAGCATCTCCCCACTCTCCCTCACACAGCAGCAGTCTGGTCTTCATCTGCTCTGAAACTATCTTAAGAGCAATGCAGTCTTGAGATCTATAGACAGGATTAACACATGTGTTGATCACCGTGGAAGCTGTAGGCAAAACCCCCCCCAACAACACCTAAAGTAGACTGACAGCAGCCATATAGGAATGGTGAAAATTTAGAGCCATAGGGGATACCTTTTAGTCCTGAGCCCATGACAGAAAAGTTACAGGTGTTGCACAGTCTCCTTGAGCCTTTCAGCCTGCAGTTAAAATAAACTCCTTGCTCTTCAAACACGGCCTAAAATGTGCAAAAATAACACTTTCAATAAATGTTTGTTAATGATTGCCCTCACTTCACCATCCCCCAGCTTAGCGTTCGTACAAAGGAAGGCAGCAAGAAGAAAGTGCCATGCAATTCTATCTACAAACGGGGTCAATCCTCCCTTCCCTATGCAAAGGTTGCAGGTGAAACCGGAAAACAGGCACCCAGAGAACTCACTTCAAGTCTCTCTTCCAGGTAATCCCGGACCTTCCTCATGTGAGCTTCATAAACCTCACAATGCCTGCTCACCAAGTCTGCTGCCTGCAAAGGAAAACAATCAGCATACCATGTTTCTCATTGGCTACAACAAGAGACAGAACCATGAAGGGAATGATGAATCCCATAGAATGTCCCCATCCAGACAGGTGAATATAGATCAGGAAATTTGATGCAGTACTGAAATGGGTAGGCAATCTGAATGGAACCACCTTTTGTGCCTATTCATAATGTGATTCCTTTGGTCTGACAGTGATTTGTTGGAGACCAAGGAAAGTCTACATGGCACAATTTTGCACAAGCCTCTCTCTCTAGAGCACACCTGCAAGGTACCCACCACTCTCAATCAACTAAAAGAAAACCCATTAATCATATAAGTATATACCTGCAATCTCAGTGACATAAGCTCTCTTCATATGTTTACTCACCTGATCTACCAGGGTTCTAAATTGCATTGGCAGCCTACACAGATAGTAAAGGCTCCCTGCTTTAAAACCTATTCCTCTATGGTGCATTTTGTTTTAATACACTGTTTACTACTTGGGGGGGGAGGCATTTGGCCAAAAAGGCAATAGCAGGAGTTGGGAGGAGCTACACAACCTTGGACATGGGGCTAAAGATGCTGATCCACAGCTCCTGGTATCTATGTTGTCCCTTTGTGAGAGCAGCACGTGAAGAGGGCTACTAGAGAAAATCTGGACATATTCTCCAACAGACCCTAAAAGAGTGCCTGGGTGTTGAGTTATTGAGAACACTTTCCCCTCACCCCACCCCAGTGTGTATATATAGGCCAACTTGATGTACCTTTCTTGTTCTGGCATGCTATTCACATAGAGCCACAGGGAAAACTGTAAAGATTAGCTCTTTGCTCTGAAAAATATGCCTAGAACAACCTCTAGTATTTCAACAAGTCCTCAGTAACCAGATCCTCACAATGATGGGAAACAACCGGAGTTTACAGTAAAGCATTTGTAAGCATCCTTGTCTCCTATCAGTGTCCCACTGTGCACAGATTTAGAACTTTTGCTCCATGGGTCAAATAGCAACTCCACCTCTGGCACGAGAGCCGTAGGGTGTGGGGGAAGAGAAGCATCAGCACAGATAAGCAAACCCAGGGAAATCTTCTGCCTTTAAATTTTTGTAAGGAGGATGCTGGGTTGAAATCTGAGCCTTGCTACCAGGACAGCATCTCATGTTGAATCCATAACTGTCATTTTTATCCCTCATCACTTCTGAGCTTACCTTGCCAAGGCCAGCAATCATTGGTGTATTCTCAGTCCTAGAACAGAGAAGTGCAGTGTGTATTTATTCCTAAAGCATAATAAAAGTGACACAAGCACAGGGGCTATATCTACTTGGGTAACTAACATAATGCAGGGACTGAAAATGGCGCTACTGTGTGATAGGAGCAACTGCTCCAGAGTTACTCAGTTGTGCGGGGAGGAGATCTGGTCTTTCTTGTTATCTGAATGTGACTTAGGAAGCTCAGGTGATGCCTTATACAAAGTCAGACCACTGGCCCATTGAGCTCAGTATTACTGACCAGAGGTAGCATTCCAAGGTTTCAGGCTGTGGTCTTTCCCAACCCTACCTGGAGATGTTGGGGATTGAACCTAGAATCTTTTTGCAGGCAAAGTGTGTGCGCGCTAGCACTCAGCCACAGCCCATGACGTAAACCCTACGCTGCATTTCCCAGCAGCTTATCCTGGAACTCTTCACACTTTGCCAAATGAGAAACATGATACGAAAGGGAAAGGTTTTCAAAAGCTGAGCCTTTCACTCACTAATCTATGCATCCTTGGAGTCTCAAAGAAAACTATCTTCAAAAAAAACTGCTTGGTGTCTTCTCTCACAGCCCCTCACCCGCGTGAAGAAGAGGAACATGGGCTAACCACATATTGCTCCCACAACTAAGAGAGGTCCCCACCTTACTTGGGTCTCTCCCCGGATTAACTGGCTCCCTCTGTGCCCTCATCCTTCTTACCCAGGGCGGAAGTTCCGTTCCTGCCCACCTCCAAACAGCATGGGATGGAGAGGAGTGGTGACACCAGGGCCTCGCACATACAGCGCTCCAATACGTGGGGCATAGAACTGCAATGATAAATCACAAAGCTAATGCCTCCAGACAAGAACTAAGAGGTGTGTCCAACAGGAAACTGAGGTGCTTTGACCACACAGAAGTAAGGCTGACAAGATCAGAGAAGCAAACATTAATCCTTGGGGAAATCATGGTTGCCCGTGGGAGAGAAATATGGGTGAATCCTACGCTCACTGCTACCCCTCCCCCTAGACTACCTCAGTGCTATTTCACACATAACAGAAGAGTTTCCTGTGTTTTCTCCCCCTGTTCTGTATCACTTGACAGGCATTTGTGTGCTTCAAAAAATACATGACAAACATGTTCCCAGATGCCACAGGTATTAAACTAATTACGCCTGGAGATTAACTTGAATCATTACTTGGCTACTGGCAAAATAAATAAAAAAATGAAAAGCTGTTTTTGAATACTGTAATGGAAAGTGATGCTGACACACTGGACATCTCCTGCTGTGTGTCATGCTCTCCTGCGCAATGTGAAAATGTGGACAAATTCACTCAACATTGTTCCCAGATTGCCATCTGGTGGAGAAGCTGTTTAGTTGCATTGCATCCTAAGGAGCGAGTTAGACTGTCCACTATGTTTTTAGGTGTTCCAAGAGTTCACGATGAAAATAAAAGACAATTTAAACAACACTTTCTGCATTCCTGTGCAACCATGCCAGATGCATGGGCTGCAGAGAAGAGGGCCAAGATACTGTTCAGGGCAGAGTTTACATTACAGTCACCATATGACAACCTGAATGGCAGCTGTAGCAAAATACAATTGTCAGCAGCAAGCAAATCAACAATGGTTCTCATTTTTAAAAAACCCTGACGAACTGCTGCTCTAGCACATGGACTCCCCAAAGTTAACAAAAGGCCAAAGTGAGATGGCCTCTTTGTATATTCTTTGTGTGTACATATTGTGCACTGTTTTTATGAGAGTAAGGAAAGAAGGAAAAACTTTCAAATGAAAAAAAAAGTTTTGGAAATCAGGATGTAGATAGCATTAGACACATTTATTAAACAACATAAGAAAAACACTTTTAGCCCTAATAGAGTTAAGTCTGCAATCCTGCACAATGAGAACCGTGAGTGAGAGAACCATTCATGAACACCAAACGTTTTTACTGCCAGCTTCCTGTCATACAAAGCACCTCTGGATTATGGTCACTGTCTGGTTCTCAGAATGATGGCTGGTGTTCAGGGAGCCCTGGGATGTTCTTTCTTATTTTTGTCTCTAAATGTTTTATCAACAATAAAGGATGACTCTATGGGCTGACAGCAACTCTCTGCTCAATGGGTATTGGGTTTACCATGTTGGGAGATGACCTAGATACATGGACATCTCTTACCCTGCATGTAGAAACTACATTGTAGACAGAAGAGAGAAGCACCATACCTTGTGCCCCACAATAGTGAGGTAATCCACTCCCAGATCTTGCACGTCAACTTGACCTTTCCCAATCATCTGTGCTGCATCTGTGTGTACCAAGATCCGTGGCAGACCAGATGCCGTTCTCTTCCGATTGAGAGCTTGAATCCGTTGGCTGAGTTCGGAGACAGGCTGATAGAAGAAAGAACCATCAGGAGGCATCATCTCACCAGGAACTCAAGTGTTCTGGCTCTCTCTTTTGCTACTGCCCTACTGGCTGGCATAGGATGCCTTCACAGAATTACTTGCATGGAAAGCTGATGGTTGCCTTTGAACTTTTATTGATAGTATTATATGGCTTTGTTGTTATGTAGTACAACTGCCCCGCCTTGGTGATCAAGGTAGAATATAGCATTTGGTGTAACTCAGCATCCAAACAAAGGGCACCACATATAAACTCCACAGAACACATAACCCAACACAGGGAGACCATGGTTCACGGCATAGGGCTATGTCTCTGTGTCTCCAGAGAGCAAAACCTGTAATTCCAAACTAGATTGGGTGAGCAATGAGGTGACAAAAATTGTAGAACTAAAGGTTTTGCTATACAGTAGACCTGTGATTTATGTACATTTAACATGTGCACATTCAGCTTTAGGCACTTGGCAAAAACAAAAAATTAAAAGGCGGGCAGAAAGAGGAGCGGGCATCTGGGGGGGAAACTTCGGCAATCCCACCTGGCGTTGCATCCAGTGTGTTTTGACTATACATGATTTTGGCTTTATGCACTATCCCCAGAACTTAAAGACCTGTGTAAATTGTGGGGCTTAAAAAGGTAAAGGGACCCCAGACCATTAGGTCCAGTCGTAGCCGACTCTGGGGTTGCGGAGCTCATCTCGCTTTATTGGCCAAGGGAGCCGGCGTACAGCTTCCGGGTCATGTGGCCAGCATGACTAAGCCGCTTCTGGTGAACCAGAGCAGCGCACAGAAACGCCGTTGACCTTCCCACCTATTTATCTACTTGCACTTTGACGTGCTTTCGAACTGCTAGGTTGGCAGGAGGAGTTGCGGGGCTTACTGTATACTGAGATTGAAAGTTGGTGGAGTGAAAGGAGAGTGGAAATATTTTGGGGGAGCATCAGCTCCCTCTCATTGGCTCTTGGGATCATCTGACCACATATATGAACCTCATATCCTTAAACATGTAATAAGAACTGAAGGCACAACTCACCATGATAACCCCAGTTTCATTATTGGCCAGCATAATGGAAACTAGACATGTAGTTGGACGGATGGCTGCAACAACTTCATCTACTTCCACCTGTCCTGTCACTTTGGACACGGGTAAAAAAGTGGCTTCTGTAAATCAGGATGCAAAAAAAGATGTTGATCCCATAGCTCAGTGCGTTCATCAGCACTTACTATGGATCTGGCAGCAGTGGAGAAAGTCACAGGGAATAGCAGACCTATTGCTAGGCAACAGACAAGCGCTCCTTAGTCTTGAAAGATTAAGATATGGCTGTCATAAGGGAATTTGGGAGGAAGTGGCTATTGACTTAGAAGCAGCATTTAATGAAAGAGGCAGCTGAGCAAAAATGGATTTTCCTGGAGCTCAGCTGGATACTTGGAAGATAAGAGAGGAGGAAGATGAGGAGGAAATGCTGCATGCTGTTTAAGTCTCTTCAGTTTGCAAAAGCCCCCACTAAGAGCTCTGAGTCTCATACTGAGTTCTGCCATGATCCTGCCCAATTGGAGAAGCACCAGAGATTAAACCTAGCACCGTTTGAACACAAGCTATATATTCCTCCCTCCCTACGCAGTGATAAGACCACTTATCAGCCAGGTTAGGAATGCCATCTCTGACTCCATGTGTTGGTCACTTTTTGACAGGCAAGAAGGATAGGATAGGATAGGATAGGATAGGATAGGATACCATAGGAAAGGATAGGAAAAGGAAAAGGAAATGATGCAAATAAATGCATTTGAATTAAAGGTTCAGAACTGCCTCCAATTCTGGACATTAGCACCACAGTGAAAGTACTGCTGAGCCAGCTTTAGACAGCTCACATTCGGAGGAAACAATAAAGAGACAGTATACCAAACAAAACCCCTTCATGGATCACTGCCTTGTTGTGGTGAAGGGACTTGAATAACTCCAAGAAGCTCTGAGCTATGCTGTGCAGGGCCACCCAAGACGGACAGGTCATAGCTGAGAGTTTAGACTAAATGTGATCCATCTGGAGAAGGAACTGGCAATCCACTCCAGTATTTTGCCAAGAAAACTCCATGGACATAAAAATGGAGAAGCTTTGAGAAGAAAGTGAGAGTTTCCAAGGCATGCTCTGGTTCATGGGGTCATAGAGAGTTGAACATGACTAAGACGACTAAACAACAATACCAAAAAAGTAGTATTTGCTACTCAGAAACTAAAATTGCTAAAAAAAGAGCTTTTGCCTAAGCAGAATCTGGCAAGTGTGTATAATTTATCAGCAATCTCTGACTATCCACTACAGTATACTCACCAGCCTCATGCTCTTTCACTAGGTGCTCCACAGGGAGACGGACTGAGTCATGCTCAATGCAAGATGTAATTAAATGTGGACACAGCCCCAGAGTCTTTTGTTTATCTTCTCTTGGTCCATCAGAACTTTGCTTGTTGCTTTCCTTAAAATGCTTCACTGCAGTGTGGATCACTAAATTGTTTGCCTGAATGGAAAAAGGAGGGATACAAATCCCCATCTCATATGTTCATATGAATATCCAGATTTACCAGTGCAGTCCTCTGGAGTAGACAATGCTGAATTTCTTACCCAAACACTAGTTCAGAAGGATCAGAGGCAGAGGACTGATTTGTAGTCATTACCTCCATGTGAGTGAATCAAATTGCAATACAGTGGTGCCCCGCAAGACGAATGCCTCGCAAGACGGAAAAACCGCTAGACGAAAGGGTTTTCCGTTTTGAAGTTGCTTCGCAGGACGAATTCCCCTATGGGCTTGCTTCGCAAGACGAAAATGTCTTGCGAGTCTTGAGATTTTTTTTTCGCTTTCCCCCCCCTTTATCTAATCTGCTAAGCCTTTAATAGCCTTTAATAGCCTTTTAGCAGCTAATCCCCTAAGCCTTTAAGCCTTTAATAGCCGCTAAACAGCTGATAGCGCTAATAGCGCTAATCCGTCAATGGGCTTGCTTCGCAAGACGAAAAAACCGCTAGACGAAGACTCTTGCGGAACGGATTAATTTCGTCTTGCGAGGCACCACTGTACATGCTCCTTTGCAGGTTTTAAACAAAAGATAGAGCCATTCAACAGAAGAGGGATAGACTTTCTTTTTATCTGATGGGTGTTTGCTGGGTCTTACTTGGCACTAATTAAGAATGGAGTCACCAATGCTATGAGAAGCAAATAAAGTCAGACTCCATTTAGGGGAAAAAGACAGCTAGCATGTTATGGGTTGATCTCTTAAATGACTACCAGGTCAAAACAGTGCTAGCAGAATCTCATATCTCACCTCTGTCCCACCAGAAGTGAAGACGATGTCCTGGGGTCGTCCCCCTACCATTCTAGCCAGACTTTCACGGGCTCCATCTATAATATTTTTAGCCCTTCGACCTGTGAAATCAAAGGCACATTTATCTTATTATCAAGGCAAGGTGGGGGGAAGTCTCCAAAGGGTGGCATTAGGGGAAGACTACCACCTTGAGTTCCAGGATGTAATAAGTGATAAATAAACAAATTATTAAGTCCACCCAAATTCTGGAAGAGTTTAATTGTTTTGATACAGAATAATTATTTCTGGTAACAATAAGTGCCAGATTTGGCTCTGTGTTCCTTGCATGAGCATTTATTTCAGCGAGTGCTGGAGAGTGGATCACATGCAGTAATACATTCCTTTAAGGCCATTTCAATGCAGTAACTTGAATTTAAAAAGGCAAGATGAATATAAAAATGAGATGGATGCTTTCATAGAATGTTTCCATCCAGGCTTGCTCTCACCTTCTGTGTAAGAGCTGCTCGGATTGCCCCATGCTTCATGCATGGCTTCTGTAACTGTCTCAATCACCTCTGGAGCCAGAGGGGTGGTTGCATTGTAATCTAGGTATATCTTCCTGAAGGGAACAGAATGCAAGAATAGTTACAACAGAAAAAGGAATTAAGATACATTACCTCTAGCATTCTTTGGGCCAAAGTTGCATCATTGGTTATGAAAAATGCTGCCCCAACCAAACCACTTCTGAAGTCGTCATTGCCACAACCACAAAGATGATACTGAGGTTTTGAAATAAAACAGCACTATCTCTCCCCAAGCTTTAAAATGTGGTGCCAGTTTTGATGAATACATTATATGACACACTCACATGAATGTGACAAAGTGGGCCCAGGCCCATGAAAGCATATGCCACAATGCATTTGCTAATCTTTAAAGTGATTTTGCTGAAAATCACAGCATTCTAGCACTTAAGAAGTTGACTACTGTAATAATCTTTCAGTTCCTAGAGCTCAATCCTAAGATTTTTTTACTTGCTTGGAGTTTTGCAATCCAATCTATACACATTTACTTGGAAGTAAGTTCCACTTAATCCAACAGGACTCATTCCCAAGGTATATTGTGGGTAAAATAGCAAAATCTCAGCACTTACCATTGTCAAAAAATTGTCTTCATTTTTTAAACTCAAGCGAAGCTACAAACCTGTTTGATGTGTTGTTCTCTTCCCCATCAAAGTCAATTTTCTCTCTGTTCTCATTTCCTTTGTTCACTAATACTTTCTTCATTTGCTTCTCTTCCATTCTCCACCAACCTATTTTAAGAAAAACACAAACCACTATGTTTCATGAAACATTAGACTTCAAATTGCACACAAATAAATTCTGACATGCCTTTGCCCATTAATCAAAAAGACACGACTACTCGTTCTGCTGTATCTTCAGGAATCAGAGGCACTGACTTGCGCCCCAGATTGGAGGGGCCCAGCATTGCACGCAAGCGCAACGTGACATCATGACATCACACATGTGAAACCAATGGGTACGCAATGAAGCCCAACACCACTGCCCCCTGCTTGCAACTGCAGCCCTGAACGCCACCACCCATGCACCACCTTACCTCCACTGGCTCTCCACAGCCACTGCAGCAGCTAGGCCAAGGTCTCTGCCGCAAGGCCTCCAGTGCAGGTTAGGCGGCAGGCAGCGGCAGTTTGAGGTGGTCCAGATGCATTTGTAGGCAGGATGGTGGTGGTGGGAGGAGCCCAAGGACTAGACACACATCATTGGGAGGCTTCCTCCACCCCCTCAACATTGGGGGGGGGGCTTGGCCTGCCTACAAATATTGAGGGGGTCCAATCCTATAGAGATGGCACCTATGTCAGGAATATTGAATTACCATTCTGTAGAGGTACCTCCAAAGATGGACATAAGAAAGTTAGAAGAAATACTTCCCATCTCTCAGATTCCCTGTCTTCCTAGGATTGATATTCTATCTTCCCTGGTTTCCAGCTGGGAGGCAGTCAAAGGAAGAGTCACACACATTGTCAAAAGATTTGTATATGGGAGATATGTTTTAGGACTGACAGTGGCTCTCCAGAATTACCCCCCCCCCCAAATCCTACCTGGAAATGCCAAAGACTGAAAGTGAATCTGGACCTTTTGCATGCAAAGCATGTGCTTTACACTACCAAGCTACAACTCTTCCTCAAAGGTGAATTGCCTAATGTCCCCAAGGAAGCTCATAGTAGAGGGGAAATTATTATCATTATTTATTAAATTTCTATTCCGCCCTTCATCCAGAGATCACAGGGTGGTTGACAATATAAAAACACAAAAATACATACCATAATAGCAAACAAAAACAATACTCCCCACAGTTTAAAAAGCCATAGAAAGCCAAAAATTCTAAATTGTAGTTCAGTCTGCAGTGATGGTAGTTATTCTGTTATAATTTTCAGCTGCTACCCCATTTTCTCTCACAGGCTCAATGCACAGGCACTGTTTATGAGCAAAGAGCTTCAGACACTTCCAACACATTACCAGAATAAAATTTCGTTGTGTAGCTAATCACTCAACAACAGAGGGTTGTTGAGTGGAATGGGAAAGCCTCACACTATACGAAAGACCCTTAGATGTCTTGCAGTCCAACCACAGTTGTTATCGTTCCTCTCCGTTTGTAATTATCATTGCTTTGTTTTTGCACTGAAACCCCGCCCTTTCCATTAAGACTTTAGCACAACCTTCTAATCCCAATGCCCTATTGTAATTAGCCCTAAATACATGTACCTGAAATAACTGCTTATCTAAGCCTTGTCTCTGCTTCCCTCCCGTTTCTGTCATTGCCTATTTCTGGATTGTGAACCCCTTGGGGCAGGGACCTATCAGCTCCTTCTTGTTTTGTTGCAAAGCCCTATGAACATGGATGGCACCATACTAACAATACAATAAATTTATATGAGTCACCAAGTTGGTTCCTTATATTTTATTTTATTTATACTGAGATGTTTTTTACTGCTGAAATTGTGCTAAACAAAATGGGGAACTGTTCCCCTCAGCTCTTGCCCGCAAGACATAAACTGAATCTCCCTTTGGACTAGGGAGCGTATATCTTAATACCACATCCTAGAGACAAAGAAAAGAGACGACTACTCCCGCCCCCCGGGTGAGAGAGATGCCTATCCCAGAACAGATAAAAACAGAATGCTGGACTGCACAACCTTCCGCCTCAACGCGACCATTTTTATACAACCTTCCAGACGCACCTATTGGCTACTACGGCAAAATTTCAGCTACGAACCAATCCGCGTCCTCCAACTCACCACGTAGCTATTGGCTGCTGAGGCTGCTTAACACTCCAGCCACCGACAAATCAGATCCGCGCCACACAATTCGGACTGACAGTGGCAAGGCGGGTTGACGCGTAGGAGCCGGGGCATCCGTTGACTCTCTCTTCCCACTCTCACTATCATTAGTAATATGACGACAGTCTCCCGAAAGAGGGCATTGGTTTATGGTCGAGTCTGGTACTGGTGTGGCTTCAGCTTCCGCCCAAGAAAGGCTATTAGTTTAATCGCGACCAGGCGGGTCGACTCATCAAGGACCAATCAGCTTCCTCACCCGCCAGTGCGTAATGGCGCTAAGCGGGGCACGGCTGCGTTAGTTAACCAATCGGTTGCCTCGCACTGACGATAACCTGCCTCCGACCTTCCCCTTAAGAAGCAAGACCCCTTCGTCTATTTGTCTTGGCTCCGCTTACTGGTTCTGCTCTCCTGACGGTAGTTGGCGACTGGGTCTTTTTTTTTTTTTGCCGACGTCGTTACTTGTTCGTCCTTTTTTTTTCCACAAGGAGGCCTCACAGGCCCGGTTTTCGCCTCAGCTGCAAAAACGGGACCGTATATTAGCTACCAACGCCCAGTTTATTTTTTCAAAGCAACTCGGTGAATGACAGTTGAGATCATAGAGACGTCGGCATGAGAGACCACCACAGGGGAAGGGTTGCTCGCGCTGCCCTTCCTCAAGATGGCGGTCGCGGCGGCATCGCTTTCCCTTTTCCCGCTGCGTAGGGCTCGCTCGCTCGCTCTCACTTACCAAGATGGCGAAGGATGGGCCGCGGGCTTTTAATTGACGCTTTACCTCTTCTGGCTGGTTCTGCTGATCGAAGGCAGGTCTTGGGGATAACGGGAGAGGCGGGATTAGAGCCGGCCAGGCCGGGCTATTCAACGGTTGGCCGGCCGGGCAGGGGAAACGGCGCCTGGGCCTCAGGCGGCTTCGGCCTGGGAGTGGGGAGGAACTTGCCGGGGCTGAGAGGGAGGGCGGCCGGGCCCCACCCCCATCCGCCTCATGGCGCCTGTGGCGGCATTCGTCTCATTGGCGTTATTTTCCAGGCAGGAATAAGGGCTGGCAACTGCCCTACGTGGAGTGCCTGGTCCCTGCCTTGCAGACGGGCAGTGGGGCGCGCAGGTGTTCTCTGGTGCTCTTGACAGCCCCGTGGTTTGAGGCGGTGCAGGGTTGGTCCGCTTGACAGGTTTTAGAAAGATCCCTTCCTTCTCGGTGGGCTGTTTTAATCCCCCCTGTTGACCTCCAGAACGTGATCCCCGGACGCTATGCTCTCAAGCCTCTTTGGTTTAGTGCACTACCTGCGCTCATAGTTTCCAGGACCTAGAGCGGACTTGCATAAATCCCGTGATTGCATCGCCTTAAAAATCCAAGTTTTGAGCCCTTCAGTTGAGAATTTGCTTACAGTTTGAAAATAGGAAATTGCTTGAATGCTAAAACTTGGAAGCATCATTGTATATATGCTGACAGGTGCTATTTGTATTTATTTGCCTGTTTCCATTCTGGGATTCAGGTTTCCTTTAGAAAATACTGTTCCATTTCAGATTGCAACACTATGCACATCTGGGAGGAAATGCTGTAGTCAACTTGCTTGTGAATATATATGCATGAGGTTTCACTGACAGGAAGATTAATGTAATTATACCAGGGCACTTATTGCAGCAGGCAGCTTTGAAAAAGCAAGCTGTTGCAGTGCAATCTGTTAAAGGCTACCTGTGTGATGGGAGAGCAGGCTCGAAATGTTGTAAATAAATATTTTAAGATTGGAAGGTAATTTGGCCACCACAGATTTCTGAGTTATAATGGACAGAATACAAGTATTAAGACTGCTTGTTGAGGTGATTTGTAGTTAATCGGAGAAACACCTGTGCCATTGCTAGAAGGCTTTTTGTGAATTTCCTAATAGGGTTTAATAGATGGTATCTAATGTTAATCATGCTCAAAGGAGACCCACTGAAATCAACGAACAAGTACTCTGGGTCTACCTTGTGTGATATTGCACTATATTTTTAAATATTAAAATATAAGAACATACTGAATTATATGTGAATGATTTAGCTGTGCCAGTGACAGATCATGGGGGAAATTCAGACTGCAGCTAACATGAATAAAATACTTTATTGATGCTTTACTGCTTGACAAGTCAGTTTTGTTTTTCAGATAGGAGCTTACTTAGTCCAAATGGGTGGAACTAAGTAATGCTCTCTCCAGAAATTACTTGTCTATGTTGGCTGCAGTCCTGAACACTTTGACCACCTTGACTTACATATTCTTAGCTTCACATAATTAAATTTTTATTTTCATTCTTGTTGCTATTCTATTTCAGCTGTCTATCTCTTTATTTCAGCTTTTGGTATAAAAAGACACTGGAAAGGAATGATGGCTGCTTTGGATACTAAAGCAAAAGCAAAAAAAACTCTGGGGACAGTTGATTATGTGGAGTCATCAGAATTTGCCCAAGGAATTCTGCCTACCAAGAAGGATGTCATTCAAAACATGCTATATCTATTGCACCCAAAAAGGGCTGGGCAAGCCCAGCGATCCAAAGAAGATGCTGCCCAGTTGCTTGCTGAACTTCTGCAGGAGCACTGGTTGTTTTGCAATTTGTATACCATAGCAACACAAAGCATAAAGAAGCATATTCTTAAGGTGTATGAGGAATTTTCAAAATTATATCAGTCCAGAAAGCGAAGAAAAAATGAGTTGTTTACACAGAAAGCAGATGATTTCAACAGGAGTTCAGAGCAGCTTTTTGACATATTTTGTACAGACACAGGAACAAGAGAGAAATTGGAGCAATACAGTGGTGTGAAGATGACTGACATTGAGTGGAAATTTCTTGAAGATCAGAGGAGTGAAAGAAAAATGTACTTTGAGGACTTCGTGGACAAGAAACAAATGGAAACAATAGAAAGACGAAGAAAAGTAGAATCACTGGAGCACTTCAGGAAGATTGCAGAAGAAGAGAAAGATGCATGTAAGCGTAAAGGAATGACTTCCAATAGAGATGAGCAGCCAGTTGAAGATGTCAGCAGTAGGAAGAAAGATGACCCCTGCCTTGGACGCAGCAAAGGAATTGGGAACTTTTCACATAAGGCAAAAAGAAAGCGCCTATCTTCTGGCTGGATTACTGGGACAGCATCTTCAACTAGCTATAGCGAGTCAGTTGCACCTGAATGTCAACATATACGTATGAGCATCAGAAAAGTCAGACCAGGGTTCTATGAGACTTTTGACAAATATGAAAACTGCTAGCCCAACATTCAAAATCTGTTTCTGTTGAAGTTTTGGGAGGTCTTAATACCCTGACTAATTGGAAGTTGATGTAGATAATTTTGTTGGGCTCCATTAATGTACAGCAACACCACCAAAGCAATGGCACCAGTAGAAATGGGCTTTTAGCTTACTGAGAAAGCAAGATTTGTTTAGGCCTGTACTGATACTTTCACAAGGTGAAAGTACTGTGTACTAAAAAGCTATAGTGTAGCAAAGGAAGACAGAAAAACCAATGTTTGGATGTTAAAGCAAATCAAATGCACAATAGTAGGTTATGTTATATAATAACAATTTAACCACTGGAACAGACTTCTTAGGAAGGTGGTGCATTTTCCATTTCATAGTCTTCATGTTGGGCTGGACACTCCTAAAAAAACATTTTGCTGAAATGTTGTATAGTGGCCTGAAATAGAAGTGTGAGGAGAAAATGCAGACTCTCCTGCAGGAGAGTCATATTATATAGCCTGTTGCCCATTCCAACCTCAGTGTCTCCCAAGACTGGAAGACCATGTACAATTAAAATAAAAAATGGTAACTAGTGAGATGGCAGCTAAAAGGGGAACATGGTCGTGGGGCTGTGTGTTACAATGCAGGATCTTTTTGAGACTCACAATAGACTGCTAACTTCCTGCCCGTTAAAACAGTAAGTAAGTAAGCACACCTGAAGGGAAAACAGTAATTGGCTCAATTATCAAAAAAGTACAGTAGTTTCCTGTAATGCCCACCCCCATACCTTGATATTGGTCTTAAGAGACTGACCATATACAATTTGCCATTACTTCATTGGGAAGGGGTTCTGCGCCTTTCAGGACTAGGTGTTTGCAGGCGAAAGAAAATAGGTTTCCTCTGTTTGATCTCGCAGATATTTAGTTCCTAAAATACCTATACAGTTCTGAAAAGCAGCTTTTGATAGATAGCATTGGCTCACGTGAGAAGAAGAAAAAAGGTCAGGAAATTTTAAAAATGGCTTTTGGTATAAATGTGGTGGTAACAACTATTTGTATATTTTCTGCATTCTTAGCAATTAAATATCAGTGGTGAGAAATATATGTGGAAAAGTAGAATTTGTAATTGAAAATATTTGAGACATAAACGTATAATGCACTGAACATAGCATGGGGTTGGAACTGCCTTACGAATTATTTTAAAGGTGTTTAATTCTTCTTTTCATTTAGTAAGGATTGCAAATGAATGCACTGCAATGTTTGCTACAGTGGAAGGACGTAGCTGCACTGCAGTTATAATGTCCACTGAAACAGAAGCAAGTCCTTCCATCTTGAGAAATTTGTAGCTCTGCCTGCAGTGAGCATTGGTAGTGCAGATTGCAGCCCTTTCAAAGCTAGGCAAAACTTCTGTTTTCATACCTCACTGGTTTTTCCCCAGCATACAGATGGCTAGTTTTCACAGTCTCAGATTCAGACATATTGTATGCATGATACAATTACAAATACTGTTACATTACATGACCTCTGGATCACATGGTGTATACACAGACATCCACATATGGAATTGCTGTAATCTTATCTCTGGAAAGTCACAAACACCTGGCAACACACCCATACCCATACCCATGTTTCCCATCATGTTGGGAAGAGTATATTCCTCAGTACACTGCCCCATTGGCTGTATAGTAGTTAAATCCTAGAAATCATGGGGTATTGGGAATGGTTTACAGATATATGTACATCACTTGATCTATTACCACCTAATGGTTCTTGGCTGAAGATGTGAACTGTGCACCAAAATGCTGTGTGTTGGAATTAACGTTGGGCGATATACAGTGGTGCCCCGCAAGACGAATGCCTCGCAAGACGAAAAACTCGCTAGACGAAAGGGTTTTGCGTTTTTTGAGTCGTTCCACAAGACGAATTTCCCTATGGGCTGTTTCGCAAGACGAAACGTCTTGCGAGTTCTTGCAAGTTTGTTTCCTTTTTCTTAAAGCCGCTAAGCCGTTAATAGCCGCTAAGCCGCTAATAGCCGTGCTTCGCAAGACGAAAAAAACGCAAGATGAAGAGACTCGCGGAATGGATTAATTTCGTCTTGCGAGGCACCACTGTAACTGGCCTTTTAAAGTTAGCATAATATTCTTCTAAATTTTGCTCACATAATTTCCATAAATACAGGTACTTCAAAATATTAAATGGTTACTTTTAGGCAAAGGGCACCTGTCTAGCCCAAAATCCTAATAACAAATTGCCATCGTTTTGTTACCCTTTGCCAGAAATGGTTTTATTTCATCTGTTGCCTTTTTTCATATGGACCAAAAATGTAACTTTATGCAGCATTATATGCATGTTGTGTCAAGCTAAGGAACAATGATTTATTACTACATCTGCCCTTGCTTATACATTTGATTTCCCATATGAGAAGTAGTCCCGCTCTAAAACCATGTCAAAAAGGCTGACTGGAGAGACGATTAATGCAATTAATTGTAATGTAATTGGGTGATGTGCATTATGTCAGTAATACAAGCAGTTTTACTGGATCTTTGAAGCAATAAAAGCACCCTCTTTTTTCGGGAAAACAAGTGAGCCATCACTAATGGTAGTGAAAGTGCTTCCATTAAAATTTGTCTCCTTTAAAGTTTTTAGATGGATATTTCCAAATGTTTGCATTCAATAGTCATAGTTAATTTTGAAGTTGTGTTTCCATTCCCAGTCAAGGTAAGCTAACCAAATGCCTAAAATTATCATCCCTCATTGGTCCTAATATTAAATACCTCCCCAAATTGCAATATATTTTCTGCACAGGCAAATTTTGAACCTTCAAATGAAGGAAATTGTCAGAATGAGATTCAGTCACTCTGAGTTTAATGTTTTTAGGGATCAAAAATCTTTTTTGTTTCCTGGAAGGGGTAATTCAAATGATATATGTTCTGTAGCATACATACAAATGCCTCGCTCCATACATTGCAAAAAAGCAGCTAATTTTTCTTTTTCCATGTGTTCGTATTGATTGGTTAGGTTCATTTAAAACTCAAAGTAATGGGGGGGGGGAATATATGATTTAGTAGTAAGTGTGTGATTGTCGCATTACTGCTGAATTAATCCTACTTTTTTATTTTATTTTAAAAAGTACCAATAATCAGGCCCAGTGCTAAAGGTTTCTGGAATTTGTTGATGGCAGGCCGGCCAAAAGATCGTGTTGATTTTCTTGATAGACCGGTCATGTTCAAAAGAAGCAGCAAAAGAGAAAGTGTTGATTGTTTTTGCTTCTGAAAATTTTGACATTTTGTGTTCTTTGATGACATAAAATGTCAGATGCTTCTGCATGTATAGGAGTGTCTGATTACCAAGACTGCATTTCTAAACACACTAGTAAGCCTCTTGCTCTGCCTGAGGGTTTTTCATCAAATCCGTCCACTGTTGAGGCTTCTCTTCCTACTTTCATACTCAGATGACTTGATTTATTTACAATATATACTATTTTCCAACAAGAGCTTCTCCTAGAAGGAGAGCAATTAAATTATTCTCAAGCACATTCATGCAACACTTTCACCTGCGTCTTGTAGGCCTCAGTGGGCAGATGATAGCTGCAGCTTCTGCTTTCAGAACTCTCGGTGGAGCTGCTGGGGGACCAGAACTATAAGAAGTCCTCTCCCCAGCCCTCTTGTTGCTGTTGCTGCCTCACTCAGCTTAAGATGTGCACAGGGGAATAGCCCCACTGCCTTGAAAGTGTTGCCAAGCACCAGGCCTAGGTAACACAAGGTGTTAATGTCCTTGATCCTTGGCAGCAATAACGTTCTTTAACAACCATTTGGAAATCTACTCTGCTGCAAAATGTGGTGCCTTGCTTCTTGCAGCAGGAGATATCTTGTACCAAAGTCACAGTATGCTTGTGGCTATCCGTCGTCTTCCAGGTATAGCATGCTCCTGTTACCCAATAAAGTTTTAAAAAATTCAATCCTACATGGCTTGAGAAAAGCTCGCAATGATCTGCCCAGAGACTTACAATTGGCTGTCTATATCATCTTGATGGTGTAATCTGCGTACCATGGGAGTGGGGTTTTTTGGGGGGGAAGTAGTGCCTAGAAAAAGATTGTTGTATGCCCAAAACTTTTCAGCAATAATTACAATTTTAGCTAGGAACCTTCTGCTGCAAGCATATGAATGACTATCTTTTGATCTCTTAGCTAAAACTGCAGCTGCTTGTGGCTCCCATGGAGAATTCCAAATACTCATTTGGTTTTTTTAAAAAAATAATATTTATTGGTAGTTTCAGAATTATAAAAAAGAAAGAAACATTGAAAAACAACACTATAATACATAATAATAATAATAAAAAAGAAAAAACACAAAAACCAATACAACAGTACGACAAAAAGATAAAAAGAAAAAAGAAAACAACACAGATCCCAAGTTACATATCTATAACTTCCATTTGCTTGTTTCATTGACTTCCTCACACCTCCCTTTTTGTATTCTAGTTTAGTTAGTTATTTCAGCAAATTCTTTCCATCTTTCTCAATTTTTGTTAAAAAAAATTTAAACTAACAATTTAACCTAATAATTAGCTCAACAAATCCTTTCCATCTTTCCCCAAATTCTATTATTCAAATTACCTTAATTTATTTAACCTTATCTTACCCTAAAATACCTTAAAGCTTGAATCTTAGTTATCAAATGTACATTACTCCTGATATCATTTCTGCTAAAGTCATATAGTTTCATTCCAACATTTTCCCTAATATTCATTAATTTTTAGCCAATTCCCTAAATAGAAAGTTTTCTTTATAAAAAAAAAAAAATTCCCAATCTTCATCCAACGTCCCTTCTTCCTGGTCTCGGATCATGTCAGTCCTTACTGTCCATTCCATCTAGTCCATCAACCTGGAAGCCTTATGTCCGAGGCCCTTAAGTCTCTTCCATGTCCCTTCTGCAGTTCTTCTTCTTGTTTATACTTGCCCTTTTCCTTGTCTTTTGTTGGTCTCTTTCTTAGTTTCTTTCCTTTCTCATTGAGGAGTAGGCCTCTGGGGGATTCCAAGCCAAAATTATCTCCATCTCCCTTCATCAAGCCCGCCCATTCCCCACAGTCCCACTCCCCACAGTCCTCGATATAGTCCATAAAGTATTTAAAAGCATAATCCAAGGTCTCTCCAACATTAGGAACCTCCTCAGCTCCAGACTCCCCCTGGCCCACTCCAACTTCAATCTTCAATGACAGCGGCTCATGCTCCTGTAGGGCCTCGGGACTCTCCATTTGTATTATTTGGGGTGCAACCGCATCCTCCTCCATTATCTTCTGCACTTGCCCAGTCGGTACAGATTCATGAGTTGGTCCCTGAGTAATTTCTGTATCCGTATTTCCTGTTTGTCCACAGTTATTAACCACAACAGTCAAATCCATTTTCTCATTCATCAAGTCCATCTTCTCATGCATCTGTTCCAACAAGGCACTTGTCTTGCATAAGGCAAGCACCCAGTCTTCCTCCCAGCTCATCTTTGGTCAGGGTCAGAAAAGACTGTTCCCACGGTCTTAATCTCACAGCTGTTGAGCCCTCAAATATACTGCAGCAACAATTTGACAAGCTCCCTCTAGAGGAGGCAATTTCTATTTGTATCCATTTTTTATTTTTTTTAGACAAGTCCAACAAGGAAATTACTTTCGTTTTTCAGATATTTTTCAGATATTTTGTTTCTTTAAGATGCAAAAGGCAACATTGGAATCAGCTTGTTTCTCTTCTTTAGCTATCTGTCAAAATATTCCGTTCACAGTCAATGAACCTCTCCAGCAATTTCTGTCTCTGACACCCCGTTCCCAGGTTAGAGACGGTGGAGACTTATCCTTCTTCACTCCCTCTCCTGCTAGGGTTGAACAAAGTCCCCCCCCCCTTTTCTCCTGCTTCCAAGGGGGTTTCAGTAATTCTGAATGAAGGAAATTTAGACTTTTTTGACAGCTTTCCAAGCTTTAGCTTACAAAGTTTTTGCTTTAGTCTATATGCAAAAAACGGGAGGCGGACTTCCTGTTTTGAACCTTCCCGCTTCGATACCAAATTAAGGAATTTCTTAATCCAATTTTCCGTTTCTACTCACGGGTACTTGTTTTAAATCCAATTGTCCACAGGAAAAAGTCAGCGCTCTCCGGCAATGGCTGTGCGGCTTCACTCCGTGAAAGTAGCAGTCAGTTCACAGCACCGCGCTTCTCACCCCACTTCGCTCCGGAGCCCCTAAATGGGGTTCCCCGCGAGTAGGGGGGCGCTCCTGGTGCCCTGCCGAACCCCACGTTCCCAGGCTTCCTCCGCCTGGGATTTCTGGCGGGTCCCCACCTTCGCCGCGGCGGGAAGACCCAGTTTCCATGGAGCCCGTTCCTCCGAACGGAGGAACTCCGCCATTCACCGATGGCGCTGACCCGGAAGTTCCAAATACTCATTTGGAGCCTTTCTTCACATATAGAAACATCAAGGGTGTGCATAAATACCGAGTCAAACCATTGGTTCTAGGATTTCAGATGGAAGTTTTAACTAGCCTTACCTTGAGATAACTGGGGATTAAACCTGGGAGCTTCTTTGCACAAAGCACAGTCTCCACTGCAAAAACTGCAGATGTGGCTGAATGCCTCACTCTATGGACACTGCTCTGTTCCTTGTCTTCAGAGGCATGTGATGGCATTGGCACCACTTTATCCACAGGTGGACTATGGAGCCAAACAGCCATGCTGTGGTTTATCCTATCTCACTCACCTTGGCCCCCTGTGATCTCCCCTTCGGAAATGCTGATTGGGGTGGGACTAGGGCACTGAATGCAGCCGTCTGAAGGCACCCTACATTGTATGTTTCCTCTGGAGCTCCAGCTATCCAACAGGTACAGAGGCGGAAATCCGGCATGTCTCTGCTGCTGCCCATTGGCTTCAGACTTTAGAAGAATAGTAGAGGCACTCCCTGTTATCCCTGACTTCATGCTGCACTTCACAGATGCTGTGTGAGATCTGGGGCAAGGCAAGAAGACCTCTTGGGGCAGGGGCATGTTCTGGTGATTAGAAGAAAGAGAAAAATGGGTGGCAGGAAGAGATGGCTCCACCCAACATAGGCTCAGACCCCAAATGACTTTTGTGAGTCAGTGGCCCTTCACAGAAATAAGCTTTCCCACCTCCTATGTATGATTTTCAATATAGTAAAGAGCAGGGGTCAGCAAACTGTTTCAGCAGGGGGCCGGTCCACTGTCCCACAGACCTTGCGGGTAGGCTGGACTATATTTGGGGGGGAGGGATGAACGAATTCATATGCCCCACAAATAACCCAGAAATCCATTTTAAATAAAAGCACACATTCTACTCATGTAAAAACACGCTGATTCCCGGACTGTCTGCGAGCCAGATTTAGAAGGCTGCCAGATCCAACCCCCGGGCCTTAGTTTGCCTACCCGTGGTAAAGAGAATAGGGGCAGAACTAGAATTAGTTGGTTCTGGCTCCATCTCCACTTGGTCTCTCAGCTTTTTGCTCTACCAGTTCCATGGGCCATGGAGAGGAAAAGGTGGTTAAATGAGTATGAAGTTTTTAAAGGGGGATTAAATCCCCCCCCCCCAAGTGGCCACAGAGTAATTGAAGTTGTGTACCCCTATTTTAGGTGACTATAAATAAGCCTTGTCCTTTTTTTAGCTTCATTCAGTAGGAAGAGTTCTAAGCAGTTAAGAGATAATAGCTAGGTATCAAAGTTTATAAATCCTGCCACTGACAGCAATGTTTCAAGGTGCTTTGAAGCCAGTGGTATGCTTGGGAGTTTGCATGAGTTTTCATCTCTGAACTTGTTCTCCCAGATTTAGCATGTAAAAAGTAAACAAACCCACCCACTGCTTGTAATTAACTGCTGCCAGCCATCCTGAATTACATTGGAGAACAATTAAGAGAAGTGTTTGGTTTCTAAAATAATTCTGGGAAGTCCATTGAAGTTTGGAAGGGTGGGGCAACCCACAGATCTTACTAGGAGTATCATAACCAGCAATCCTTAGCTACTTGCAGAAACGATTTGGAGAAGCAACTCTTATTTGTGGACCTAAGGATTTCTTCCCTATCAATCTGAAATAAAGGATCCCTTGGTTTGACTTAAAGATGGAAAATATTATGGGCTGCCAACCAGTCAACAATGTACTTGTTTGCCTAGTAGAGCCATGTTCCACCAGAAAACTGATATCAGGCTCTAAATGGACCATATAATCTGGGTTTCCCCAAATTTCTGCAAATCAAGATCCACCCACAATAATGCCAATCATGATCCAGTGGATTTCACGCTGGTTGCACCCATGACATTGAACTGCTAGATTATATTAGGGCTGCATCCCTGATCACCCCAGATTCTCCCTTGCTCTAGGCCCACCCAAGGGGTTCTTGAATTTGGAATTTGGAAATTGACAAATGTAACTATATCTTCTGACATAACATGAATCTAAGGTTTATTTCTCAGGGTGGTTGTGTAATGGATTGTCGTCACCTCTGAATACATTGTACTGTGCTGTGTGTTTTTTTAAAGCACTAACATAGCCCCAACACTGAGCCTATAGAGCCCAATCCATGTCTTAATTGTTTTGAAAAGTACCTCCCATAATCCTTCCATTTTCCAGTCCTGTAAGTGCGTGCAGATGGTGTAGGGTGGAGTGAAAATCTCTCAAGCATTTTCAGAAAACGAAGCAAGCCAAATAGACTTAATTGGAGATAGCTTCAGCTTCCCAGATCTATCAGAGGGTCATCACTGGGATTCTATTGGTTCACCAACAGGGTTCTTTGGTGGTGGTGGTTTTTTGCAACACCCCCACTCCATTCTCCACAGACTGAGCATATAAAAAGCACAAGGAATTACAGAAAACAGGTCCATGTGAAATACAGATACCAGATAACATCTCCTTTTGACAGGTGAGGCCAATAAGACCACCTTCCTCCTTTGTTTAGCAAAGACAGAGCAAGCAAAACAAATCTAATCTGGATGTTCAGCAGTCATTGAAGAAGTGAAAGACAATGAGTAATAGAAAAGGAGTGATATAAATATGAGTTTATTTTTACAAACTATACTTGCAAATCTGAATTTCCACAGGCAGGTGGTCTTGAGAGTGAGGTTTCTAAAATAAGCCAGGATCTGACTGCTTACCCTACCCTGTACGGTCACTTCTACCCAAGATGCATGTTCCTTCACAGCATCTGCCATGACCCAAGCAAGTGTACATCAAAATTAAGGTATCTTTTAGTAAAGGTTAGCAGCTGCACCGTGACCAGAAATGGGCATGGAAGATGCATGCTTCTAACAATCCTGTAAATGTTACCCTCTCTCAGGATGTTCGGTTCTGATAACAAACCTTTAGGAGAAGGAGACCTGCGGAAATTACTTAAACTTTATCGCACAGAGATCTCCATGGCAGTCGACGATGTCTTCCCTTTGCTCCATGGACTGGCAGATCATGACATTGTCACGGAAAAGATGTTCAAGGTGAGAGAAATAAGAACAATGATGAGATGATATATACTTCAAGTTTTCCTACTGGCTACTAGAACAATCTCTTGTGGCATGCATATAATTTGTATAGAGGATAAGTTATATATACCTGCCCTTTTTTTGTTTGTGTACTGCTGAACTACGACTCCTTCCTGGCCTTCATTTCTTTTATTGTTCTCTGAAATTTTAATCTGGTGGTTTTATTTTGTTTCTCTGAACCCAGTTAGGGAGGTCAGGTAGAAAGAGAGAGGTTTTTATTTGCGGTTGATGCTGCTTGTATCATAGCACCAATTTGTAGTCATGAATCTCAGTGTACATCGTATATTATTTTATACACCAAAGATCATGGGTGTTGTATGAAAATCCTTGCAAATGGCACAAAATCCTAAGGGCTGTGAACAATCAGAGCAGACCAAATAAAAATTAATGAACATTTCTAATTTAGTTTTATTAATGTCAATGGGTCTACTCTAAGTAGCACTAGCATTGGCTACAATATTAAGCCTTGGGAAGCACTATTGTTTTGTAGACCTTCAAAGTGAGCAGTTCATGAGATGAGCAGTTCTGGAGTGCTTGTGTGATGGCCCATGTTTAATTCATTGGTTTCCCCTTTTTTCAGCATTATTGGCACTTCACAGTTGTTGTTCTTCAGTCTATAATATGTCCCCGGGACTTTACCTGCAGTGCCAGAATTTGAGACTCTTGCTGTAACTTCAGAGGACAGATTTGACTGCAGTGTACTTAAGCAATTTAGGGGAGCAGTTAAATCTACCAGTATTTGGAAAGTAGACTAGCCTTGTTTTTTCTTTCTCCCCGAAGGATACTCTCCATCTGAAGGAGAAGGATGGCTGCCACAAGGCCTTCCATGCCATGTTAACGTGGCTGTTGAGCCAGGACTCCTCTTCCATCCGGGACTTCTGGAGGGTTCTCTTCAAGGATTATAACCTGGAGAGATATTCCAAGCTCCAGTCCATTCGAAGCAGCTTTCCTAAAGGTATTTGCTGAAGTCATCATAGCCATGAAGAAATTGAAGATGAGTGAAATATAAGTGGAAATAGATTTAGAAACGCCTCTCTCATGTTTAAAAGCTGGGAATCGTTTATTTATTCACCTTTCTTGTTTAGCTTGTTTATTTTACTGCATAATATAATGTGTTTTCCTGCTCCAGGGACAATTTTCCCCACCCTGAAGCACAATTTCTATAATCAGGCGAGAATCCCACAAAACAGACTTATGGATGGGTGTTTATTGTGGATCCATGCTCCTTATGCATACACATTTATTTGCAGTGTCCACATATCTTTGGCATCAAAATGGCAGCCTATATTCCCCACCGCATCATACCTTGTTTAATCTCCATTTACCCTTTATGGGGAAAATACAAGAATAAGGAAAAAAAGCTTGTTGCTAGCAACCCACCGTTGCCTCATTTACAATATTAAGCCCTGTCTAGACATGCCTCCAGTCTCAGAATTTGCTTTCTTTTCAGACCTGGATCTCAGTAGGTATTGCAGCAGGGCAAGGAAGCTCGCAAGCAGTCCTAAGGTATTGACTCAGCACAAATCCCAAGGGAAGAGGAAAGCGACAGATGAAAAAGATGCTTTGCACCCACCTCAACTTTCAGCAAAAGGCGACCCACACCTTGGTATAGAACTATTTTCTGGGGTTTTGCTGTGCTTTTTGTGGATGCAAGAGTTGATATTAAACATGCCAAAGAGGATTAGGAATGGATTTCCTCCAGGAAGAAATAAGGATCTGGAATGAGAATTTTCAATTTCAAGAACATCAGCACAAGCCATTCTCTTTTTTGGTAGTATTTCACTACCTTGATTTGTTTTATTTAAGATATTGATATACGGTACCAGTTTTCAGGCGAGCTTTGCAAAGCAGTTTCCATGCAATGCTAACGAACTGAGCATCAGTTTAAATATATATATTTTTAAAAACAGCCAAGGCAAGAACTTTCTGAAAACTAGATCTCCTTCTTCTCAGAGCTACAGCTCTCCTTCTCCTCAGTCAGGGTGGTGGTGGTTAGGGAGGGAGAGGCCACCTCAGCTGCAATACTAGGAGCTAGGCCCGGGGGCCGGATCCGACCCAATCGCCTTCTAAATCCGGCTTGCGGACAGTTCGGGAATCAGCATGTTTTTACATGAGTAGAATGTGTCCTTTTATTTAAAATGCATCTCTGAGTTATTTGTGGGGCCTGTTTTTACATGAGTAGAATGTGTCCTTTTATTTAAAATGCATCTCTGGGTTATTTGTGGGGCATAGGAATTCGTTCATCCCCCCCCCAAAAAAATATAGTCCAGCCCACCACATGGTCTGAGGAACAGTGGACCAGCCCCCTGCTGAAAAAGTTTGCTGACCCGTGTCCTAAACACATACTTGCTGTTTATTCGGGGCGGGGGGGGGGGAGGCCTTGTTTTCAGTATTGTAATGAATGTCCTATAAATCAACAGGATCCCTTCCAAAGGCAAAATCTGTGAAGAAGTCAGAGAATGTTGAGACCCAGCATCATCCCCTTTCTCATGGCGGTATGTGCAGCACTTCGGCGTTCTTGTATCTATCCAGCACTGACCTAACGTGGTACCTTGACTTATTTCACTCAGAAGTGACCGAACTCTGTTTCTTCTTATTTAGATTCTAGATCAGGGATGAGGATCCTGTGGCACTCCATATTTTGTTGGACTACATCTCCCATTATTGTGGCCTACTGGTCACACTGGCTGGGGCTGATGGGAGCTGGAGTCCCAACAATATCAGGAGAGGCAAAGGTTCGTCACCCCATTCTATATCAAAACGAGGGCAATTAAGCTGATATAAAAATTTAGACTGTATGAATTCTGTGTCCCTGCTTTGATGAGATAAATCCAGTGTGATCTTCCATTTCCCAGGTGACACTAAGAAATGCATCAAAATTGGTGGTGAGTTTTATGCAGCAGACAAACTAGAAGAGAGGAACAAAGCTCAGGAACTGAAGCCCAGCGGGAAAGCTAAAGAATCCCAGGTCCGTAAATACATATGCCACACAATATACTTCTAATCCTTTCACATTTTCTCTGCCTCTTTTGCTTTGAAGTTACTAGCAAGCTTTGGGGGCCCCAGAGTCCTTCAGACCATAGTGCCGGGTGAGTGAATCATGGCTTTGGTTTAGCCAAGGGCAGACAACTGCCGGTTTTTGTTTATGCAGCACCTGCAGTCAGGTGCTTCACAATTACTTCTGCGTGCAATTACCAACCTCTCTATTAAGGGGCAAACCCGGCAGCTTCGGCTCATGGCAAGCGAGTCACATGACCCACCCACCCACCTCACTCAGGGAATTTACTGGTAGAACAGAACAAGCAGTTGCGTAAGTGAAGCCTTAGTCTGGTACTGCACCCGAGAGTCAGACAGAAACGAGGAGGGCTGGGCTCCTGCACTTTTAATAGCTGCTTAGAAGAGGGAATTGCAACAAGAGTAGTAGGTTAAATGAGAGCTACAACTGCTGAAATTCCTTCTTCTGCACAACTACTAAAGATGCAGGAGTCCTATTCAGCTGAACACCCCAACCAACAACCTTCCTTCAGGTGTGGCTTGTGCCTCTTGGCCTCACAACTCAGCTTGACCCTTTTACCTGTGGGGAAGCTTGTGTGAGTTTTCTGCACATTCCAGTCAAAGTTCAAAGGCTACGGAGGAGAAATTTATAGCTGATCCAGTGTTGTTAGGTTCTGGACGAGCTGTGTTTTAATGTATGTCTGTTGCAAAGCCTTTGTGGTGCTCTTTTCTTGTTTTTATGCTGTTTATGTGTATGGCTTAGAGATTTTTAAAAATATTAAGTTGTTTAGAGAAGCTTTTAAATAATAAACGTGTGCGTTATCACCACAGCTGCTGCAAAAGGCAGCATCAGAGAGAACATTAATTCATAACTTTACTGCAAGACCCATGGATGACCCATACCTGTCAGTTTTCTTAAAGAGACAGAAGAACATCTCCAGTGGCATTGGGGAGGAGCTGGAGAGGAGCATCATTTTAGCTTTTTGAACACATTGAAGCACCAACACTTTGCATTGTGACCCTCATCTAGTGCAGCCTTTTCCAACCCGGTGCCTCCTTAAAGATGTTTGTGACTACAATTCCCATCAGCCCCTGCTGCATCTGGAGTGCACCAGGTTAGGGAAGGCTGGTCTGGGACAGTCCTACTTGGAATAACTGATATGATCAGTGGGGTGGACTTACTCCTTGGTTCATAATTCTTCTCTTGATTTTCAGAATGGAGATCAAAAAGCAAACTTGCAGAATAGGTGCCCTGCCACCCCTTTCCACACTGTGGATCCAGCCCCCCAGCAGGTAATAAAAAGAATGTCATTTTCCTTTCCCTGTGCTAAAGGTATGTCAGCTTCCCTCTGTCAGTGCTCTTCATATATGGCGGAGGAGGTTTCTCCTGTTCTTCATATATTTCCACTTCTTCGTATAGTGGGATTTCTTGCTGGTTTTTTGTGTTTTTTTGGTAACATGGAAAACTGTTCACACAACGTTGTTTTATTTTGTTATTCATCATATTTGTATTCTACCCTTCCTGGAAAGGAATTCAGGTGGTTTACGTAGGATTATTTATCCTATATCTTCACCAGAACCCTGTGAGGTAGGTTGGACAGAGATAAATGGTGACTTTTCCTAAAGTCTCCCAGTTAGCTTTGTTGCCAAGTAGGGATTTGAACTCAGGTCTTCCCAGTCCAGCTCGAGTGTACTATCCACTCAAACACTTTTTTAGCGTGCAAATAGGAGCAAGTGGAGTTTCCACCCCTATGGGATTTAGAGCTCATGGGCTGGGTGTGGCGTTCGTATGGAGCCCCTGGTCGTCTCACAGACTATTGACCCGTACACCACTAATCCACTGCCACCAACCAAGTCCTCCCTGGTAAAATCACTTAGTCTCAGTCAGGTTCTCAAGGTAACAAAGAAGAGTATAGTTTATTGTAGACACAAACAAACTTTAAGTGCATTCCAAATGTTGTTACTCTTTACCTTCTTAGTCTTATTTTATCCTGTCTCTATCTCTTCTACCTCCCCTCACACAAGAACCCACTGCAGTAACTGTCTCTCTATTTTCAACTGCCTGCCAACTGCTTTTCCAACTGCCTTTCCCAACCAGTCAACCCACTAAAACCAACCAACTACCCACCATCAACTAACTCAAACCTCGTGCTAAGCCCTTTTATAAACAGGTAGGCTCCGCCTCCGGCTTTCCTATTGGTCTACATTTTTAACCCTTTCTCACCCCCCTGTACAGACATTTTCTAAACGAACAGGCAAACGCCACACTGGGTATTGTCAGGAAGGGGAAAACCCTGAGATTAAACATAATCAAATGTGCACGCACACATATATGAAATGGGACAGATTTGTAGGTATTTTTAGCATCTGTATTTTCAGCATTATGCTAAATTTAATGAGGAAAAAAGAAAATGTGGAAGGAGGGTAGTTGGGCAGTTTGTCTGTTCAAACAAGTTGAAGGCATGTGCAACTTTTAAGGAGAGATGCCTTGTGCTTTTATGCTGCAGGTGTATTTCCCAAGTAACCACTCCACATATAAGCAGTCAGCACTGTAGCTTTTGGAAAATACATCTGGAAACCTGCAAAGGAGGCAGCCAATCGTAACTCCCCGGTGCATCACCTCATGTGATTACAGACACACTTCCCCATGTGGTTACTGCAGGCAAACATTATGATGTTTGTTGTGAGATGCACACAGTGGCACCTGGAAACACATCTGCCAGAGAAAATGTGAAACGGTCTTCACTTTTTTAAATGTAAAAGCCACAGAAATTGGACACCGATGAAGACTGGATGGAGTGAGAGCCACAGACTGTGCAAGCCCCTTGCTGCAGTGCAGTCAGGTCAAATCCATACCATATATTTAAAGCACATTGTTTTCCCCTGGAGAATCCTGGGGAATGTAGTTTAAGGTTGCTGGATATTATAGCTCTGTGAGGGGTAAACTACAGTTCCCAGGATTCCTTGGGGGAAGCCTTGTGTTTTAAATGAATGGTGTCGATGTCACCACATTCACAAATCATGCCTAAAACAGGAGCAGTCAGAAGTACACCGAAGCCAGTCTTTTGGCCTGAAAACTAGTGTTTCTTTATAGACAAGATGTGCTGAGCATCACAACTGTCCTAGACAGAGGCACATCTGACACAGGCACGTTGAGTGCTACCCTTTGCCTTGCATTTCTTTTCTTTTTTTTTATTGATACAGCAAGAAAAAATAAAAAACACAAATACCAAATTACACACAGGAATAACCATAGACACATAATTTTCTTAACAAACAATAAAACATATATTGGTCTTAACACTAAAGACCCAACCTCCCGTCTATTCCATATTTTGATTTCATATTACTTATTGCCAATACACACTTTTAACATAATTAAACTTTTTCTTAATATATCTAATTTCTTATATCTACCTTGCAACTACTACTGAAGTTCCTCGAATGCTGCAACAGAATTTAAACTACTGTATTTATTTTTCAAATAGTCTTTGAAAACCTCCCATTTTGAAACAACTTCCTGTTTTGATTTATTCTTTATTTTTTCTGATGGACCGTCTAATTTGGCATATTCTGTCAGCTTTTGGATCCAATCTTGTAAAGAGGGGATTTCATTACTCTTCCATTTCGCCGCAATCAGAACTCTTGCTGCCGCCGCCGCATATAAAAATATACCCTTCCTCTTTTCCCTTTGCCTTGCATTTCTGATGCTCTTAAGCAGAAAATGAATCTCCACCAAGCCACATAGTTCATTATGTCTTGAAAGTTTCACCCCACTTGGGAAGTCCCAGGTTTCCTCAGCTTCTTAGACTGGTGCCAGATTCACCCATGGGACAAGGTTTCACCATGAGAATCATTTCTCCTTGGCAGAGCTTAGTGCCGCTCCTGCCAGAATGGAATTCCCCAAAGATTTCACAGTTAAAGGCTGTTGCACAGCAAGGAACACCTTGCACATCAAAGCCAGTATTGGTCCTCACTTTCCCCTGCTCAGTTGGGTTTTGCTTCTGAAGCCATCTCTCTTAATAAGGGCGAATTAGCAAAACTTGCAGAGACTCAGTTACAATGTCCATTGCATGCCCTCTGTGCCTCCCACCAAGGCTCTCAAGTTTTGGAAAAGCAGTATTTGAAGAAAGAAGCAAAGCGCAAAGGACAGAACAAGCCCTGTTTCCTACAGGAAGCAGCACTGTACTTTATTACTGTCAAGCATTCCTGCTGCATCAGACTCTGCTGCACAAATGACCAAAGTTCTGACGCTATTTTCTTGAGTGTTCTATCTCAAAGCAGAGTTCAATAAAAGAGCCAGAGCAAGGGCAAATCTCCCTTTAATTCCGTCTGCTTCATGTATTTCCAGTGTTACAATTAAATCACCCATTTCTAGGGATCTTGCCTGCCAGAAAGAGCTCTCTGCTCCAACTCCCTGTTGCCCTGAGACTGCAGAGCTGTAAGGGAAGTAGGACTAGAGCTGGCTGGGTTGTGTGTGTGGAAGTGCACTTGAGATAATGTAACTTCATAAATTGTTGCCTGGACTTTCTTGCATTCCTCTTCCCTCCCCATTCCTTTTTCCTTTTGTGTTGTATCCAATCCTGGAGTCTCACAATCACTTTAAAAAAAAAAAATGTGTAGAGCATTTAATCAATTTTATGCACTTTAAGAGTTGATGCTGAAAGTAGCAGAGGGTGCTGATCTGGATAGGTGGCTGTAGGTGACATTATGTGCTGCTCCCTAGCCATGTAGAGAGAATCCATCTGAAAATGGAGTCTTTATTCTATTTCAATTCTCCCAAATTTTGCTGGGCCAGAAGAACGATGACGAATGTGCCGTCTGCAGGGATGGTGGGGAGCTGATCTGCTGTGATGGATGCCCCAAGGCCTTTCATCTCACCTGCCTTGTGCCACCACTGACAGAGATTCCCAGGTAATGACAGTTCTGCTGGTATTTCCATAGCCCCCTGGAATCACATCAAGATCTGGGTGCAGAACAGGTTTTATTTTGATTATAAAGGTAAAGGTGAAGGGACCCCTGACCATTAGGTCCAGTTGTGCCCGACTCTGGGGTTGCGGCGCTCATCTCGCTTTATTGGCCGAGGGAGCCGGCGTACAGCTTCCGGGTCATGTGGCCAGCATGACTAAGCCGCTTCTGGCGAACCAGAGCAGTGCACGGAAACGCCGTTTGCCTTCCTGCCGGAGTGGTACCTATTTATCTACTTGAACTTTGACGTGCTTTCGAACTGCTAGGTTGGCAGGAGCTGGGACCAAACAATGTGAGCTCACCCCGTTGCGGGGATTCGAACTGCTGACCTTCTGATTGGCAAGTCCTAGGCTCTGTGGTTTAACCCACAGCGCCACCTTATAAGCCACCTTAAATGCTTGCTTGCTAGAAATCCAGGATATAATGGCTTGAAACAAGTATCTGAACCATGATCAGACAGTTTTTACAGTTGATCTTCCTTGTGCATGTTCGGAGGGCATATTGGCCTAACCCCAACCACAGTTCTCACAGCAGATGAGGATGATTACCGGACTTGCGCAGAGCCTCTTCTCTTCTAGGAATAGGGAGTGGCCTAGGGGGGAAAGGCACCCACCCTTTCATTTCTCAGGATCTTTCCTGTGTGCAATTTGTTTATTTCTTCCTGCCCTCACTTGCAATAGTGCATCTGAGATTGGTCGTAGCACTCTGATACGCCATTTTCCATTGGGTGGGTGGGGGACTGTTTTTGTTTACATTTGCTTAACTTGTTTCATCCATTTCTTCCTCTCTTTCTCTACTTGCTATTCACGATCATGCTCCTGTCTTTTTCCCCTCGGGACGCTGAGCAGCGGGACATGGAGGTGCGATGCCTGCTCCTCCGGGCAATCGAAACAGTACAGGGGCAATGGAGAAGAGAACAGCAGGAATGCACTTCCTCAAACACAGGTATAATTATGATCCTTGATTTCTCTGTCTCTCTTCACGATCCTCTCTTTTCCTCTCCCTTTCGGGAAAATGTCCTACATGAAGCAACTCTAAGAAACTGCTCTTTCGCTCTTGTCTCCTTCAACAGAGTTTGAGAGTTTGCAGGGCAGCAGTTGAAGAAGGAGCAAAAAGGGTTTTCTTGTGTGTGTGTTTCTTTGTGGCTGATTGGCTGCTCTCCCTGTGCAAAGGTCAGAGGGGGCAGGGTTTCTGTTGAGGCAGGTGATTAGCTGTGGGAGGAGCTTATCAGAGTTTGCAGGGCAGGCAGGTGATTAGCTGTGGGAGGAGCTTATCAGAGTTTGCAGGGCAGGCAGGTGATTAGCTGTGGGAGGAGCTTATCAGAGTTTGCAGGGCAGCAGTTGAAGAAGGAGCAAAAAGGGTTTTCTTGTGTGTGTGTTTCTTTGTGGCTGATTGGCTGCTCTCCCTGTGCAAAGGTCAGAGGGGGCAGGGTTTCTGTTGAGGCAGGTGATTAGCTGTGGGAGGAGCTTATCAGAGTTTGCAGGGCAGCGGCGCGCGCCTAGCGGCGCGCGCAGTTTGATCCATCTTTTAGATTTAGGGGGCTAGTCTCAAACGTTTGTTGGGGAGACCTAGGTTTTTTGTTGGGGAGTTATTTTTCCTGTCTTCACGCTTTTTATGATGGAGGACCGCTGTAGCCACCCCCAGCGACACGTTCTGAAGATGGAGGGGAGGGAACAGCTGCAGTCGCCTGCGGTTCCTGCGCAATGTTTGCCATCTTGCCAAAGGTTGCAGGCAGCTTTACCTGCAGCAATTGCATGTTGATTGCCCTCTTAAAAGACAAAGTCCAGCAACTGGAGGAACGTGTAGCTACGCTCCAAAGAATTAGAGAGCTGGAGCTCTTCTTGGAAGCAACAGAGCACACCGTCTCCACCAAGGAGGAGACAGGGGACTCCCCTGAGAAGGACGCTAGTTCACCAACACAGGAGCCAGATATATGGAGAAACGTGACTCAAAGAAGTAGCAGGCCCAGGGTTCGCTCTGATTGTTTAGAAATACACAATCGCTTTGAGGTCCTCTCCCTAGCATGGAAGACGAAGAGCAGACTCCATTTGAGGATCTCTCCTCGTTACAGTCGATCAGGTATATGAAGACGAGCAGCAAAGTCAGTCCTCAGGGAATGTGCAGGCGACCTTGGAGCGGACAGCTCACGGAAGAACTCGACCAAACCTAAGAGGAGGCGTGTAGTGGTGATAGGGGATTCCCTACTGAGGGGAACAGAAGCAGTGATCTGTGGGCCTGACAAGATGTCTCGGGAAGTGTGCTGTCTCCCCGGGGCTAAGATCCAAGATGTAACTGAACGACTGCAAGGAATCATAAAACCCACTGACAAATACCCCTTCCTCTTGGTTCATGTGCGAACCAATGACACTGCAAGCAATAGCCTCCAGAAGATCAAAAGAGACTACGAGGCTCTGGGCAGGAAATTGAAGCAATTAAATGCACAAATTGTGATCTCATCTGTCCTCCCAGTTGAACAGCGTGGCCCAGGGAGAGAGGGAAAATAGTGGAAGTGAACAGCTGGCTTCGCAAATGGTGTAAACAGGAACGGTTTGGATTCTTAGATCACGGACTGCAGTTTCTTGAAGATGGACTTCTGGCAAGCGATGGGCTGCACCTCACAACGGTTGGGAGAAATGTTTTTGCCAAAAATCTCAGAAACCTCATCAGGAGGGCTTTAAACTGACTAATGTGGGGGAGGGAGACAGTGCTCCTGAAGGTAGGAGTCTATCAATTGATGAAGATGATCATCCAAATGTCATAGACCAAATGGAGCAAACAGCACGCAGACCTAGTGGTGGGAGGAAAAATCCTTAAATAAGAGACACGGGGAATGATTAATGGACTTCAATGTCTGTACACTAATGCGCAAAGCATGGGAAATAAACAAGATGAGCTTGAGCTCTTGGTACAGCAAACTAAATATGACATAATAGGCATCACTGAAACCTGGTGGGATAAGTCCCACGATTGGAATGTAATAATGGGGGATACAATCTATTTCAGAGAAACAGACCAGACAAGAAAGGAGGAGGAGTGGCGTTATATGTCAGGGATGTGTATACCTGTGAAGAGATCCAAGATTTAGAACCTCAAAGCCAAAGTGAGAGCATTTGGGTCAAAATTAAGGGAGAGAAGAATAACAGGGACCTCATTGTGGGAGTTTACTATAGATCCCCAAGCCAAACGGAGGACATAGATGATGCCTTCCTGGAACAGATGGCCAAGCATGCAAAAGGAAGGGAGATAGTAGTAATGGGGGACTTCAATTACCCGGATATTTGTTGGATGTCAAACTCAGCCAAGAGCACAAGGTCAAACAGATTCCTCACTGGCCTTGCAGACAACTTCATTGTCCAGAAAGTGGGAGAAGCAACAAGAGGAACAGCCATTTTAGATCTGGTCCTAACCAATGTTGATGACCTGGTTAGTGGGGTAGAAGTGGAAGGATCATTAGGCGCGAGTGATCATGCTCTTCTGAAGTTTACTATACAGCGGAAAGGAGCAGCCAAGCATACTAGGACTCAATTTCTTGACTTTAAGAAAGCTGACTTCATAAAACTTAGGGAAGTGCTGGGTGAGATCCCATGGACAGTAATACTAAAAGGAAAGGGAGTTCATGATGGCTGGGAGTTTGTTAAGAGGGAGATACTAAAAGCACAACGTCAGGCAATACCAATGAGACAGAAACATGGAAGGTGCCTAAAGAAGCCAGGGTGGCTATCTAAAGAACTTTTAACTGAGTTAAGATTAAAAAGGATGTGTACAAAAAATGGAAAAGGGGGGAAACCACCAAAGAGGAATTCAAACAAATAGCCAGCACGTGTAGACACAAAGTCAGAAAAGCTAAAGCACAGAATGAACTCAGGCTTGCTAGAGAGGTTAAAAGCAACAAAAAGGCTTTTATGGGTATGTCCGTAGCAAAAGGAAGAACAAAGAAACAGTGGGGTCACTCAGAGGAGAAGATGGTGAAATGCAAACAGGGGACACAGAAAGAGCTGAACTCCTCAATGCCTTCTTTGCCTCAGTCTTCTCCGATAAAGAAAACAATGCCCAACCTGAAGAATTTGGAGCAAATGATTCAGCAAATGAAACACAGCCCAGAATAACTAAGGAGATAGTACAAGAATACTTGGCTAGTTTAGATGTATTCAAGTCTCCAGGGCCAGATGAACTGCATCCAAGAGTATTAAAAGAACTGGCAGATGTGATCTCAGAACCACTGGCAGTCATCTTTGAGAATTCCTGGAGAACAGGCGAAGTCCCGGCAGACTGGAGGAGGGCAAATGTTGTCCCTATTTTCAAAAAGGGGAAAAGAGAGGACCCAAATAATTACCGCCCAGTCAGTCTGACATCAATACCAGGGAAGATTCTGGAGCAGATGATTAAGCAAACAGTCTGTGAGCACCTAGAAAGGAATGCTGTGATCACCAATAGTCAGCATGGATTTCTGAAAAATAAGTCATGTCAGACTAACCTGATCTCGTTTTTGACAGAATTACAAGCCTGGTAGATGAAGGGAACGCAGTGGATGTAGCCTACCTTGATTTCAGCAAGGCATTTGACAAGGTGCCTCATGATATTCTTGTAAAGAAGCTGGTAAAATGTGGTCTTGACTATGCTACCACTCAGTGGATTTGTAACTGGCTGACTGACCGAACCCAAAGGGTGCTCATCAATGGTTCCTCTTCATCCTGGAGAAGAGTGACTAGTGGGGTGCCACAGGGTTCAGTCTTGGGCCCGGTCTTATTCAACATCTTTATCAACGACTTGGATGATGGACTCAAGGGCATCCTGATCAAATTTGCAGATGACACCAAATTGGGAGGGGTGGCTAACACCCCAGAGGACAGGATCACACTTCAAAACGACCTTGACAGATTAGAGAACTGGGCCAAAACAAACAAGATGAATTTTAACAGGGAGAAATGTAAAGTATTGCACTTGGGCAAAAAAAATGAGAGGCACAAATACAAGATGGGGACACCTGGCTTGAGAGCAGTACATGTGAAAAGGATCTAGGAGTCTTGGTTGACCACAAACTTGACATGAGCCAACAGTGTGACGCGGCAGCTAAAAAAGCCAATGCAATTCTGGGCTGCATCAATAGGAGTATAGCATCTAGATCAAGGGAAGTAATAGTGCCACTGTATTCTGCTCTGGTCAGACCTCACCTGGAGTACTGTGTCCAGTTCTGGGCACCACAGTTCAAGAAAGACATTGACAAACTGGAGCGTGTCCAGAGGAGGGCAACCAAAATGGTCAAAGGCCTGGAAACGATGCCTTATGAGGAACGGCTAAGAGAGCTGGGCATGTTTAGCCTGGAGAAGAGGAGGTTAAGGGGTGATATGATAGCCATGTTCAAATATATAAAAGGACAACAGCTGTTTATGGTCTTTTTGTGCACATTTATTGCAGTCCACTTTTCCTTTGTGAGAAAAGGGAGAATAAATGGCCCGGACCTTTGGAATGCAATAATCTTTAATATGAACAAAATTGCAGTCTCTGAAGGTGTTTCAAGACTTTCACATGACCACCACCCTAAAACCCTGCTGAAATAAAAACTGTATCCTGCAGTGACCCCTTGTGGCTGTTTTCCATTACTACTGAGTGAGATTTCTCTCTTTAATTTTTTTTAAAAAAATAATAATTCATTTGTAGGACAATCTATCAGATTTATTATTGCAATAGAAGTAAAATGGTAAAAATGAAGTTCAGTGTGTTCATTACTACACTTAGTCACTTTTTTAATACAAAAGGCAAACTCAAATCTTCTTATGCAAGTAATGTAATATATTCTGTCAATATAATATATTTATTTTGCATACCTGCTTAGGGAGCTGTATATGTCCAGAGGACAACAGAAGATGGAAGGAGGGTTCTCATCAAGGAACCTGTGTGTGCCTCCCTCAGGCAGCCTTTGCCCTCTGTGACCCCAGTGTCTGGGGTGGCACCGCCAACCGTTCAGAATGTGGGAACAGAGAAACAGCTGGTCAGTATCTCACCTCCTGTGGAACCTTCCACCATTCACTGGGCTTAGCCATTTCAAATGCTTTAAATAAGAACAGTATGCTGCAAAACATTTTGTTGCCTTATTTCTCCTACCCTACCCTTGGGCTGCTAGTCTTGGTGGAGTCTATTAGGTCTCAAATTAAGTATCTGCTTGATCCTAACATTGCTGTGATGAAACTATACTCTGCTTAGTTCATTTTTCTGAGGGCCTGAAAAACCTTACAATGGCCCCAATGGAAGTGGTAAGTTAGAAATCAAAGCAATTGCAGTGGACCAGACAAACATAAGACGGGATGGTCACATGCGGCGCATGGTAGCTCTGAAGGAGAAAAAGAGGACCATGTTTTGCTAGAAACCTGACTCCAAATTCTTTCTTTTTTTCCCTTTACAGAAGCTGACCATTGGGGAGAAGTGTGGAGTATGCAGGAAAGAAGGAGACCTGATCTACTGCAATAAGTGTTTCCGGGCTTTCCACTGGCCCTGCCATTTTCCTGCCCATGCAGATCAAATCAGGTGACATTTACATCCAAGAATTAAGCCATCCATAGCTCCCCAGACTTCATAGTTCGTTTGTGAGAGCGTGTCCAGATGGTGGCTTACTAAACCTGGTTTAATGTCATAGTAAAGGTAAAGGGACCCCTGACCATTAGGTCCAGTCGTGGCCGACTCTGGGGTTGCGGCGCTCATCTCGCTTTATTGGCCAAGGGAGCGGGCATACAGCTTCCGGGTCATGTGGCCAGCATGACTAAGTGCTTCTGGCGAACCAGAGCAGCGCACGGAAACACCATTTACCTTCCCACCAGAGTGGTACCTATTTATCTACTTGCACTTTGACGTCCTTTCGAACTGCTAGGTTGGCAGGAGCTGGGACCGAGCAGCGGGAGCTCACCCCATCGCGGGGATTTGAACCACCGACCTTCTGATCGGCAAGTCCTAGGCTCTGTGGTTTAACCCACAGCGCCACCCATGTCCCCAATGTCATAGTACCAGATTAGAAATGCAGGACAGGCACCACAAGATGGGAGTTTTGTTTATGTAAGTGCTGCTCTTCTAAATAGTGCTGCCCTGTAACAGGATGCACACGGAGAATGGCCTATTTATTGTTTGAACATGTGTCAGGTGTGCCAGAATGGTGATTCTTACGTGGGGGGGGGGGACATTTTACCTGAAGCCACCACCTTAAGTCCTTCACAGATAGATGTTCTAGTATTTTACTCAAAGCAACATCTTGATCTCAAAGCAGACAAAATTCAGAGTTTTCTAAACCAATCCATGCATTTTACCACGTTTATATCCTGGAGTGTCCAGTGTAGCTACTCTCCAACGAGAGGTGATGTTGAAGTCCTTATATTACTTTTTAAATAGGCTCTCTCTGCTAGCAAATCTGAATCATACAACTGGAAGCTGGGCCCGGTTGCAGAATGAGCTTAATGGTCAGGAAAACTGATGTCTCATGGCTCACTCATACAGTTGGACGGTAGACATCAGTTTTCAATTGTACGAATCAGCCTTGAGTTTTACCAGGCAATCTTGCGTGGCTTCTCCTTCCTCTCCTCTTAGGGCTTTTTCTCACTGCAGTGTAGTTGAGTAGCTAAGCATGTGCCTGGCCTGTACCAGTACAGGTGGGTGCTAACATGATTGAGTATCTCAACCTCCATACAAAAAGGAATCCATGCATATGAAAAACTAGGTTTCAGGAAGAAAGGTTCTAGCCTAACTTTCTTCCTGACATCTCGTTTTCTATGTGGGTGTAATGTTTTTGTATGGAAGAGCATTCAACCATATGAGGCCCCTCTTAGACCTGAAGTAGTCCAGTCCAGCTTTAACCCGTTATCTGTGCTTTCGGAAATATAGGTTTGTGACTTCAAAGGGTAAGATCCTTTGTGTGTTTTGTTCTAGTGGAATCTTAATGTGCAAATCCTGCACTAGCAACCATCCCATGACCATCAGTTTGGATGGAACTACGAACTCAAATACCCCAACACTACGAGCGGTAAAGGTCTGGATTTTCCGAAATCTTTTCAAATTTATAGTAGCTAGTGAGTTTAATCTTTGCAGCTCCCCTGTGGAGGTCCATTAGGATGAGAGATAACTGGTTGTGTGGAGACTTGAACTTGGGTCTTCCCAGTCAAAGTCCGACAATCAGACGTACACTATACGGGTTCTCATTGTTATTGTTAATACTTGTTAATTTTCTATAACATCAGTATGTTAATAATACAGTGGAAGGAAGGAGAAACAGGCAGGAAGGGTGTGTGAATGTGAGCAAATAGTTATATTCAAAAAACTTGGTTACCCTCAATAGATGAGGATTAAAAGTTGCCAAAGGAAGAAGCAAGGGAGAATGGATCAAGGAAACTGCAGTATACATGAGTTGAATTTGATATTGTTGTGCATCTCATGGTATTTATCCTTTGAATATAATGATGAAGACAGCAATAATATAAAAAGAAAGTTCTTAGCTTTGTCCTTCAGTTGCAAATTGAACATCACTAGCTTTTAACTTTGGATGGCAGAGCCATTTTTAGGGACAACACTGGGAGTCAGTTACCATCAAACCAACCCCCTCCCCTGCAAAAGAAAGCTGCATCTGGGCTCAGTATACATGAAGGAGCGTCTCCACCCCCATCATTCTGCCTGGACACTGAGGTCCAGCGCCAAGGGCCTTCTGGCGGTTCCCTTGCTGTGAGAAGCCAAGTTACAGGGAACCAGGCAGAGGGCCTTCTCGGTAGTGGAACCCGCCCTGTGGAACGCCCTCCCACCAGATGTCAAAGAGAACAACAACTACCGGACTTTTAGAAGACATCTGAAGGCTTTTAATGTTTAGCAGACTATTGTATTTTTATATGTTGTTGGAAGCTGCCCAGAGTGGCTGGGGAAACCCAGCCAGATGGGCAGGGTATAAATATATTATTATTATTATTATTATTATTATTATTATTATTATTCAGTCTTCACCCTGATTGTAGGCTACATACATCCTGCAGAAGGGATTTCCCTTTTCCTAGTTGGCTAGGTTACTCAGCATTTATATAATGGAGAATTACTAAGGCTGCAATTCAATAAATGGGTAAATCCCATTGAACAAATTCAGTCTTACCCTATGTCTATGCATAGGATTGCACTGTGAGATGAGATTTTCAATCCTAGGTGGTGGAAGAATCTGCTGGGACTGAACCCCTTCTGAACAAGGATGATCTGGACTCTCTCTTAGGGGAGGTAATGGAAAACAAATCTTCTTGTGCTATAATTTGTCCAGTGCTGAACAGGTCTGTGGATTCTGGAATTGTCCATACCAATGCTTGAGATAATTTGGAAGATTTTAGGTCCCCCTTGATATTAATTTGTTCTTAATTTCAATACTTTGCACTTTCAAGTTGCAAGCAGTTATAACTTAAGAGTACTTTCATCACATCCAGTAACGCAGCAGAAACTCCTCCGGGCTGCTAATAAGGATGGCAGATCAGTTATGCCTGGTGGACCTGTGCAGTCTGTGTACTTCAAAACAGGAGAGCAGCTCTGTATTTGTCTGCTGCCTGCATTTTGCTCCGATGAATTGCTACTCTTATTTCAGTACTGTTGACCTGGTGAACAAATAGAAATGCCTCTTTTCTCTCTAATCCTACAGAATACCTTTGATGGGATCTTGCACTGGGCATTCCATAGCGTGCCTCGTCCGCTGTCAGACACTCAAGGATTTTTCTCATAGGACTCTGGATTTGGCACCGTTTTGCTATTGTGTCAAACATGTTCCTATTGTCTCTTGCTGAAACATTGGCACCCAAAACTACTTGCTTTCATTACTGCAATGATAGTTCTGTTAAATTGATACTTCTCTGCTCATCTCCAATTGAAAGAATTGATATTTTCAGTCTGTACCTGAGTAGATTATCGTAATCACCCTTCAAATAATTGAGTGATGGGGTAGTAATTGAATTGTAGGATATTCTTTTTTCCACAGATTTTTTTGATGTGGGTTTCAAAAGCAAAGTCCCTCTGAACATTCTTCCTGAACAAGTTCCATGCTTCCTTTGTCAATGAGATTACTTTATGTCATTCCTATAGTATGCTACAACCTAAATTTAACCAGAAGCTTTTCCCTATTACTCTGCAAATTAAATTATCAGACACTTTTGAGGTTCTACAGGAGCCATTGCTATGGTTCCAGTTCTCAGGCAGCATGAAGAGGAAACTATGTAAAAACCATGTAACAAGCAGACAAAGCACAGCAGATTTTCCCAGATGCTCTGAAATGTGGGGACTCCAAGCTGCCTAAGGGGACATTATAGAACCAAAAGTATTCAAGAGGGCAGGGACTCAAACTGCCGTCAGCACCAGCCAGCATGGCCAATTGTAAGGGATGATGGGGATTGCTGTCCTACAATATCCAGAAACCCACAGGTTACCAGACATGTCTGGTATATAAGAAATCTCCTTCAGGCTTAAAAGTTTATAACAACTGATGAGTTTACTAATATGAGTTAATATGTGTTGCTTATGATTATGTGATATTGTGTTTGTGGACTGCCCTTGAGTGAGTCTGCTTGTCCCTTATAGCTTGTCTCTCACAGCTACTAATGGCAGAGCACCTTGTAGCAATTCATGTCATAAGCTGAGTTAAAACATTAAAGGTGTCATGGCTGCTCCTAAATGATAAAATTGTTCTCCTGGAAGCTTTCCCAAAGTCAGCTTGAAACAGTAAGAACCATTTGGGCTGCATTTGGAGGGTAAGGCGAAACTAGCAAATATTTTATTGCTTTCTAGTGCATGAGTATCGTGGACATTTTATTGTAATCTTGTTGTTTTTAACTTTCATTAGTTACCTGGGGAATCCCCTTTGGGAGACGATGGGTTGCAATTTAAACAAATGAATCAATGCTTCTTAATTAGCAAAATATGTAAAATGCATAGTTTTTGCCATACTTTACCAGTGAAATAGGAAATCCAACCTCTTTTAGAACTGGTTTACTAATCTGGACCAATAAATCAGTGAATGGTAAAACACTGCATGGAACATCTCTTCAGTTCATGGGAATACAGTTTGATAATAACTAAGATAGAACTAGAGATGAGGAGGAAGGAAACAAAATCACATCTTATGAAGATTGAAAGGAGCTCCAAGTAATGAATTGGCAACAAAATGACAAGTGAGACTTAGTAGGTCACAATTTTCTGTTCCTTTTCTACAGGGGAGGGGTGGGTGGGAAACATCCCTTACGGCTAGGACCTTTCCACACCCAGTGTTGCCAGGATCTCCAGCACTAATGTTTCCAGTCGCCTCTGGTGCTCAATGATGCTGTTCATTTGCTTCTGCAATGTCAAAACATCCAGGGCTGCATTAAGCCGACTGCATCGGTCCAGGGCTTTCTTTAGGTCTGCATGTTGCTGCTGCAAGCCAATTAGGTGGCCATTGATATCTTGGAGCTTCACCTGCAAGGCTTTGCGATTGCCAAAGGTGTTTTGGAATAGTCGTTTCATTTTGTACACAGAACGCAGGATGGCAAGTCCTAGGCTGGATGCTGTGGGAAACAGAAACGAAGAGGATGATTGAGACAATAATGACATGGCAGAGCCAATGCCCATCTGACATTCATTCCAGTGGGTGGAGGGAACCCTAGCTGCCTAGCCCTATAGCCACTCCCATTCCACCTCCTGTGCCAGTGAGAAAATCTGCCATCCCACCCCAGACAGCTCCCTCTGCCAGCCACCTCCCCCAAATCCCCATGCCCACCAAAAATCAAGGCAGAGAGGATGCAGCAACTGTAGCCCCGTGGTGTAGGGCCTGGGGCTATCAGACTCACACATGGTGTGGGGCTTCATGCTCCGGCGCCAATGGCATCTCCGATGTGGTGTCCTCAGCACAGGTGGTGGGTTCGCCTGTGGTGAATCCGGTGGGTTCGCCTGTAGTGAATCCGGTGGGCTCGCCTGTGGTGAATCCGGTGGGCTCACCTGTGGTGAATCCGGTGGGCTTGTCTGTGGTGAATCCAGTGGGTTGCACCTTGCCCTGGTGAGTACAGATGGTGAGAGACGCCTCAGCTCCACTCGAAGGTGCTTGTGTGGGGTCCTGCCTGGTGATTGAGGTGCCACTGGAGTAGTCTCTTCTGATGGCCCTGGCGTGGCGTCTTCTGATGGCTCGGGCATGGCCTCTTCTGATGGCCCTTGTGTGGCCTCTTCTGGGCCATCATGACAGACCACAGCTAGGGTGGGAGATGATGAAGCTCAGTAACTGACTGTCTCTATTCTTCACAGTAGCCATGTCATTCCCCAAAGAATCAAAGCTTCAATGACGTTCGCATATGTGGGCATCCAGGGAATCCATGTCCTGAATTATGGTAGCATTCTAATGGGAACAGGTAATGACTTTGCCTATCTCTGTGAGAGGTACTTCAAAGATTCACCCAGCAAAGGGCATACATCACAATACCACAATACAAAATTGGGCATTCCAGGCAACCTTTGGTGCAACCACATTATAAAGTCAGCCTTGGACCCAAAGGCATGAATTTGATCCTGGGCTTCCCACATTTAACCCAACACTCTCACTGCTTTGTAATACATACCTCACAGAAAGTTTTCACTGACCTGATGACTGGACCTGGGCTGATTCGCAAAATGGCGTCGATGGATTCTTTACCTGCTAAATAAAAATAGGCACAGATGATTCAACAGGCATAGCCAAACTGCGTGTCATTCAGCAAAACACAGCACCAAGTCTTGCATTTTTTATAATAGATTCCTAGAGTTCTAGAGTTGGATGGGTCCCTGAAGATCATCCAATCACAGAAGCTATTAGTAAGAAAAATTAATCTCAGCCAGGTGTGTTTGGCACAACCTGTGCCAACTACCTTTTCTCAGTTTAGCTTTTGCCTATCCCCATTTTGTTTATACTCTTTCCTAATTTACCAAGCTTTTGTTTGGGGCAAATACAGTAAAAGGCCATCTCATCTGCTGTCAAGAATCTCAGCTTGCCTTACTGTTTTCTGGCCCATAAATCATACTTTGGTTACCAGTCATGGTCCCTGGATCCTGTTCTTCATCTGACCCATTCTCTGCCTCACCAGACATCCTTTTATAATGATATTTATTAAATTTTCCATTTTAACAATCCAGTAAAACCACATTAAAAACATTCCAAATCACACAATAATCAAACAGTCCTAATATTATGCCAAATTACAAATCTTTGGTTGGTTTTCCATGCTCTGAGGTCAGGGAGTGCCGGTCACCTCACATTTGTGCTGCTTTTCATAATTCTTCCAGGTAGTTCCCATAAGTCAATCCGATGTTAATCCTTCATTTGTTTTTAACAGCCTCCGAGTTCATCTGGCAAGCGAGTTAAATCAATACTGTGTGGGTGTTTATATTCTTTTTCTCTCTTTATATTCTTTGTACTCTGAATCTGATCGTGGCATTTCACTTTCACTTCCTCACGCCTGTGATTATCCACTGCGACACATCCCAAAATGGAGGAAATTTGGCTTTCTGCCAGTTCTACCAGGCATATGTCCAAACTTCTCCGTTTTATCTCATTCCAAAGCAATTAAGCCTGTACTTTAGCTAGAAACCTTGATTTCCACAATTGCAAATTCATAAATCTTCTCCAAACTGTTAATAATTAGACCAAAATTATTTCAATGAATACAGTACTCTCCAGTCCCGCTTGCGTACATAAACAATCCAGTAGTCAATCCTTCCAGGAAGATTTGCCAAGTAAAATAGCAAATGCGAAGTATATGAAAAAGAAATAAAGGAGGCTCGCCCCCCTTCCGTTCCGACATACCAGTCCCGTACTGATGATAATTCTTCTTCCAATCGAATCTTTTGGCACCTCAGTGGCTGAATCAATTAGCAGAGTAGTTTATCTCCCCTCACTCAGAGCATGCCCATTAATTAAGTCTAAATTTTCATCTTAAAAAACAGGAGTTTGTTGCTCATGGTGGTGACTTCGGAAAGTTGCCAAAGAGACGCATGGTGTTTTCCACCTAGTGCCCCCTGCCCCCTCATTCCTCCCAGATTGGGAGCAGGTGTTGAGTGACCTGCGAGTGAAGCTGCTCCCCCCCCCCCCCAGGCCTGGGGCGATTGGGAGGATGATTACTCCCATCCCATCCTCAAAATATTCCGTGCGAAATGGCTCCGATGTAATGGGCAACCGCCATCATGGCAAGCCAAACGGGAAGCCCTCACCAGACATCCTTTTAACTGTGCTTTCATGAGTGCTTGTGCTCATGATGTTATTAGGGCAGCTCTACACAACCCTACTTCCAATACTGTTTGTACCTGTAAAAGTTTCAGTGTGGACATACTTGCTTTGCTTCCGATTGGTGACAGCTACTATTGCCTGGCCATCATGCCTGCCCCACAGTTAGGCCACAGTCATTGCAGCACATCTCTTAATTATGTGTAGAAGTCCCTAGATCTTCCAGAGACAACACTTTTTTCCAGTTCCATTCACAACAGGTCTACTAGCGTTGACAGGGAGGTGGTGGTGGGCTCAACCATTTCATCTTTCCAGGGCCCACAGGCAGCACCCATAGTCTGAGGGTTTTTTTTCATGCTGATAGTGCAGTTCCTTTTTTATATATATTTTAAAATGTCAACTGCTTTGAGCACAGGTGTATTTGTGGAAAATATAATATACGAATAAACTGACAATATCCATGGCTGTCACACACCAATATGGTAAAACTGTTGATAAACTGTTACCTTTTTCCTCTTGCCGTATATTCGTTTTGGATTAGGAAGATATCCACTCTGAAATAAGCATGACATAACTAGTTACTCTGATGCATTAGTGGGATCCCAAAATAGCATGTGAAATGAGGGAATCCACACAAAGAAGTGGGAACTATTTTTGAAACATCTATTTTTTGACATCAGTATATAAGAAGTTGGCTCTATTTCTTAGCACAGATACTGCTCACATCACTCCCATATATATTTATATGCATTATTGTCATAGGTGCCTGAAAATGTTAATACATCTTTGCTCCAGGAAATACACCTCTTGCCTTTAACTGGCACACACCTGAGCAACATACAGTGTTCCTCGGGTTAAGAACTTAATTCGTTCTGGAGGTCCGTTCTTAACCTGACTTTAACTAATGGGGCTTCCTGCTACCGCCGCGCCACCGCCGCACGATTTCTGTTCTCATCCTGAAGCAAAGTTCTTAACCCAAGGTACTATTTCAGGGTTAGTGGAGTCTGTAACCTGAAGCATCTGTAACCCGAGGTACCACTGTATAAGAATAAAAAGTAGCAGAAAATGCAAGCAAAAGGAATTCCTTTGTTTCCAATTCTTTTAGTCTAATTTTGTGTCTATCTCACCACCAACACTTCCCATTGTTGTAGCAGGTACAAGGAAGGTACAACAATACTATATTATTACATAAGGACAGGATATTGTATTCGTGATTATAAGAAGGAAAGGCGTGACTGTCTGCAAACTTGAAAGTATCATCTGATACTTCTTTCAGATCACATGTAGAAAATAAGGCATTAAAATTACAGGCATTACAAGTGAACTGCATACCACTATTAATTTTTCTAAAGGAAGCCCTTTATGGCGGATACTTCTTTTCCAGGATTTCCAGCTTTCACGTTCTCCTTCAGCCTCAAATTCTGGTGGCGTGAACCACTTTCCATCAGAACCCTTGATGGACTTCTGCGAAATTCCTATGACAAACAGAGAAGTCACATGAATGTTACACACCTATCCCAATCAGCAAAGTTCACTGAATCATGTAAGAAATCTGTCAACAATTTATCCAATATATACTTTAGAAAACGGCGTTTCCGTGCACTACTCTGGTTTGCCAGAAGCAGCTTAGTCATGCTGGCCACATGACCCAGAAGCTGTACGCCAGCTCCCTCGGCCAATAAAGCGAGATGAGCGCCGCAACCCCAGAGTCATCCGTGACTGGACCTAATGGTCAGGGGTCCCTTTACCTTTTTACTTTAGAAAAAAACCATATGAACAGAGATTCTGATATAGGCACTACAATAAATTTCTGCATGAGGCTTGGTGCTTCTGACTAAAACTATTCAGTGTTTGATTTTGTTGTAAATAGGTATGCAATAAGAATCACTGATCAGGGAACACAAGTCTGTCTTGATACTTCAGCAGCTCCTCTGCTGAACTATTCCATCATTTGCTTACATGCTGGTTATATAAAATTGTTTGATTGCTTATTTTTAAGATGAATCATGCATAGCCTTATTTTTTAATGGTACAGCATGGCAATCTGGCTTTGATTAAATCTAAGATACCTTGAGTAATTTTTCAGTCTACATTATTTGGCTATGTTGCTGAGCGGTGTCTGAGGAAAGGTGCCTTCTATTTGCTGTATTACTCAGCTACGAGTGATTGCCAAAGGAGAAGCAGAAGCAGCAGCTACTGCAACCATCTCATGGCTAGTCATTGTAAAATTGTAGGTTGAAGAGGCAATCCATCTGAAAACTCTACAATCACATTTCTGCATACTTTTGGTTCTGACAATAGAGAAGTACTGGTATTTCTTTTCACTTCACAGTATACGGGAAGTGAAAACTATAAAAAATTTAGTCAAATTCATAAATTACATGCTGAAATACTTAAAGCTGATGAAATCACTTGTGCTTTTAAGAGGGATTCAAATGACTGAAAATATCATTATGATACTGAAGTAATTGCTGTAAGCTACCCTGGCTCCATAAGCAGAATGGGATATGTATAATATAAAATAAACTGTCTTCTGGGGAAAATTTGGGGGCTTCTATATACACTTACCTAGGAACCTTCCAAGTGGACTACTATAAAGCACTCTATGTGAGACTTCCCTTGGGATTGGCAAGAATCTGAAGCTGGTGAAGAATACTGTGGCCAGATTTTGAGTGAACACCGATGTCATGTAAAGATATAGCTTTTTGCCCAAGCTTTCCCTGACCCATAAGACCAGACCCTGCTTTGTGTCTTTGAATACACTGAATTTATGCTTTTAAATGAACAAATACCGGTAAATGAAATGGGACTTATTTCTGTTTTGATAAGATATGTAGAAGAAAGTGTTCTTCCCCAAATGCAAATGGTAGTCATATACTAACTACATGATGGCATCCTTCCCATCCGAATTTTTAAATCTGCCATTAATATTATATGCTTTGTACAGATTTAATACACACAGATATACTCTTCAAAACCAATAGTTTACCTGCTGCCAATTTCTCCTTATACAAAACACCTTTAACTTGTCCACAGTGCACAAGAAGGGTGGAGCCCTGCAAATCCTCCTCTTGAATTTGAATCTGTCTTCGTTTTACTAGATGAGATCAAGAAATCGAAGTTAAATAGTTAAAATTCCTATATTTTGGGCTTCTAGAAAATAAATCTGATACCAAACTCCAGACCACCAACATGCAGCACAGAATATTTCATATCATCTGAAAGTAATTCAGGTCACTTCTAGTAAGAGTAAATTTAAATCTGAGAGAGAAGTGAAAAGATTGTGAATTATATTCATCTAGTCAACAGAATTTATATACTGCTTGGTTGTAATGAAACCTCTAAGCAGTTTACAATCTGCCAGTCCACTCCAGTGAGGTTCTAGAACAGAGTGATGGAATGAAGTACTTAACTATTAACACTAAGGCATGAGTGGCAGGCTAAATGAAGAAAACAGTGAGGAAAAGGATGGGCTTCGCCAGCAGAAAACTGCAAGCTTAGTCTCAGAAATTTTACATCCATATGAAAAGTTTGTGATATTCTACAGCATTGAACTTTTTACCTTTTCGAATTCTTCTACCATTCCATCTTTCAGTATATTGCATTTGATGCTTTCTTTTTCTCTTTCTCTTTACTGCATTTGTTGTTCCTTAAGAAAATGTTTCCAATTAATTACACACACTTATTTCTAGTTCCTTCTTCACGCTGCATTAAAGACAGTGCCCAGTGCTAGACGAACTCCATGAAGCCTTTGAACTGTTCTGGAAACCCTACCACATTTTAAATCATAATTTGGTGAAACATTATCCAAATTTCAATTAAATGGAACTTCTCTCATCACCCAAACCAGAAAACAGCACTTAAGAGCTTTGGAACAAGCCAGGATATTAAGCAATGGCTTAATATTCTGCTTGTTTCAAAGCTTTTCACTATAGTTTCCTGGTTCAGATGAAATGGAAATATAATTAATGAAAGACTTTCTGGTTTGTTTGCTGGCTCTTTGCATGACCAACCTCTCTTCCCTGAACTACATGCCTTAAACTCCCCTACGTATCCTTGTTGGTACTCACGGCCATTTCCTAAGGAGTAATCCGGATCACTTTCATCTGTGGAAGTTGATTTTTCACTGCTGTTCGCTTCTGAAGTAGAGTTATTTCCAGCATTCTGGGTAACTAAAAATTTATTATTATTATTAATTAAAATTGCATACTGCCCTTCATCCAAAGATCACAGGGCAGTTTACAATATAAAAATATAAAATGAGAACACAAAATACATAACAAAATAACAGACATACGCCAATAACCATCCTCGCATAAACACATTTTAAAAGCCATAGATTACATAATCAGCTGAAGGCCTGGTTATAGAAAAACATTTTTGCATGGCATCTAATGTATGTTGAACATCTGTAAAGCTATGTCTGCATATTCACCATAATTGTGAAGCCTTTATTACTTTCTCTCATCGCTCAAACTGTGCAGCAGCCTTCTTAACATAAGAGCAGCCCTGTATTCCCAAAAACCGCAGATTTTTGGGGGGGGGGAGGGAGGGGCTACTGATGGCGAACCTTTTAAAGACCGAGTACTCACTTCTGGATTTCTGCAACATGGTGAGTGGACTGCGAATCTGATGGCTCTGTTAGATTCGGCTTCATGGAGCCTGGGGGAAGAGCGCTAGGGCGATGCACCTCCCCAAAAAACCCCAAGAGGAGCATTGGGGGGTCTCGGAGTCCTGCGGCTCACAGACGGCATTGCTGGTCCCTGCTCCTGTTTCAAAAGGAGCAGAGAGTGGGGGGGGGGGGAGCCGAGCACACCGGTGAGCTAGGCACCATCGCTGCTGTGTAGATGCAAGCCTCTGATCCAGCCACAAGCGGAAATCTTTCCAATAATTGTGCTGATTGAAGGGTGAGGAATCTGACTAATTTGACTGACTACTGTATTTTTTGCTCTGTAGGACGCACTTTTTCCCCTCCAAAATTTAAGGGGAAATGTGTGTGTGTCCTATGGAGCGAATGCAGGCTCCTTGGCTTCAGCGATAGCAACGCGAAGCCTCCAAAGCGCGTCCTATGGTCGGGTGCGTCCTATAGAGCAAAAAATACGGTAATTTGGTGAATCTGGCAAGAAAATGGGAGTGATAAAAGAAAGTCCACTCCCATTCTGGGTGCTGCGAGCTCCAAATACATACAAGCGAAGTGTGGGTGAAATTTACTTTGGGAGATAAGTTAACTAATAAGTGAATAGAATAAAAGGAATACGCACAGCTTTTGTTCATACCAATCTCAAGACTTTTCAAACAAGATATTGACTTGAACTTAATCTGAACTTGACTGGATCCTATGGTGAGACTGAACTTGATGTAGAATGCAGGATAATTCTAAGAAGGATTACAATGTTTCTTGAAGGAAGAAAACTGCATATTTATTTATTTTTTGAAGATTAGCACTTGGGAAATCATATAACTTTGAGAGAGAAACTTATGTTCTATAAAAGTGCTGAAGACGTCTAACCTAATGGAATTATAACTGTGATTTAATTTATTAAAAGGCACTTGCTGGCTAAAATCAAGATCAAAAGAAGAGGAATAGAACATCCATTATTAATACTGGACTAAATTAGAATCAGGTCGGTGGTTCGAATCCCCGCAACGGGGTGAGCTCCCGTTTGCTCAGTCCCTGCTCCTGCCAACCTAGCAGTTCGAAAGCACGTCAAAGTGCAAGTAGACAAATAGGTACCGCTCCGGCGGGAAGGTAAACGGTGTTTCCATGCACTGCTCTGGTTTGCCAGAAGCGGCATAGTCATGCTGGCCACATGACCTGGAAGCTGTACGCCGGCTCCCTCGGCCAATAAAGTGAGATGAGCGCTGCAACCCCAGAGTCAGCCACAGCTGGACCTAATGGTCAGGGGTCCCTTTACCTCTGCCTAAATTAGAATCAAAATTTATTTGTACACACTTATTATATTGAATATATAGAAATGATCTGAATGTGAATGGATGTAAAGATTTGAATATATAACTGTTATAAATTATATTTGTGAGTAAGATGGGAGAGGGAAGGGATAAAGTTGGAAGCACTGGTTTCCTCTTCTGAACCTAATGAAATGTCCTTGGCAAAGTATTGACGAAGCTAAAAATAACGCTATTAGTGGTGGGAAAGGACTTTTTGCTTTGAAAGTAAACCCTAGAGGAAGCTGGAAACAGGGAGAGTTAGCCCCCCCTTACTCCAAACTAGAAATGGCAGAGGAAAAAATCCATATGTTAAAACAAACCAATCAGGCCGTAATGCAAAAGAACGTAAGAGATGAATTGTATGATTTTCTTTTAGACATGAAAAGAGAACTGTTTGATCAGATAAAAGATGTTAGTAAGGCAGCTTCTCAAATCTGCAAAAGTAATAACGTACTGGCAGAGCCTGTGAGACAATTAAAAGAGGCAAGCACACAAACCACCAACGTGAAAATGGTAGAGAGAGAAGGTACGAGGAAAATACAAGGGAAAGTAAGAGTAGTTCAAGACAAAAATGGTATTACAGTCATAACTCATGTTGCGTCTGCTTCAGTTTACGTCTTTTCAAGTTGCGTCCCGCGGCAACCTGGAAGTACGGTTACTTCCCGGTTTCACCGCTCACCCATGCGCAGAAGCGCTATGCATTCTGGATGCGAATGCTTTGAGTTGCGGATGTGCCTCCAGGACGGATTACATCCGCAACTCGAGATTTGGGAGACTTTGACTGTGATAGAGAAGAAGCAGGAAGGGAAGGTAAAATGCATAAGAGCGACTATATGTGGTGGCAATGTGAAATTATTAAAAAGGCCTGGGAAAAGACATATAAAAACTTGAAATGATTAATGTTAAAAAAAAACCTGAAATCACCACCAGGGAAAAATAAATGCAATTCAAATCGGGGGAAATAAATACAGTGAATTTCTTCTCCTGCATGGGTCCTTTCTAATTCCTGGGTCCAGCAATCTAATGGAGGATTATTTTGTTGAAGTAGCCAGGCAGGGGCCACACTAGCCCCAAAGTACTGCATGGGTTGTTAGTACAGTGGTACCTCTGGTTGTGAACGGGATGAAAGGAACACAACCTGCAGCGGCGTGTCTGTGCATGCGTGGGTTGCAATTTGCCGCTTCTGCGCATGACATAATTTTGCGCGTCTGCTCATGCGGTGAAACCCGGAAGCATCTGTAACCTGAAGAGTCTGTAACCTGAGGTACCACTGTACTGTACATATGTGTATGGGGGGGGGATTTTACTGTGTGACAAGGATGCAAATCTGATCGTTATTTTCAAAAGAAGCCAACGCCCCCATGTTTTGGAAGAAACACATTAGCAGCCCTTTGTACTATTGCTCGCTCACCACATGTAAGGAGGATCTTCACTTTCCGGGCCTGATAATACTAAGCAAATAACTGTGACGTAGCTGTTAATGAAACACATTCTCTGGAGGCTGGCATTTTGAGAAGGGCTGCTTTACTTCCTTCGCTGCTGCCCACACAGTTCCCCGCTCAAACTCGAATTTCCCGCTCAATCCCTCCCGGCTCCCAGGCTTCCCCAGCGGGCGCTCCCGCCTCGCTTAGGACGCGGGTGGTGGGCGCACAAGGGCCAGGGAGCCCCTTATAAGGGGCTTCCAATCCGGGTTACAAAACGACGGCCCGAGAGAGCCTATGGGACGGGGCGGGGACTCCGCCAACACCGTCTGAGACTGAAGCAGCAACTCCTTCCCCTGTATGGGAATGAACCGGGCACTTACTTCCCTCTTTCGCCTTGGCACTGGTCGGAGCAGAGGCGTGAGGCGCCGAGGCACCAGCGCCACCTTCCATGAAAACAGCCGAGCGCCGCCAGACTACCCGAACTGTCTTTCTCGGCCGAGGTATTCCGCAGAAACGAAAGTGAAGACATCACTTCCGCAATGAACTTGAACGAGGATTGCTATTTGTTTCTTGCGGACTCGTTTAGCGCGGGGAGGCGGAGAACTGGTCGCTCTGCCCTTAACCCCTTTCTCAGGAGATGAAATGCCCATTCCCTCGCTCTCCCACACCTGTCGCAATAGGTTGTGCCCATAAAGCGTGTCTCCCTCGATGAAACGTTATGCACTCTTTTGTCACACACGCACACGTGTCGTTCTAGCAGAGCTCTGCTCTGCCTCCACCCCTCGTGATCCGCCAGGGCTTTCCAGGACACGTGAACTGAGCATACACTCCAGTGCGTGCGCATCGTCTGTACAGAGGAGGACTCGCACGAATTCCTTCGCCAAAGTGCCTTTCTCCTTGCAATACATCAAAGCGGTGCTGCAGCCTTGAGAATCATGACGCGGATAATTCCTATCTCTTCTAGAAACTGTTTTAGTTAGTCCCGCTACTGACTTATCCATGGATGTTAGCACGCTGTATAGCTCAGTGAAGCAGCTTGATCCAGCGGCGTAGCGTGGGTTGTCAGCACCCGGGGCAAGGCAAGTAATTTGCACCCCCTAACCCCGGGGCAAGGCAAGTAATTTGCGCCCCCTAACCCCTAACCTGCCGCCGCTGCCAGCTGCTTCTTGCTGCTGCCTGGTCTGGTCTGGTGTGGTTCTCTCCTGCGCTCAGCGCTGCGCTGGGCGGCCGCTGCACTGTCCCTCCCCCAGATAGTCCCTCGCTCTCTCTCCGCACCGCACGCCTGGCACCCACCCCTCCACAGTGGGCGGCGACCCAGCAGCTCGGATCGGATTCGCACAGCCAGCACTGCAGTGAGAGAGAGTGAGTGAGCCAGGTAGGGGCAGAGAGCTGCGAGTGCGAGCGCGCCCCCCCAGATGTTGCGCCCGGTGCGGCCGGCCCCCCCTGCACCCCCCACGCTACGCCACTGGCTTGATCCACGATCGTGGATTCAGTCTCTTTCTCGTGTTCAACTTTCACATGGGGCTGGCAAGTTAATGGACTTGTTGCTTTTCAGTGGAAATCCTTTTGGGGTGGGGGCAAAGATGCTGAGCTTTTTTTAGTTTTGCCCAGATATTTTTTTCAGCAAAAATGCAAAACATGCTGTTTATTTTTATGGAAGAGAGGCCAAAACGGCACTGCCAACACAGGCTGCCATACATCCGTATTTTCCCAGACATTTACCAGATTTCCACCAGGACACTGCTAGACACAGCTATATTCCATATATGTCCTGGAAATTCCAGATGTATTGCAACCCTACAATAGTCCAATGACAGCATATTCTTCAGGCAGTAAGAAAGCCAACAAGCCCTCTCCCCTTCCCATATTTTCACTTAAACTGCTCTCACACATATATTCAAGATGTCAAGTTGGTAGGAAGACTGGAAGGTGTCCCAATGCAGATGCTTCTTTTTTGCCTCTAATCCTGTGCCTAAAAAGAATAATTTAGCAGGTGATGTTCTTCCTGCCACTTATCTTTACCACTGAAAAAACATATGTCAAATTTTTGGCTGCTAAAGAAATAGAAGGGCCAAGAAAAGAAGAGTCAACTAGAGTTGTGCAAAGCCAGCTATTTTATTTCCATGAAGTCTTCTATATTTCACATCTTTACATGCACAAATGTATGTGCCTTATTGCAGGTTGCTCGCTCAATTCACATTTTCAACAAAAATTACATTTCCTAGTCCTAATGCAAAAGCTAGTGATTAAACTTGGCAAAATCCCCTTTCTCGATTAATGCAGATGTGTATTAGGAATAAAACGGAAGCTGGCCCAACAATTCATTTTTAAAAAGTGACCTGGGCTGCTTTGGTACCACATCCTTTTCCATTTTCCTTTTCAACAAATATTTTATCTGTTTTCAGAACTGTGGTTAAAAAAATAATGAAACAAGGACAAACACTTAACATGTGTGGACTGTAATTTCCTTTCTGGGCCCGCCTCCCTCCTCGTTCATTCCCCTTGAAAGAGTGCAATCCAAACTCCTCAGAGCCCTTCTACAAGTTCCTAGATGCGTTTCAAATGCATGGGTCAGACTAGAAATAGGGATGATGAAAGTTGAAGCTCATATTAGTCTAACCTCAATATATAAGTGGCTAACTCTAAAACTGCTCCCCCGAGGAATAGCCCCATTGATTCTGAGTGACCAGTTTCAGTCTGGCTGGCAGACAGCAGTCTTAAAACACTCTTCAGAAACTGGCCTTGCTCCCCAAACTCTCATTAACTATGGGCCTGGGCCAAGCTAGTTCCGTGGTTAGGCAAAGATTCATGGACATAGAGAGACAACAGGACTGTACAAGGGTCCCCAATTATAAAATCATAGAAAACAGGAGATACATAGCCATTCCAGCAACATATCTCTATTTCCTCACATCCAGAAATGCATGAAGGGCTTTTACTCTTGCTAGAAGCTCAGCCTTGCCCTCACCAGTTCTGGAAGGCTCCTATAGAAGAGTCCTGTACACACAGAGACTTTGCGCCTGTCCATTAGGGGAAATAGGAAGCCCCAAACATATATTTTTTTAGATGTCCTTTTTATGTTGAGATTCGTAAAGACACCATTGATCCTTTGCTGAAGAGGCTCGCCGATCTTTCAGACAAGTCTAAACTTAATTCTCTCCTCTTAGGCAAAGATCACAAGGCTACCTGGCTGGTAGCCAGATTCTGCACCCAGATTTGTAGGCACAAATCATCCTCTAGAATAAAATAGCTTACTAGGGAAATGCTGAAGTCACCCTTTGGGGTGCCACAGGGTCAATTTTTATGGTAACGCAAATCTCAGTTGTACAGGTGTATGTATATATCTCAATTTTAACTCATGAGCTATTGCTGCAATCTGCTCCGATTGTATATTTTATCTTTATGAACACTGTTTTTATTGTGTTATGCGAGCTGGTCTTTGACCGTAATAAATTATAACAAGTGTGGACTGTAATTTCCCAAACACCTACAAACAATACATGGTTGAAAACAGTGAGTCAGGCATTTAAGCCGAGTGTATTTCACAAGTGGAGTAGACAATAAACCACCCCACATATAAATGGAAACCTTACTCTGTCAAATTGGTCATGTTTTGTGACATATCTGATGGTTCTTTTATGCTGTGTTATGTGTTTCTGAAAGTGCTATTGCTTGTCAAGCAAACCACTTATCATGAGTGCCCCTGAATCTTTTTCATATGAGCTCCCACAGGGGCGTGAAGGCCAAATCTTTATGTAGCACTGAAAGGTTTGGGTCAGTTTGGTTTACAATGAAGCCAAGACCAGACATCACATCCTCTGATATGAAAGACTTGTCCTTAATCACTGGTGGGTTGATCAGAAGCCTGACTGTTTTGACTTAGGGCTCATCCACACTTCCGATTACCATATACCCTGATGTTTACCACTGAATCGGAGCATCAGTCCCGTGGATGGATGTTTGCTCTGATTCAGTGGTGGAGAGTGGGTTTCCCCAGGGAAAGTGGAAGGGCTCAGTCCCGTGCCTAGAAAGCAGAAAACTCTTAGACCCATAATTTCTAGATGTGGGGCAGTGAAGAATGGACGAGCCCTTAGTGCTGAGCAACTGGCTTGAAGTGATACCACCTGAAGACTGTTTTGCTAGTTTCAACCAACTCCAGGTACTTATTTCAGAAGCTGCCTGGCCAGAGAGGTGAGCAGCTGGCTTGGAGTTAAGATGCTTGACCTGCTACCCCTGGATAAATCATCTAGTGAGTACCTTGAGCCATGATGGCCACAGGAGCTTATGAGTAGCAAATAGGCTTTTGTAACACCTGCTCCTGGTTCCTTGTTCCTGCTGTGGTGGAGATGAGCAGAGAGCAGGATTGACAGATGGAACAGCTCTAGACTAAGCAGCTTCCTCCCATGGACACGAACATCTGGCTTCAAGGTGGCTTCTGTGGGGAATTTTGTGATGCAGTTCTCCAACCAAAGAAAATTTACAAAAATGCATATACTAGGGGCAACTGCATTAAAATGGATATAGTATTGCAAATAACATACAAAAAATACATTATGGCTTGCAAAAATATGCGCTTCGGTCAAAACTGCATACAAAGATGTGTTTACTTTGCACTAAAATGCTGTAGAATTCTCATGAGGATTTAAAAAAAATAAAATTCTCAAATTGCTACAGAAATGTGGAGAACTGAAGTTATGAATGGAAAAATGACAAAAAGAGAACCGAAAATGACAAATCCCGCCACTCCTAATGAGAACATTTAGGCCAAAAGGGTAACATTTCACTGAGTTCTTGTGTTACATAGATTGCATTTGAGACTGTGTTGACATGAATTTAAATTAGACTTGTTTTATATTTTGATCTAGGCTATGTTTTGTTACTGGACGGATACTTTGTGTTGAGTTTCTCTTACTATTTTGTTTAGTAAATTTGGGCTGCCCTCAAGCAGCTATTTACAAATAGAAAACGCTTCTCGGAAGCTCTTTTCAAATTCATTTTGCAGTTTTCTTCCATCTTCTGTGACATCCTGGCCCTGTAAGGGAAATATAATAGAACATTAGCTTTGATATGTGTGTGACTTGTTGCTTAATTTATTTAGATTTTACCATTTCTCTTCAAAATGTCTACAGCTGGTGGAAACGTTTAAATATTTCTGTTGTCCTAGCCATTTCAGGTTATCGTGGCAGTTTATGTACAAGTACAATGAGATTATCACAATGAGATAGTGGGATTTCAATGACAGCTGTCTAGCTTCTGCTTCAAGACCTCCGGAAGAGAACTCCTTCTCCACAAGTAATATACTGAGATCTTCCCACACATAGGTTTGCAGCTATCCAAGCATTCAAAGACAAGAAGGGAGCCAGGTGGGTTTTCTTAGGAACACATGAGGATCACTTAGATGGTTTAGCACTGAGTGACTGTGGTCATTATGAGAGTCATTTGTTTGAGTACATGAAAGGGAGAGGGACAGAGACAGAGAGAAATTGAGTCACACTGAATCATATTTTACTTTTTCCTCACTCTTATTCTTTTGGGGTTTTTAATTTCAATGTATAACAGAAACCTAACTTGACCTCCTCACTCGCATGTGTTTATCATTCACAGGCAACAAACTGAAGGGAAGGGAAAGACTGATGCTTACTTGATGAAACTGCAGAAAATTGCTGAACATCAGACGCAGATCACCAATGAAATCCCCCACTGTTTCGTAGTGGTTTAAATGCAGCTTCTCTTTAATCCTCTTGAGCCACATGGGGTTATCTGGATAGTTATCATCACATGTTTGGATCTGTTAAATCAGCACCACCAGAAAGCAATATTAGTATAAGTACTGGAAATATTTCTACAATCTCAGCAATAGTGCTCCAGGTTTGTGTTATTTTACTCTTGCCCTCATGACTTACTGTGACTGGTTCATCAGCAAAAACAGCACCTTCAGGCTCACACCAGATCTTTAGGAGCAAGAACTCACATGTCTATAAAACAAAAGAAACCAATGTTCAAGGGCCTCAAATGAAATCAGGAGCCCACGCCGATAGACATAAATTGATTATATTTATTTAGAAACAGGTCCCAGCTATTTGAATGAAACTTTCACCAAATTCACCAAAATTATTATTACTGGTTCCTTTAGAGATTTTACTTAGGAATTAAGAAATTGTAATTGGTAACTATTGTTGGTTACTTAATTGATTAAATTTGCATGTGTATAAAACAAACAAAATAAACTGAAAAAATCAATTTTATTTTATTCATCTGAATGAGTTCTAGTAAGGAAAAAGAAGAATTTAAAGGAAAAAAAATATGAAGCAACACAGTATTAACCAGTTAGCTGCCATGCAACTAGGATTTCCAGCACCCTCTTTTCTAACGTATCTAGCTATCTATTTACAACCTTTCATTGTAGATCTCAGAAACAAAAAATTAAAAATACAGCTGCCGAATGTGAGATGGGAGGAAATAAGGTGTGAGTTGCAATCACTATGTACTCCTAGAGTACATAGTGTACACCTAACAGTGGCCAGTCATTAGCAATTCCCCCACCTCCATCCTCCCCACAAAGATAACTGGTCCTTCCTGACTTCTAAGATCCTCAAGACAGTAGTCAGCTATATTTCCTCTTTCCCCCAAATAAAAGGACACTGTCCATTCAATAAATTATTCAACCAGTGGCTAATCCTATACAACACCCTTCCCTGTTAATTATAGCTTAAATATTTAATATGGCATTCTTGCTCTGTAGAATGGCCAGCCAGATGCAGTGCCCTGACTCCCAATACAGATGAAACAAAACTGCCCATCCAGCAAATAGTAGCAGCCACACAGTGTAGCAGACCAAGTACTCAAGCTGTTTGATAACCAAGTCCAATGAAGAACTGGATGGAGAAACTGGAAAATGAAGCCTTGTGAAGCTCTTTAAAGCTGCAACAGCACTGCTTTTAAACATGCCAGGGGTTCCTCCCACATTTGGGTCACAAATTTTGGGTGTCACAAGGAGAGGTAGAGCTGTCTTGGTGGTAAAAATATTGGGAAGTTTATGACAGAGGTGGCTGGCCTTGCTAAAAGGAGACTTTTTATTTAGAATTTTAAAGCAATTGATGTTCCAGCCCTAATTTTACTACTTTGCTTATCATTAAATTGAAATAGGAAAAGGTTTTACGTTACCCACATTTTTTTGCTTGGCACCCATTTTCCACTTTAAAACCTGGTCTTCTTTGTTGTTAAGGTTACCTTTCCATTTGCAAAAGGTGCATTTCCAAAACCTATAAAAATGCAGTACAAAGCATGATGGTAGTGTTAGATGCAATTTGCAGACAATATTGCCATGGTAGAAATTTATTTATTCATTTCTGAAGGTTTGCCATAACCATGACTTTCTTAAACTAACATTCCTTAGAAAAATACTTAGCACCAGAACTAACACGATGACAAGGCTAATCATAATAGTCATTTTTATTAAACACTATCTTGAACTGGAACAAAAAGAAGTAGTGGTATAACATATCACTTGGCTATAACATATTACTGAAAGCTACTGTGCTATTATAGTTTAGCTTCAACAGGACTAATATGCATTAAACAGGAGAGATGAAATATCATTACAAGATTTTATAAACAGTGTAGTTTTGCTTTTATAGACTTGTACCTTATTTAATGTGAGAAAAATAGTGAAATTGATTTGCAATACAAAGTGCACTATTGTCTATATTAATACAAAAGTTCACAGCTGAGCTAGCCTACATCTTGCTAGCCTACAGTTTAGCACGTTATTGCTGGGCTTTACAGAGTGATGTTGTCAACACCTGACTTTCTTGACTATTTCACCTTACTCTAGAACTCAGAGTAGGAAAGCAAATACTGGTACCTTTTCACAGCCAATTCTTCTGGAACATGGCAAGAAAGATGAAATGATTTATTGCATAAACTGCAGCATATATCAGACCCGCCTTCCATACACACATCACATATGTCATCTGTTGGCTAAAGTAAAAAAAAGAAGAAGTTTGTTGAAACGGTAGAGTGAGAGGGGTTTTTTTATCTGTGATGTTGTTTGTACACCACCTTGTGAGCACAGTGGGTCCTGAATGGTGGTTTTAAAAGACTTTAACAAAGGATTTTCAGTTGGCAGGCATATCATAAAATATCTTCAACAACCACATATACACCTGTGTGCAGTAACAACTTAAAACTAACTTGGTTTGTTTTTGCTACAACAGATAACTTGTAGAAGTTATCTTTGGTTTATGCAGAGGTCATTGAAGATATCCAATTAATATGTCAATATCCACTTGGTATCTTCCTGTTTTCTCAAGTCTGGCAAAACAGAAATGTAGGAAGCTGGCAAACAGGTAATATTTCTTGGACCCTGAAAGCATCACATCTTGCTGTGCTAGGTGTGTAGACAAAGGTGTCCTTGTAAAATTACTCACCACGGACGGACTACCAGTAGTAGCACTATACAGTCATGGCTAACATTTCAGCTTCTAAGTAAAGAACATTTTTGAATGTCTTCATTTTATATTTTCTCCCTTTATGCATTGCACACATGAAGAAGAGCTTGTTTCTTCAGGCTGCTTTGCCTGTTTTCTTGATCAACCTTCCCCTTCCCACATCCATATTTTTATACTACTACTACAGGCTTGTCTGGAAGTTTTTTATGTGCGCTGAAGGAGAGGGGGGGGGATAGAAAACTGAGCTGGTGAGGGCCTAAACAGGTCCACTGGGAAACAAGGGGAAGCCGTCACCATGTTTAGGAGAAACTGGGATTTGTAGAAGAAGAAGAAAAAAAGATATTTAAGGAACAAACACACAAACTCCCAAAAGCCCAATGAGGACTCAGCATGCAGAGCAGCTGACCATGTTGAGCATCAGTTGGAAAAGAAAAATTGAAAAGAGTTTAAAGCAGTAGTTTCAGTTTAAAGTTAATGAACCTGTGCTCGTGCTCGTGACACGGGCATAGCCCATTAAGGCTCCCAATCCGGCCTGTCAGCAAATTGCCAATGGAAGAAGAGATCTGTCTTTTCTTTCATTGACAGTTCATTGTGTTTCTGTACTGGGTGTTGAGAAAGGGATGGGTTGTCCGAGGGCGTACATGGGGCCATCATGACTAAGCCACTTGTGGCGAACCAGAGCAGCGCACGGAAACGCCGTTTACCTTCCTGCCAGAGTGGTACCTATTTATCTACTTGCACTTGCATGCTTTCGAACTGCTAGGTTGGCAGGAGCAGGGACCAAGCAATGGGAGCTCACCCCGTTGCACAGATTTGAACCGCCGACCTTCTGATTGGCAAGTCCTAGGCTCTGTGGTTTAACGCACAGCACCACCCGCATCCCTTTTTGAATTAGGGTTGAATTAGGGTATGAAAATTATATTGAACCAGATATAAAGGAGGAAAAGGTTTCATGGGATAGCAGATATTTTCCTTCAGCATTTCCTCACACAAATATATGATCAGATTCTGAGTAAGAGACAGAGAACAATATTGTTTAAAGTACAGTATACATTTATATTGATAGTACATTAACCGACATGCATCCCATGAAATCTGAAGAAATCAATTAATAAATTGATTTTGGTGGTGGCTCTGCATCTGTAGAATGACCTTTCTACTAAGGTGAGTCTTACCACCTTATTATATTCATATGGATACCAGGTACAAACTCAGCATTTTTGTCAGGCTATTTATGAATCTTAGTACTGCTTTTATGTTTTTGTTTATTATGTTTTGTACCTCCTTATTCTGAAGTAAATATTAATTTTTATGGAGATGATCAAGACAGAAATGTCTTAATGCATAAATGGACAAATAAAATGTGTAGATGCTCATTTAGATTGGTGCATTGTCTACAATCAACCTAGTAAAAGTGTTCACAATTTGTTTACCTTATTTCTCCCTGGGGAAGCTCGTGCTGGCTCAGGTAGCATGCCATCCTGAAATAAATATCACATTTATTAGGTTTGCTCTGAGGAACAAACAGAATCCCCAAACATAATCTGAATTAGATGGTGGAAATGAGACATATTACTGACACCTCGCTATTTATATTTAAAATCCAGTAGGAAAATATTTCATTCTGCTGGAACACTCTGCTAATAACCTTATATTAGCCATGTTTGAGCAAACAAACATCAAAGATGGGCTCCCATGTGAAAAGCTGAATTACTTCCATTTTGGTCTGAATAGATACAGGGGTTTCTTACCCCACCACAGATAATAATAAATTCAGCATTACTAATGTATTCTGCATGAAATGGATTGTTACTGAGTTTCATGAATGGGCACAGCTGTTGCAAAGCATCACGGTGCTCATTTGGCACACCTGTTGTCTTGTAGATTATGATTTTTATGCTTGCAGTATTTTGTGTTTTAGTATGCTGAAAGTCACCTTGAGAAAGATAACCTTGAAAGGTGGCCTATGAGTAATGAAATATATAACAATCCTAGCTCTAATTGAATTATCGCGGTCTGTACTTTTTGCATTTAATTTCCCACTGACCTCACTGCCTACAATCCCTCCCACTGAGGATTCTGTTCCTACTCTACCCTGCAAACGAGGAACGAACTTCACGTATCTAACGATGGGGCCTCCCAGTCTAGAAAAGCTGATACTATAATCAATCTGTGCCATCAGATTTTTTTTGTTATTTTTATAATAAATATCACATAGTCTTTATTGTAATCATAAAACTTCCATAGATCATTGTTCCATGGAATACAGATCTTGCCTTTAGCTGGCACAATCCTTATGTCTGCTCAGTTCTACATTGTGTTAGGGCAGGAGTCGCCAACCTTTCTGAATCAGTGGGTACATTTCAAATTTTGAGACAGTGCTGGGGGCACAAAATAGTTGCCATTGTGGGTGGGGTGGAATGGGATAAAACAAAATAAGAAAGATAGCTATCCCCAGCAACCTGATGGAATACCATAGGAAGTCAGCTATGTCCCACTGGTTCTGATTGTGAAGATCACAGAATTTTTATTTTACACACATATGGATGCTGTTGCTGTCTAATAGCAACAGAGAGCATTCCTCAGCAACAGGAAATGTATACAAGGTAGTCACACCACACTCAAATTATTTCACTGAAATTGCTTTGAAGGTATCTGCACGTTTTGTCCCATAACTGATTTTCTAGAAGAGCTGGAGCCTTACTGTTCAAAAAAATGAAAAGTCAACACTCAGCAGTGTCTGTTCAGGGAAACCAGTGGTGGCCTTTGCAGGCAACCTATCACCTGTCTGTGGGCAGCTCTTGTCTTAGGGCATTCTAGAATCTAGACAATGGCTTTTTCATAAAACAATTTGTGCTGCTATTCACTTACAATACAGGATATTGTCCTTGTAACAGGAACGATATGTGTGGATAAATATATGGAAAGCCGTGGTAGCATCATTTGAAATTCCTTTGTAATTACAAGTAAAGAACGAGGCATTAAAATTATAGCCAATAGAAGTGAACTGCATACCTTTATTAATGTTTCTAAAGGAGCCCCCATATAGCGGATACTTCTTCTCCAGTTTGTACCTCCAATTTCTCCTTCAATCAGAAATTCTTGTGGCGTGAACCATGTTCCCTTAACATTCTTGATACATTTCTGTGTAGCTCCTGTAACAGAGAAGTCACACCAGTGCTGCAAGCTTGTCCCATTCAGCAAAGTTCAATAGAGGGAGAAAGAAATTGCCACCTGCAGCCCCTTTTCCAATATTTACATTGGAAAAAATCAATACTAGAAATGTATTTCAGCACGGGACCTGCTCAGGGCCAACACCAGACTACAGGGAAGCGGAGTCTCTGCTCCTGTCCCAGTCCTTCTCTTTGTGGCAACAGCAACACTATCCTCTTCCAGTCCCAGTGTGGTGTAGTGGTTAAGAGCGGTGGACTCATAATCTGGGGAACCGGGTTTGCTTCCCCGCTCCTCCACATGCATCTGCTGGGTGACCTTGAGCTAGTCACACTTCTCTGAAGTCTCTTAGCCTCACTCACCTCACAGAGTGTTTGTTGTGGGGGAGGAAGGGAAAGGAGAATGTTGGCCACTTTGAAACTCCTTTGGGTAGTGATAAAGCGGGATATCAAATTCAAACTCTTCTTCTTCTTTCCCTCTTGCTACCCCCATCCCTCCTGCTTCCTTCCATGTCCCCTGAAGTAGCATAAGTGGTGGTGGATTATCTATCATCTCCTCCACATTTGAGATCTGATAAAGGGCCAATGGTGGCTACAAATACTTTAAAAGATTTTCTAGCTGCAGTGGCAAACTACTGTAACAGTGCAGCCATTTTCTCGGACACCTCGCACAGAGCACTCCTCTGAGCAGTGAGGTGAGTGTCTAGCAAGTCACTGTAGATGGGGACAACCTTGGCTGTAAGCAGTGCACACATACCACTACCTGAGCATGGAGGTGAGTATTTGGGCAAAAGGCTGGTCTGGTCAGAGGCCCTGGAGTCTTTGGCCAGTGCCCAACATGGCTGACCACAAGCACTGGGCCTGATAATACCACCAGTAAAAAATAGCATTAATTACATGAAGTGTGAAATATGTTTCTCTTCCAATGTTCATTTGGTATAATTATAATTTAAGTGGGGGGCAAATTTTCTCCGCCCAATAAGAATGATCCTGAAAACTGTAGCACCAAATGGTTATATACATTGAGTTGTCTTTTTTCTTTTTTAAAATATGGAGAAATTGCCAATTATTTTCAATTCACAATTTATGGGTTGATGTAACTGCAGTGCATTAATGCAGTCTAACTTTGGCCCTCCAGATGTTATTGAAGTACAACTTCCATCAGCCCCAGCAAGCATGATCAGGGCTAACAGCACCCAGAGGGCCAATGTTTTCCCACACATAGTCTAATACACAAATGATATGCTGCACCAATTAAAGTGGAAGAATACAATACAATACTGTTTTGTGATAATTTTTTTAAGTTGAAAAAATCATTTAAGCATGCATTTCTGAACTGTAATTTGAAGGATTTAAAAGTACTGAAAATCCCATTGTGATATAGATAGAATTACTCCAAGTTACCCAGGATTCAGTGGGAAATAAAAAACCAATTTCCTACAAGACTATTTAAGTGTTCCCAAACATACAATTACACCCACATACTGCCACATGGATGCATCTTTCTCCCAACACACTCATGGGCACAAACACAAAGATTTTAACTTCTTATTGCTATAAAATTCTCTTAAAATATGTAATTACACATACAATTAAACTGTTTCGAAACAATGTTTACCTGCTGCCAATTTTTCCTTATATAAAACACCTCTAGTTTTTCCACAAGTAACAATCACTGTTGAGCCCTGGACACTCGGCTTGTCTTTTATAATATTTTGTATCCCTTTTCCTAGAGGAAATCAAAAAATTGATGTCAAATGCTGCAATTTCCATATTTTGGGTTTCCAGAAAATGACAGCAGTCTTACCAAGTTACAGATTCTGCTGATAAGATGTGGCATGAAGTAGCATTTCATATCACCTGAAAATATATTGGGACACAATTCTAAACCAAAGATACTGTCAGGTATGTTGGCAGGCAAGGGAGTTTCCCCTCCCTCCAGTAGTTTCTGATAAAAAGTAATGAGCCTCTGGCAGGTTTATAGTCCGTTTTATTTATAACGACATATTGAGAGCAGCATCAAACCACCCTCCCCATGGATGGCAGTTGCTCACTCTGAATCCACTCCTCTTCTGCAGCAAGAAGCACACTACCGGTCACCTGTCCCGCCCCTGCGCTTCCATTGTTCCTGGACCCTTTTAGTCCTCCGAGTTTGGGGGGGATGGACTTCCCCACCACTCGATTGAAGAATCTCCTAAATGCTCCCTCCCTCCTGGTTGCCTAGCTACTATCTCAAAGCTGTCCAGCTCTTCCCCCTACTGTTCAGCCTCTGAATCTTCTGGTCTCTCTGCTTCTGGGAACATGGAAGGCGGGCGGGGCGAATCCTCCCCCTCCTCCTCTGTTAGAGGCTGCTCTGTCTGTGACTGCATTCCCCCATCTTCGGAGTCAGACCAGTCTCTGGCATCATATTCAGACCAGCCCCCGACAGATACAATGGCTGGAAAGCTACAGGATATGGTGGAAGCTCCACATTGCCAGCATAACTCAAATTATGACTCCGCCATGGAGATATACTGGCACATCTGCGCAGATGCCCTGGTGCAACTCTATGTGTGCAAACTCTTAAGAGAACTGGGAACTGAGAAGTCAGGTTGCAGAATATAACCACAATGTGAAGCAAGTTCCTTGAACTCACATAGGGTCAAGGGGTCAGGTTTCAAGACATAGCAAGAATAGAGCTCCATAGTCATCATAACAGGATCCTGTAACTATTGGTAATGGCTAACATTGCATGCATGCAGTTAAAACAACAACAAAAACAGGGAACTAGGTAATGGAGGCAGGCATTTAAAAAGAAGTGGGCAAAATGGCAGTTAGGAACCAGGGTGCAGGTAAAGGACATATGGACAATGTCCACACCCAGTTTGTAGGGTGTATGCCAAAGCTGCTTTTGGAGAACTGTGGAAGGGGTTAGTTTGGAGAACCTATGAGGAATCTATACCATTGCACCTTCTTTACCTTTCGGAGTACCACCCATTTTCAAACAGGTGTTAGTTGGTCCTGGAGACATTTTTGCCATGCTTTCTGTCGCACCAGCAACTTTCAGTCCTGAAGAAAAAGAAGAAGCCATTTAGTAGGGAATTGTTATCCCTTTTTCACTCATTTTAAAAAGAGGAACCAAGGACTCAGCTATACAGCTGCAAATAAAACGTTTTAAGTGTGTTGTAAAGCACATTGTACAAATGTGACATTAGATGGTGATGGTGAGCTATGGCAAATTCAACATATTTTTCAAAAAAAAAAATTTTTTAAAAATAATTTTCACATTTTTAATATGTGGCTAGATTCCACCCAGGGACGCGGGTGGCGCTATGGGTAAAACCTCAGCGCATAGGACTTGCTGATCGCATGGTCGGCGGTTCGAATCCCCGCAGCGGGGTGAGCTCCCGTCGTTCGGTCCCAGCTCCTGCCCACCTAGCTGTTCGAAAGCACAATTAAGTGCAAGTAGATAAATAGGTACCACTTTCTAGCGGGAAGGTAAACGGCGTTCCGTGTGCTGCTCTGGTGCCGGTTCGCCGGAGCAGCTTCGTCACGCTGGCCACGTGACCCGGAAGTGTCTGCGGACAGCGCTGGCTCCCAGCCTCTAGAGTGAGATGAGCGCACAACCCTAGAGTCTGTCAAGACTGGCCCGTACGGGCAGGGGTACCTTTACCTTTACCTAGATTCCACCCAAATGCCATGGAATGCCTTCATAGTGCCAGGCCAGCAGTGCAGTTGTGTATTACGCATTTAAAAATAGCGTTTTTTAATTACAAAAACAATGAAAGGAAACACAATACAGGGAACAACAGGAAAAGAGAAATCTGGAAAAACCCATACATTGCTTCATAAAGTTCATACATACTACATATAAGCATCCCATACTAAAAGCATCAGTCAGTGTCAAGTTTCACCAAGTAGTACAAAGTCACTGGGTTTTCAATACCTTTCAATACTCTTAACTGGTATGTTCGCTTCTCAGATATGACTATATTCCAAATGTTATTATACCAAAAAGAAATATTAAGGTCTTTCAAGGCTTCCCACAACTGTGTGATAGACAGCCTAGCTTCAACTAGCAGAAAGATTAGCAAAATGTTTGGTTTTATGTTCATCTTAAATGTCCTAAAAATAGTTACAATTGGGGTGTAATTTGTATTGGATCCTGATTAATACTACTGATTTCCTAATATATGTCAGACTAAAAGTTTTTGACAATCAGGCATTCCCATCAAAGATTGAAATATGTTACCGAGTGACCACAGCTCAGCCAAAACACTACAGCTAGACAAAGGGTAATATATGATAGCTAGCAAACTGGAGCCTTGTACCACCTATGGGAGACTCTGGTGTGGTATTCTGCACTATGCAGGCAGCAATAGACCCTGCTGGTTTTAATGGTTCACACGCTTTTCTGTTTTATATCATTTATTTCACATCCTATGTCTGCCTCCCAGATATTTTTCGGGCTTCTTAATGGGCTGGATGAAATTTCCGACAATTCTCCACAAATCTCTTATATCAATACTTTACCTTCAGATCCTTGGTTTAACAGAACAGTTTCAAATCTGGTAAGGGATCTGGTGCCTAGATACCCTAATTTAGCAGGATCTAACTCAACTGATGTAAGTGAAGCCATCCCAAATCTCCTGTGTCCAGTCTTAGTTGATCCTGGGAAACTGGATTACCATTTTTATTTTAAAAATTGCATTATCTAAAGTATCCTTTTTCCTCCCAAGACAATAATACCTTCCACAAATTTAACATATTCTCGTCTAATTTTATCCAATGCTTATATACCGTCATTGCCATGAAACATGAATATCAAAACTGAAAAACCTCTTCATATAAAATTATGTTCAGAAGTGCCCACCCTGCTCCATGTATTTTTATGCAATACCTTGATAGCTAGTTGAGGCTTCTCCCTCTGAAAAATATTTTTTTTTATAAGGTTCTGCCATTTCTTGATCAAACTTGGGTGTAAGGAGAAAGGGAAAACCTGAAACAAAAAAGAAAATTTTTGAACAACCTTCTCACTTAGTTCTTATGGGTCAGCAAATTCTGCCTAAAATGAGAAGACTAGTCACAATACCTCCTGAGAAAATGGCTGTACTGTACTTGGCTTAGGGAAAGGTGGAATATGGAACTCCTTGCCATAAGGAAAATGGTGTTTTCAATTTCCAAAGATGGATTAGGTATCAGTTGAAAATGCAGTCAGCAATTGGCAGCTGATTATGCCAACTCTGTTTCCATTTGCCAGCATTTTGAGACTAGTGGGCCTCAGTAAGGGCCCCTCCAGGCAGATGTTTTATTGTGGGTGCATTCTGCAACACATTCTTGACACAATAATAGTCCATTAATGGTGGGTTTATTCTGCTTTAGCTTGCTGTGTTTTGTTTCCTTAATGCTACCACGTTATTGCTGTCCAAAGGTGCTATAGCGCAACAAAAGCATCACAAAAATATAGCAGAACATTTGTGACATAAAAAGTTATAGAACTTCAGAAGGAAGTTACAGGCTATGCACTGACTTAAAATAAAACAGTGCAACTGCCTCCAGCTTCAGCAAGCGCAAACAATGCTGACAGCAGGAACACATATGACTGTCCCAATAGCCCTATTAGCACAAATCATCAGGAATGCGCAATAAAAAGGCTACCTGGAGGGTCTCTAATTTTCATCCATCTCAGGTAGGTCTTGTAGGTGGAAAGTTTGGGGAGTTCTGCCTTATATTATTGTATTTTTCTCTTCCCACAGTCTATGCCTCAGAAACATTTAGAGACCCATGTAAAATTCACCTTTCGGTGCAGAGAATTCAGAATTGTTCTTCTTTGTCTGGAGTATGTTCTTGCTCCCAGGTCCTGTGGCAAAGCTATTTGTAGCATGCTGGAGAACTGAAAAGAAAGCGTGTGAAGAAAACAAGGGCATTAGCACCTTACTATTAAATTAAATGGATAAAATGTGTTGTGAACATCTAATTCAGGGGTCAGCAACATGGCACGGCACCTGGGAAGGCTTCCAGTGGCGCCCCAGGGAAAGGTCCTCTGACTTTGAGCTTTCATTGCTCTTGTTTTAAGTAAGTTTCTAGTCCTCCTAAAAAAAAAAGTTATGCAACAAAATGTGCAGGTGCTTTCTAAGCAAACAAGACTGGTGGGGCTACCTTGTATATTTTTCATGATACTATGGACAGCAACAGCATCAGTATATGTAAAATCAATAATCATAATCAGTACCAGCAGCACACAGCTGACTTCCCATTGTAAGCAGGTCCAGCCTGCCAATGAGGTAAGGTGAGGCAAATGCATCAGGTGGTATATCCAGCCTCCACTCCTGCCCTCTGCTTCCTCCTCCTCCTCACCTGCCCATTGTGACACCCTCACCCACCACCTCCATGCCTGCTCTCCGCTGCCCACTCCTCTCCTCTACGGCCTTCTGCTTGGGGTGGGTGTGTGGCATATAGGGGAGGAGCAGGTGACAAGAGTTCTGACAAAGAGTAAGGGCTAGTGACATTTCCTGTTTTGCCCAAAGCTGCAAAATGCTCTGAGCCAGTCCTGATTTTAAGCATGAGATTATTGGGGGTGGTTGTCTCTCTAACTGTGTGTTATGCCATGTTCCCCTTGACAGCCATTTTGTGCTATGCCACCCTCCCCCATGGCAGCCATTTTGTGACCAGTGCCCCTAGCACTCTCATAACTGAAAATGTATCCAGTAGTTGACAAAGATTCGAGATCGCTGATTTAATCATTTATGGTTTATAAGAAACTGCAGCTGGTGCAAAATGCTTAGTACAGTGGTACCTCGGGTTACATACACTTCAGGTTACATATGCTTTAGGTTACAGACTCCGCTAACCCAGAAATAGTGCTTCAGGTTAAGAACTTTGCTTCGGGATGAGAACAGAAATTGTGCTCTGGCGGCGCGGTGGCAGCAAGAGGCCCCATTAGCTAAAGTGGTGCTTCAGGTTAAGAACAGTTTCAGGTTAAGTACAGACCTCCGGAACGAATTAAGTACTTAACCCGAGGTACCACTGTACAGCATCCTTCCATGTATACACATCACAGAGGCTGGATGGCCATCTGTCTTGGATGCTTTAGTTGAGATTCCTGAATTGCAGGGCATTGGACGAAGTGATCCTTGGGATCCCTTCCACCTCTATGATTCTATATCAACAGTGCTGGAGGAACAGCACTGATTGCCTATTTGCTACTGAACTGTGTTTGAGGTGATGATGTTGACATGTAAGGCTCTGAACAGATTAGGACCACTGGCGGAGGAAGAGGAGTGTGGGAGGAGCACCCCGCCCCTGGCAGCGCAATCCCAGTGTGGTGCCATTGTGGCCCCGCCCCCACAGGCGGCACACCACACCCCCAGGATGCACGCCAGCCCCGCCCCGGCCTGCTCTCCGCCCCCCCCCCCCGGTGCTGGAGCATGAAGCTCCGCCACTGTTTAGGACAAAGCCTCCTTTCACATATTCCAGCCCATTCACTGTCAAAGTTGGATGCCCCTCGAGTAAGGAGGATATTCTAGACATGCCATATCAAGCAGACATACGTCTTATGATGACTAGGATACAGCACCATATTCTGACACAGTCAAATAACCTTACCTTAGAGACAAAATGAGCACTTATGGGGAAAGCTGGTAAAAACCTACAATTTAAATAGGCATTCCTGGGCGCTGATCCTTAGTAATGGTATTACTTAACTTTAAATATTCTAGTTTATGTTTTCTTGTTGTTTTAGTGTACTGGTTTTATTTTGTAAACCACCATATTATTTTTCACTGTAAAAAGCAGACAATAAGTACTTTCAAATAAACAGAATAATAATAAATTCGCCAGCAGATGGCAGGCAGAGGGCTGAGACAAAGGGAATGCATGGTTGGGAATATTCCGTGGCTCAAACACTCACCACTACACCATTTCTCAATAAAATCTGATGATTTTTCTTTCCTTTTGACTATTTATCTTTTATGTTTGCTAGGTAGATTTAGCACAGCCAACAAGATAACTTACCATTTTCTAGGCTTTCGTATATTGGTTTTAAATTTTGATATGCTTCCAGGTTCTCTGGGCAGAAAATCTCCTTTACTGCTGACACATTGTTTGTCATGCTTTCAAGTACATTGTATACCACTCTTTGAAGAGCATTTGCATTTGACGATACCTGCTCAGAACAAATCTAGAAAAAACAACAACAACACAAGGATTTTTTAAACTCATATATAGTAAGTATCCCATTTCCCCGTCATATCCAAGATGGTAAACCTAGCATAAGCAAAGAAATCAAATTTAATTCAAATTCCAAGGCCCAGCACAGCTAAAACCCCTCTCCTATATTTTGTATTACAGTAATGGCAAAGAATGCTTCAAGGCATGTGACCTCTTGTTTTTCAGAAACAAGCCACAACCTGCTGCTGTTAAGGAGTGCATCTTCTTCACTTTTTCGCTGGGTCATATCCCACACTAACTTTCAAGGTTCCTCCTCCTGTGCAATGGTTGCTGTTGTTCCCAACCTCTCCTAAAGGCTCTCAGGATGGAGAGGGGAAGTTATGCTGGAAGAGGACCACTGGCGTAGGTTCACTCTGTGGACACTATGACTGAATGGAGTTTGAGCCCAGATCTTGGCATCCAAGTCTAACACACTGTTCACTACACTTGGTTGTCTCTCATGCTATGTTCCTCCTGCTACCCTGAAAACCTTTCCGGTTATGAATCACGTATAACATCTCCCTATGCCACAGCTGCAACCATTTGCCCTGTGCCATATGGGTAAGGTAAAGGTAAAGGGACCCCTGATCATTAGGTCCAGTCGTGGCCGACTCTGGGGTTGTGGCGCTCATCTCGCTTTATTGACCGAGGGAGCTGGTGTACAGTCATGTGGCCAGCATGACTAAGCCACTTCTGGTGACCCAGAGCAGTGCACAGAAACGCCATTTACCTTCCTGCCGGAGCGGTACCTATTAATCTACTTGCATTTGCGTGCTTTCGAACTGCTAGGTTGGCAGGAGCAGGGACCGAGCAATGGGAGCTCAACCCGTTGCAGGGATTCGAACCGCCGACCTTCTGACTGGCAAATCCTAGGCTCTGTGGTTTACCCCACAGTGCCACCCGTGTCCCTGCCATTAAAAGCAGCACATGGGAGAAGGCTGCTGCAACTTTCCACTTGTTTCCTACCTTCCCTTCAGCCATTTTCCTCCGCTATTGGCTGGCTTCAAGTATTAGGAAAAGGAAAAAGTAACCGATTCCAAGGAGCTAAAAAACAGGCAGTGAGAGTTCAACACTCCCTTTCTTATACATTGCTGATGGTTAAATTAAGACGTCTCCCACCCCTTGCTTTATATACTAGCTGGGCGGACATGTGAACAATGGTCCTATAATGTCAGGTTTTGCTCCAGGAAAAGCTCAGACAGATGTGGGGAATCTTTGGCCCTTCAGATGTTGCTGAACTAGAATTCCCATCACCCCTGGCCATTGACCATGCTTGCTAGGGCTGATGGGAGTTGCAGTCCATCAACTTCTGGGAAGCCAAAGATTCTCCAATCCTGGCTTAGATGAACTCCGAAACCCCAGACACAACTTAAAAAAATAAATTCAATGTCTATAATAGTCACCTTAAACTGCTCTTCAGATATTATTTTCTTGTCTCGCAGGATAAAGAAAAAGGGAAATGAGTCTTTGATAGCAGCAGAAATCTGTATTTTTTTGTTTCGGAACCATTCCAAAATTTCACCCGAAGTACCTAGAGCAGACATGCTACAAACAAAGCAAGATGTATCAGATACCTTCAAAAACTCGATGAAAACAAGAGAAGTGATGGCTATTTGAAGAAAAAGTTCTAGCATTACCGTCGCAACCAAAATCTAGAATTTCATGGAATTAAAAAAGGCAGATCCCATTTCTGAAAGGGGAAGGCTATATTTAAAGTGTCCATGGCAGGTGGCCATCCAGCCTCTGTTCAAAAACCTCCAAGGAAGGAGAAGGCCCTTGGAATAGAGCTGAAGAGAATATTTTCTTCTCCAACCCCTGATGAGGAGGGAAAACATACTATGGGAAGCAACAAGAAAGCAGCATTACAGTGAGAAACCAATGCTAATCTAGCTCCAACGGTCTACTCACTCCTACACGCCTCTACACAGAAGTAAGCCCAACTGAGTTCTATGGGGCTTACTCCCAGGTAAGCGTGCATAGGATTGCAGCCTTAGCACTCCAAGACCCCCTGAGGAAACGCATCAGTCCGATCCTGCTGCAGGCGACCCGTTTCTTGGGCGTCCCTCCCTCATCCCCCTTCGCTTGCCGAAACTCAGGCAGCGCTTCGAGTCTCCTCGATCTCTTGAATGAGCGCAGGATTTCTTTGCTGCGACGCCAAGCCCGTCGGAGGCTCCTTCTTCCTTGCGGAGATCAACCGCTCGCGACACTTACCTTTCTGCTTTTCCTTCGCAAAGTGAAGGCTGCACGAACAGGCACCAGGTTAAATAGAAGGATCGACCTTGAAATTTCGCCAGATGAAAAAAAAAAGTGAGGGCGAGAGGGAAATGAAAGTCAAAACATTCCTTCTTCAGTACATCGGACCTCCCACTGGGTCCATGACTGGCTGTTGGGAGACGGATTTGGGTGGAACCTCTAAATTGGCCAATTTCTGGGAAGAAAAGCAGAATCGAAAGTTTTAAAAAACTAGGAAATCAAAACTTACCTCTCCCTGTGAATCATGTTAGAAACTGTGCATAATGTATTGCTTTTTAAAATAATTACCCTTGTCACAATCTGTTCCTTTGGAGACCCCACCCTTTCTCTCACACACAGATTGTGACTACTGCCTGAGTCCTGGTATGACCTAAGAGTTTCCCTCTTGTTCCTTTCAGTGCCTGTATAAACAGATTTTGAGATTATGTTTTTGTGGGTCTTCAATGACTGTGTGTCTGCGGTGTGAATGTAAAGGGATGGTTGCACGGAGTCAAGGATTTGAACAGGAATGTACATGTTGCTGAAAGGCCGAGGAGAGCCACTCTGTGTGCCTGGTTCATTTGTCAGAAAACGGTTTCCTGATGCAAAATCTCTCTGCTTGGAATGTGAAAGCCGCAAATCCCATCTTGCTTCAAATCCAGACGCTTGCTTCAAATCTCATAAATGAATGTTTATCTGCAACGAACATTGTATGCTGGAATTATTTCCCTTGTCTGAAAGAAAATGTGGCTGAGTCAGAGCTTTCCAATACAAATGTTTTCTGCTGGCAATTCAGACTGCCAGCGTGCCATCAATGGGCACAGACAGTTTTTAGCATCTCCAAGACCTGAGGGATCTGGTGGTGTGATCAGAATGTTGGATGGCTAGTGGGGTGGAGTCAGGTTGAAACCCCGACTCAGACATGAAGGCAATCTTGGCCCAGTCTCTTTTATCTTGACCTAACCTACCTCACAGGGTTGTTGTATGGATAAAATAAATAGTGGAGAGCCTGGTATGCTACCCTTTGCTCCTTGGAGGAAGGGTGCAATTGAAATGAAACTCATGAGCTTTCATTCTTTCTGAGCACTGTTCACCCCTACCCCTAGTTTATTTGTGACTCTTGCTAATCTAAGTTAAACTGAAGCCATCCATGTTCCTAAATTCACATTGGAATCTCACTTTGGCTACAGCTGGGTACTCAAAGTAAATATAGAAGGATACCCATATAAGTTACTAATAATCACACAGAACACCTGAAGCTGAGTGGAAGTGGGAAGGGTAAGACAGCAGCACAATTCTGCAGCCTGATCTGAGGTTAGAGATTTATCAAGCCTCAGACATGTTTTTTTCCTTCTAATAGGACCTTTCTGTTTATATGCTCTACAGTTCTTTACTTTGAGCTTGAAATACTTCTTTAAATAGCCATGTTATTTATTGCTTTCATTGACTTTTTTGTGTTCTGGTACTTCTTGCTTTGTTTATAGCATGTCTGCTCCAGGTACTTCAGATGAAATTTTTCGGTGGTTCAGAGGCTATAAAGTACAGATTTCTTTGACAATCAAAGATACTTTCCCTTTTCTCTATCTCCTGCGAGACAAGAAAAGAATCTCCGAAGAAGATTTTAAGCTGATTATTATAGGCATTGAATTTATTTTTTAAAAACCCCACCTGGACATGTGAAGTCCATCTAAAGTAAGAGTGTGAAATCTTTGTCCCTGCAACCAGAATGGTTTTCTGGGTTATAGGTGGAGCACAGCATGAGAGGCAGTGCAGTATGATGAACAGGGTGCCAGACTTGGATGCAAAGATCTGAACCCCAACTTCACTCAGTCAGGGTTGGACTAGATGATCCTCAGGGTCCCTTCCAACTTTATGATTCTATGGTATCTGTAATGAAGTTCACTGGGTGAGCACAGGCCATTTGCACTCTCCCAGCCTAACCTTCCTCACAGCTTTCTGGGAGTAGCCTGCACTCATCGCTCCTGAGTTTCCTCACTGAAACAGTGTCATGGAGAGCATGCTGAGAAGCCACAGGTCACTTTTCTTCTCCATAGGAAAAAGCAGCTGGAATCAAAGAGAGGATACAACTATTAAAAAGGGTAAAAGGTTTGACCAACAAGACATGAAATAGTGGCTCCCATCTACTGAAAAAAAACCTATGTACCAACCACATATGTGATGAGATGCTAGCATTATTAGGCACTTTATAAACAACAAATTATGTTCCTGGAGGAACAAAGAAGAACATTATTAGTAGTTTGTCTTGTGTATCCATAAGACTTGTGAGTGCATGACTATACACAGTCCAGGGACAAAAATGTGTTGTCTTAAAAGCTTTTGTCAATGTTGCATGTGGAGAGGTAAAGTTGACATTTGAAGACAAGTAAACGCAAGCAGAATAAACAGGCTACATTGGATCACTCTCTGGGATGTGAGAAAGTATTATGATACAATTTATGCTAAGTCAAGAATTCTGCATCACTGAAAGGTGCTTCCATTCTTCAGCTAATCTCAGTTTTGCCTGGATCTCATTCACACTTTGCCCCAAGGAGGTATTTCCCCTCAATTTGGACAATGGATTGAGGCCAGGGGACTGGTTGTGGCCCTCTATGCCTTTCAGTCTGGCCCTCTGGACTTTCCCCAGCCACACCCTTCTCCCTAGATGACACTGCCTCCACACCCTTTTAGTGTTGTACATTGGAAGTCTGGACTCTTGTGTAGGAAAAAAACTTTAAAAAACATTATTGCTCTTTAGTCTTAAAGACCTAAATGTTACAAAGTAACAAAAGGAACTAGCAGTGGTTCAGTTCTTTAAAACATTCTCCCTCTAATCCTCATCCCAGACAGAATTTGAACATAGTTTTATTCGCTAAATTCAAAATGCACCTCTCTCCGTTCTCTGAATGCTGGCATCTCACAGCACCTGTGTCTCTCTCTGTGATGTAAGCAGCCCTAATTACATATCTACATAGGCAGGTGCTCAGATTTCAGACCTCCTGTTAAATCAGGAGGCTTATAGCTCCAGATGCAGTCACCACCACACCCAGTGGATAAACACCAGTTCTGTCCCCATACAAAGAAACAACAACCCACAACAGACTTTAAACATATAGCCAGGGCTTTTTCCAGACAGAACTCGCTAGAATTCTCAGGTGGGCACCATTGCCATTATAAGAGAAGAAGAAAGGCATTCATTGTGAGTTCTGGCCCCTCTTTTTCTAGAAAAATAGCACTGCATATAACTTTAACACAGCCCTCCATTGCACACTCCTTAAGTGTTTCTGCCAAGCCACAATGTGTCCTCGAACTCTGATAATGCTTCTTCCCTGCTTGGATGATAGAGAGGAGTGTGCAAGTAAATTCACGTATATACTGCTTCATCAACTTTTCTTTCTGGCCTCTCCAACCAACGCATCCATCCCCTGAAAGGTTTGTCTAGCAGGGAACGCAGCTCAATGACTGAAAAGGGTTCCCCCATCCCTGCCACGCTTTTCTCAAATTGATGCCATTCCTTTCTCACACTTATGCAGTGTCTCCCCATCTGTGGAATGCTCTCCCCAGGGAAGTTCACGCGGTGCCTTCATTACGCACCTTTAGGCGCCAGGCAAAAAGTTCCTTTTTAACCAGGCCTTTGCCTGATTGACATCTTATACCCTTTTAAAACGTGGCTCTTTCTTGTGGAGGGGTGTTATTGGGTTGTTGTTTTTGTTTTGGTTATATACCGGTATATTGTGGTTTTTATGCTGATATTTTTGGTTATAGGGTGGTGTGTGTGTGTGTGTGTGTGTGTGTGTGTGTGTATTAATGGCTCTGTTCAACCATCGCTTTAAGTTCACACCATAGAGATCACCCACAGTCATTCAGAGGCACTGAAGGAACTAGTCAGAAATCCCTGGACTGGATCCCACACAAGTCCTTACCTGCAGGCTGTGGTCATGATCTGTGATGGAGAAGGGGAGGGGCCTCTCAAGTCAGAGACTGACAAGAGTAATATTTCCTTTAACGTGAGAAATATCTTATGCACAGTTTTGACTCATGGGGCAGGGGGGGGACTCATGGCTTCTCATCAAGCGTTCCTCCAGTTTCGGTTTTGTTTTCTGATTTCTGTGTCCGTGATGATTTCCTTTCCTTGAAACGGGCAGAGTTCCTCACTTCTCCCTAAGCGCAGCTCAGAGCAGGCAGCGCCAGCCCTCGACGGGAGCCCCGCCGTCTCGCCCGAGGAAGACTTTGAGTTTCGTTTCATTTTCTCTCGCTCTTCTGGACGGGGAATTCCTCCTCCTGCTTTCTTCAGTCCGTTCTTCACAGCCCCACCTCCGCTCAGTCAAAGCAGAAAGGTAAGTCAAGGGACAGGTTGATCTCCTCCACAAGCAAAAGGCTGTCCATGGGAAACACGCTTCCCGTCTGCGTTAGACTCCCTCTCGCAAAAGAGCAACAGGCTCCGGAGGGACCCCACTTCTGCAACAGGTGGGTATTCAGATTAAATGCAGAAGAAGACCAGGATAAATTAACCCGGGTTGGTGTTATTCGCAAGGAACACCTAAAGCTGCATCGAAGTGGAAAGAGGAAATCGCAACACAATTAATTCCACAGCCTGATCTAAACCTAAGGATTCCATGATAGGGTTTCTCATTTTTGGAAACGGAATCATTCTAGATAAACGCTAGATGATGCTTAATCTTGCTTGTTTAAAAACCACATGATTTCCAAGGTCTTTAAAACATAGTTTTTGGTTGTTTGTAGTATGTCTGCTCCAGGTACTTCAGCTGAAATTTTGGAGTGGTTCAGAGCCCATAAAATGGAGATTTCTCTTGCAATTAGAGACCCGTTTCCTTTTCTCTGTGGCCTGCGAGACAAGAATATAATCTCTGAAGAAAATTTTCAGGTGACTATTGTATCTAACTGATGCAATTATTTTCTGCTTAAATTCCTACTTTGTTGCTCAATTCAATTTTTTAACATAATTTTTAATGCATTGTAAATTTGCTGTTTTTAATTGATTATAATTTAGTAATATTTATTGCTATCGTTGAGAGTGAATTTCTGTTTAATTATTATTTGTTGATACTTTGGGAGTGTCGTGCTTTATTCTAAATGATTATCTCATATTCCTTTATTTGATATAAGATATTTATTTTAAGTCACATTTTTATTATGACTTCTTTGTTTTGCACCGGATTGTTATGTGTGTCCTTGTATATTTTGTTGGTTCTTCATATTGTAAACTGTCTTGTGTAAAGCAATATAGAAAGATGGTATACAAATTAAAAGTGAGATGAAATAAATCAGCAACAACTAGGCCCCTGACAACCTTCGAAAACCTCCTCCTAACAACAAAGGGAAACGGTAAAGGGACGGTATCCGCAATATACAAAATACTACTCCATAATCCCGCAAATCCCCTAGACGCAATCAAAAAACAATGGGAGAATGACATAGGCTATGAGATTAACCCCACTCAATGGACAAGAATGTGGTCTAATCCCCCTTTAAATCCATATCAACGAAAAGAAAAGAACTCACACTGAAACTCACCTACAGGTGGTACCTAACACCAAGGAAACTAGCGCTAATACACCCAGGAACCTCACCAAAATGCTGGAGAGGGTGCACCTCCACAGGCACATACCTCCACATGTGGTGGGAGTGTCCCAAAATCCAACTATTCTGGACAACAGCCATACAAGAAATATGTAAAATAACTAAGCAAGTAATAGACATCACCCCAGAATTGGCCTTACTAAACATCTTCCAAGACAACAATGCCCATTTACACCACAAAGAACTCATAACCCACCTGCTCTCAGCAGCCAGAAACACCATAACCAGACACTGGAGAGACCTGTCAGGAGTAAGCATGGACCAATGGTACCAAATAGTATGGGAAACAGCACTACTAGAAAAATTAACTAATAAACTGAAACTGACACGGGGACAAACAGAAGAAGACGCCTTCACCCCGGTATGGCTCCCCTTTATCACATACACAGCCCAACAGGACAATGACAATAATCCACCAACAGCATACAAATCAATATGGCTAACCTGATCCAAAACACCCACCCACCTCACTCACACACGAAAACAAAGATCACCATAGCCAACCACAAATGAACAGCCACACCCTAGGCCAACCCCAACCTCTCTCACCACCAAAGGAACACAAGTGAACAACACAAGCAACGCTGACACCAAACTCTACATACATTAAACATAATAGAAACACCGCCACCCGACCCCACCCCTATCCATCTTCCCTCTCTCCACCCCCCCTTTCTTTTTTCTTTTTCTTTTTTTTCCTTCTCCCCCTAATGCCTCAACAAATGAAATGGATTTGTAAAAATGTTACATGGAAAGAAAAAATACGAGGCACTACACTTCTGTAAAACAAGAAAATCCTTAATAAAATATATATACATGTGGGGGAAAAAAAAAAGTGAGATGAAATGAAATAGCAGCAGCCTGGATAGCTAAATTGGTTAGAACATGGTGCTGATAACACCAAGACTGCAGGTTTGATCCCTGCACAGGACAGCTGCATATTCATCCATTGCAGAGGGTTGGACTCAATCATTCTCAGGGTCCTTTCCAATTGCGCAATTCTACGATAATAATAATAATAATTATAATTTATTATTTATACCCCACCCATCTGGCTAGGTTTCCCCAGCCACTCCCCAAAACACAATACAGCATTTAACATTAAAAACTTCCCTAAACAGGGCTGCCTTCAGATGTCTTCTAAAAGTTGGATAGTTGTTTATTTCCTTGACATCTGATGGGAGGGCAGGCACAGGGCAAGCGCTGCTATTGAAAAGGCCCTCTGCCTGGTTCCCTGTAACCTCACTTCTTGCAGTGAGGGAACTGCCAGAAGGCCCTTGATGCTGATTCTACGATTCCATCCAGGTTGTGGCTTGTTTCTGAAAAAGTGGCCTTGAGTCTTCCTCTGCCATTGGTAAAAGGCATAGGATAGGATGTTAGTGTTCAGAGAAATGTAAGCTGCGCAACGTATTTGAACTTGGCAAAGGAGGATAAAATTACATTGACAATTTCTGCTTCCTTTGATGGTGCTGGGATGATTATCCAAACAATCTGCTGTTAGATCTGGTGGGAAATGGGAAAGTTACTCTGTATTTTCAGTCTAAAAGATGTTTTGAAGACAGAGATTTAAAAACCCTGTATTGTTTCTTTCTAGAATTGTCAAGATTGGGTAACTGCAAATCCAAATGTTATTCAAAGAGTGGTATATTATGTCCTTGAGAACATTCAGGGCAATCTGTCAGCAATAGAGGAGATCTTCTGCAGCAGTAACCTGGCAGCATATCAAGACTTACAGCCACTATATGAAAGCCTAGGAAATGGTAAATCATCTTGTATTGGGGACTAAACCTACCAGTTGAGCCTTAAAGATATATAGCCAAAAAGAAACAAATTCATTCGGATTTGAGGAATGGTATAGTCAATGTTTGAGCCACAAAGCCTTGTTCAAGTCTTTTCCCAGCCATGCATTTACTTTGTTTCAGTCCTTTGCCTGCCACCACAAATGACATACTTGTGCATTAATATATGTATTGAAAATTATTGATAGGCTGGTATTTATTTTGAAATATAACAATGTGGTTTACAAAATAAAACCAGTTTGCCAGAATGATGATAAAACATAAACCAGCATATTCAAAGTTCAGTAAAACTGGTCCTAAGGATCATTGCCCTATGCAAATAGGTAAGTTTTCACCAGCAGGCAGAGCAGCTGCATTCCCCTGTAATGTGGGGGCCACAGTAGAGAAGGCCCTTCTCTGGGCCCCCATAAGATGCACATTTTCTGGATGCAGCACGACTAGTAGGTCCTCTTTTGAGTTGCCGTAAGACACACCATGATTAGAAAGCTTCCAGAGATGACAGCGAGCAGCTTGCCTTCAGACTGCTGTCATTTGTTGGCAGCCCAAAATATGGGAACTGTAACCTTTGACATCTGTTTCTTCATTTCATCTTGGAAAAGGGATGCAAGAGCAAAGTCTGGATTTCCAGGGCACGACACTGCCCGTAACCTGTGGAACAGCACAAGGCATTTTACATACGGATATATTTGCAACAGGTAATCATTTGGAAGAGTAAATGTATAATTACATCTGTTTAAGGGATGCGATACCAATAGCAAATTTAAAAAATGGTGTTTGCATAAATGTGTGGTGTTGGGAGGAGGAGGCATCAATGTGGGTGGTATGTGAGTATTTTTTATTTTCTGGGAATACTTCGAATACTAATATCCTATAAAGCTCTTTAATTATATTCCACTGTATCCTGTGAACCTGGGCAAGCCTAAAATAATTCCATCAGTACCACAATGGTGCAATCAGTGCTTTTGAAATCTTTCCCTATTTATTAATGCATGCTTAAATGATTTTATTTAGCTTTAAATGTTTTGTTTTTGTAACAGAACAGTGTCATGTCGATTCTCTTTATCATTAATGCATTATTCTACATTTATATGTGGCAGTTATCACAACCCATAAATCTGAATGAAAAGTAATTGGCGATTGCTCCCATTTTTTCAAAAAATAAAGAAACAATTTATTGTGACCGTGTACAAGAGGGACAGGGAGGAAAGCAGGTGGCAGGGAGTCTAGCTGAGGTGATGGGCTGGTTCATTCTGAGGGGCCCTGAAGTTTGGCATTAGCCGTGATCAGCCTGAAGTTTCTTTCCGACTTCCACACCACCATCTCTGCTTCTTTCTCTCTTCAGTGAAGTCTGCTGAATGGGATAGGTCAGGCATAGGCAACCTTGGCCCACCAGATGTTTTGGGACTACATTTCCCATCATCCCTGACCACCAGTCCTGTTCACTAGGGATCATGGGAGTTGTAGTCCCAAAACATCTGGCGGGCCGAGGTTGCCTATGCCTGGTATAGGTGCATAACATTAATGAGACTGTTCTGTTTGTCAAAGGAGTTTCAAGAAAAAGTATTGAGGGTCCCAATGGAAAGTGGCTCACACCATCACAATTTGAGAGTGAAGGAGGACGTAAACACTGGAAATGGTGGAGGAGAAGTATCCAATGTGGGACGACTTCATTAGACACATTAATAAAGGTACGCAGTTCACTTGTAACCGCCGTAATTTTAATGCCTCATTTTCTTACTTGGAACTCTAAAGGAATTTCAGATGATACCATTAAGGCTTTACAGATAATTATCCACACATTTTGTTCTCAAAATGAGTATGTTATTTTTAAGCTGACTTGAGTGTGTGTGTGTGTGTGTGTGTGTGTAATGATGAAAACAACAACAATGGTGATGATATTCACAATGATAGCTTCAAATTCTACACTATATAACTGGAGTTACCTTCATAACATCCTCATGCAATAAAGAGGGAGAAGAAAAAAGAGTGAGCAAGAGGAACAGATGGAGCTTGAGTGCTTCATTAGAAACCACAAAGTGTACTTTCCCTGACTTTCTGTTAGTCCCAACCCCACCCTTGTTGACAGGAGGCAAGCAAGGTTGCTTCCTTGTACCTGACAGTGAAGTCAGAGGAAAATGAAATGTAAAACCTACAGAATGATGATTTAATTAGAGCTGGGATTTTTATTTATTTCATTATTTTCATTTATTTCATTATTCATAGGCTACCTTCCATTGCAAATACCAACATATTAAAACATAAAACACTCCAAATATAAAATCATAATACAAGACAACAAGTGTGCAAATTAAGCACTGTGATGCTTTTCAACAGCCGTGCCCATTGAGAAACCTTAGACAGTAACAATTCATTCCCTGCAGAATACATTGTTGTGGGTATTTAAAAGAAGACCACATGCCTAGAAAGCACGGGGCCAGGAGGTTTTGCCTTTGCCCCACTGCTTTCCCCAGAGAAACCCACTCTTTACCGTTAAACTAGAGCAAACAGCAATCCACAGGAATCCCAATTGCCATTTGTTCCAATTCAACCCCAAGCAGCAGGTTTTCCCTGGGGAAAGCAGTGGGACAAATAAGTGTGGATGAGCCCTGAGTCAATTAACATCTGCAGTGGGCTAAGAAACCACTGTTTCACTTCAGGCTCACATGAATGTAATTCAGCAGTTTCACATGGGAACCAACTTTTACATATCATTGTTCATGCATGGCAACTTTAAGGTTAGCAGCAGATTGTCCCAGCGGAATGAAATATTCTCCTACTCTATTTTAAACATATATCTGTAGTAAGGTGTTTAATTTCTTATGAGTTCATTTCCTAAATTCTGGTGATGTTTTGGGATTCTGATTATGCCTCAGAGTAAACCTAATAAATGTGATGTTTATTTCAGAGGGGACTGTTACCTGAGCCACCACAAAATTCCAGCAGGATGACGATGGTAAACATTTCCTTAACAATTTTACAAGATTTAAACTGGCATGTACACAGTTTATTTATTCACTCGTGTATTTAGAGATTTCCTAACTTGCCCTCACCAAAAATGGTTGTACCACAGTTTACACCTAAATAAGGCAATACAAAACATAATATATAACAAAGAAAAACAAAGAGAGAGAGAGAGAGGAAGCTTCAAGTGTGAGTGAGATTTGCATTTCAATAGGCATAGTGGTGGGAGGCTCTTTGCCCATCTTGCTTGCCCAACAAAATGATGGTGGCACATATGAAGGACAAAATCTAGCGCCAATGATGATAACAATGGCTCAATCCCTTATCCAATGATTTATTTATTTTTTACAAAACTCTTACTGTATTGAAACAAGACACGAGGGTGCAATCTTAGTCAAAGGCAGGGATCCTGCTCACAGTTTCTTTGAAATTTCCACTACAACTGCTCACACTGCCAAAGAAGTAAGCTCTGCTTTAAGTTAAGGACTGTCGTACCCTTGGTTCTCAAATGGAATCTGTTCCGGAAGTCCGTTTGACTTCCAAAAACATTTGACAACCAAGGCACAGCTTCCGATTGGCTGCAGGAGCTTCCTGCACTCAATCGGAAACCATGTCAACCATGTCGGACATTCAGCTTCCAAAAAATGTTCGCAAACCTGAACACTCACTTCCGGGTTTGCAGCGTTCAGGATCCAAAACGTTCGAGTCACAAGGCGTTCGAGAACCAAGGTACGACTATAATGGGGTACCTTTCTGGCCATTTTTATCTGGCCTCTTCATGCGGGCCAACTTTGGCAGGCAGATGGGACAATCCATATAATGTCATTATGTCAAAACATTATTGGCAGGTGGGTTGTCTCATCCCACTGCCAAAATCCCTTGATCCTCCACTCGCGGCTGCGGTAGCGGCGGGGTGATCCTTCGCACACAGCTGCGGTGGTGTGATCCTCCGCATGGTGGCGGCTCACAGCAGCGTGCCCAGGAGTGGTGGGGCGGGCCCCCCGTGGTGTGCCTTTTTGTCACTCCCCTCAGAGATGGCCCCCAAGGCAGCATCCCCCCTCCCCCATGCTATGCCCCAGTGTAGCTAGCCAGGGGCATAGGGGGCAGTCCGTACCAGGCAGCGGGGGGGTGGGGGGGTGTAGGGTGGTACGGTGTGTGCTGCATTAGGGGGTTGAGATTCTGTGTGGCAGGGGAGCCTGTGGGTGGCGAGGCTATTCCTGGGCATTTTGGGCAGAGCCACTTCCCTTCCCTGAAATTGGCAGCTGCTGAACAACTCTGGTCTGCCCCAGGCCCTGGTGGGGGTTGCTACATTGCTGAGTATGTCTAGTGATGGAGAGCAGAGAAAGAAACCTATGTTTTGCAGACATTGGAAGCAAATGGGGCTGCCCCACCTATATGGTATAAGGGGCTCAGACAGGGCTTCCCACCACCACCACAAATGTTGGGGGGAGGTTGGATTGAGTAAATGAAGAATGTCCTGATAAAATAAGCTCTGCTTCACATATGCAACTTATAAAAGGAATAAAAAATATATAAAACAGGGGCAGAACCTGAAAAGTCAGTCATGGCCATTTATTAGTGTTACCAGTGGTAGTCTAATCAATAGTGAGTCATTTTACAAGGGAACCTTATCTAAACTCTCTCTGCTTATTTTAGGGTCCAATAAATGTTACTTGTGTTAGCTTCCTGCTCTTCAGGTTGTCACATATGTACTAAACTGAGAAAATAGGAAGATGCTGAGTATATATCATGTAATAAACTGAATATATTTAAAGAATACTACCAGAGGATATTTGTTGCATTAAAATCTGTTTTCAAAAAAATATTCTTTTCCACACCATTGTTTATTTTGATAATCATGATATGTCTGCCAGTTGAATATCCTTTTAAACCACATTTCAGGGCATTTGCCCTCACAAGGTGGGGTACAAGAAACACCACATATTAAAACTCACCCCCCCCCCCATGCATTTTGATAAATTTATTTTTTACAGTGACTGTTTTTTCCTCTTCAGTCTGAACATGATGATGTATGTATTGTAAGTAAGAAAGAAGATTCACAGATATGCTGCAGTTCATTTCCCAGATGCTTTCATGAAGATTGCCATATTCCGAAAATATCTGCTGAGAAAAGGTAGTTTTTCCACCTCAGTTTCTGTATTAAGGTGATCTATGAAATATGCTATACAGTTTCTTTCTGTTTATATGCTATACAGTTCTTTGTGCTTGAAATACTTCTTTAAATAGCCATGTCATTTATTGCTTTCATTGACTTTTTTGTGTTGTGATACTTCTTGCTTTGTTTATAGCATGTCTGCTCCAGGTACTTCAGATGAAATTTTTCAGTGGTTCAGAGCCCATAAAGTACAGATTTCTTTGGCAATCAAAGATACTTTCCCTTTTCTCTATCTCCTGCGAGACAAGAAAAGAATATCCGAAGAAGATTTTAAGGTGATTATTATAGGCATTGAATTTATTTTTTAAAACTCCACCTGGACATGTGAAGTCCATCTAAACTAAGAGTGTGAAATCTTTGTCCTTACAACCAGAAAGGTTTTCTGGGTTATAGGTGGAGCACAGCATGAGAGGCAGTGCAGTATGGTGAACAGGGAGCCAGACTTGGATGCAAAGATCTGGACTCCAACTTCACTCAGTCAGGGTTGGACTAGATGATCCTCAGAGTCCCTTCCAACTTTATGATTCTATGATGAAGTTCACTGGGTGAACATAGGCCATTTGCACTCTCCCAGCCTAACCTTCCCCACAGGATTCTGAGAGTAGCCTCCACTCATCACTCCTGAGTTTCTTTAGGAGCAGTTGGTATAAAAATATTCTAATAACAACAAAAAACATTGCATGGAAGGAGAAACCTTACAAGTTAGTTACGGGTAGGTAGCCGTGTTGGTCTGCCATAGTCGAAACAAAATAATTTTTTCCCCTTCCAGTAGCACCTTAGAGACCAACTAAGTTTGTTATTGGTATGAGCTTTCGTGTGCATGCACACTTCTTCAGATACACTGAAACAGAAGTCACCAGACCCTTATATATAGTGAGAGGGTGGGGAGGGGTATTACTCAGAAGGGTGGTGGGAATGGGTGGTTGGCTGATAGGTGTGGTAAACCTGTTGACGACTGTTAACGACTGCAATTGGTCTTACAGGAAAAAGCAAGAGGTGGCTGAAAATAGCTTTATCATGTATAATGAGATAAGAATCCAATGTCTCTATTCAGACCAGATCTCTCCAAGGTTTTAAGTTTGGTAATAAGTTGTAATTCAGCAACTTCTCTTTCCAGTCTATTTCTGAAATTGTTTTGTAATAAGACAGCTACTTCCTTACTAGTTAGTGGGGGATGTGAGCCACAGGAAAAAACAAAGAAGACTAACCCCATAACAGCAGCAGATTGTGGCTTGTTTCTGAAGAACAAGTGGCCAAATGCCTTGAGGCTTTCTCTGGCATTGATAAAAAGCATAGGAAAGGACATTAGCTGGTCTGAGGGATGCTAATTCTGCAGGGTATTTGAATCTGGCAAAGGAAGATAAAACTGCCTTGACAATTTTTGCTTCCTTTGATTGTGCTGGGATAACCATCCAGTAATCTGCTGTTAGATCTGGTGGGAAATGGAAAAGCTACTTTGCATTTTCTCTCTAAATATGTTTTAAAAGTCTGTATTGTTTCTTTCTAGAATTGGTGTGATAAGGTAACTGCAAAACCAAATGATATTTCTAAAGTGGTATGCGATGTCCTTGAGAGCATTCAGACCAATGTGTTAGCAATAGAGGAGATCTTCTGCAAGGAGAACCTGGAAGCATATCAAAATTTACAGCCATTATATGAAAGCCTAGAAAATGGTAAGTTATCTTGTTTGCTATGCTAAACCAATAAAGTAAGCCTTAAAGATAGAAAAGTCATCAGCATTTACTGAGAAATGGTACAGTCTGTCTTTGGGCCACAAAATCCCGTAGAAGCCATGCATTAACTTTGCCTCAGCCCTCTGCCTGTCTCCTGGGATATAATAATAATAATAATAATAATAATAATAATAATGTATTTTGTTTACTTTTTCCAATAGATTGCCTTTTATTGTGAAGAATAGCAAGGTGGTTTGCAAAGTAAAATGAGTACACTAAAATAATTAAACATGAACCAGAATATTCAAAACTCTTTACTAAGTCAATACTAAGAATTAATGTCTAGGAATGTCTGTAGTTTTTACCAACCAATGTATGTATATTTTTATGAGCTGAATAGAGTGAAAGATTATCAGTCATTGGGGTGTGGAGAGTGTGTGCATGAACTTAACAGTGATTAGTTTACTTTTTGGTTGCTTTTTGAAGTAGAAGAGTTTGGATTTGATATCCCGCCTTTCACTCCCTTTAAGGAGTCTCAAAGCGGCTAACATTCTCCATTCCCCCCCCCCACAACAAACACTCTGTGAGGTGAGTGGGGCTGAGAGACTTCAGAGAAGTGTGACTGGCCCAAGGTCACCCAGCAGCTGCATGTGGAGGAGCAGAGACGCGAACCCGGTTCCCCAGATTACAAGACTACCGCTCTTAACCACTACACCACACTGGCTCTCAAGAGCCAGTCTCAAGAGTGGATTGAAGAAGATGTCAGTAATAAGAGGCCCTGGGCCAAAGTAGACTTCTGAAGAGCTGCTACCTGGGTCTCTCAGTAGTTCAGAAAATAGCACTTGCGGTAACAGACCTTGCTAGATCAAGCATCGTCCTCTAAGGGCGTACAATATCCTTTTACTAGTATAGCTGGTGATGCCAACTTAGAAGAAATCAAACCAAGCACTGTTAAGATTGTGCCAACCTTACACCTGAACTTTACTTGAGGCTCTCAGCTCTTTTATAAGCTTCAAATAATTTACAATTCATTTTAGCCATTTAATTTAACATTAAGGTGGCAATGCCCTTGTTTTCCTAACACGTGTCCTCTTCAGTTCTCCAGCAGGCTCAGAATAGTTCTGCCGCAGTACCTGGGAGCAGCAAAGTACTCCAGGGAAAAATGAGGAAACATGCGTCCCCTGGGAAGCAACAAAGTGAGTTCAGTAAAAGTCCGTAAATGAGGGACAGAGCATCCTGTTTCATTACCACATTCTTGATTATTTGTGCTAGTAAAGCTAGCAGGACAGTCACATGTAATCTTGCTTTCAGTGAGTTTGTGCCTGCAAAGGTTTGGGGCAGTCACAGTGTTTTGTTTTCACTCTGACGTGAATTCACACTTCGTACCACATCCTCTTAGCAGGATCAATAATCTGGTAAGACCACTGTCATTCTCTGGAAGGCCAAAACATGGGTATTGTGACAGCTGACATACATTTCTTGATTTCATCTAGGAAAAGGCATGCAGAATAATGAAATACAAGATTTGAGTGTTGAGGTCCGAACACTGAAAGTATGCTGTGGAAGAAGTAAAGGTGTTTTCTATAAGAATAGATTTACAGCAGGTAACCATTTTGTTGGAATAATATAATTATACATGGGATTGCATCTGCTAAAGGAATGTGATACTAACAGCAGATGAAAATATTTTGGTTGTGCAATAGCACAAGGCCTGGCCATGTTGCCCAGAATGCCTGGCTTTGAGAAGAAGGAGCCTCTTGGGCTTTTCTCCGTGTCCAAGTGCAAAGGAGATGTTGGAGAAGACCTGCTTAAGCCTCATACTGAGATTCCTTCCCAGCATTCATTCTAGGGCTGTGTCCCTCTGATCTGCCCCATAGCTCTGATTTGGGAGGAGGGTGTCAGGTTGACCCACCTTGGATCAACATTGGGACCCCCACCCCACCTAGCATTTAAGATGCTTGCAAAAAGCACAATGCAGCTGCAGGATCATAATCCTGCTCCTTTGCAAGTGGCTTCTCTCAGAAAGCAGGCTCAGGTAGCAGGCTCCTTCCTAATCCCAGAAGTCAGGGTAAGTCAGGGTCTTTTATTGTGATTTTCCTGCATGATGTCCACCTCTCCTTTCTGCCTAATGCCCCACCCCTTGACAACCACTGATTGCTCTGGGCCATGCAGCCTGGCCTGTAGTGATCTGTGTTTGTTGCTATCTAATTCGTCTGATGCCAGAGTCCCTCCTAATATGACAGTTTTGGCCCAAGACTTGGCCAACTCTGGTGCACAGCCCTAGTTCATGACACAATCTTTGTTCATATCTTTTTTCCTAAGTAGATATTAGAAAAGAATCTCCTGTTGGCCAAACTTCTTTCTCTCTTCAGTGAAATTTGCCAGATGGGATAAGTGAGCCACATTGATGTGACTTATCTGTTTGTCATAGGTGTTTCATGGAAATGTATCAAGGGTTCCGATGGAAAATGGTTCACACCATCAGAATTTAAGGCTAAAGGAGGATATAAAAGTTCAAAAGACTGGAGAAGATGTATCCGCTATGGTGGGATTTTCTTAGAAACATTAATAAAGGTATGCAGTTCACGTATAATAATCTGTTAAAAAATCAGTTTTTACTTGTAATGCCAAAGAATTTCAGGTGATAACATCAAGGCTTTCCAGTTATCCACAAATTGTATTCTTATGACTGGTATAATATCCTGCATCACGTGTGAATAATTTTCATGCACAGTTGTTGCATGAAAAAAACATTATTCAAGTATGGCCACCTTAAGATCAGTAGCAAAGTGTCCTGGCAGAATGACATGTCCTCCTACTGACTTTTAAACAATGATATATAGTAAGGTGCTACTTATGGTTCTAATTTATTTTGTGTTCATTTTGAGTGCCTCAGAGTTAACCCAATACATGTGATTGTTTCAGTGGGGAGAAATACTGAAGCCACAACCGGAATCCTCAAGAATGCAGAAGGTAAATAATTACTAGACATTCTTACCAGATGGTTGTGTTTTCCACATATACGGCACACACATGCACACACATCATTCCTTAAGATATTTCTGTGCCTCCCTGTTGCACAACCAGTCAGATGTCCTGCCCAAGGCAAATGGCTTGACCTGACCTCATGGATGGGCTTCACACATGCAGCATATGAGGGGAGGAAATCCAAAACAGGCAACAGAGAGATCCTCTTTACTCGGAAGATGAAATGCCAACCATGGCCATTACTAGTGCTACCAATGGCAGTCTATCAGTGGTGAGAGCATTTACAAGGGGACACTTGATTACACACCCTCACCTTAGGGCCCAAGAAACGTTGCATGCGTTAGCTTCCTGCACCTCTCGTTTCCACAAAAAAATATTGAATTGAGAAAAGAGGAAGGATCACATTTAAAGGAAACTACTAGATGTTATCAGTTGAAGCAAAAATAAAAAAGTCTGTTTCAAATTATTTTTTCTTCCCCACACCATTACATGTTTTGATGAAGTTGATATACCTGCCAACTGTATATTCTTTATTAAAGTATTTTTAAACCTCCTTTCGGGGAATATTGACAAGAAATACCACATATTACAACCTCTGTCTCTCTCTTACACACTCTCTTATGCTTTCGGTAATTTTATTTTTCACAGTGACAGGAGTTGTTGTTTTTTCTTCTTCTCCATTTCAGCCAGATGACCTGTGTGCTGTGTGCTGTGTGTGCTGTGAGGAGAAAGGTCACTGATACACTGCAATTCATGTCTCAGATCTTTTCAGGAAGATTGTTGAGAAAAAGCAGTTCACTTCATGTCTCATTAGCAGAATGCAAAGTTGGTTTTTGACAGGCGATGGTAAAATAGAACTAAATCAAGCAATGGTCTCCATATATATCAAAGTGAATGCTATGATTTCTTCTCCCTTTAGGGTTTGGTAATTTCAGTAGATGGGAAAGTAGTGGAAGTTAAATTTGTTAAGAAATTTTGGGAAGTGTTTTCTATTCTGTAAGCAATTACTTACGTTCCGTCTTCAGACTTGTGAGCCATCCATCCCAAAAGGTGCTAACTTGCTTGCTGTTTTTAAAACCTCTTAACTTTACCCTATGCTTTCATTTTAAAGTTAAGTGTCTATGACCCAGATAGACTGAAAACTTAGCAGTAACCTTGATACCAAGCCAAAATGTCCTTAGCAACTCTGTTTAGTGACAGCATAATTGAAAGGATGTGCATATGTGTATGCATTCGGAGGGGTTTTTTGTTTGTTTCCACGGGCTAAGAACAAAGAACTGAGCTTGGGGCTGGTAAATGAGAGGTGTGAAGAATCAAGCTGGAACTGTGATGCAAGCAAATCTGGACTTTGCTGCTTGCACTGGCCTCATGAAACGAGGAGAGGACAACATTAGGACAACCCTGGATTTGGGCAATGGATTTTGCTGCTTTTGCAACATTATGGGATTCTGGATCCTGTTGGAGAGGACGTTGCTTCCCATCTTTGTCTATGTAAAACCTCTGTCTCAGTGTCATTTGGGAGAAGGCTACCCAGCAAACCTCTATAGACAGGACCAGGGCTAGACATTTGACACCTGAGGCAAACCACCAAATGGTGCCCCCCACCCCCCGGCCAGGGAAGAAGGGGTGAGTGAAGATGTACACCAGGAAGAAGTGGGGAATAAATATTGACATTGGGATCTGCTACGCCTGTGGATCCTGCCGCCTGAGGCAGTCATCTCACCTGACCTCGTGGATGGGCTGGCCTTGTCCATAGCGGCAAATGTGTCTGCAACACCTTCTCATGCCTCAGTCTTTTTCTATTTTTGCTTGTTGCAAGGATCACTGACCGGGATCCTTTGTATGTATAAGTATCACTCCATCCTTGGTATGTGTATGGATTAGGGTTAGTCTGCTTAGATAGGATGACTCCTTCACTCCAATTTTTATTTACCCTTTTCCAGGGTAAATCTCCACAACAGAAAGGATGCCCAGTCTGTAAATGTTTGATCAGGAAATAAAGCTTTTCAACTTTTGTCTGGCTATTTGTCTATATACTTCCTTGCAAAGAGAGATCCTGAATTGTGTGTCTGAGGCCTGATCACCTTGGCACACACAGCATTGCTGTTGTTTTAAAGTTCACAATCCAGTTCTGACTCCCAAACTGGGTCATAACAATATGAGCCCAAGGCATGCTCTTATGCACCACCTTCTGCAGCTTAATCTACACCTTATGTCTTCAACCCACAGGCTGAAGGACCTACAGTGGGTCATCAGGACCCACATCTGGGTTGTGAAGCCACATCAGGTGGGTCACGACAAAGCTCACCACACCACCATGCAAATCTGCAGCCTTCTATTCTCTTTCCTATGTGAGGGTTTCCTCCTCACTTTGGACTGCTCCAGCTTTGCCACCCTCTGTTGGAACCATGCTGCTTGCCTTTGGAAGAGGCTAGCCATCCAATTTCAGCAGCCTCACTGAAACAGTGTCATGGAGAGCAGGCTGTGGTGGGAAGATGAGAAGCCACAGGTCACTTTTCTTCTCCATAGGAAAGAGCAGCTGGAATCAAAAAGAAGATACAACTATTAAAAAGGGTAAAAGGTTTGACCAACAATACATTAAATAGTGGCTCCCATCTACTGAAAAAACAACAACTATGTACCAACCACATATGAGATGAGTGCTAGCATTATTAGGCACGTTATAATCAACAAATTATGTTTCTGGAGGAACAAAGAAGATCATTATTAGTAGTTTGTCTTGTTTATCCACAAGACCTGTGAGTGCATGACTATACACAGTCCAGGGACAAAAATGTGTTGTCTTAAAAGCTTTTCTCAGTGTTGCATGTGGAGAGGTGACGTTGACATTTGAAGACAAGTAAACGCAAGCAGAATAAACAGGCTACACTGGCTCACTCTCTGGGATGTGAGAAAGTCTTATGATACAATTTACCCTAAATTCAGCATCACTGAAAGGTGCTTCCAGTCTTCAGCTAATCTCAGTTTTGCCTGGATGTTATTCACACTTTGCCCCAAGGAGGTATTTCCCCTCAATTTGGACAATGGATGGGGAACTTTAGGCCAGGGGACTGACTGTGGCCCTCTATGCCTTTCAATCTGGCCCTCTGGACTTTCCCCAGCCACACCCCTTCTCCCTAGATGACACTGCCTCCACACTCTTTTAGAGTTAAACATATAACTCCGTTTAAACATATAACCAATTTAAATACAGTTAAACACAATTTAACACTGTAACCCCAGAAGTAAGTGTTCCAGTTTGTGAACTTTTTTTGGAAGCCGAACACTACACTTAAAAAAAAAAATATTTAAAACAAGTTTAATAACTTCATCTGACAATTAATTAACCTCAACAATTCAACATACACATCCACATCCACTACACAGCGTCGAGTTCAGTTTTGTTGCGTTTGTTGACTGAACTAAAAAGTTTCAATACGTATTATGGTTTTTTTTTCAAAAAAGTGTTGTGAGCCCAATTTGTTTTATTTTAAAAACACATATTTTTGCCATTTTGTCACCCCCCTCAATGATGACACCCAGGGCGGTCTACACCCACTGCAACCACTTGTGGAACTCAAATCAGAAGCATAACACTCAAATCAGAAGCATCCACTCAAAACGAAGCACGTTCAGCTTCCGAACCAAGTTTGCAAACCGGAACATTTACTTCCGAGTTTGCAGTGTTTGGGTTCCAACGGTAGGATTCTGTTGTGCAAGCAAATGCATAAGCAAGTTGCTGGTAACTTTGCGGTAAAACAGATTGCAGAATCAGTTGCACAACAAGTTTCCACTAGTACAGCTGTTGCGTTGGATTTCTCTGTTAGGCAACATTAAAACTCAGCAGTCTATTACAGCAAGATCCCTTGATCTAGCAGAGAGAGAATCATGGATGCAGCCCAATAAGTGGAGCTTAGGTCTTCATGAATTTTTCAGAGTACCAAAAAATAGCATCACTTCCAAATACGTGCTTCAGTATCACAGCTATTCAGCCATATGACTTTAGTGTGTTTTGGGTGTAAGAAGTGACTTAAAATAAAATCATCAATGTCTAATCAGCTGATACCCAGATGTTGTTCTCTCTGTTTAGATGGATGTAACTCCATATCTTCATCTTCCTCACAACTCCTCTTGTGGCGACTTGGTGTGTAGGATGTTGAAGGGCAAACTTGAGCTTGGCTGGCACTAGTGTAGGCGTAAATCTCAAGTTAAGGACAATAACGGTTAATGATGTGATCTACCCAGCATAATTTGATCTGGTATTTCAACTGTACGGAATGATTTAAAATAAAAGATGACGGAGAAACAAGAACTATTCTGTCATGGGATGCGTGCAACAAAAGAATATATTCCACATAATAGTGCTGTGTCACACATTCTAAGTGCAAATGTATCATACCTTTAGCTATGCATATTCTCTCACCACCATTTGGGAGGGATATTTTTTCTTTGAGTGGTTCTACAGAGATAGAGGACAACTACAGGAAAGGGAAAGGCCACACTTCTGTGGTACAGTCTCCGCTTTACATACAGATGATCCCAGGCACTCAGAATGGAAGTGTGGCTCTCAAATCGGAAGCGTAACACTCAAAATGGAGCACGTTTGGCTTCCGGAAAAAGTTTGCAAACTGGAACACTTACTCCGGGTTTGCAATGTTTGGGTTCCAAGTTGTTTGAGTACCAAGTCGTCTGAGAATCAAGGTACCACTGTATGTGTCTAATGTGCTACATCCTTGGGAATCATGATACAGTACTAATTCCTAAGTCTTTAATCTCTCTCACTTTATCTGTCTTACAGTGCTGGTTTGTCAGTACTGTAAATGATCCCACTATAGAAGAACTTGCTGAAGAAGCTTGACACAGACAAGATTGACATACTGGTGCTTGTCAAATCATTTGACTGTGATGGAAAGAATGGGACACAGTTATCACTGGCTGCAGATTCAGCCTCTTCTGTTTGTTCACACTCAGGGTAAAGGTAAAGGGACCCCTGACCATTAGGTCCAGTCACGGACGACTCTGGGGTTGCGGCGCTCATCTCACTTTACTGGCCGAGGAAGCTGGCGTACAACTTCTGGTGTGATGGCCTGGGACTCGGGGTCAGACTCGGAGCCAGAGGAGTCTCAGTCCGCAACGGATCCTTTGCCTCAGGCAGCAGCTGAACCTAGTCTGGGGCCTGATTCTGGAGAGCCCCAGTCTGCACAGGTTCCCCTGCAACAAGCACCAGCTGGGCCGAGTCAGGGGCCTGAGCCTGCCTTGGCTCCAGATGCGGGGATTACCTTGTTGCCTTCAGCTGGGCAATCACTTACAGCTGCTCTACTACCAGTTGGGTCAGGAGAGGCTGAGGCGGCCTCTGGGTCTAGTAACCCGCCAACATCTCCCAAGCTGCAGAGACTGGGGTCTGAGAGAAGGAGAGACCTGAGTACTCGCAGGAGGAGTGCTTGCCTTCAGGCGAGATAGGGAGGGGAGTCACTGGGGGATCAGGACTGGTCATTACCCCAACAGAGATAAAAGGCTGCTGGATCCCACCCCAGGTTGCGAGAGCAACATTGCTGTTTGCCAGAACCTGTGCCTGACCTTGCCTGGTTTCCTGCCTCATGTCCTGCCTTGGCCCTGTCGGACTGACTCCTTGCGGAACCCTTGGATTCGGGACTGGACCTGGACCATGTTACTCCGGTTACCCCTGGGCCCAGCACATCTGGGTCATGTGGCCAGCTTCTGGCGAACCAGAGCAGCGCATGGAAACGCCGTTTACCTTCCCGCCGGAGCGGTACCTATTTATCTACTTGCACTTTGATGTGCTTTCGAACTGCTAGGTTGGCAGGAGCTGGGACCAAGCAATGGGAGCTCACCCCGTTGTGGGGATTCGAACCACCAACCTTCTAATCAGCAAGTCCTAGGCTCTATGGTTTAACCCACAGTGCCACCCGCATCCCTCACAGTCAGGGTACTAGCATGTTAATGGATTCACGGCTGTACTGACACATTCTTCAGCCAGTGAGAAAGCTGAGAAGACTTCCCCACACCCTATTTCCCAGATTTTCAATTACTTGCACTCACACATGTATTAGGCATCTGAAGTTGGGAGGACTGTAGTGTGTTCTAATGCTGATGCCTTTTGGGGGGGTCCCTACTTCTGTGGCTGAAAAGAAATTAAGCAGGTGAAGTGAAGCTACTCCTACCATTTAGGTTAATGCCTGAAAAAGCTTCACTAGTTAATTTTTTGCATGAGCCTGTTAGGATGTGCAAAACTAGCTTCTTTATTTTAACGACCTTTTCTGTATTTCCTGACTATATTATTGGATAACTGTAGGAAGGTAGCAGAATGGCTTTAATACTCCTGCTATTCGAAAAAGGCTGTTGTGCATATATAATATTTTCTTTCCAGACCTTAGAACAGCTGATCTGCATTATAACAGAAAGCCAGCACATTCATGACTGCATCTTGCATGCATAAAGGCACGTACAATATCACTGGTTGACCAACAATTGCATTCTCTAGTCCCCATTGCATTCTCTAGTTCCCATATGAAAAGCAGTAGTGAAAGCTGAAAAGCATTCTTTCTGTTCCTTGAGCTTTGTCTGTTTCCTGATGACACTTCCTGCAAGAGATGTTTGTATAGAAAGTCTGCTAGTTTCGTTCCACCCCTTTGCAGTTTTGCAAAACAGTGATTACGGTAAACTTAACACATTCTCTCTCTCTCCCCCTTTCGCCTTTTCCTCATTACAGGGAAGGACTTCTTCCACTCAGGTGTGTTTTTGTGTAGAAAGCTTGCTAGTCTCATGCCAACTTTTTGAAGTGATGCATATCATTATCTGAGCTTGTGCATGTTATGGCATATCAAACCACATCTGTTGTTTTTTTTTTAATCTGACTATCCTACACACATATAAGCCTCCAGTTGCTGATAACTTCTCCAGCAAATGCCCAAACATTTACACATCCTGCTGCTGATCATTTGTTTTTCGATGGAAATTTAGTTTAATAAAGTTGGATGTAAGGATATTTGTCCGCAGCAGTGGAAGAATAATACAGTGGTACCTCGGGTTACATACGCTTCAGGTTATATACGCTTCAGGTTACAGACTCCTCTAACCCAGAAATAGTACCTCGGGTTAAGAACTTTGCTTCAGGATGAGAACAGAAATCATGCAGCAGCGGCGCGGCGGCAGCAGGAGGTCCCATCATAGCTGTCAAGTGTCCCTTATTTGAAGGGAAAGTCCCTTATTCCAGCGCCACGTCCCGCTGCTGTCCCTTATTGATGGATGTCCCTTAAATGTCCCTTAAATGATGTCCCTTAAATTTCAAAGGAAGCAGCTCCTTTCCCTCCCTCCCTGCCGGCCAGGGAGGAGGGAGGCTCCAACTGTGTTGCTTGGCTGTGTTGCTCACCCAATAAGAAGTCTAAGAACGACTGGGGGGTGGAGCTTGCATGCCTTGTGTGTGGCTAGTTAATGCAAGCTGAGGGGTTTTTTGAATGCTGGGCGCCATTTTGTTGCACGTGCTGCTGCAAACTTTGCAGTGCAAAGCCAGGCTGGGGAGCCATCTTAAGTTGAGACTGCATAGGCCTTGTGGTGCATGTGATTCATATTCTATTCAGTTGAACCTCTGGTTACAAAGTTGGTTGGACAGTGTTCTCGAAGCTACCAGCATGAGTTTGACCAGACTGCAGGAGGACAGGAAGACTGGAGTGCCTGGAACAGGTGAGGCTGCAGGTCCCTTATTTTGGCTGCTGGTCCCTTATTTTCAAATCTGTAAGTTGACAGCTATGGGCCCCATTAACTAAAGTGGTGCTTCAGGTTAAGAACAATTTCAGGTTAAGAACGGACCTCCGGAACAAATTAAGTTCTTAACCCGAGGTACCAGTGTAATAACATCAGGCCTACCCAGAATAGACTCACTGAAGTGAATGAACACAAGTTAGTCATGCCCTTGGCTCTACTCAGAGTAGGACTAGCATTGAATACCACCCCTAATTTCAGCTTATTTTTACTCTCCTTTATCATTTCAGAGGACTTTTGCTAATGGGAAACTGCAGCGAGGTTAAAAAAAGAAAAGGTAAAGGACCACTGGACGCAACTGGCATGCTGACAGAATCTGGTAATTGCGAACACATTATTCCCAGGTGTCTGCCTGTTAGCCAGAAGATTGGTGGTTCAAGCCCATCCATGGTTGGACAGCTGCGGGCAGGATTCCTGTATTGCAGGGGCCTGAACTAAAGTTGACCCTTGGGGTCCCTTCCAACTCTACAATTCTATTGTAAGATGTAAAAAAAATTCCAGGTTACAAGGCAGACAATAGGTATTTACATTCTCTCATCCAGTGATCCATCTCCTACCTGCTCAATACATCAGAAGGGAAAAACATGCAGAATTAGCCGTAACAGAATTGCAGAATTGATGTGTATGTACTAGGCAACCTAGAATGCTGCATGCCAGTGCCAATAAAACATTGCACCAGAAAGAAATGAAGTATTCTGCAGTGCAAGACATGGTCAGGGAGTGGATTCACAAGAGTGCTTAATTATTAGCACTCTTAATTATATTAGCAAAGCCTCACAATACTTCACCTGTCTTTTCCCTCACTGTCGGAGCATCTAAAAAGTGGTAAAGTTGGTGGTAGGTATTTTTCAATGCATGTTAAAGTGTGGTGATGTCATATGTTATGCATTTTGTGTTTTTATGCTGTAAGCTGCCCTGCAATTGTTGGATGAAGAGTGGCATAAATTTAATAAATGATAATGATAATAATAATAATAATAATGATAATGATAATAATGATAATGATAATAATAATAATAATAATAATAATACCATGTTTATTCTGCTTGCATTTACTTGACTTCAAAAACCTCCTTCACCTTCCCTCATGCAACACTGACCAAAGTTTTTGACATCATACATTTTTTTCCTGGATTGTGTACCACCACATACTCCCAGGACTTACAGGAAAACACACACACAAATAGACAGGCATAGAAGGCAGCTGTGTCTCCTACCACCACTACCACAGCCCACTCCCCAGCCTTGTGTTTGAAGAGTGTTGGGTGAGATTCTAGCCCTGGATTGGAAAGTAGAGTTCTCAGTGAACAAAGTATAGCTCTCTATCCCCTGTCACCTGTCCCTTGTATTTTCCTTATACAGTGGTACCTCTGGTTACGTACTTAATGCATTCTGGAGGTCCGTTCTTAACCTGAAACTGTTCTTAACCTGAAGCACCACTTTAGCTAATGGGGCCTCCCGCTGCCACCGCACCGCCGCCGTGCGATTTCTGTTCTCATCCTGAAGCACAGTTCTTAACCCGAGGTACTGTTTGTGGGTTAGCGGAGTCTATAACCTGAAGTGTATGTAACCTGAAGCGTATGTAACCCCAGGTACCACTGTATGGTGGTGTAATTAATAATTGCAACACTTTGGAGACCATTCTGAGATCTGGATCATAACAGATTGCTCCATATTTAAGTGATTCAGTTTGCACATAGCTTTGTCTACCAAATTCAGGTCTGGCACAAATCAAATGAGTTCATTATTTGGTATTCAGAATGATCAGTTGCACAGTGCTAGCGTTTATCCTACAATTAATTTCTGCGGGGAGGATGCGTTCAAGAATTCAGTGGTGGCTACAGATTTAAGGCACCTTAATTGGAAGCATTTCCATTTCCATTTCGTTAAAGTACTTTGGAATTCGTAGCTTGTGAATTTGCTAGTTCACTTATTTAAAATGTCTATGTTATTATCATTGTTACTTCAAATTGTAGAAATGCATAATTCATTTTTAAATATTTTATTTATATTCCCCACCACCACTACTGTAGGACTCCTAGGGGCATTATATACAGGAAATGAAAGGGGAAAAAAATGTAATTATCAATTGGTGCAAGAGACACAAAATAAATGCATCACCCATATCACCTTTGACCTTTTCATATTTCTGAGTTACCAATCAATAGGTGTCCTTGCATTTTGATATTAGATGCATATAAAATAAAGTTTGTCCAGATGGCAAAATTTTATTTATTTATTTCAAGAATTTACATATGCTTAACTACAATAGTCTCTAAGTGGTTTACAAAGATGCAGTACAAAAAAATAAAAATCAATTGAAATTATAATTGAAACTTCAGTTAAATTGCCCACTGTTTCAAGTGGTGTTAATTATCACTAAGGATCAGGCAGGGGTACTATAAAACAAAACAAAAAACCTTTATTTAAGCAAGTTTTAACTCCTAAGTCTCTGACCCTCCTGCTCTCTCTACACTTTCTGTGCTGAATCGCTTTCTGGTAGCTGTTCCCTTAACTTCTGCCTTCCCTCTATCACTAAGTCTCTCTCTCTGCCTGCTGTCCTAACTCTCTTACTTAGTTTCATGTACATTGATACACCCACTGGATTTTTTTTTAATAGAAATGCAGTATGTTCTGGAAGTTCAAGAGAGGGGAGGTTGTCTGACCTCAGCTAAAAGGGAGTTCCATAAAATTGGACCCAGAATACAAAATGCACATGTCCTAGCGAATCCAAGCCATGCATCTGTGCCATGCCATTAACAGTGACTCCTGAAGACCACACTGATCAGGCAGAGATATAAGGGATTAGGTGGTCCTTGAGGCATCCTGAACCCAAATTGTTAAGAGCCTTGTAAATTTTAGGTTTCACCCCACTTATGTGGAGGTTATGTTCTGGGCCCTCGTGCAGTTAGGGCTGCCATATTTCAAGGAGTAAAAATCTGGACACCCCTAAAGCTGTTGAGGTTTTTTTAAGGAAAACCCCAAATTGTTGAGCCGAAAGTTGTTGAGTCTATTTCCCCCTGCTCTCCTGCACACTCTCTCTCTCTCTTGAAGGAATGATTGCTGGGTGTGGAACACACTTCCACCCGAAGACAGGCCTCAGCTGTCTGACCGCGTGACCTTCGGGTGTGGAGCACACTTCCATCTGCAGACAAAGCCACAGCTGTCTGAACATCATGCCCTCTATCTAACCTTTACTCTTAGTGGTCTGGCGTGCCCTGTCTGTGACCTTTGTCTCCTTCATCACACATTCTTCAAGGGGAAAATGACGCGGTGGAAACAGGTGCCAAAATAACTTTGAACCACCCCTCGATCTCGGGATTGGAAGATGTGTAAAGGTCACAGCCCAAAATGTATCTGACTGGTTTTACATATTGTGCTAATAAAAGGAGCCTCTACAGAGCTAGCCGGCAGCTTGTCTTGAAGCATGCTTGCCAGCGTGCTTCTGCACAGCTCACCTGCATCCAACCTCCTGTCGTCCTCCGTTATTCCTACATCTCTCTCTCTCCACAACTCTCTCTCTTCAGCTAGAGTTGGGACTGGCTGGAGACTGGAGGATAGGTTGGAGGCTGGATGCAGCTGCTGTTAGGTAGCCTAAACAAAGCTCCACATCTTAACACTCTTTGGGACTTCCTCCACCTTCACTTATGTCCTCTTCAGGCTTCGAAGAGAGTCTCCTGGTGAGCCATGAGGACTCTCCAGCTCTCTCCCATCCTTTCCTGGCACGATTCCATTTATATTATTTTCCAGCACCACACATATACAAGGTCACGTGTAATTGGCACACACATAAGAGGGGGATGCCTGCATTATAAGAATATTGATCCTGGCCTGCTAGCATATGGACAGCCACTGCAGACTTTTGAGCACTGCAGTTATTGGGGGAGATAATCTGTTCCCCTCAACAATCTAGCACTAGCTGCAATGTTTTGCAACAGCTGGAACCTCTGAACCTGCTTTTCTCACCTTGTCCACAGCTAGTGTTGTGAGGTGAGAGTGGGATTAAGCCAGTGCATTTTTTCTGGGGGGGACACAGGGGTATCCATAACCCTAAACATTTTGTGAATCTAAGTTTGGCCTCATTCAGGGGCAGTGTTTCAATAAGAGTAGGAAAATGAGAGTACCTCTAAACATTTTTTAAGGGAAAAAAGCGCTGGATTAAGCTAAGGAAATGGAAGAAACCATTGCTATGGCCATGTTATAAATCTGACTCTTTAGCCAAATAATTTGAATACATAGAATAAATTTTCCCTGTACTTCCTGAAAACCCACCTAAAATCCCCATGGCAATTCAATTTCTAAATCCTAAAGAATGCAGGTAGCATTATGTATCCTCCTGAGTAATAAAAATGAAGTTATACATATATAAAGCACCATTTTTAAAATTTGGCATGAAGTATTACTTATACAGAAATCCAATTTTTACATAATGCATGGAAAGTTGGTTAGCTGAGAAACTGGCCCACATGTCTGAAAACCGATGAATTTAAAAAATTTGTTACGGAATAGAAAACACTTCCCGAAAGCTATTTTCAAATTCAGCTTGCAGTTCTCTTCCATATTCCACCATGTCACTGCCCTAGAAAAAAAATTTAAAATGTTCACTTTGATATGTGTGGAGCTTGTTGCTTTATTTGTTTAAATTTTACCATTTTGCTTCAAAACACTTACAACAAGGGAAGCTATGTATTTAAATATTTCTGCTGTCCTGCTCTACCAGACTATTCAGGTTCTTGTTGGCAACTTATTCACCAGTGCAATGAAATAGTAGATTCTCAGTGATTTATACAGATGACTCTCACTTTACACCGGGGTTACATTCTGAGGATAGAGCATAAAGCCAAAATCGTGTATAGTCAAAACACATTGGGTTCAGTGGCAGGTGGGATTACCAAAGTATTTCCCCCCAGATGCCTACCTCCTATTAATTTCTTTGTATTATTTGTTGTCAAGTGCATAAAGCTTAATGCACACAAGTTACGAGTTACTTTTACTGTAAAAACCACAGACATTCACCAAGCTTTTAAAGACAAAAGGGGTTCCAGGTGGCAGTGGTGGAGAAACGGGAGTGCGGTGGGGGCAGACCACCCCGGGTGTCACCACTGGGGGGTGACAAAATGCCGGGCAGCACTCACTGTGGGGCCTGCAGCATGCCCGAGCCACTCATCTCTCCTGGGAGTGACACAGTGGCTTGAGCACCCGCAGGCTCCAACCTGCCCGCTGCCTCCCCCTCAGCTGTAGGGCGGCTGAGTGAGAGAGGAGGAAGGCAGACTCCTCAGAGACCCTGAGGTGTGTCCTGCTCCAGCTTGCGCCGCTCTAGGCGCCTGATTGGCTTGCTCCGCCGCTGCCAGGTGGAATTCTTGGGAAATGCATGAGGATAATAATAATAATAATAATAATAATAATAATTTATTATTTATATCCTGCCCATCTGGCTGAGTTTCCCCAGAGCGGGCCCTCCAAGTAGGCCCTCTACCAAGGCGGCCCTCTGCCTGGTTCCCTGTAACCTCACTTCTCGCAGTGAGGGAACCGCCAGAAGGCCCTCGGCGCTGGATCTCAGTGTCTGGGCAGAACGATGGGGGTGGAGACGCTCCTTCAGGTATACAGGACTGAGGCCGTTTAGGGCTTTAAAGGTCAACAGGAACACTTTAATTGTGCTCGGAAATGTACTGGATTGCTGACTATGAGACACTGTGATCATTGTGAGAGAGGTTGTGAGCATGTGTGAGGGAGGAAGAAATGGAAAATGGATTAAATCACCTTTCACTTTTCCCTACCCTGATTATTTTGTTTTTTATTTCAATTAGAATGGAAATATAATTTTACCTCCTCTACTCACTCCTCATCTTTAAAATGCACTGGCAAGGAATTGTAGGGGAAAGAGAGACTGGAGCTCACCTCATAAAACTTATGGAAATTTTTGAACATCAGGCGCATATCTCTTACGAAATCTCCCACTGCGTTGTATTTTTCTTTATGCAACTTCTCTGCTATGCGCTTGAGCCACATGGGTCTCTTTATGACGGCATTATAATTTTGTATCTGTTAAATCAGCACATCAGAAAAGAATATTTGTAGAATTTCCGGCAATTTCAACTCAGGCACTTGTAACATTTTAAAGAACCATTTCTGCATCAATGTCCCAAATATTGTAGTCAACAAGACTTACTGTAGCTGGATTGTCAACAAAAAGAAAACTTTTAGGCTGACACCAGATCCTCAAAAGCAGGAACTCGCATTTCTATAAAACAAAAGGAACTGATTTTTAAGGGGACTCAGATAAAATAAGGATCCCATGCCAATAAATATGCATGTGTTATATTTACTTGGAAATAACTCCCAGAAATTTCAATGAAATTTGTATTCAAAGAAGTGTCCTTAATATATATCACAACCAATATAATGTTTCCTTGGTAATGAGACTTTAGTTATCAATTAAGAAATTGTAATTAATCATCAGGCTTTAATTGCTTAGTTCATTGATTAAATGTGCATATGTACAAAACAAAATTTAACATAAAAATTGAATTTTATTTTATTCTGATGCATGTTTTTCTTTAGAACTTTGGCAAAAGCAATACAGTGGTACCTCGGGTTACATACGCTTCAGGTTACATACGCTTCAGGTTACAGACTCCGCTAACCCAGAAATATTACCTCAGGTTAAGAACATTGCTTCAGGATGAGAACAGAAATTGTGCTCTGGCGGCGCAGCAGCAGAGGGAGGCCCCATTAGCTAAAGTGGTGCTTCAGGTTAAGAACAGTTTCAGGTTAAGAACAGACCTCTGGAACGAATTAAGTACTTAACCCAAGGTACCACTGTAATATCAACACTGAAAGAGCACATGACCAACTATTTCAGGATGGTGCTAAAACCAAGATTTCCAAGACCCTCTTTTCTAGCAAGCCCATCATATTTGTTTTTTAATAGAGCAGTAACAATAACTTTGATAAGCAAAGCTAGCGATGTTGGTCCGTATTGCTGCTATTTAGTAATCTTAAATAAATATTATGTACTTTTGTGTGTTGATTTGGAGCCTTGCCTTGGTCGAAACCCAGTGCCTCAGATCTCTTTAGTCACATCTGGCTTTTGTGTAAGTCAGTGGTTTTCAGTCAATGTGCTGGGCAACACTGGCCTCTGTCCCTCTTGCCTTCCCTCCCTTCCTCTGATGCCCTCTTGTGTCTCTGCCTCCCAAAGGCTTGTGCAGCTGTTTGTTGCAGCAGCCCTGGCTGCAAGCTCCTCAGGCAAATGGTGCCTTTGGGACTGGCTGGTGGGGGGGGGGCTTCCCAGGTCCCTGTGGGGCAGTGTGAGGAGGCACCTCTCTTTGAGGCGGGGGGGCAGCTCAGAGATCAGGAGTGGCGGCAGTGGCTGCCCGGAGGACTCCCAAGGAGAAGGGAGAGGAGACTGAGAGACCCCTCCAGAAGGGAGGGTGTTTGAAAAAGGATGAGATGCTGCTGGCTCTGCAGGCAAGGGGTGACATAACTGGGCTCCTGAGCCCCACAGGGGTGCCACAGAAAGAGTGTAGTTGGTCAAGGGAGCCATGGACCCAAAAAGGTTGAAAACTTCTGGTGTAAGTGTTTCATTTTGCTGGAGGCTTCAGGCAGTAGAAAGTGGTGATTTAGCTGTCACTTTTTGGAATCTCAGTGAGCCACAGGCATCCTCTGTAAGAAGGGGGTGGTAGCACCATTGAAATACTTTATTGCCACTTGTACAACTTGTATACAGTGAGATTACACAAGCACCCCCCACTCAGCAATCTTAGTCTTAATTCCCCTCGTTTACTGATGCACACCCACCAAACCTGAAAGTCAGTTGCCTTGTTGTTATCTTTTCATTCAGCAGCCTAACAGCCCACGGATAGAAGCTGTTCTTTACCCTGTTGGTGCGACTAATCATGCTTCTATATCTTCTGCCTGAGGGCAGGAGATCAAGAAAGTGCCGGCCAGGGTGTAAATCATCCCTGAGAATTTCTCTCACTCTCCTGAGGCAACATTCTTCCACTATTTCATCCAGCGGATTCACGGAACAGCCCATAATATCTTGTGCTGTATTCACCACCCTCTGTAGGCACTTCCTATCAGTTGAGGTCAAACCAGCGTACCACACCATGATGCAGTATGAAAGGACATTTTCTATTGTTGACAGGTAGAAGGAGATCATCAAATGTTGATTGACATCATCCTTCCGCAATACTCTGAGGAGATGGGGTCTCTGTTGGGCTTACCTGTTGGGGGACTTGGATTGATTCTGAACCCATAAACCCTGACAGACGGTCTTTTAGATATTTGGTTCCTAAGCCATTTAGGGCTTTTATGCTAGTGTTAACACCTTGAGTTATATATATTGGATAGCAGTTTCCTCTAAGGCTTAATGAATGGGAAACAAGGTTTCGATCATCCCAGATTTTTAAGCAATTAATGTCACAGCCCTATTTTTGCTATGTTTCCTGTCGTTTAACTGCAATAGAAAAAGGTTGATGTAGCTCACCACAATTGTCCTGCCACGCATCTGCCATTTCAGAACCAGATGCTCTTCACGGGGACGGTCGCTTGCTGGTTTCGGGCAGTGGCAAAAGGTGCATTTCCACCTATTTCTGGAAAGCAGAACAAAGTGTGATAATACCATTGAATGCAATTTGTATTTAATACTGCCACACTGGTAGTTGTTGATTATAATGTTTTGTGATTAATTCTGCAAGTTTGCCATACAACCAGGTCATTCTTAAACAAACAATGCTTTCAGAAAAAGACATAGGATAACAGATCCTTGGCTGAATAAGCATCAGAACCAATAAGAAGAAAAGACCTTAGTCAGAGGACCAGTCCAATACGTCTTGGCACCTGAGGGGTGAGTGAATATCTACATTGGGAACTAGGAGGGAATCAAATCAACCGTACCTGATGCTTGAAATAGAATACCTGATAGGAATCAAAGGAAATCAATCTTACCTGTTGGTTGAAGCAGAAATCAAAAGCTGTCATGGGGCAGGGGGAAAGGGGCTCACTCTGACTCATGACAGGTGGGTGCAGACCCCAGCAGACCCCAGAGGGCAGACCCTGCCGTTTCCTCCCTAGGTTTGGGAGGAGAGTAGCAGCATCTCCTGTTCACTGACTGCTGTGGAGGTGGAACAGGGTAGGCTGCCGAGGGGACATAATAACCAGCCTTCAAAGAGCATTCCTTTGAAGCCAGATCAGCTGCCCCTGTGGATCCTGATGTAGGCCAAATTGAATAAAATATGGGGGGGTAAGCCCTGCCCCACATGATCGAACACATGATGCAGTGCACCCACACCATTTGAATGGCAATGCCCATCAATGTTTGGGGTGCCCAGCTCCCTCATCTTTTATTGAGGGGTGTGTGTGAAGGCAACTTGGCCCCTTGGGAATTGCCTCACCTTGCCTCCTGGGTGGGCCAGCCCTGGTTAGTCATAATAATCATTCTCATTAAGCACCAATGGGAACTAGGTGTTCTATAAAAGAAAGTAATGCTACTCAGTTGGCTATAACATATTACTGAAAACTACTGTTATAGTTTTGTTTACCTTAGCTAATATTCATTTCCCTGTTACAAGATGTTTTAATCTGTGCGGTTTTCCTTATACAGACTTGCACCTTAGATATGTTAGGATATCTGATCCTAAGGGGTCCGGTTCCAGTCACCTGCCCCTGCTGGTACCATGAAGGAGACAAACATACTCCAGGGTGGGTTTCCACAGAGAAAAAGGCTTTATTGCAAATTCTGCGCAGAGGTAGCCAGTGGAATAGTTTCCAAAGACTGGCCCCCCCTCTATTGTCTTCCAAGCAGTCTTATACAGTAATTTCAAGCTTGCCCCCAGTTGCTCCCCAATCAACAAGCAGAGATACATTTCATTACCTTATTGGGCTAGCTGAGCCCTCCTCCCCTCCATTGCATTTTGTTTGCTTCTGCATTAAAAATGTTTGCATTTTGCAGAGCTGAGGTGAGAAGTTAGCTCACCACAAGCTCACCACAACTGAAGCAGATATGAACCACTACCGGCCTATCAAGCTGAGTTTCTTTTGCTTCAGCTAAGTATGACTGCAGACAGGAAACCCACTATCTAACCGCAGAGCTAACTTGCAAGCTAGAACAATTGTTTAGCTGGAGCTAGCTAAAAGCACAATGGAGCTTTTACCTTCCCCCCATCTCTTCACTCCTCTCCCTTCAACTCCACATGAGAATAATATGAAAATTGGTGTGAAATGCAAACCACACTACTGCCAACATTAATTCAGATGTCCACAGTTGAGATGCCTAGAGCTTAGCAAGTTATTGTTGGGCTTCAAATAGATGCAGTTTTAGCCTGAGTCATGGGCTACAATTCATGTTGTGTGACTTTGCACTACTTAGCAAATATAGCAGATGCTTTAGTTGTAAGATATTGATGTTGTTAATACAGGGGTTTCCTGGCTATTTCATAGATCAGCTTATTACAGAAATTGAGGTGGAGGAGCTACCTTTTCTCAGCAGATATTTTCGGAATATGGCAATCTTCATGAAAGCATCTTGGGCATGAACTGCAGCATATCAGTGAATCTTCTTTCTTACACACAATACATACATCATCATGTTCAGACTGAAGAGGAAAAAACAGTCACTGTAAAAAATAAATTTATCAAAATGCATGGGGGGGGTGAGTTTCAATATGTGGGGTTTCTTGTACACCACCTTGTGAGGGCAAAATACCTGAAATGTGGTTTAAAAGGATATTCAGCTGGCAGACACATCATCATTACCAAAATACAGTGGTACCCCGGGTTACATACGCTTCAGGTAACCCAGAAATAGTGCTTCAGGTTAAGAACTTTGCTTCAGGATGAGAACAGAAATCGTGCTCCGGCGGCGCGGCAGCAGCAGGAGGCCCCATTAGCTAAAGTGGTGCTTCAGGTTAAGAACAGTTTCAGGTTAAGTACGGACCTCCAGAAAGAATTAAGTACTTAACCCGAGGTACCACCGTAAACAATGGTGTGGAAAAGAGGATTTTTTAAAAAACAGATTTTGTTATTTTTGATGCAACAAATAACCTCTGGTAGTTTTCTTTAAATATATTCAGTTTATTACATGAGATATACTCAGCATCTTCCTATTTTCTTGGTTTAGTACTTATGTGACAACCTGAAGAGCAGGAAGCTAACACAGGTAACACTTATTGGACCCTAAAAGGTAAGCAGAGAGAGTGTTTATATAAGGCTCCCTTGTAAAATTACTCACTGTTGACTCACTGTTGATTAGACTACCACTGGTAACACTAATAAATAGCCATGACTGACTTTTCAGGTTCTGCCCCTGTTTTATTTATTTATTTTATTCTTTTTATAAGTTGCATATGTGAAGCTGAGCTTATTTTATCAAGACATTCTTCATTTTCTTGATCCAACCTTCCCCCAACATTTTTGGCAGGAAGCCAACACAGGTAACTTACTGGGCCCTATAATAAGCAGAGAGGGTGTTTAGATAAGGTGCCCTTGTAAAATTACTCACTGGTCATGACTGACTTTTCAGCTTCTGAATAAAGATAATGCCTCTATCTCCTGTTTTTGTTTTCGTTTTATTCCTTTTATAAGTTGCATATGTGAAACTGAGCTTATTTTATCAGGGAATTCTGCATTTTCTTGATCCAACCTTATTTGGACTGCTACCATAGGCTTGACCTTGATAGCTCAAATATCTCCTAGGGGAGAGCGAACTCAGGTAGTGAGTGCCAAAACATGGACACTCGGAAACAAGAGGAAGTCATCACTATGTTTGGGAAAACCTGGGATTTGCAGCAGTGCAAACAATATTTAGGGAACAAACCTAAAGGATCAAAACCTCCCCAAATCAGCTAAGTCAGGACTAAACAGGAACATCAATTACAGAATGTTGAGTGTCACTTGGAAAAAAATAGAAAAGGTGGTGATGGGAAGCCATTTCGGAGCCCCTTATATTATATAGCTGGGGCGGCCCCATTTGCTTCCAATGTCTGCAAAATACAGGCTTCTTTCTCTGCTTCTTTCACTAGATGCCCATTCTGAGCACAGGACTGGCAATATTGCTTGCACTCAGCAACATAGCAACTCCCACCAGGGCCTGGGGCAGACCAGAGTTGTTCAGTGTTTTTTAGGGCAGCCGCCGATTTCAGGGAAGGCAAGTGGCTCCGCGAAAAACACCTAGGAACCACCTTGCCACCCACAGGCTCCCCTGCCACCCAGAATCCCAAGGCACCGTGCTGCCCTACAGACCCAGGTGCCACCCTACAGATACCCTCCGGCGCCACCACCTGGCACAGACCACCATCCCCCATGCCCCTGGCTAGCTACACTAGTAGCTATGCTTGGTTGCCAAGCACACAACTGTCAGCTGGTTTTTGCGCACTTGGGAACCCAATGCAAGGGGCTTTGGCAGTGGGATGAGACGCCCGACCTGCCAATCATGTTGTGACATAATGGCACCATGTGGATTGTCCCATCTACCTGCCAAAGTTGGCCCACATGAGAGGCCAGATAAAAATGGCCAGAAAGGTACCCCATTTCTTAGCTTAAAGCACAGCTTACTTCTTTGGCAGTGTGAGCAGTTGTAGTGGAAATTTCAAAGAAACTGTGAGCAGGATCCCTGCCTTTGACTAAGATTGCACTCTCGTGTCATGTTTCAATACTGTAAGAGTTTTGTAAAAAATAATAATTGGCTAATGGATTGAGCCATTGTTGTCATCATTGGCACTAGATTTTGTCCTTCATGTGTGCCACCATCATTTTGTGGGGCAAGCAAGCTGGACAAAGAGCCTCCCACCACTATGCCTATTGAATTGCAAATCTCACTCACACATGAAGCTTCCTCTCTCTCATTTTTGTTTTTCTTTGTTATATATTATGTTTTGTATTGCCTTATTTAGATGTAAACTGTGGTACAACCATTTTGGGTGAGGGGAAGTTAGGAAATATCTAAATACATAAGTGAATAAATAAACTGTGCATATGCTAGTTTAAATCAAGTAAAACTGTTAAGGAAATGTTTACCATCGTTGTTGTCCTGTTGGAATTTTGTGGTGGATGAGGTAGCTGTCCGCTCTGAAATAAACATCACAATTATTAGGTTTACTGTGAGGCATAATCAGAATCACAAAACATCACCTGAATTTAGGAAGTGAACTCATAAGAAATTAGACACCTTATATGTTATATATATGTTATATATGTTTAAAATAGAGTAGGAGAATATTTCATTCCGCTGGGACATTCTGCTGCTAACCTTAAAGTTGCCATGCATGAACAATGATATGTAAAAGTTGGTTCTGATGTGAAACTGCTGAATTACATTCATTTGAGCCTGAAGAGAAACAGTGGTTTCTTAGCCCACTGCAGATGTTAATTGACTCAGTACAGTGGTACCTCGGGTTAAGTACTTAATTCGATCCGGAGGTCCATTCTTAACCTGAAACTGTTCTTAACCTGAAGCACCACTTCAGCTAATGGGGCCTCCTGCTGCTGCTGCGCCGCCGGAGCACGATTTCTGTTCTCATCCTGAAGCAAAGTTCTTAAAACCGAGGTACTATTTCTGGGTTAGCGTGGTCTGTAAACTGAAGCGTATGTAACCTGAAGCATATGTAACCCAAGGTACCACTCTATTACTAAGGGCTTATCCACACTTATTTGTCCCACCGCTTTCCCCAGGGAAAACCTGCTGCTTGGGGTTGAATTGGAACAAATGGCAATTCATTTTCCTCTGACCTCACTGTCAGGTACAAGGAAACTACCTTGCACGCCTCCCGTCAGCAAGGGTGGGGTTGGGATAACAGATAGTCAGGGAAAGTACACTTTGTGGTTTTTGATGAAGCACCTGAGCTCCATCTGTTCCTCTTGCTCTCTCTTTTTTCTCCTCCCTCTTTATTACGTAAGGGTGTTATGAAGGTAACTCCAGTTATATAGTGTAGAATTTGAAGCTATCATTATAAATCTATCTATTTATCTCCCACCTTTTTCCCTAGGGGACTCAAGGCAGTTTAAAAATAAATACTCATTTTAAGAATAAAATATGTGGATTTTTATCTGTAAAGCCTTAATGGTATCTTCTGAAATTCCTTTGGAGTTGCAAGTAAGAAAATGAGGCATTAAAATTACGGCTGTTACAAGTGAACTACATACCTTTATTAATGTGTCTAATGAAGTCTTCCCACACTGGATACTTGTCCTCCACCTTTTCCAGTGTTTACGTCCTCCTTCAGTCTGAAATTGTGATGGTGTGAACCACTTTCCATTGGAACCCTCAATACTTTTTCTTGAAACTCCTTTGACAAACAGAACAGTCTCATTAATGTTACGCACCTATACCAGGCAATAAGCAACCTCGGCCCGCCAGATGTTTTGGGACTACAACTCCTATGATCCCTAGTGAACAGGACTGGTGGTCAGAGATGATGGGAAATGTAGTCCCAAAACATCTGGCAGGCCGAGGTTGCCTATGCCTGACCTATCCCATTCAGTAGACTTCACTGAATAGAGAAAGAAGCCAAGATCGTGGTGTGGAAGTCGGAAAGAAACTTCAGGCTGATCACGGCTAATGCCAAACTTCAGGGCCCCTCAGAATGAACCAGCCCATCACCTCAGCTAGACTCCCTGCCACCTGCTTTCCTCCCTGTCCCTCTTGTACACGGTCACAGTAAATTGTTTCTTTATTTTTTGAAAAAATGGGAGCAATCGCCAATTGCTTTTCATTCAGATTTATGGGTTGTGATAACTGCCATGTATAAATGTAGATTAATGCATTAATGATAAAGAGAATCAACATGGCACTGTTCTGTTACAAAAACAAAACATTTAAAGCTAAATAAAATCATTTAAGCATGCATAAATAAATAAATAGGGAAAGATTTCAAAAGCACCGATTGCACCATTCTGGTACTGATGGAATTATTTTAGGCTTGCCCAGGTTTACAGGATACAGTGGAATATAATTAAAGAGCTTTATAGGATATTAGTATTCGAAGTATTCCCAGAAAATGAAAGATACTCACATACCACCCACATTGATGCATCCTCCTCCCAACACCACACATTTATGCAAACACCAATTTTTAAATTTGCTATTGGTATCACATTCCTTAAACAGATGTAATTATACATTTACTCTTCCAAATGATTACCTGTTGCAAATATATCCATATGTAAAGTGCCTTGTGCTGTTCCACAGGTTACGGGCAGTGTCGTGCCCTGGAAATCCAGATTTTGCTCTTGTGTCCCTTTTCCAAGATGAAATGAAGAAACGGATGTCAAAGGTTACAGTTCCCATATTTTGGGCTGCCAACAAATGACAGCAGTCTGAAGGCAACCTGCTCGCTGTCATCTCTGGAAGCTTTCTAATCATGGTGTGTCTTACGGCAACTCAAAAGAGGACCTACTAGTCGTGCCGCATCCAGAAAATGTGCATCTTATGGGGCCCAGAGAAGGGCCTTCTCTACTGTGGCCCCCACTTTACAGGGGAATGCAGCTGCTCTGCCTGCTGGTGAAAACTTACCTATTTGCATAGGCACTCCTCGGCAATGATCCTTAGGACCAGCTTTACTGAACTTTGAATATGCTGGTTTATGTTTTATCGTTATTCTGGCGAACTGGTTTTATTTTGTAAACCACATTATTATATTTCAAAATAAACACCAGCCTATCAATAATTTTCAATACATAAATTAATGCACAAGTATGTCGTTTGTGGTGGCAGGCAGAGGACTGAAACAGTGAATGCATGGCTGTGGAAAGACTTGAACAAGGCTTTGTGGCTCAAACACTGACTATACCATTCCTCAAATCCAAATGAATTTGTTTCTTTTTGGCTATATATCTTTAAGGCTCAACTGGTAGGTTTAGTCCCCAATACAAGATGATTTACCATTTCCTAGGCTTTCATATAGTGGCCGTAAGTCTTGATATGCTGCCAGGTTACTGCTGCAGAAGATCTCCTCTATTGCTGACAGATCGCCCTGAATGTTCTCAAGCACATCGTATACCACTCTTTGAATATCATTTGGATTTGCAGTTACCCAATCTTGCCAATTCTAGAAAGAAACAATACAGGGTTTTTCAAATCTCTGTCTTCAAAACATCTTTTAGACTGAAAATACAGAGTAACTTTCCCATTTCCCACCAGATCTAACAGCAGATTATTTGGATAATCATCCCAGCACAATCAAAGGAAGCAGAAATTACACTAACAATTTTCTTCTCCTTTGCCAACTTCAAATACGTTGCGCAGCTTACATGTCTCTGAACACTAACATCCTATCCTATGCCTTTTACCAATGGCAGAGGAAGACTCAAGGCCACTTTTTCAGAAACAAGCCACAACCTGGATGGAATCGTAGAATCAGCATCAAGGGCCTTCTGGCAGTTCCCTCACTGCAAGAAGTGAGGTTACAGGGAACCAGGCAGAGGGCCTTTTCAATAGCAGCGCTTGCCCTGTGCCTGCCCTCCCATCAGATGTCAAGGAAATAAACAACTATCCAACTTTTAGAAGACATCTGAAGGCAACCCTGTTTAGGGAAGTTTTTAATGTTAAATGCTGTATTGTGTTTTGGGGAGTGGTTGGGGAAACCTAGCCAGATGGGTGGGGTATAAATAATAAATTATAATTATTATTATCGTAGAATTGCGCAATTGGAAAGGACCCTGAGAATGATTGAGTCCAACCCTCTGCAATGGATGAATATGCAGCTGTCCTGTGCGGGAATCAAACCTGCAGTCTTGGTGTTATCAGCACCATGTTCTAACCAATTTAGCTATCCCAGCTGCTGCTATTTCATTTCATTTCACTTTTAATTTGTATACCATCTTTCTATATACACAAGACAGTTTACAATATGAAGAACCAACAAAATATACAAGGACACACATAACAATCCGGTGCAAAACAAAGACGTCATAATAAAAATGTGACTTAAAATAAATATCTTATATCAAATAAAGGAATATGTGATAATCAATTAGAATAAAGCACGACACTCCCAAAGTATCAACAAATAATAATCAAACAGAAATTCACTCTCAACAATAGCAAGAAATCATTACTAAATTATAATCAATTAAAAAACAGCAAATTTACAATGAATTAACAAAGTAGGAATCTAACCAGAAAATAATTGCATCAGTTAGATACAATAGTCACCTGAAAATTTTCTTCAGAGATTATATTCTTGTCTCGTAGGCCATGGAGAAAAGGAAACAGGTCTCTAATTGCAAGAGAAATCTCCATTTTATGGGCTCTGAACCACTCCAAAATTTCAGCTGAAGTACCTGGAGCAGACATACTACAAACAACAAAAAACTATGTTTTAAAGACCTTGGAAATCATGTGGTTTTTTAAACAAGCAAAATTAAGCATTATCTAGCGTTTATCTAGAATGATTCCGTTTCCAAAAATGAAAATCATGGAATCCTTAGCTTTAGGCTGTGGAATTGTGTTGCGATTTCCTCTTTCCACTTCGACCCATCTTTAGGTGTCCCTTGCGACTAACACCAAGCCGGGTTAATTTACCCTGGTCTTCTTCTGCATTTAATCTGAGTCCCCAGCTGTGCCAGAAGGGGGGTCCCTCCGGAGTCTGTCGCTCTTTTGCGAGAGGGAGTCAAGCGCAGACGGGAAGCGCGGTTCCCCTGGAGCGCCTTTTCCTTGCGGATGAGATCAACCCGTCCCTTGACTTACCTTTCTGCTTTGACTGAGCGGAGATGGGGCTGTGAGGAAGGGGCTGAAGAAAGCAGGAGGAGGACTCCCCCGTCCAGACGTCGTCGGGCAAAAGCGCGAGAGAAAACGAAAGGAAACTCAACGTCTTCCAGTCGAGGGCTGGCGCTGCCTGCTCTGAGTTGCGCTCGGGGAGAAGTGAGGAACTTCGCCCGTTTCATGGAAAGGAAATCATCACGGACACAGAAATCAGAAAAGAAAACCGAAACTGGAGGAACGCTTGATGAGAAGCCATGAGTCCCCCCCTGCCCCATGAGTCAAAACTGTGCATAAGATATTTCTCACGTTAAAGGAAATATTACTCTTGTCAGTCTCTGACTTGAGAGGCCCCTCCCGTTCTCCATCACAGATCATGACCACAGCCTGCAGGTAAGGACTCGTGTGGGATCCTGTCCAGGGATTTCTGACTAGTTCCTTCAGTGCTTCTGAATGACTGTGGGTGATCTCTATGGTGTGAACTTAAAGCGATGGTTGAACAGAGCCATTAATACACACACACACACACATATATACATATATATATATATATATATATATATATACACACGCACACACACCACCCTATACCCGAAAAGATCATCATAAAAACCACAGTATACCGGTATATAACCAAAACAAAAACAACAACCCAATAACACCCCTCCACAAGAAAGAGCCACGTTTTAAAAGGGTATAAGATGACAATCAGGCAAAGGCCTGGTTAAAAAGGAACGTTTTTTGGCTGGCACCTAAAGGTGCGTAATGAAGGCACCAGGTGACCCTCCCTGGGGAGAGCATTCCACAGATGGGGAGACACTGCATAAGTGTGAGAAAAGTCTGGCAGGGATGGGGTAACCCTTTTCAGTCCATGAGCTGCATTCCCTGCTAGACAAACCTTTCAGGGACCGGATGCGTTGGTTGGAGAGGCCAGAAGGAAAGGTTGGTGGAGCAGTATATACGTGAATTTACTTGCACACTCCTCTCTATCATCCAAGCAGGGAAGAAGCATTATCAGAGTTCGGGGACACATTGTGGCTTGGCAGAAACACTCAAGGAGTGTGCAATGGAGGGCTGTGTTAAAGTTATATGCAGTGCTATTTTTCTAGAAAAAGAGGGGCCAGAACTCACAATGAATGCCTTTCTTCTTCTCTTATAATGGCAATGGTGCCCACCTGAGAATTCTAGCGAGTTCTGTCTGGAAAAAAGCCCTGGTTATAATGCTGTGTTTAAGTCTGTTGTGGGTTGTTGTTGTTTTGTATGGGAACAGAACTGGTGTTTTTCCACTGGGTGTGGTGGTGACTGCATCTGGAGCTATAAGCCTCCTGATTTAACAGGAGGTCTGAAATCTGAGCACCTGCCTATGTAGATATGTAACTAGGGCTGCTTACATCACAGAGAGAGACACAGGTGCTGTGAGATGCCAGCATTCAGAGAACGGAGAGAGGTGCATTTTGAATTTAGCGATAAAAACTATGTTTAAGTTCTCTCTGGGATGAGGATTAGAGAAAGAATGTTTTAAAGAACTGAACCACTGCTAGTTCTTTCTGTTACTTTTTAATATTTAAGGGCTTAAGACTGGTTTTTTTCCTGCAGTATAGCTTTTAAAAGTTTTTTTTTTCCTACACAAGCGTCCAGATTTTGGACTTCCATTCTACAACTCTAAAAGTGTGTGGAGGCAGTGTTGTCTAGGGAGAAGGGGTGTGGCTGGGGAAAGTCCAGAGGGCCAGATTGAAAGGCATAGAGGGCTACAACCAGTCCCTGGACCTCATGTTCCCCATCCATTGTCCAAATTGAGGGGAAATACCTCCTTGGGGCAAAGTGTGAATGAGATCCAGGCAAAACTGAGATTAGCTGAAGAATGGGAGCAGAATTTCAGTGATGCAGAATTTAGGGTAAATTGTATCATAATACTTTCTCACATCCCAGAGAGTGAGCCAATGTAGCCTGTTTATTCTGCTTGCGTTTACTTGTCTTCAAATGTCAACGTCACCTCTCCACATGCAACACTGAGAAAAGCTTTTAAGACAACACATTTTTGTCCCTGGACTGTGTATAGTCATGCACTCACAGGTCTTGTGGATAAACAAGACAAACTACTAATAATGATCTTCTTTGTTCCTCCAGAAACATAATTTGTTGATTATAACGTGCCTAATAATGCTAGCACTCATCTCATATGTGGTTGGTACATAGTTGTTGTTTTTTCAGTAGATGGGAGCCACTATTTAATGTATTGTTGGTCAAACCTTTTACCCTTTTTAATAGTTGTATCCTCTTTTTGATTCCAGCTGCTTTTACCTATGGAGAAGAAAAGTGACCTGTGGCTTCTCATCTTCCCACCACAGCCTGCTCTCCATGACACTGTTTCAGTGAGGCTGCTGAAATTGGATGGCTAGCCTCTTCCAAAGGCAAGCAGCATGGTTCCAACAGAGGGTGGCAAAGCTGGAGCAGTCCAAAGTGAGGAGGAAACCCTCACAATAAGAAAGAGAACAGAAGGCTGCAGGTTTGAATGGTGGTGTGGTGAGTTTGGTCGTGACCCACCTGATGTGGCCTCACAACCCAGCTGTGAGTCCTGATGACCCAGCTGTGAGTCCTTCAACCTGTGGGTTGAAGACACAAGGTGTAGATTAAGCTGCAGAAGGTGGTGCATAAGAGCATGCCTTGGGCTCATATTGTTATGACCCAGTTTGGGGGTCAGAACTGGATTGTGAACTTTAAAACAACAGCAATGCTGTGTGTGCCAAGGTGATCAGGCCTCAGACACACAATCCAGGATCTCTCTTTGCAAGGAAGTATATAGACAAATAGCCAGACAAAAGTTGAAAAGCTTTATTTCCTGATCAAACATTTACAGACTGGGCATCCTTTGCCTTGCGGAGATTTACCCTGGAAAAGGGTAAATAAAAATTCGAGTGAAGGAGTCATCCTATCTAAGCAGACTAACCCTAATCCATACACATACCAAGGATGGAGTGATACTTATACATACAAAGGATCCCGGTCAGTGATCCTTGCAACAAGCAAAAATAGAAAAAGACTGAGGCATGAGAAGGTGTTGCAGACACATTTGCCGCTATGGACAAGGCCAGCCCATCCACGAGGTCAGGTGAGATGACTGCCTCAGGCGGCAGGATCCACAGGCGTAGCAGATCCCAATGTCAATATTTATTCCCCACTTGTTCCTGGTGTACATCTTCACTCACCCCTTCTTCCCTGGCCGGGGGGTGGGGGGCACCATTTGGTGGTTTGCCTCAGGTGTCAAATGTCTAGCCCTGGTCCTGTCTATAGAGGTTTGCTGGGTAGCCTTCTCCCAAATGGCACTGAGACAGAGGTTTTACATAGACAAAGATGGGAAGCAACGTCCTCTCCAACAGGATCCAGAATCCCATAATGTTGCAAAAGCAGCAAAATCCATTGCCCAAATCCAGGGTTGTCCTAATGTTGTCCTCTCCTCGTTTCATGAGGCCAGTGCAAGCAGCAAAGTCCAGATTTGCTTGCATCACATTTCCAGCTTGATTCTTCACACCTCTCATTTACCAGCCCCAAGCTCAGTTCTTTGTTCTTAGCCCGTGGAAACAAACAAAAAACCCCTCCAAATGCATACACATATGCACATCCTTTCAATTATGCTGTCACTAAACAGTTGCTAAAGACATTTTGGCTTGGTATCAAGGTTACTGCTAAGTTTTCAGTCTATCTGGGTCATAGACACTTAACTTTAAAATGAAAGCATTTTAAGAGGTTTTAAAAACAGCAAGCAAGTTAGTACTTTTTGGGATGGATGGCTCGCAAGTGTGAAGAGGGAACATAAGTAATTGCTTACAGAATAGAAAACACTTCCCAAAATTTATTTTCAAATTTATCTTCCACTACTTTTCATCTACTGAAATTTCCAAACCCTAAAGGGAGAAGATATTATAACATTCACTTTGATATATATGGAGATCATTGCTTGATTTAGTTCTATTTTACCATCGCCTGTCAAAAACCAACTTTGCATTCTGCTAATGTGACATGAAGTGAACTGCTTTTTCTCAACAATCTTCCTGAAAAGATCTGAGACATGAATTGCAGTGTATCAGTGACCTTTCTCCTCACAGCACACACAGCACACAGCACACAGGTCATCTGGCTGAAATGGAGAAGAAGAAAAAACACCTGTCACTGTGAAAAATAAAATTATTGAAAGCATAAGAGTGTGTAAGAGAGAGACAGAGGTTGTAATATGTGGTATTTCTTGTCAATATTCCCTGAAAGGAGGTTTAAAAATACTTTAATAAAGAATATTCAGTTGGCAGGTATATCAACTTCATCAAAACATGTAATGGTGTGGGGAAGAAAAAATAATTTGAAACAGACTTTTTTATTTTGGCTTCAACTGATAACCTCTAGTAGTTTCCTTTAAATGTGATCCTTCCTCTTTTCTCAATTCAATATTTTTTTGTGGAAACGAGAGGTGCAGGAAGCTAACGCATGCAACGTTTCTTGGGCCCTAAGGTGAGGGTGTGTAATCAAGTGTCCCCTTGTAAATGCTCTCACCACTGATAGACTGCCATTGGTAGCACTAGTAATGGCCATGGTTGGCATTTCATCTTCTCTGTTGCCTGTTTTGGATTTCCTCCCCTCATATGTTGCATGCGTGAAGCCCATCCATGAGGTCAGTTCAAGCCATTTGCCTTGGGCAGGACATCTGACTGCTTAACCTACTGTTGTGCAACAGGGAGGCACAGAAATATCTTAAGGAATGATGTGTGTGCCGTATATGTGGAAAACACAACCATCTGGTAAGAATGTCTAGTAATTATTTACCTTCTGCATTCTTGAGGATTCCGGTTGTGGCTTCAGTATTTCTCCCCACTGAAACAATCACATGTATTGGGTTAACTCTGAGGCACTCAAAATGAACACAAAATAAATTAGAACCATAAGTAGCACCTTACTATATATCATTGTTTAAAAGTCGGTAGGAGGACATGTCATTCTGCCAGGACACTTTGCTACTGATCTTAAGGTGGCCATACTTGAAGAATGTTTTTTTCATGCAACAACTGTGCATGAAAATTATTCACACGTGATGCAGGATATTATACCAGTCATAAGAATACAATTTGTGGATAACTGGAAAGCCTTGATGTTATCACCTGAAATTCTTTGGCATTACAAGTAAAAACTGATTTTTTAACAGATTATTATACGTGAACTGCATACCTTGATTAATGCTTCTAAGGAAATCCCACCATAGCGGATACATCTTCTCCAGCCTTTTGAACTTTTATATCCTCCTTTAGCCTTAAATTCTGATGGTGTGAACCATTTTCCATCGGAACCCTTGATACATTTCCATGAAACACCTATGACAAACAGATAAGTCACATCAATGTGGCTCACTTATCCCATCTGGCAAATTTCACTGAAGAGAGAAAGAAGTTCTGCCAACAGGAGATTCTTTTCCAATATCTACTTAGGAAAAAAGATATGAACAAAGATTGTGTCATGAACTAGGGCTGTGCACCAGAGTTGGCCAAGTCTTGGGCCAAAACTGGCATATTAGGAGGGACTCTGGCATCAGACGAATTAGATAGCAACAAACACAGATCACTACAGGCCAGGGTGGATGGCCCAGAGCAATCGGTGGTTGTCAAGGGGTGGGGCATTAGGCAGAAAGGAGAGGTGGACATCATGCAGGAAAATCACAATAAAAGACCCTGACTTACCCTGACTTCTGGGATTAGGAAGGAACCTGCTACCTGAGCCTGCTTCCTGAGAGAAGCCACTTGCAAAGGAGCAGGATTATGATCCTGCAGCTGCATTGTGCTTTTTGCAAGCAGCTTAAATGCTAGGTGGGGTGGGGGTCCCAGTGTTGATCCAAGGTGGGTCAACCTGACACCCTCCTCCCAAATCAGAGCTATGGGGCAGATCAGAGGGACACAGCCCTAGAATGAATGCTGGGAAGGAATCTCAGTATGAGGCTTAAGCAGGTCTTCTCCAACATCTCCTTTGCACTTGGACACGGAGAAAAGGCCAAGAGGCTCCTTCTTCTCAAAGCCAGGCATTCTGGGCAACATGGCCAGGCCTTGTGCTATTGCACAACCAAAATATTTTCATGTGCTGTTGGTATCACATTCCTTTAGCAGGTGCAATCCCATGTATAATTATATTATTCCAACTCAATGGTTACCTTCTGTGAATCTATTCTTATACAAAACACCTTTACTTCTTCCACAGCGTACTTTCAGTGTTCGGACCTCAACACTCAAATCTTGTATTTCATTATTGTGCATGCCTTTCCCTAGATGAAATCAAGAAATGTATATCAGCTGTTACAATACCCATGTTTTGGCCTTCCAGAGAATGACAGTGGTCTTACCAGATTATTGATCCTGCTAAGAGGATGTGGTACGAAGTGTGCATTCATGTCAGAGTGAAAACAAAACACTGTGACTGCCCCAAACCTTTGCAGGCACAAACTCACTGAAAGCAAGATTACATGTGACTGTCCTGATAGCTTTACTAGCACAAATAATCAAGAATGTGGTAATGAAACAGGATGCTCTGTCCCTCATTTACGGACTTTTACTGAACTCACTTTGTTGCTTCCCAGGGGACGCAGGTTTCCTCATTTGTCCCTGGAGTACTTTGCTGCTCCCAGGTACTGCGGCAGAACTATTCTGAACCTGCTGGAGAACTGAAGAGGACATGTGTTAGGAAAACAAGGGCATTGCCACCTTAACGTTAAATTAAATGGCTAAAATGAATTGTAAATTATTTGTAGCTTATGAAAGAGCTGAGAGGCTGAAGTAAAGTTCAGGTGTAAGGTTTGCACAATCTTAACAGTGCCCTTAGTTCTTCTAAGGTAGCATCACCAGCTTTGAACTGTTAAGTTCATGCACACACTCTCCACATCCCCATGGCTTTTAATCTTTCACTCCATTCAGCTCATAAAAATATACATACATTGGTTGCCTTTTTGCTACTGAATTGAGGTTTTATTGTTGACATAGGTCACCTGAAAGTGTGTCGCCTTTAATATGGGCCTGCCCATTCACTGTCATCGCTGAATGCCTTTTCTAATCATTGTATGTTCTGCAAGCATACACCTTACGGTGGCTGGAAGGACCCTCTCCACTATAGCCTCCACATTATGGAATTATCTCCCCTTGCAGACACAATGGGCACCTATGGTGCAGGTGTTCCACCTGCTGGTAAAAACTACAGACATTCCTAGACACTAATTCTTACTATTGACTTTACTGAGTTTTGAATATTCTGGTTCATGTTTAATTATTTTAGTGTACTCATTTTACTTTGAATAACCACCTTGCTATTTTTCACAATAAAAGGCAATCTATTGGAAAAAGTAAACAAAATACATTATTATTATTATTATATCCCAGGACTCAGGCAGAGGGCTGAGGCAAAGTTAATGCATGGCTTCTACAGGATTTTGTGGCCCAAAGACTGACTGACTACCGTTTCTCAGTAAATGCTGATGACTTTTCTATCTTTAAGGCTTATTTGATTGGTTTAGCACAGCCAAAAAGATAACTTACCATTTTCTAGGCTTTCGTATAATGGCTGTAAATTTTGATATGCTTCTAGGTTCTCCTTGCAGAAGATCTCCTCTATTGCTAACACATTGGTCTGAATGCTCTCAAGGACATCGTATACCACTTTAGAAATATCATTTGGTTTTGCAGTTACCTTATCACGCCAATTCTAGAAAGAAACAATATAGGCTTTTAAAACATTTTTAGAGAGAAAATGCAAAGTAGCTTTCCTATTTCCCACCAGATCTAATAGCAGATTACTTGGGTGGTTATCCCAGCACAATCAAAGGAAGCAAAAATTGTCAAGGCAGTTTTATCTTCCTTTGCCAGATTCAAATACCCTGCACACTTAGCATCCCTCAGACCAGCTAATGTCCTTTCCTATGCTTTTTATCAATGCCAGAGAAAGCCTCAAGGCATTTGGCCACTTGTTCTTCAGAAACAAGCCACAATCTGCTGCTGTTATGGGGTTAGTCTTCTTTGTTTTTTCCTGTGGCTCACATCTCCCCACTAACTTGTAAGGTTTCTCCTTCCGTGCAATGTTTTTTGTTGTTAGAACATTTTTATACCAACTGTTCCTAAAGAAACTCAGGAGCGATGAGTGGAGGCTACTCCCTGAATCCTGTGAGGAAGGTTAGGCTGGGAGAGTGCAAATGGCCTATGTTCACCCAGTGAACTCCTTCATAGAATCATAAAATTGGAAGGGACTCTGAGGATCATCTAGTCCAACCCTGACTGAGTGAAGTTGGAGTCCAGATCTTTGCATCCAAGTCTGGCTCCCTGTTCACCATACTGCACTGCCTCTCATGCTGTGCTCCACCTATAACCCAGAAAACCTTTCTGGTTGTAAGGACAAAGATTTCACACTCTTAGTTTAGATGGACTTCACATGTCCAGGTGGAGTTTTAAAAAATAAATTCAATGCCTATAATAATCACCTTAAAATCTTCTTCGGATATTCTTTTCTTGTCTCGTAGGAGATAGAGAAAAGGGAAAGTATCTTTAATTGCCAAAGAAATCTGTATTTTTTGGCCTCTGAACCACCAAAAAATTTCATCTGAAGTACCTGGAGCAGACATGCTATAAACAAAGCAAGAAGTATCACAACACAAAAAAGTCAATGAAAGCAATAAATGACATGGCTATTTAAAGAAGAATTTCAAGCTCAAAGTAAAGAACTGTAGAGCATATAAACAGAAAGGTCCCATTAGAAGAAGAAAAACATGTCTGAGGCTTGATAAATCTCTAACCTCAGATCAGGCTGTAGAATTGTGCTGCTATTTTTCTACTTCCTACTTCTACTCAGCTTTAGGTGTTCTGTGTGACTATTAGTAACTTATATGGGTATCCTTCTATATTTACTTTGAGTACCCAGCTGTAGCCAAAGTGAGATTCCAATGTGAATTTAGGAGCATGGATGGCTTCAGTTTAACTTAGATTAGCAAGAGTCACAAATAAACTAGGGGTGGAGGTGAACAGTGCTCAGAAAGAATGAAAGCTCATGAGTTTCATTTCAATTGCACCCTTCCTCCAAGGAGCAAAGGGTAGCATACCAGGCTCTCCACCATTTATTTTATCCATACAACAACCCTGTGAGGTAGGTTAGGTCAAGATAAAAGAGACTGGCCCAAGATTGCCTTCATGTCTGAGTCGGGGTTTCAACCTGACTCCACCCCACTAGCCATCCAACATTCTGATCACACCACCAGATCCCTCAGGTCTTGGAGATGCTAAAAACTGTCTGTGCCCATTGATGGCACGCTGGCAGTCTGAATTGCCAGCAGCAAACAGAAGCTAGCCCTTTAGTCCAGTAAAATTAGTGTTTGACCAGATATCTGTAATAAAAAGCTGGACGTTTCAGTTGGTAGCTCTGACAAAGGTATCAAAAATCCCCCCAACCAATTACTCAAAATTATCTCCTGAGTTGTTCTAAACATTCTGGGTGCAAGGATATTCACTTCGCTTTGTTTCAGATGTGCCTTATTAGTTTCAGAGATACGGGTGTTTCTACTTCAGCAGCCACCGAACTTCTGGTACTCTCAGAGGTAGGAAATGAACACACCCTGCAGTTTTCAGCTTGGTTTTAGGGTGTGTTCCTAAAAAGTTTGCTTCCTTTATTCAGACCGCTTACCAGGGGAGGAAGAACTGACTTTATCGCTTGAGGAAAGTGAGCACAACTTGTTTCTTTAGATTTGAAACAGCTTGTGAGAGCTCTGGCCCCACATAAGTAAGAGCAGGAAGAGGAAATGGGGTTCAGATGCGCGGTACCCCTTTTTGCCCCTTCGTATGGGAGTGACGGGGGAGGAGTAGACGGACGGGAAGACATAAATCTTGCCCGCAAAGACGTGTCTTCATTTTGTTTTACCCTTAGACCAGTTTATTGGGCGTCCCTCACCCCCAGTTGCTTGCACGAAACTTAGGCAGAGGCTCGATTCTCCCCGATCTCTTGACGTAGCGCCGATTCGGATTTGTTTGCTGCATTAAGAGGCGCTTCCGGAGTCTGTGGCGAGAGGGAGCCGAGCGCAGACTGGAAGGGCGTTTCTCCCGGACTGTTTGTCTGCTTCATGGACAGAGAGATCAAGGGGCTTCTAGTGGGACCGTGCGCCCTCCGAGGAGACGGGGGACCACCATGCCCACGAGCCGGAGATAACCAGGACTCTCCGGAGCAAGTATACTTTACGCACTTGGCACGACACGCACGTTTTAAAACAGATCGGTGGGAATCAAGAGACGGTCCCTTCTATCAAGTACAAAATGGTGACTCGAGGAAGGCGACGCCCAGAGCTTTCTCCTTTGCGCAGGAGATCAACCTGTCCCTTGACTTACCTTTCCCCTTTTTCTCAACCACCAGGTTGAAGCAAACAGATGGACTCGGCCTCAGGATGTCGCCCAAAAAAAGACAAAGAAGAGAGAATGAGGGAAAGTTCCTCCCCCATCGATTTTTGTCTCGAGGAAAGGAAACTGAAAGTATTCCTCTTCCCAAAGGTCAGCGCTTTTGTCGGGGGCCGAGACTCACTGTTCCAAATAACCTCTCGCTTAGCCGGTTCAGGAGGAAGGAAAGCACAATCACGAATTATCATCCTCTTCTTTTTCATCCATGGCCCGTATAGTTAAAGCTATGGTTTTTCCAGTAGTGATGTATGGAAGTGAGAGCTGGACCATAAAGAAGGCTGATCGCCGAAGAATTGATGCTTTTGAATTATGGTGCTGGAGGAGACTCTTGAGACTCTTGAGAGTCTCATGGACTGCAAGAAGATCAAACCTATCTATTCTTAAGGAAATCAGCCCTGAGTGCTCACTGGAAGGACAGATCCTGAAGCTGAGGCTCCAATACTTTGGCCACCTCATGAGAAGAGAAGACTCCCTGGAAAAGACCCTGATGTTGGGAAAGATGGAGGGCACAAGGAGAAGGGGACGACAGAGGACGAGGTGGTTGGATAGTGTTCTCGAAGCTACCAGCATGAGTTTGACCAAACTGCGGGAGGCAGTGGAAGACAGGAGTGTCTGGTGTGCTCTGGTCCACGGGGTCACAAGGAGTCGGACACGACTAAATGACTAAACAACCTTTTTCATCAATGATTAGTATCCTCTCTAGCCCTCTCCCAGGGGGTCATAAGAAGAACTGTACCATAGGAGCCAACTCCTAGGGGTCGTGGGGTTTTTGACCCCTTCAAAGTTGATAGGAATTGCCATTCAAATAGTGTGCATGCACCACATCGTGTGATCAATTATGTGGGGCATAATATTGTGGCCCCCCACAATATTTCATTCAAGTTGGCACCTCTGAACTGTATGCCTCTTATTTTAAAAAAAAATATTGTTCTCGTCACCATCTCTTAGAGTCCATTCTCTCCCTCACACATCATGAGGAAATGCTGACGTAAGTTTTTGAATAACTGTATCTCTGTGGTTGAGCAGTCATGGAGTTGAGAAAGGGATGTGTGTGTTTCCTGAAGGGCTAAGTCAATCCAGTCAATGTGGGGGCTCGTTGCCAGAAAATGGTTTCTTGATGCAAAATCACTGAAAAGCAAGCTATCAAAGTTCAAGGAGGGCTGGAAGGTGACAGTGATAGGGAACCCTTTTTTGGTCCAGAGCCACATTCTATGCAGAGGGTCTTTTCGGTAGTTGCCCCTGCCCTGTGGAATGCCCTTCCATCAGATGTCAAGGAAATAAACAGCTATCTGACTTTTAGAAGGCATCTGAAGACAGCCCTGTATTGAGAAATTATTAATGTGTGTTGCAAGCTGCCCAGAGTGGCTGGGGAAAACCAGTCAGGTTTTCCTTTCAGGGAAACTGCATGCTTAAGGTCACCAGACATCCCCGTTTCCCAGAGACAGTCCCCGGATTTACCAATCAGTCCCCTTGCAAAATCCATTGAAGTTTAAAAGTGTCCCCGGATTCACTGAAAAAAATCTGGTAACCTTATGCATGCTGGGATGGGGGCCAGGGGGAAGAAGCAAAAGTGGATGGACATGAGGATATGACAAACATGCTGAATCAGGCCCATTTAGTCCAGCATTCAGTTTTCACAGTTGCCAACCAGATGCCTAAGCAAGACCCAACCATCAGAACAAACCCCCCTTCTGTGGATGGAGGAAGATATGTGAATTTGCTCACACATCTCCTTCCAGGCAAGGAAGAAGCATAATCAGAGTAAAAATACTCAGGAGTAGGAGTGTGGCTTTGGAAAGTCCAGAGGGCCTGGTTGAAAGACACCAAGGGCCACATTCAGCCCCTGGGCCTCTGATTCCCCACCCTTGTCTAAACTGAGGCGAAAGGTGGCTCCGCTTTATCACATACACAGCCCAACAAGACAATGACAATAATCCACCAACAGCATACAAATCAATATGGCTAACCTGATCCAAAACACCCACCCACCCCACTCACACATGAAAACAAAGATCACCACAGCCAATCATAAACAAACAACCACAGCCTAGGCCAACCCCAACTTCTCTCACCACCAAAGGAACACAAATGAACAGCAGAGAACCTGCACGAGCAACACTGACACCAAACCCCACATACATTAAGCAAAATAGAAACATCGCCACCTGACCCCACCCATCTTCCCCCCCTCCACCCCTTTTCTTCCTAATGTCTCAACAAATGAAACTGATTTGTAAAAATGTTACATGGAAAAAATACGAGAGACATTACACATACTTCTGTAAATCAAGAAAATCTTTAATAATAATAATAATAATAATAATAAAATCAAATTGAGGCGAAAGTTTTGTTGGGTGGAGAAATAAAACATTTTTGGGAACAGAATGTGAAGGAGATCCAGACAGAGTTGAGATTAGCTGAAGAATGGGAAGCATCTTTCAGTGGGGTGTGTTTTTTCTGGAAAGTTTTGAATTAGTGTAAATTGCATAGCCCAGAGCGTGATGCTTATTTATTTGCATTTAGTAAGTAAAGCTAAACACTTTGAAACTACCAAGGTTTATTATTTCTTTGCAGTTGACATCCATTCTTTTCAGAAATTGGAAAATTTATGCCCCAGAACACTAGGTTCAAGGCATTTCTCTCTGTAGTTCTGATACCTGGTAGCAGATCTGATAGTGGCACACGTTTCTTGCCTTCACTTGAGCTCTATTTATATATTTACAAATAAGCAAAATATTACACAAATGCCACAAGTCTTTAATACAGTGGTACCTCGGGTTACATACACCTCGGGTTACATACGCTTCAGGTTACAGAGTCCGCTAACCCAGAAATATTACCTCAGGTTAAGAACTTTGCTTCAGGATGAGAACAAAAATTATGCTCCAGCGGCGCAGCGGCAGCAGGAGGCCCCATTAGCTAGTGCTTCAGGTTAAGAACAGTTTCAGGTTAAGAACGGACCTCCAGAACGAATTAAGTACTTAACCTGAGGTATCACTGTACTGGGTTGTTCAGCCGTGGGACTCTCACTAGTGGGAACCAAATAATACTATAAAGTGTTGCTGCCACCTTCAGTTAGTGGCTAGGCACACATTTCAGGCATTACAGTTTGGGGTTTTCTAAATGTAGACATCACAAGCATTCATATGTGCACAATCTGCAGATAGCATGAGCAATTGTTAAATCATTGCCATCTGTACACACATAGGGTGCATCCTCTGCGGCTAGCACCCATTAATTTCTTTCCTCCCTCTGTTTTCAACACCCACTTCACTTCTTATTTGCACCCCATCCCCCAATGAGTTTATTGATATACTGGAAGCCCAGAAGAAGACTCAGTTAGTTATATTGCATTTGGCATGTGCCTAAAGGCTTTCTTTCCTTGTACCATGCAGGCAACTTCATGACTACATATCTTTTTTTTTCTTTTGGCAAGGCACTCTGAGTATGCTCAGAGGCTGTCTGATCTAGTGCCATGCATGGCTAATTACTGACTGCAATGTCTGTTTTATTGCAAGGTACTTGTGGCATGGTTTGCTCAGAGTCTCCCTTCCTTGGCACAAGGCAGGCAGAGAACATCCTTCTCTTTGCATGCAACTGCACATCCAATCATACCCAACATTTCTCTGGCAAGCATGCAGAAGTTTATATTGCCAACCTTTTTCTCCAACAGCATGGACAGGCATTTGCTCATCCAGTCACAGATAATCTTGCCCAATTAAAATTGAATCAGACAGAATTGGATATAAAAGGAGTCCAAAATGCTTGCCCGCTTCACTCTAATGGATCCATATCAGAAAGCAAATGTTGCAGATTATTGGGGCATTCCTAGATCCAACTGTTTTTGATGCCTTTCATAATTACGAAGACGCTTCTTACTAATGTAAAAAAGCAGCAGCTGGCCTGCTGACTGGGGATTGGTCATTGGGAACACATTTCTCCCATGCTCCAAAATATGTAGTGACTTCCTGCTTCCTCTCCGACACAGTTAAATTTGCTTGTTTGACCTTGAAAACTACTGCCCATGAGACCACTTTAGACTTGCCAAGCTGCAGCTCAGAGAAACATAGATATATCTTCACATTCCCCACTGCAGGAGGAAGCAAAGCTACTGTGTCTTCTCTTGACCGTTCTTGATGGGCCATTGGCCTGATTTGCAACCTGCTGTGGACCCCTGCTTGTTATGGTAGGACAACAACACGCAGGCAACAGAACTAAGGGAGGAGTGTGCAGAAGAAGCCATTGTGTCTTGTCTTCTGCAGAACCGAAGCAGATGTATGTTCTCTAAAACTGTGCTCACATTACTGCCCTAGAGAAGACAGTTTGAGAAACAGTGCATCAAACACTAGTATTTTATTTCAAAGTACGGGATGCATATGCATCGCAGACAACATGTGAACAACAAAAACCAGCACTGCAAACACAGTGAATGCATAGTAAATAGGAGTGTGAACACAGCCTAAGTAACAGCCTGACAACCCCAAAAGCAAATACTTTATAGACAGTACCAATATCTGCAGCAGATAGAAGAGAGTCAACCTGCAGTGCAGACAAGACCTGCAACTGGATTCACAATATAAATTAATATTACTATTAAACTCTTTAAAAATTTGACCTGCCTTTGAATGCTGCTCATCAACCATAACAATAAAAATTTCATTCGATCTGCCTTTTTAAAATTTTCCCTTAGGATGGCTCATTGATAAAAGAGTAGATATTTTTTCAATGCGTGTTTAGGTGTGAGGTGGCAATCATGAGAACAGAACCAAGGCACAGTTGTGTTTCAGACTGGCCCTGAATAAATACACTTTTCTGTATAGCGCCTTAAACTCTGTTCTCCTTAACGCTTGCTGTCAGGTCATTATTGGAGGGTAGCTCAGAGAGGGGTCCTCAGCTCTCTTGCCCCTTCTCCTCTTTCCTTTTGAAAGTCAGCCTAAATTTGCATGTATTCATATGACTTACCTCATGCAAATTGGTGTCATAGGCGTGCAACTGAAGTCCTTTAACGATTTAGCAACAACTCAGGCGGCTGTTACTTGAAAAATAAGCCCCCTCCCCATTATGATGTTTTCAGTGTTTATTTTGCATTCATCAAATTGAAGGCAGAAAAAATACTTTAAATAATTCATTGTTATACAACTTTAAGTGGAAGACACTTCTGCGTAGGAATCAGCATGTATCTGCCTGTGTTGGGTGGCATTTGACTTTTCTAGTGGGAAGGGCCTTCG